CTTAGATGACTTTTGGTCGTCTAAACGATGCTTGACAGCCTTGATACTATGCATGAGAACCTCCAGTGTCACCGGAATCCCCAGAGGAAATATGCCATTGCCGCGCATGCGCATAACGTCTCCAGCGGCGGGCGGCGGCAGGGGAGGAGCATGGGCGGGACCCAGGTAAGTGACAGAAGGAGTTATTAACCCCTTCTGCACCACGGGGGGGGGGTGCTTGACCAAGTGGGAAGCTATAGTGCCAGGAAAACTAGTTTGTTTTCCTGGCACTATAGTTTCCCTTTAAGTCATAAAGACTGATGCTCTATTTCCAATCAGGAAATAGACCGATTTATTAAATATATGTGGTGTGTGATATTTTCGTTATTGCCATGGTTATTTACTAAAGTGGAAGTATAGCTGACTTAAGATAATTTTTCCAATTTAGCTATTTTGGCTTCACAATTTAAATTGCCGACAATTCCTACTTTTGTAAATTGCCCAGTATATTCCTTTCTTATCAAAAAGTAGAGGTGCTACTAACAATTCTCTGCATATCCTTGTAATATCAGATCTAACCTATTCTCCTTTAATTAATAAATCTTGGAACTAAAATAATGTATTTGTGTTACAACCACAGCCAGTAAAGGGACCTTATAGTTACCAGAAAAAAAAGACAGTGTTTACATTGCTCCCTAGGAACACCTTCAGTAGCCACTCTTCAGACGGTAACTGGAGGTGCTTCCTATGTCAGTGTTGCACAGTGTGCAGCACTGACATTCACCGTCTCTACGCTCTGCATGAAGACTCTGAACATTCCCCATTGAGATGCATTCATTCAATGCATCTCTATGAGGAGATGCTGATTCGCACAGCATGACATATTGCTGCATGCGCAAAAGTCTCCTAATGTTTTCCTATGGGAAAGCATTGGATTGGCAGAGATCATAGAGGTGGAGCCAGGCGAGACTGGTGCTGTGTGGGAGAAAAGGTGAGTAAAATCATGATGCAAAGGGGGCCATAGCCCTAAATAGTTAAACACTAAAGTGTCAGGAATATATGTTTGTATTCCTGGCACTATAGTGTTCCTTTAATGTTGCCAAGGTGTTGCAAAATGTTTTAAACAGATTTCTCTGACTGTTACTATGGTGACTAAAGCCAGAATTTGACTGATTGTTTAACACCATATTGCTTGCATAGATGGCTGGATTTCACGTATACCACATCAGGATTTTTTTAGCCACCATTTGATTTGAGGTGGGATTGGGCAGGCGGTACAAACTTCTGAACTCAAGTAGGTGTTACAGGTTATTCTCATATAATCATTTGTAGACAACCACCGGTGTGGTGGATGGGGTGGAATAAATGAAGAAGGAACTTTACTTACTAACATGGCATATATAAGTACACAAATAAACACAACATGCATGCACATACTTAATCCTCCAAATAAAGGATTATGTTGAATTAAAGGAACACTTTGGACCCTGAACATTAGCTTGCTAAAATGCTTTATGTGTGAAGAATGTGTCCTTTTTTTTTAAATTTTACAAAAAGTGCAGATTTCAATAAAAGCCTTGTCGTCCCCACCCCTCGGCTTCCAATCAGATAACATTCCTAGTTACTTCCTGGTTTGTTAAGCTCAGTGGAGGCAATTGCCCAGAGCACCTGTTTTGCAAAGATTTTTCATTGCGCTGCATTGGAAAGTCTGTGATTGGACAGCCACAGAAACTTTTGGTGAGGTTGGAAGGGGAGGGCTTGCAAAGGCTGCAGACAACAAAACTGCAGTTTTTGAAAGCTGTTTTTAGAAATACAGCCAAGGAAAAATTGCATGTTTTCATTTGGGGTATATCTACTAAACAGTGACTTTTTTGGCAGTGGAGTGTCCCATTAACAGTCAAAGTGTGACCTGTTAAACATATCTTACTTGCTGCAATACTTACCCTAGTAAATGCTACAAATGCATTTACTAGAGTGAGGGACGAAGCACTTTTTAAAAAGAAACTGTCTTTATTGTATAATTCAATAGATAAATCACCAAGTACTGACTTATATAAATAGCACTGCATACGTAGACTGCCCCAGGGTGCTAGACAGTGCATTAAGGTAAGTTAAAAAATGAATTGCAATATTCAGGGTATAATACTTTGATTATTTCTGAATTGGAGACTTAAACCAGATTAAGTATTTTTTCTTGAATTTGAAATTTCATATCCTATTCACAACAATTCACAATTTTAGTGAATAAACCATACTATTTACTTGCTGTGAATTGAAAACCCAATCAGAAAATTTAGGCTAAAACAGTCCATGCTGTTACTATAGCTCAGCTGGAGATTTTTTTTTTCAATTCTGAAAATCAGTTTTCCATTTACTACAATTTGACGTTTAGTGAAAAAAAACCCATTAAACTGCAAATTGTTGGGCATTGGCCCATCAAGTTAAATGTTCAGGCCAAAATAACTGCGTTAGAAAAAAGTAAGTTGGAGAATTTGACCAATTTGGCTTTTTTTGGGATTAACATTATTATTATTATTATTTTGAGAATAATTCCACGTGAGGGCCTACGATGTGATAACAAAAATAAATTTGGGTTGTATGTACTAAACAGCAAATTATAGTGATCTGAAAGCTGAATTGTAAAATGTAGGCAAAAATAGCTAGTTTGGAAAAATTCTCCAATACAGCAAGTCGCAGTTTGACTATTAAAGCCTTTTGTCAATGGAAGTACCTATTTTGACTCAAAGCCATACACATTGACACTCTAACTATGCTGTCATTTCTTTGAAATGTTCCTGGAATTGCAGACCTTCCAAATAATAAGGGAAGTGAGGGGAGGAGAGGGAGCAGATAATATCAAAATATGTTTATAAAAAAACATTAAAATGTTGCATACCTTTCTGTTAGACTGTAATATCGCAGTGCACAATAATGTATCGCAACATAAAACAACAAAACCTTTCTAGAGAAGCAACTGTACGACACAGTAAAATACCATGATGTGGTTTAAATTCATAATACAATATGATGAATTATCACTTTTGAAAGAGCCTTCCTAATTATACCTTTAATGACTAGTGCTAAGGAGAACACAACGGCTGCCTTGTACTAAAACTCCCATCAGTCTTATCCATTTGTAGGCCTAGAGTAGGCACCTGGATTACCAAAACTTGATTATATATGGTCTTACCAGAGGCAGTTTCTTAGTTATTCACTAAAATGAGAATTCTTAGTAAATTTTTAATTTAAGGCCAAAACAGTCAGTTCTGCTTATAGATTGGCTACATTGGCCTAAAACTGTAAATTTTCTTTTCATTTTCACTTTAGCAAAGAACTCCGAGAGTGTCAATTATTGGAAATTCAAAGCGACTTCACAGTAAATTTCATGTTTCAGTGTTTTGGGCTAAAATAGTTAACTTGGAAAAATGCTCATAGTCGACCTTGTTTTCAGTTTTAATATATCGGCCTAAAATTTGAAATTCACTTTTATGCAAGTCACGGTTTAGGGAATAACACTGGATTTAGTAAAAATGGCAACATAAACAGACATAAGAGCTGAAGTATCTACGGGCAGGGAGTACAAATTAAACATTGCCTCTGACAACCTGGGATGCTTGTCAGGTAATTTTTTGCCAGTGTATACCAGACAGGTTTCTAAGCAATGACAAAATTCTTCAAGGAAAAAAAAAAAACACAAAACTTTAAGGCGGGTCCTAGTCTGCCACATCAGTAAACTAACTTTTCACATAATGTAATGTGAACAGAATACAAATGAGAAGTGTTTATTGTTGTTGTGAACACACAGTGCATTATCATTTATGTTTAGTTGCCAAAGGGTTCATTCACTAAACAGTGAATTGAGCTACATTAAAGAACTAAACTTGCCACACGCAGATAAAAATAGTTGCATTGAAAAAAAAATCGCAAACTCTTACACACTTCCTACTTGGCTCCTCTGGCCCATAATCAGGAAACGTGGTTTGCAATTTGCTGTTTAGACAATAACTCCCCAAGTATACCACAGAGGTCAAAGTCACACAATTTAAACTGTAAAATCACTGTTCTGTTTTTGTATACAAAAGCCAACAACTATTTACAGGAACAGACTGTGGTAAATTATTTTTATATTTTAATGTTAAGTTATATAAATGTGATTTGGGGGAGGATGAGAGGAATTGGAGGGTTTGGGCTAATTTGAATTGGAGGGTTTGGGCTAATTTTATTTAAAATATTGAAGTAATCCCAATGTTTTTGATTATTAAAAAAACAAACAACACCACATCTTTTAGTACAAACCTTTATATCATGTGTTTGTTTCTAATGCAAACACGTATTAACTGTCAATATTTTATTGAAATTATATATTTAAAAAAAACAAAAAACTAGTGAGCAAGTGTATGTTAACCCATTCTTAGCTGCAGAGATAAACATAAGGCTGCTCAATTTGTTCCTAGTTGCAACCCACAGCAAGGTAGAAGATTCACTGCATTCCTATGTTGACAAAGTGCATTTTAAAAATAATTTTTTTAAAAAAAGGGATGATTATATAAAACTGGGAAGACTGCTTGTTGTGTGAGGTTAGAAAACCAAGCTAACCCCCCCCCCCCCAAACAACAGAAAATATCAGTAAACCTTTAGATAGCTCTGGAGTCCACGGGGAGATAACAGTTAGCAGTTTGTAAAGTACAAAAATATATATGTATGTTCTAATTAAAATGGACTTCCTGTAATTAAAACAACACGTGCACATAAAATGACAATATTAACAACAATGAAGGCACAAGTGCCCCTGGAGGTAAATGTGCCCACACTGAACAATGAAAGCTCTGAAATCATTTGAGTGTCAAAAGCTGAGAAAGTGGGTGGAGGGAACAAAAAAATAAATAGAAAAAAAGAAAAAGCCCCCAAAATTTTTAGAGAAGGCAGACAGTGAGAGAGAGAGAGAGGAGAAAGACAGTAGCGCGCATGCGCAGTGTCAGCTTCTGTGCCATATTGGAATGAGGCAGTGAGCAGCGGTGGGGGTGAATAGCTCACACAAGCAGGGGGAAGAGAAGAGCGCACCCGGCCCTGCAAATCAGCCTGGAAAAAGTCCGCACGGGTAAGAAGAAACTCAGCAACGGGTGTCCTTAGGCAGGGGAGACCCTGAGCTACCTGCTGGGTGGGTTTTTTCTTCTTTATAGGGCTCTAGATGTTTTTAAAGAGCTTCCCAAGTTTGCACCAGTCTGTCCCTGGAGGAGGATGTTGTGTGTATGTGTATATATGGGAGGGGGCCAGCTGGCTTGCACTTTAGCAGTGTGCATGTGCATTATAAATATATATATGTATTTAGCTTTATTTGCAGTTCTGAGACTGTGTAGTTATGTAGTTGTTTATATCCCCCCCCCCACACAGAGCACCCTACCTATATGTATATAATAATAGTCTTCTATATTGGTGTGTCCATATCTCTCTCTATTATATGTGTATATATATTTTATTAGACATAGCAATAGACTTAGGGCTGTAGGTGTGCTCTCCTCTTTTCTCATATTCATTTTTTTTTTCCTTCCTGCACTTTGTACACGTTCATACATTGAAACAAAAAAAAGCAATACAATAAAAAAAAAAAACACATTCAGACCAACAACTTCATGCAAACTCAGCAACAACAACAAAAAAAGACATGATGTGTATGTGTGAGGCTTTAGTAACATAACATTAATGTTTAAAGGCTGATCATTCAGGAAACATAGATGGCACTCATTTCATTCCTGACACATGCATGGGGCAACACTCTGATTTGTTTTCGCTTTAGTTTTATTTTCTGTGTGCTTGAAGTCTGCCCCCACAGTCAGTTAAACGTCATATTAGTGGGAATCCTAAAAGAGTACACTGAGGCATAATTTTGGGTTAGCCAGGATGACCTATATGATGACGAATCGTCACTCGGGTATTTTGTGACGTTGCCTTGAACGTTTTAACCCCCTGAGTGCCAGGTTGAAAGGATTAACTTTTTGTTTTCCTTTCTCTATTAGCATTAGAATTGTATCCTTCTAGACATTCCACAGCCTGAAAGATCTTCACATCTCCTATTCATCCATTCTGCAGCCCATGGCTAGTTTGCTGAAATATACTCTAGGAAAAAAAGAGCTTTTATATTTTATTAGAATCAACATATTAAGTGTTTTTTATTTTTATTTTGTATTGTGTTTTTTTTTGTTTTTTTTGGTAAGCCCAAAATTTCCTGTTTGCACATTTTGAAAAATGTATTTTTTTTTTAATTGAAAGAGCATCAACTGTTGCAACACTCCCAAAAAAGCAACACTAACAGTTGGGTTCTAAGTGCCATATTTATTATTCCGAATCTGTATAGTGCACCGTCTAATATATGTTAGAGGAATTAAATAGAATTGTTGCTTGAAAAGCATGCGTTACCCAGGATTTTGGGAGCCGTGTAAATGATTTTGTTGTGTAAGTGTATTATTTTTTTAAGAGCTACAATAGGGTTGTTTATTCTCAGAATTGCTCTGCTTCTTGTATTCATTGTATTCTGAAGGAAATGGTGAGATGTTTTCTTGTGGAACAAAGTAACTATACAGATGGTGTATTTAACATCATATTTAAGTTTTGACAGAAAACTTGATATGGACAGGATATATGTATTTCTCTTCTGAAATATATCTTTCGCGTACACAAATGTACATTTTTAAATGTATGCTTCGTATTTCGGCATCCTTCATTGTGTTTAGAGGGAATTATTTTGTTTTGTCCAAAAAAGTGAATGTAAAGTGTAAAAAAAAATTAAAATGAAAAAAATAATAATTCCGAAGCTTTGTGCTAACAGAATTACAAAAAAGTGTAGATTGATCAGTGGGTCCAATTTTGGCTCGTCTGCTACTGTCAAACTACACTCTTTATGTTCTTAATTTTGTGGGAATTTAGTTAAACAGCTGTAGCCCCAAAGGTGGACATCCATGGTCAGTGATAGGTGTCCTTGTGTGATAGGTACATTTTGCTCTCCATATGTTCCTTAACTTCTTACAGTAATGCCTGGATGAGGATGATGGGATATGTAGTTTTCAAACATCTAGGAATCCACGGGTAGCCATCAAAGCTATACATCAAGAGAAATAACCTTGTTAATTTGATTGCTATGCCTTCTTAGACATCACCATGCGTTTCAGAAAATAAATTAACTGTTGCAATCGAGAATATGTTTTCCTGTAGTGCTGTAGGATATCACAAACAGGGTGTGTCACTCATATAAAACTCTGTTTGTTTGTTTTTTAATGTATGTGATTTCCTATTGATCTATGTATTCACTTGCAATTCTGCCACAGCAGTGCATGTACTTTGCATTATTCCTGCAGTGACACTGTAAACACTGTTTAAATGAGTCGGAGCAGGAAGTTGCTAAGATACATAGTAGGAAGTGCAGAGAAAAAAAAACTGCTTCTCCCTGCCTTCTGATAAAGAGAACATACAATTTCTTATGATCTGTCAACATATTCAAACCTGATAACTTTTTTATTTTATTTTTTAGTTTAGGCATAGTTCATGATTAAAACAATCCAATCTTTTCACCGGTTTAGTTATGCATTGCATGTATAGGAATGCAATGTATTTTTTTGCCTCTTTTTGGGAGCCTGTTTTAAATTAATGCATGTTATGTAAAAAAAGTAACCGGTGGGACACCACTCGCATTAAATAATTGGCACCCCATGGCAAACAGTCAGATGCATAAAACTGGCACACCATGGCAATCAGCTTTAGATGCATAACATTGGCATAACATGGCAGTTTTAGAGGCATAATTTTGATATATCATGGCAGTTTTAGAGGCAGAAACTTTACACATCATGGCAATCAGTTTTAGAGACATACAACTGCTTACTCACAGACTCAGAATCAGAAATGCTGTTGTCCTGCTCTTTCATCCAGGCACCTCAGTTGATTATCCCAGTGGTGGAACTAATGTAGAGAGTACCCTAGTGCAAGTATGTATCTAGTGAAAGTGTGGCCAAAAGGTAGATCTCCATCTGTCGGAGAACTTCAACAATAATATGCCAGATGGAGATCTACCATTTGCACATCATTGCAGGGTTATATTTGTGAGCAGTGTTTGAATGTAAGCTTGTTTTTGTATTAAGTATATGTGTGCATGTATGGGTGTATTTGTATGTACTGTTGCTATTGGAAGGTAGTGGTGTACTTGTTTTTAATGTTTGCGTCTGAATGCAGGGGTGTTTGTATATGTAGTGTAGGACTTTAAATGTAGGTGTGCTTTTTGTGTGTAGTGTTGGTGTTTGAATGAAGGGGTATTTGTTGATCATTTTAGTGTTTTAATGCAGGAGTGTGTTTGTATGTAATGTTTGCGTTTGATTTCAGTGTGTGTGGTGGATGCAGTGTGTGTATATTGTGTTTATAAAATATACATATACACAATGTGTGTTTCAATGTAAGCATGTGTTTTTGTATGGAGTATGTGTGCAATGTATACACACATACACACACTGACACAGCGAAAAAAATAATATATATATATATATATATATATATATATATATATATCTCTATCTATCTATATCTCTATCTAGAGTATATTTATTTTACAAGTGACTTTATAAGCAAACATTACGCTAAATTAAATAGAGGAAAAAATATCTTGTCTTCTTTTAAAATTCTCTATGGGATATATGGTCATTTGGTATGGTACCCCTTGGCCCTATTATTATACTAAGGCCACAGGCACTGGGCCACATAGGCCACATGCTGATTTATTATTGCATATATCGCACTCATCTCAAAAGCCTTGAGAGATGGAGGGTAAGGGGCTTCTTATAACTATGCTATTTTTAAAGGGTTCTCCTGCTCAGTTCTACTTAAGTCTCTACTATGCTATACATGGTTTGGGGCTATTGCCAATTACATCATCATTTTTTGTCCGCTCTAAAATCTTTTTTGTTGAGAGGGACAGGTTGAGTATTTTGACGATTGTTACAGGAATGATAAAATATCCCAAATTATAAACCTTCTGTTAATTAAGGCTTTATATATAATAAACTTGCATACTACAATACTCTGGTTATTATGGCATTTCGTCCTCTGGACTTGTATGGCTAATCCAATCTATATATAATATATAAAATTTTGTTTTTAGCAAATTACATCACAGTCAAGTTTAGTCCAGGCACCTCCAATGACGGTACTCTGATACATGCAATTAACACATTACTTCCACTCGCTTCCGCACAAGGAAAAGCTGCAAAGGGATTTAACATGGTTTAAAGACCTCTGCCTACGAAGAACATCGATAGGAAAAGCTATCTCGATCCTCTACCAATATCTACTGACTAGCCCCACCGCAGAGAACGACACCTTCCAGCGGCAATGGGAGAGCACCATGGACAAAACATTTACGCCGACCCAATGGGACAAAGCCCTGATATGGCAACATAAAAGCTCCTCCAGCTCACACCACCAAGAGGTTAACTATAAACTGATCTCCATGTGGTATAGAACGCCGGTATTGCTACACAAGATTTTTCCCACAACACCGCCAACAGGAGATGCCTGGATGAGAGAGGGACCATTAGACACATCTGGTGGGAATGTAACCACATCATCCCATACTGGAACCAAATATAAAAAAATCAATCCTGCGTCATCTGCTGAATGCGGCCAAATCACTGATACCGGTGTACTGGAAACAGACGAACATCCCCACACGGGAGGAATGGATCCACAGAGTTGAGGACATTAGGGCGGCTGAAGCACTTCAAGCGGAACTGGCGGGTAGTGGAGCAAAATGCGCAGAGACATGAATGCCGTGGTTCACCTTCCGTGCGGGTGCATAGGGGGGTGGTTGGCGGCGGTCGGGGGCTGGGGGCCGGCGCAGCTCCCACAGTAGAATCATAATATACGCTACACCCCACAAACACCCTTCTACGCTAAAACACATAGGCACCGCACTGAAACATGCCGACCATACCACATACTTGAGCAGGAGAACACCACAGACGACAACAGATAAAGGGAAATGCAGGAAAGAAACGAACATTGACAAATAACTGGAACAAGGCTACATTCCAACACACCCAACAGGCCACGCTCAAACGAACAACTGACAGACGAGGACTCTACTAACCCCACATGTCACCTTAACCACTATAACACAGGACAGTAACAGCTAACTAAGATCCCGAGGGAAATATAGAACATAACACTAATAGAGTAACTTTGGGACAACTAACTACCAGACATGATAAAACCACATCCCTGACACACGCACAGTAAATTATCACTCCTTTCGAGAGAAATCCTGGAAAACTCACACTCCCTGCCCCCACTGACACACGCAACACAATAAATCACCTTCCTCGCACGCCACTCCCGAAATGACATGCTCCGGAGTCAGGTAGGCTAACCAGGGAAACAGACCCAAACCTAGACGGAACACACGAAACACAGGGGACATTACCCAAAGGTGGAAGGGAGACCTCTCACCAAAGCAGCCCCAGAGATAACCCTCATGGGCTCTATTACATTGTGTGACACGAACCCACCGAGGTCCGGAACACACATATGGAAAAGCACACAACAAGGGGGGATCCCTAATGCAATATAATCCCATCCTCGATAACTCACACTATCGCCTTCTGAATCCATCTGTACCAAATGTCCCACTCGAAACTAACGTACTACTCCCACTTAAGCAATGACCCTTTTATCCTCCCGCACAACCCAATACATTCCACCACACCTTCATACATACAGACAAATCTCAACAAAGATTAACGCCTGTAATTGCGCACCTTCAAGGCACTGACGGACGTTAATACGCCCACCATTAATCTCACATATGAAGGGCCCAGGCGGAAATACACTCAGTTACACACCGCAACAACATGGCAATCTACGCTGAGAAATACTGCTACAATCGAATACTGACACTTATTGTATAACGAACCTGATTGTAAATTCCATTTGGACGTTTATCATAATATCGATATGTATATATTTTGTTTTGACACTGCCAAAGGCCTGCGTGCCTAAACAATTTCCTGTTTTCCTACAATAAAAAAACTGATTAACCAAAAAAAGTTTAGTCCAGGCACCGCCAGGGCACACATTGAAATAAGGACAAGATATAGAACTTTCCTGTTATCCCCTTTTCTGTATGCTTATAAGTGATTGACAGGGAGCTACGATGGAGGTACCCAGTTGCAGGATAAAAAGATGTGATACTATTAATATTCATACCTCATAAATGCATATTTGTTAAATATAGGGGCTCAGTAAACATACTGTTAGAAATCTTGAGACATGATAGTTCCCCTGTAATTTAAAAAAAAAATTGTGGTGTGTGTGTGTGTGTGTGTGTGTGTGTGTATATGTATGTGTGTGTGTATGTGTGTGTGTGTGTATATATATATATATATATATATATATATATATATATATATATATATATATATATATATATATATATATATATATATATAATATAAAAATTTTTTTAATTTAGTGGTACTTTTAATGGATCGTTGAAGCAACACTTAGTATTTAAACATTCTGTTGCTAGACCCTGAAGGAGGAAACTCCCAAACCATACTTCTTCAGCTGCTTGGAACAGGCCCAATTATCTCACCAATGCTCAGTTAGTAATAAATGCCAGCTTTCTGGTTTTAAACTACTCGCACACTGGTAACACCACAAAAACTTCAACTGCGGATGCCACCCATACTCAGATTGCTGGCGATGCAGTCACACTACGGGGGCCTGCACATATTTAGTAGGTATCCCAATTGTTGCAATTTCAGTTCTGGAAAGAAATACACTATCATAAGCAAGTTTGCAGTTTTCCTTGTCCCCATTCTTTCCTACTGTTCAGTGTCTACACTATGCCAATCTGTATATATTGCGAGTGTGGTTTAATTCTTTATACTCTGCTCATTCCATTTTAATTTTATTTAATTTATTGATTTAAAATAATGTCCCACTTATTGTGGGACTACAGCTCATTTGATATTTTGTTAGCTATTAGAGTCAGTCTCTGTCTCTCTCTCTCTCCCCCTCCCTCTCTCTGTCTCTCTCTCACCTATTTTCCTGACTTGTTTTTTTTCAAACTTACTTGTGTATCTGATGTATCTGTTGTACAACACTATGGAATATGCCGGCTCTATGTTTAATGAAAAAATATACAAAAAAAGTGGGATTAATTATACTCCCATATGGTAGGACAAGAATTGTCAGTTGGGAACATATTTGCTTTGGCTGATAATCTCCCGTCTCTTGTTCTCTTTTTCCTAACTGACAGGAATCCTTGCTACAGCAAGCATTAGCATAATTACCTAGTATAAAAACTATAACATTTTCCTGATTTAATGATGAGTTTTGTTTCCTGCACTAAACAGATGTAAAAGCCACGATCACTATCATTTATATAGTTTAGGAAATCCATAATTAAGCAGAAGCTATTCTTTCTAAAGTTATAGTTGTAATACTTGCTTTCAAATTTTTTCCACTAGGGCGATCTTACTAGGGTGCATCCCCACGTCCTTATTTACAAATAAAACCCCTTCATAACATCAACAATGTGGAAGCGGGTACCTGAAAGTAAGACCTCCAAAAAAACTTTTCATTTGGAAAAACAACTTACTTCATCCTTGTATAGGTAACGGAGTACAATGTGGACTCTTTGCAAATTTTTTCTTTTCCTGGAGTATGTTTAAATAAACTAAAGGCTGAGTGATGTCTCCAAACATGATACTCTATTTTCAATACTTTATTTACTCGTTAATTTAAACCCCATTTCCTTGCCTTCCTAAGGTGCTGGTTTCATAGAAACTGTTCTATTTAAAGCAGATCTGACACTTTCTGGGGTCTTTGCATATTTTTCACCAAAGGTGATATCTCCGGTTAGCGTCTGGTGGCCATCAGGTGTAGTGGAAGGTAGGTTTACTTACCTAATGCTGTTCCTCACGGCTGTTGTAACTTGGAACAGCTGTTGGGTTGGACAAAAGTTAACCGCCTTTTCTTAAGTTTTGTCAACCTCAGGTAGTCCCTATTTTGTCTTGTGGTATTTTTGGATTGAGTGAGTTTTTATAAATATTATATCTTTGTAAAATAATCAGAAGCGACAGAGCAATTTTAACATTTCTTTAGATTGCTATATAGTTGAATTGTAGTAATGAAAATTGAATGCTGGTAGAGTTCTGATTAATGTTCTGTTAAAATAAAATGAATACACAAACACTAAACTGAGTGTACTGAAAAGAACAATATATCTTGTTAGCATATATTCAGTATACCATAAGTACACCCATTATACTTAACTGCTACGATAACTGGTTCTAACATAATATAGTCCAGTTACCGGAATTTTTTGTTGTGAGAGTGGTTCAAGAACTCTGCATGTGACTGCACAAGGGGGCACTGACCTCACTAATGCATGCTAAAACTTGGCAGGTGCTACATAGTATTTCTTCTGCCTGGGCTTGCTAGCTAGTACTTTGCAGACCAGCATCAAAGGGAAGTGAGTACTGTCCACTGGTTGGCCCAAATTCTGTGACTGATTTTCCCCCCACCACCCTCACACTCATAATAAATAGCTTGGTTGTATTCGTATGCAAGGCAGATCCAATAATGAGATTATTGCTTTTATTGCCACCAAAAAGCAAAGCTAAAGTTACAAGATCTTTATTATAGAAAACATTCAACTACAATGTACATCAGAACAGACTTTGCCTGTGCATGCTGAAAGTATAAGACATAGTACATGTTTGAAGCTGACCAGAGCATGAACATTGAAAAGGAAAGTAAAACAAAGAAAATAAAAATATTTAAAATAGAACTATATAAACTGTGCTCCAATATGAAAAAAAAAAAGGTACTGGTTGTGCAAAAACTTATAGTAAAAAAGAAGTGCTAGCACCAAATGGTACTCTTTAACTGGACAAAATCCACAGATAATGGTACCCAGAAAAATTGTCCTGGCCATGGTGGATTTGATATAATCGCACATTACAGTTTTAACTCAAGAACGCAAACGGGGATATACAGTTTCACAATATTGCTTTCTTTGAAAGGTCCACAAGCCAAAAAAAGAAAGACATAAAAAAATTTCATTAAAAGCTCTGTCCCTGTTAAAGACTGATTGCAGAAAGTGAAACCATTAGAATACAAGCTATTCCTAAAAACAGTGGCCAAAATGTAAATTTTAAAACGATTCAAATATTTTGGGAGTTGTAGTTCTAGTAATAGGAACCTTTTGGGGATCTTTCCTTTGGTCACCCTTTCTCTATAAAGTAGACTTGTTTACAAAATTAATTGAATTGCTTTGTTAGAAAATAACGTGTTTGGCCGAACCGAATCGCGTCCATGGTTTGGTTCATTTTGGATAACTGCTTTCGTTTTTAACCCTTCGCTCATTGCCAATGAGTAAGGGATTACAAATGGAAGTGACACAGAAGTCCCTCTATACTGCCCCTGTCCCTTCATCAGTCCATCCTATCTGCTCTCTTTCGCTTCAGCGAGCGGGTTTGACATCAAGCAACGAGGTTCGTGCTGCAGGGAGAACTGGACTTGATGATGGAACGTTAGCTGAGTTTTAGCGTTTTTTTTTTCTTTTAAGTGGGGGTGTTTGCAGACCACATCAGAAAGGGTTACTCTAACCAAAACCAGTGTTTTACAGGTGTTTGGTTGGAGATACTTTTTAAATTAAGAAATAAAAACCTGTGTAGTTCAATATGGGTGAGGGCTATATTTATAATAACAGAGGGTAATGGTATGTTGCCCCCAGTCCCCACCCCCACCCATAGCCACCTGATGGTGGATAGAAATACAGTATTTGAAATATACATTTTGGCCAATTTAATTTGAACATTGCCCCCCGGGATGACTAAGAGTCCACAAACCTCAACAAAGTGGCCCAGTAAACTAAGTTTGAACACTGGCCAAAAACTGGCGTTTTTCACACACAAATATGAACGCTAACTTTGGCCGGTGTTTGTGACTAAGTGGCTACTAACAAAGACAGGACATACCCCATTTGCAGTACCTTTTGCTTGTCTACTATTGCAAATGATATGTCATCATGTGGGTAATTCTCATTCCTGGGCTACCATACAGTGTCAAAGGCAATGTAACCAATCTGGCGAATTTCAATGTGATAAAACTGAAAAATGTAACAGGCTATATATAACCCTGTAACTTCCCAAAACACCATAAAACCTGTACATAGGGGGTACTGTTTTACATGTGAGACATCGCTGAACATTCACTGTTAAAATGGCATGCAGAACTAAAAAAAAAAAACCATTTCTTAAAGGACCACTATAGTGCCAGGAAAACCTACTCGTTTTCCTGGCACTATAGTGCCCTGAGGGTGCCCCCACCCTCAGGGACTCCCTCCCGCCCAGCTCTGGGGAGAGGAAAGGGTTAAATCTTACCTCTTTCTCCAGCGCTGGGCGGGGAGCTCTCCTCCTCTTCTCCGCCTCCTCTCCTCCCCTTTGGCTGAATGCGCACGTGCGGCAGGAGCTGCGCGCGCATTCAACCGGTCTCATAGGAAAGCATTTATAATGCTTTCCTATGGATGCTTGCGTGTTCTCACTGTGATTTTCACAGTGAGAAGCACGCAAGCGCCTCTAGCGGCTGTCAATGAGACAGCCACTAGAGGATTTAGAGGCTGGATTAACCCTGTTATAAACATAGCAGTTTCTCTGAAACTGCTATGTTTATTAAAAAAAAGGGTTAATCCTAGAGGGACCTGGCACCCAGACCACTTCATTAAGCTGAAGTCGTCTGAGTGCCTAGAGTGGTCCTTTAACTTCTCAAAAATTTATTTTTATATTTTATTCATATTAAATTATGTTTAATAGCTAAATATTTAACGTTAAATGAAAGCCCTATTTCTCCTGAATAAAATGATCTATAATAAGTGTGGGTGCACTTAATATGAAAGAGGTGAATTACGGTTGAACAGACATACAGTCAAATTCCAAGTTTTGTTTACATTTTATTTTGATCAAAATGTGTACATTTGGCTCAGTCCTTAACCCCTAAAGGACGCATGATAGACCCAGTCCGTCATGCTGGGAAAGCACTTAACGACGCATGACGCACTGGGTCCGTCATGCGCTGAAATTAACATCAGACCGCTGCAATCACAGGGTTAACGCTCACCCGGTCTGCCTCGGTATTCGAGGCAGACCAGGAGCACCCGATCACGCTGTCCCTACAGCCTGTCAGAGCGAGCACATGTGCTGCAGTTACTTCCGATCCGCCTCCCTGCTCTTCTGTGTTCAATGTCAAGTGCTGGGAGACGGATCAGTGATGATCCTCTTCACCCTATAAAAATAAAGTTAAATCCCACCCCCCTTTCTCCTGCTTTAATAAAATTAACCCCTTCCCTGCCAATTGATCATTGACTACAGTTATCAATTGGAAGGGACTACATTTTACTCTCATCTGATTATTATTATTTTAACCTTTGAGGGGTTAAATTTATTTTATTAACTAATTTAAATATTTTAAAATTTCTATATTTAGCTAGCTGGGGTGGGTGGAAGTTAGTGAAAAAAAAAGTTTTAAAAAATGTTTTAATAACGTTTTAAAAAAGTAAAAATCCCAGCTTTACTCAGTCCCAATACAAATTAACTCCTTCCCTGCCAGTATAGATCACAGTATTATACTGTGATTTGTTTTTGTTTGTTTTTTAACCCTTGAGGGTTAACTTTTTTATTTTATTTATTTTTTTAACCCTCAGAGGTTCAATTAATTTAATTAAGTAATTTAAATATTTTAAAAGGGTATATTTTGCTAGCTGGCTTGGGTGGGAGTTATGGGAAATTGGGGAATTTACTGTTAGTGCTCTTACTGCTAGTTCGGGGTTAAGAGTAAAAAAAAAAAAACCAACCCATTTATTAAAATTTTAAAAGTGTAAAAAAAGTTTCAAGAAAGTTTAAAAAAGTAAAAAAAATGCTCATTACCACTACACCTGGTACATACTAGCGAAAAAAATTACCCCACGCTAAGGTTCAAAATATGCCTTTTGAATTACCCTGTGGTTGTGTTGTTTAACCCCTTAAGGACTGGACTGTTTTTGCGATGTTGTACATTTGCGACCAGGAATATTTTTACACTTTTCTGGTGTTTGTGTTTGGCTGTAATTTTCCGCTCTCTCGTTTACTGTTCCCATACAAATTATATATTGTTTTTTTCAGGACAAAAGGGGCTTTCTTTACATACCATTATTTATATAATCTCATGTATTTTAATTTAAAAAAAATAAAAAAATCTGATGAAAAATTGAAAAAAATACATGTTTTTTGACTTTTACTTGAAAAATCTTTTACTCATCTACAAAAGCGAATGAAAAAAACTGCTAAATAGATTCAAAATTTTGTCCTGAGTTTAAAAATACCCAGTGTTTACGTGCTTTTTTGCTTTTTTTGCATGTTATAGGGCTATAGGTACAAGTAGGATATTGCGGTTTCAAAACATGCATTTTAAAAATTTATCAATAGTGACATTGTAACACTATTATCTGTCATAAATCTCTGAATAACACCCCATATGTACATATTTTTTTTAAAGTAGACAACCCAGGGTATTCAATATGGGGTATGTCCAGTCTTTTTTAGTAGCCACTTAGTCGAAAACACTGGCCAATGTAAGCATTCATATTTGTTTGTGTGTGAAAAAAGTAAAAAAACTAAATTGAACGCTAATTTTGGCCAGTGTTTGTGACCAAGTGGTTACTAAAAAAGACTGGACATACCCCATTTGCAATACCTTGGGTTGTCTTCTTTTGCAAATGGTATGCCATCATGGGGGTAATTCTCATTCCTGGGCTACCATACGCTCTCAAAGGCAACGTAACCAACCTGGCCATTTTCAATGTAAAAATATTTGACCCATATATTTGACCTTGTAACTTTCAAAAATGCTATAAAACCTGTACATGGGGGGTACTGTTTTACTCGGGAGACATCGCTGAACACAAATATTAGTGTTTAAAAACTGGAAAACGTATCACAACAATTATATCATCAGTAAAAGTGCTGTTTGTGTGTGAAAAATGCAAAAAAAGTAACTTTCACTGACAATATCATCGCTGTGATATGTTTTACTGTTTTGAATCACTAATATTTGTGTTCAGCGAAGTCTCCCGAGTAAAACAGTACCCCCCATGTACAGGTTTTAGGGTGTCGTAGAACGTTACAGGGTAAAATACAGTGCTAGCAAATTAAATTCTCTGGAATTTCGGCCTGGGTTGGCAGGCAGGTCCCTCAAATTGCAATCAATAAAATTACTGAATTATGTAAAAATATTACATAAATACGCACGTAGAATTTAAATATATATGCATATTTATATATTTGAAGTCTACGTGTATATTTATATAATTATTTATGTAATTTTGTATATGGACATATGTATATTTCTTATTATTTTTATTTATTTTTATATACATAGATATATATACAAATTCATTCTAAGTGTATTTTGATATAAATATATATATATTAATTTTAAAATACAGTTAGAATAAAATTTCATATAGCTATATAATTTTTTTAAAATTTTTTATTATTATTTAAAAAAAATTTTATTTAATTTAAATTACTTATTATTTATATTTTATAATAATATATATATACAATATATATAGTTATTATATATATTATATATATACGTGTGTAATTTAATTATAAGTGTATTTTTATATTAATATAAGTACATATTAATATAAAAATACACTTAGTATGGCATTATATATATGATATATAGACATATATTATATAGATATAATATATGTCTATATATCATATATACACATATATAATTATTATTATTTTTTTTATTAACATTAACTTTATTTTTTTTTTAGATTTTACACTAGCAGGGAGACTGCCTGTCAGCACAGGCAGTCCCCCTGCAGGCAGCACTATGGACACCTATTGTGACCATGTGATCGCTCTGTTAAGCGATCACATGGCCCCAGGGGTCCTAAATCAGTGTGGGGAGACTGTCTGGGCTGCAGGCAGTCTCCCCACACCGGGAGCAACACTGATCGCCGCCGGGGGAACGACGGCGATCAGGTAAGTAACGGAAACCGTTAGGACGGTTCAGGACCGTCATCGGTCCGCAATGGGAAAATCCCGATGACGGTCCTGAACCGTCCTCGGTCGGGAAGGGGTTAATAAATAGTATGTGTTTGTGGGGTATTTTAAATAACCAACCATCTGAACTACTCCGAAATGAAACATGGACACGGTGTAAAACCTCAAAGTTAGAAAAAAAAACGTAATGCATCTCAAATGTGCCCCTTCAGCTTCCACATATACCTGACAAAGGTACATGCAGGGTTATTGTTTTACTCATACAACATAGCTTAGCAGCATATGAAGTATTATACACTTGTAGCACGCATAAGGTTTGCAAAATATACTGTGCAAACTCACTTTGTGTGTCAAAAAATGCTTATTACCACTACACTTTGTACAAGCTAGTGGAAAAATGATCCCACGCTAAGGTTCAAAATATGCCTTTTGAAATACCTTGGGATATCTTCTTTAAGAAATGGCATGCCTTTTTGGTGTAGCTGCAATATGTAGCCTGCTCAAGTGCTCCTAGGTGGGACACGGACGCATCAAAACCCTCCATGAAAATTCACACTTAAAAACCTGAACTTGTCACGTCTCTTTTACACAACTGTAACTTCAAAAAATAGTGTTTAGGTCATACATTGGGCATATTGTTTTACTCAGAAGATGTAACTGAGCATAATTTGGGGGATTTTATGACAGTGGTACATATCAAGTGTGAGAAATACTCAGCAAAAATGCAACATGTATGTAAAATGCCATTTTTATTTCCCCCTCACCACAAATATTGACATAAATTGGTGAAAAAATGGTGACAAGTTTAGGCACAGTAAACACCATATAAGATACCCCTAGGTGTCTGCTTTATCAAATGGAAGCCCTTTGTGGGGTTATATGAATACTCACACTGATATAAATACCCCAAAATGAGACATAGGCTCGTCAAATCCATCTATGAAAATTCTAACTATAGAAACTGAAATAGCCTTGTCTCTTATTTGTCATTGTAGCTTCACAGAATAGTGCCAAAGGCATACAATGGGGGTATCCTGATACTCAGCAGATGTAACTAAACACAATATGGGGTTCTGTGCAGGAATAGCACACTCCAGCTTTACGAAATACACATTACAAAAACCTTGTTAAATGTGTATATGCCAAAATAGAGAAACACAATTTTACTCCAATATTTAGCAGAGATTAGCGATGAAATGGTTATGTAAAAAGTGTCAAATTAACCTTGAGTACATAGCCTGTCTACTTTATATAAATATATACTTTTGTGTGGCAATTTTGTTTTCTGTGATGGCTACTAAACCTACAAGACAAACTTCTAACATTTTCACATTGAAAATTTATTTTAGTCCTTGTATTTTGTGACCTGAAACTTTCAAAATAAGCTGAAATCCTATACATATGATGTACTCTATAAATCAAGACACATAAATGAATTTATTTTGAATTACTTTTTCTAAGCTGGACATATTATGCATATTCTATTATTGCCAAAACTGTGGGGAAAAAAATCTCCCATTTTTTTGGCATTTTTTTTATAATTAATGAGAACCTATCTATGTATATGTCACATCAAATTAAAGCCCCTTTTGCCCTTTAAAAAAACGGTATATAATATATGTTGGTGCAATAAATGACAGAGGTGCAAATTGCTTCTGTCCTTAAGGATAAGTCCAGTTTTTGAAGCTGTGTCCTTAAGAGGTTAATGTTGTTTTTTATTTTATGTTTTTACCTGCAGAAAAAAGGCTTAAATAAAGAAATATCTGATGGCAGATGTAATTTGTTGTTGTCATAACATGCAGTTTACTGAGCCCCTCTAACTATTATTATTGTGAAGGTGAAGGCATGTATTTTTTTTTTTGGAGGAGGGTGGCTCTGGGCTTGTGGAACCTTAGCCACTGTAGGGGTGGGTTTAATTTAAATGTATTTTAAACTGGCTACAATTTTAGGAGGGTGGACAATAGTATGTCCACTCCCTCCTATGTAGCCTTCACACACTGTCTATGGGTGATGGCACCCACTCACCGCTTCATTTATTTAATTTAATAGCCTCTATTTGCTATCCCTCCCCCCTTGTTATTTATTTAGAACTCCACCGTGGTGGAACAGAGGACCTTTGACAAATCTCCCTTTATTTTTCTTACCCAGTCACTAGTCTTTTTGACAGGGACCAGCCACTAACTGGTTCCTGTTTAGTAGACAAGCCTCTACCCAGCGCATAGCAAGTAGGGAGGTTTTAAACCACCCTTATACTAATATATTGTTGCCATATTGACATTCGTATTCTTTTATTTCATGCTTAGATCAGGAGATATATGTCCTGAGCATAGTGTACATTCAAGTTATTATGTTGTCATTATTGCTGTAGGTTTTGTATGAAATTCCTCTTCCCAGTTGTACTTCCCCCCTGATTTAAAGTAAATTTCAGTTTCTTAGCTAACTGTGCTTTTGTAGTGAGAAAACTGAATCCATTGTACTCACTTGTCAGCATTTTGTGATGTACGTTTCCAATGTATGTTTTACAGCTGACAAGTGATTGATGCAATACAATTAATTCCCCCCCCACAATTTTTTTTTCTTATTTTACCCAAAAAATAAAGGATAAAATAAAAAACTGTGACAAAAAAACCTTCTTTGTCAATTCAAATAAATCTGTACAACCCTGTCTGTATCATTTTGAAACATCACATGGGTGCAATCTTGCTTTTGTATGTATTCCCTAAATCAGGGGATCCCAATGAATTTCTCATGTGGAACCCTTTGACATAGTGTATCAACGCTGTGGAATCCGGAGTCGGAGTGACGTCATACTCTGGGTCCATTGTCACTGCTGTGCGCGTGAGGGAGCTAAGCAAGGAGATTACTGCTCGCCGCCCGCGGCCATTTTATTTTTTAAACTTTAGGCGGAACCCCAATTGGGAAACACTGCCCTAAACAACATATACTGCATTTATGTATGAATCTTTTTGGTTCCTCATTCCAATCCAGAACGCACGCTCTTGTGCTCTCCGTGGGCACCCTTCTGTGCTTGTCTGTAAGGAATTAAACCAATGGTATTGTCTTTTTTTTTTTTTTTCTTAACCTTCCAGTATTATAGCTAGTTCACTCTAAAATATATACCTGAGTTTATCTACCTTTAGATCAATATTGTAATTTTTTACTTTTTTTCCAAGCTGTGAATTCTATTCTTTTACTGTGCTTGTTTGAAGTGTCTGTAGTAGTTCTTTTGATAAGGACAGATAATCATCCATATTTACTGTTTCTATGTACATATTCCTTTGTGTTCAGCAGATAAGCCCTATTTAGGCTCTTATATAAACAATATACTGTGGCATATGTAGAGTGAATACAAGTGCTTATAATGATTTTTATACTTTTCAGTTGATAGAATAATATCATTAAGCACTTACAGTTGATTGTATCTGCCTTCTTTGGGCCTCGTCAGTAAGCTGTAACTAAATTTACTTGGCTCTCCCCAAGTTCAAAAGGTTAATCCAGATGTGGGCCCCGTGCTCACTGTGCCTAGAGTGGTATCAGCTACACCTTGTTGACGATGCACAAAGAAGGCCGAAACGATTGTTCGGGGTTGCTTTATCTCTCATGCAGAGATAACTTGCTGTAATTTCGGTTCTGAACTGCCCTTATGGGTGGTATTAGTCTGACATGCCTTGGAACTGGTCCACTCTATAATGGCACAAATGAGCAAAAACTATTTTGAGACCTGAGCAGGAATTTACCGAAGGGCAAGCTTTTGTCTGTTCTCTGAGTTCTCATATTCTCTGTTTTTATTGCAATGTGTATATTTTAAAAGTCCTCCTCAACTGATATATCGACACATAACACACTCTGCACATATGTTATTTGTATGTACCATTTCTGGCAGTTGGCAGTCAGTGATCGACTGAGATATAAACTGATGCTATAAGTCTATCATTGGCACTCAAGGCAAACCTTCTGCATCTGTGCAGTGGTCAGAAGGAACGACATAGGAGGCCGTGTGGACAGCGCTGGGGAGACAACTTTGGGGTTATAGCGGCTGAAAACTTTTTAACTCTGAAGGGGTCCAGAATTCTAAATGAGCCTTGATGATCCTTTAAGTGAGGAATATGAGGGATGAGAGCGGGAGAACTAAGTTGCACCAGAAAAGGCAACGGCAAGTTCAGTAGTAGTGCATTTGGTGAATTAGTGTTTTTTTTTGTTTGTTTGTTTTTTCACTAAAAGACTCTTATAGGTACATAACTAATCAGCCACAACATTAAAACCACCTGCCTAATATCGTGTCGGTCCTGCTCGTGTTGGCTAAACAGCTCTGATGCGTTGAGGCATGGACCTCTTAACATGTCATGTGGTATATGGCATGAAGATATTGGTAGCAGATCTATTTTTATTTGAGGCACATGGCAATGATAACGTGTGAGACAAATGTGATATGGTCAGACCAGAATATTAATACTGTAGGCAAAGTAGATATATCAAACTATTGTTATATTAGTATACAGTTTAATGATACCTTACTCATTTTAAGGTAATATAAGGAAGAAATACCAGGCTGTGTAAATAACTATAGGTGCTACACTGCGAGGTTACAAGTAATCAAGACATAAAATAGGCATGCTGAAAAATATGCATGCTTAAAGTAGAATGAACAGGTTATAGTGTGTAAAGAGAAAGTATGTAACTCAATAGAGAGGTGAAATTTTACGAGCCAACCCAACTGCATGTTGTATATATTGTGAACAGAGTATCCTATGCAGCTTGAGATCAGCCGATGCCTGTTCTGCCAAGCCTGAATCTCAATGCGAAAGACCACAGTGGCCAGGACCAGAATGTTGTCCAGTAAAGTAAGCATTAGGGTCCCACTATGGATTCCCCTCGGTAGAAGTCCCTCATCTTCACCAGCTTGAGAGATGATAGGTGAGTATGGGGCAGGTGTAAAGTCCCTAGCTTGGTAGCCTTCCACAGCAGTCCTTGGCCCAACAGCAGGAGTGCCTTGCAGGTCAATAAAGACTCTGTTGTCTAGCGAGGAGGGACATGGTACGAATTCCCAACTGCATCTTGCATCAGATGCTGGTAGCTCAGCGGGGATTTCTCCACTTTTGTCAGCAGGCAGGAGGCAATTGAAAGCCACTTTGTTTCTTCTCCGTGTGAGCCATGAAAGCTGCAAGTAGATCATTGAGCTGTTTGAGTGTGGGTTGCAGCTGCGCCACCTCAGTAGGCCCATCTGGGATCTCCTCCTTTGTAGACGCAGAAAGCCCCTGTGGGGGCCGATGATGTATGGTATGGGGTTGATCCACTGGGGCCAGGATAACCCCTGCCAGCCCGGACAGGGGGAACAATGGCCCAGACTCGAGGTTTCAGCCAGAGAGTGGCAGTCTCCCCCGCGCCGACCATGCTTGTAGGCCATCATCATTTTATTACCTTTCATTTAGCAATATTTGCTATGAAATGCAGGTGCTGCAGTGACAAGTGTCTGCTCCTCTCCACGGTCAGGCCCCATCCTGAGCAGCAGATATTTTAAATACTGCAAGTTGTGAGGTGGGGCCTCCATTGGTAGGATTTGTTGATCCAGCACATCCCACGGATGCTCAATTGGTTTGAGGTCTGGAGAATTTGGAGGCCAATGCAACACCTTGATCTCTTTGTCATGTTCCTCAAACCATTCCTGAACAACTTTTGCAGTGTGGTATAGTGCATTATCCTACTGAAAGAGGTCACTGCCATTAGGGAACATCATTGCTATGCTATGATGTGGTGTATGTGGTCTGCAACAATCTCTAGGCAAGTGAAACTTGTCAAAGTAACATCCATATCAATACCAGAACCCAAGGTTTCCCAATAGAACACTGCACAAAGCCTAACACTGCCTCCACAGACCTGCCTTTTTCCAATAGTGCATCCTGCTTCCATCTCTTCTCCAGGTGAACGATGCACACACAGTCATTAACCTGATCTAAAAGAAAATGTGATTCATTAGACGGGGAAACCTTCTCCCATTTCTCCATGGTCCAGTTCTGACGCTCATGGCTCCATTCAAGGCACTTTTGGCGGTAGACAGGGGTCATCATGGACACTCTGACTGATCTGCAGCTGCGGAGGCCCACATTCAGTAAACGGCAATGCACTTTGTGTTTTGACAACATTTTATCATGGCCAGCATCTAGTTTTTCAGCAATGAGCTACAGTGGCTCTTCAGTAGTGCTGTCCTTCACTCCTCATGTGCATCATTGAGCCATGGACACCCATGACCCTGATGCTGGTTCACTTGTTGTCCTTCCTTGCACCACTTATGGTCAGTACTAACCACTGCATACTGGGAACACCCTACAAGACTTGCAATTTTGGAGATGCTTTGACACAGTAGTCTACAGATCACTGTTTGGACCTTGTCAAAGTCACTTGTTTCTTTTCGCTTACCCATTTTTTTTGCTGCTTCCAACACATGAAATTTAAGAACTGACTGCTCACTTGCTTCCTAATATATCCCACCCCTTGACACGTGCCATTGTATAGATATAATCAATGTTATTCACTTCACTTGTCAGTGGTTTTAATGTTGTGGCGGATCAGTGTATTAAAAAAACATAACTAAAATATTGCCCTATGCACGAAGTAAATTAATTACAAACCGACATTGCCTAATGCAAGTTTTTTTAAAAAAGTTGTCAAGAACTTAGACGACCAAGCACCATAACATTTACAGCTCCTTAAAGTGGTTATAGTGTGTATGGTATTTGGGTGCTGCGATCTTGTAAAACATAGGGCTTTCTTTGAGCATGCGCTTAGCTAGTGGTGAAGTCATCATTTTTATATTTCTAATTAGTGAAAAGGTTGTGCACCCTCTATTTATTATTTTCTGAATACAAAAGGTGACACATACCAAATTTTCTATAGCAATTGCTGCTGCCTTGACTCTCAGACCTGCTAGTATCTCTGCCCTGTCACATCATTTGTTACTCATTTTTAAAAAGAGCGTAGATTAACCATTTTAAAACACTATGTCAAATAAATCAAAGAAGTGCATGATAAACTATATTTTTGTGTTATTTGTCTTTACTTTTTGTTACTGAATTGTTCAGTGAAGCTGTTTTTAGCAATACTTTGCAGCTTACCTGTCATTCAGTAGAGTGTGCTTTCGGCAGTATGGGCTCACATCTACCTCTCCCCCTCCTCCCCACTGTTTTCAGCTACCGTTAAAGCAACTGAAAGGGAAAACAATTCAAAGTGACAGCCAATCAGGGAGTGTAAGTGCATTCTTAAAGGGCCACTCCAGGTTTGAATATAAAAGTATGAAAATGGAGACTGTTTTATACGTAGTATTCCATATTTTAGCATTTTATAAAAGAGAGTGGCAGAAAAGTAAGTGATTGCTTTTTATGTATGTACACATCTTAATAATTTACACATATGAAAAGTTACCTCTTAATTTCCACTTTTTGTCAACTTTATCTAATAATATGATCTGCCTCTCCTGTTTTTATTCCGAACCAGGAAGTGGCATAGAATCTTTCAGCCAGTCCTTGTCTAATGTAGTGCTGTATGTCATTGTCAATAATTGAAATAAATAGGCGAAGAACACTTTCAACAATTGAGCGTGAATTGTTATAATGGTATTTATTAATTAATGACTTTACATCATAAAGAAAGCATATTTAGTGTAATGCTTTGGGGGCACCACTAGGGGGAGTGTGTAGGAAGACATGTGCTTCTGGCAGTGACATCACAGGCCAGCCTACTTACACTGAATAAAAAACAGATGTAGGAGAAGCTCTCTCTTTTTTTGCCTTTACCTGACTGATCATGTAGTACCAGCTCTGACTTAGCCCCAGCCCTTTGGCTGGGGCCTTGTAAGTAATATGAATCCATTGTAACAGTTAGCAATTGTAATAGCCTTTTGTATAATATTTAGCAACCAATAGCGTTTTGTGTAGTATTGTATAATTATTGTGGTAAATTGCCGCTAGCATCTGTTTATTTATTATAGTTATATTAAATATACATTTAATATTACAACGTTTTGTGTATTTTCTATCCACATATTCGACCATAATACCATGAATTATAAAAATATTAATGTTGTTCCGTATTGCTTAATTATTATGTATTAAGAGATTAATATTCATATTTAAGTCACGACCACAACAATTGTGCATGCAGAAAAAGCATAGACTTTTTGGGATAGCAAAAATTCATGTTTTCGGGCTTTTATTTATTACTCCACATTGAGATTTATATAACCATACAGAGGGTTAAGCTATTATCTGCTTGTCAACTATTCAGCGCTCCACCCACTGATTATAGGGTTTATCCTGTTATATATATATATATATATATATATATATATATATATATATATATACACATACACACACACACACACACACACACACAGTGTCTAGTGGCAATACTTGCCCAATAATATGCATAACAATTCACATAATAATGTAAAGGCACAATTCCCAATTAAAAACAGCCAACATATTGGGTAAAAGGTCCCTACCAGTAGTTTTACAAGTTATCTATGAATTGGTGAATTTCCACATGGTTCCATTATGTACATTTCTAGATAATGTGACCTATACAGTCTCCCTACACACTTCCTGTAAAGAGAGATTTAAAAAAAACAAAAAAAAAAAACACAATTTTTTAAGAGATGGGTATTGTGTCGTGTTATAAATGAAATCGATGCATACTCTCAACGACCAAATACACCTTTATCATCCTTTGTTTCATACATTGGGTTCGTTTACTCTATCCTTTATTTCATTGTGTTTTGTTCTATCTAGAATCCTATCTTTATTTTAACCTTTAATCAATGATTCATTTTCAGGTGAACAAAATATATGACTAACAAACATATAGTGCGACATTGATCAAGTGCTGGTCTACGTTAACTGGATATAACTGTTTATATTACTAGCTTTACTAGTTTTATAAATCTAGTTAGCATTCATTCATTCTTCTCATTCATAATCAGCAGACAAGTGGGGCAACTTAGAACATGGGAACATAGAGTCAATTTATATAAGCAAGATATTATCTAGAATATGGCAAACGGATACGTTTCTATTTGAGAGGAGGATGCAAACATAAATTCTTGCCCAGGGAAGCATTGTATATTGTATAGGGTATGTAATCTGTGTTAAAAACTCTGAGTGATGTTCAACGTAAAAATTTTGTTCAAGTTAGACCATATAGCTTTATGCACATGAGTCTTCCGTAAAACCCTTTTTCCATTTTGCCCTGGTATTCTAGCTAACCGGCTATATCTGACCACTTAGGTGCAATAGGCGACTTCCAATTTCTTGCTATTATAAGTTTTATGGCCATAAACAAATGTATTGGGCATGCCTTTCGTTCAGAATTGCAGATGGGAAAATATAGATGAAATAAGAATGTTTGAGGGGATAGTTCTTCTTCAATATTCAAAGGTTTAAAAATGTGCACTTTTTTCTTTAATCTCTGATAGGCCTTTACACTCCCACCACATATGATATAGTGTTCCTATAGAACTAGCATATCTCCAACATATATCCGAATAGTTGTTTAAATTTCTTGATTTTTATGGGGGTAAGATACCATTTGTGAAGAATTTTGAAAAGAGTTTTGTGCAGACTAAGACTATGAGTAATTTTTCAAACTTGTATACAAGCCTCCCCTTATTCATCTATAGAGAAGGATTTGTTTAAATCTCCTTCCCATTTATGTGATAGTTTCTTAGTATCAGTTAAACTTTTTAATAATTGAGTATTTCTGGAAATAAGTTTAGTTTTTAAATGTTTATTAATGAGATTTTCAAACTCTGGGTGTTCCTTAATCTCTAAAATCAGTATCAAATGTTTAATTCTAAATAAATGAATAACTCACATCCAGGCAGGTTAAATTGGATTTTGAAATTATTGAATGATTTGTTTCCCTAAAGGGGCAATTTGAGATAAATTGTGGATACTATATTGTCTCCACTTAGTTAAGTCTATATCCTGTATATAGAATTGTAAGCCTTCGATGGGAGTTGATTAAAGAAGTTTATTAGTAATTCCCAGTTTATTCTTAAATATTTTTAATTAATATATATATATTACTCAGAATTAATCCAGACTAAATTAAATAATGACATTTTATGGCTAGCTTTCCATCCTGGATTTGGTGCTGTCTAGTTATCCCATTTAAGGAAGTGGGTAAACATAATAGTATCATGCATTTGTATTATATCTGGAAAATGTATTCCACATTTTTCAGATTTTTTAGTTAAAATAGAAAATGCAATTTTAGGTGTTTTGCCTCCCCAAATGAACTCCATAAATTGTTTCTTAAACCGAGCACGTAGATGTCTTGGAACTCTTAAGGGAAGGAACGAAACAAATAGGTCAGTTTTGGTAAAAAATATATGCGAAGATTGTATTCAACCTGCCAAGCCAAGGAATTTCAAGGCCTTTCCATTTTTTAAGATTTTCTTTTAAATTATGATACCATATAATTATCCTTCACTATCTTGTTCATGTCAGTTCTAAAACTTATTCCAAGATATTCAATTATTTCATTGTTCCAATTAAAGTTGTATTTCTCTCTCTCTCTCAGTATCTCCTGGTCGTTTGACGTTATATTTACTATTATTATTTGAGTTTTGTTCATATTAATTTTGTATCCAGAATATTGACCAAATTCATTAATTACTTCTAGAACTTGTGGAATGGATATTAATGGATTGGACAGGGTGAGAAGGACATCATCTGCGTATAGAGTGATTTTGTGAGGCACTCCAAATATGTTTAGGCCATAAATCTGATCTTTCTGTCTAATGCTGCCAGAGGTTCAATGGATAAAATATACAACAATGGCGCCAATGGGCAGCCTTGCCTAGTTCGATTCTTAATGTTAAACCAGTCCGATATCATACCAGGGCTAATAACTGTAGCTTGAGGGTCTGTATAGAGTGTCATAATGCTTTCTTTAAAAAAAATCTGTCCGGCCAAAATTCTCCCAACACCACATCCAGGAAACGCCAGTTCACCCTGTCAAATGCTTTTTTCACATCTAAAGCTATAAGAACAGAAGGTACAGCATAAACATTCGAGTAGCTTATCAGATTCATAACTTTCCTGGTGTTATCAACCATATCCCTTCCCAAAACAAATCCAATTTGGTCATTATGTATAAGTTCAGGGATGATTGATCTAAATCTTTCTGCCAATATCTTGGAGAATATCTTAATATATAAGTTAATCAAAGAGATTAGGCGGTAATTCAACAGGGTGTCTAGATCTTTCCACGGTTTGGGAATCGGGAGAATACTGGCATGTAATAGTTCTTGTCGAATGAATCTACTAACGGTAAATTAATTGAAAGTCTGCTGTAAAATTGGTGAAATTTTTATTGTTTTCTAACAAATTGTAGAAAAGCCGTCTGGTCCTGAGGACTTTCCTTTTTTTAACTTTTTTATTGTATTTTGTACCTCTAGAATAGAGATCGGTTTATTTAACTGTTGAAGTTTTAGTGGATTAATTTTTGGAAATTTTTTTATCATGCTCTTCTGAATTACTTTATTCTCGTTTCCCAAATTGTATAGCGAGTGGTAATGCTGTAAAGAGATATCTAATGTGTAAACTTCATTTATTGCACAGTGAGTTTAGTTTAGAATTTCTTAACTTCCGCTCTGTTAATAGTCTACTAAAGCGTCCAGCAACCTCCTGCGTGTACTTAAGTTAAATTAACAGACCTTACAGTACTTTGTTTACTCTCATGCTCTAATTTGAAAAATGAGATCAGTCTTGATGAACTCCACCAATCCAATGTTTTCCCATAGCAAAGTATTGGGAGGCTACTGCACATGCATGGCAAAACACCTCGCTGCACCAATCCGCATCTTCTCATAGAGCTTGTATAAATCAGTGCATTTCTATGAGGAACGTTCAGCGTCTCCATGCAGCGTTCAGAGACATTGAACGTGGGAAACACCTAGAGTGGCCGTCTAAGTGACTGCCACTAGAGATGTTACTAGGTAATAATGTGAACACTACCTTTTCTCTATAAGCTGGAGTTGTTCTGGTGACTATAGTGTCCCTTTAAGCTAAAGTTGTCTTAGTGATGATAGTATCCCTTTAATATATAGATAACTGACAAATTAGAACATGTAGTGAAACCACTCCCGCCCACCCCCATCCACAAAGTTAATACAAGAGTATAGCAAACGATAATGCAAAATGTCTGCATAGAAATATTTTGAGCCAATTCTGACACTTTCAGTCCAAGGTTTTTTTGAGATATGTTGCGTAACCGCTTGACGTTAGGGCATGCTATACCATGCTACAAAATTAGGTCTTAAACGCCGTTCGGGTGGCATAGCATACCCTAACGATCTGGCCCTATATCCAGCAACAATACTTACCCTTAGTGCCAATCGTGATCATGGGGGCACCACAATCACATGACTCGAATCGGCTTTATTGGCAGGATTGATTGCAGGAGGACTGCATGGGTTGTCAGACAGGTCCCACAATATATAATTAAGTGTTCTTGCATAGCACAGTAATATACAGTAATATACCGAAACGTGCGGATTGTTCCCGATTGGATTGCTATTACTTTGTGGAATGTTTCGCCGAATGGTTCACGGAATATCGTTGTTCTTGTGGCGAAATTGGTCCCATAGGAATGAATGGCAAAATGTTCAAAACTAGAGTGGGAGCTGGCAAAAGCTGAAAAATCAGGACATGATTTCTAAACTGCCACCACTCCCTCATTTTCAAGCCCACTTACACCAATCTTATATCAAAACGTTCAGCTATCCCTTTTGTTTGCAACTCATGCCATCCATTGACATTCATTGAAACTCCACTCTAGCCAGCTCAAACTTGAAGGGCAATTTATAAACTGCGACTGTGCCTTCATTTTTAATACTTCAGAGACATACTATACATCAAAATGTAGGTCTGGGTCTTGTGATTCTCACAATATAAAGCTTTTTAATTTATAGTTTTTAAAATACGACTGTTTGAAGATGGCAACCGCCAAAATACTCTGACCTGTGCCAGGCTGCAGCAGCAAGTGATGTCATAGACAGGGCCTTTTGAACACCTGCTAATGCTTTTATAAATGTATGGTTTAATGTAACTGTGCAACAACGTTGCAATTAAATGTGCTATATAAATGATAACAGTTACTCCACCCACTCCAGTTGTAGACTACTGGTGGAGGCAAGAACACTTCACACAATTTCCCCAGAAATTGTAGCTTTCTAGTTAATAAAATCATCTAATTATATATCAATAGTGATTCACTTTCCCTTTATTAACAGGCCTGTGAATAGTAATAACTGATGAAATTAGTATGGTGTTATAACTTATTAACTGGACTAACAGAATCTTGAAATTACAAACTTTCGGGCTCAAATGCTTTAGATTGAGAAAGGGAGATTCTCCTGAAAACTTGTCAATAAAAAAGGTAAAACATTCATGTTGTTTTACATCCGCATCGCTGGATAAAAGTTCAATTGAATTCTTGGATCTTCTAGTGGTTGTGGAAAATGGAAAATTAGGATATACAGTATATAAAAAAAAACAACAAATAGAAACACACTGTTATCCGCGGATAATTTCCATCCACCGGCCTCCATATAGAGAGAGAAGAGAGAAACAACACATAGAGATGAAGAAACTAATTTTATATGGTCCTTGCTTAAAGCAACATATCTATGGAGGAATTCTATCACCACAACCACTTCAAAACAGGAGGTATTTCTTTTTTTTTTTTTTTTTTTTTTTTTGTATAAACATTAAATGGAGCATCAGCATGTATCTGAAAAAAGAAACACTCCGTTTGGGAGTTTATTCCTAAGGATAAAGATCATCCACGTATCTTTACTACTATTAACGTACCCCAACCTTAAAGACTTGCTTGCAGACAGTGACCCTGTCAGAAGTTATCACCCAGAGGAAACAAATATGAACACGGGATGCTTTCAGTGTTATGACTGTGTGTCTTGTGGACACATGATTCCATCAAAAACATTTACAAATTCAGTTTTAGGAAAAGTGCTTAAAATCAGACAGCACATAATTTGTACAAAAAGCATATAATATTGAAAATCTCATGCCCATGTGGGTTACATTATATTGGACAATCTTCAAATAAAGTATGGGAGCGAATGAGAGAGCACCACTCTTAAATCTGAATGGCATTTTGTGGTGGGAATTCGGACAAGCAAGGAGCTCAAAATGTTTTGGAAGCAGCACACCAGCTCCCTTCCATTAAATTTATTGCCATTGAACATAATCAAGAACCATTACGAGGAGGAGATAGGATCCAGGAGCTTCTGAGATGTGAGGCTTTTTGGATCCACAGTGTGGACACATTAGCTCCAAAAGGCTTAAATAAAAAAAATAAATTGTATTTAATACAATGTTAAAGGAGCACTATAGGGTCAGGAACACAAACGTATTCCTGACCCTATAGGGTTAAAGCCACCATCTAGCCACACTTGCTCCCTCTTGCCTCCCTAAATATTGTAAAATCTTACTTGTATTCAAGTATGGAGCTACCTGCTTTGTCTCTGTTTCCTTTAGACCTGCCCACTACCTGCTGACATCAGCAGAAGTGGCAGCCTGATCCAATCCCAATGCTTCCCCATAGGATTGGCTGAGACTGACAAAGAGGCAGATCAGGGGCAAAGCCAGCACAATTCAAACACAGCCCTGGCCAATCAGCATCTCCTCAGCAAGTATACAATTTTGTCTTTATTTTTCATATTTATTTTTTTGTTTTACATTTAATTTTTTTTCATTTTTTGTTCATAATACTCACAAGTTCCTTAACTGATAGCCTTGAGATTCCATAGGTACTTATTATGTGAATGTATTGATCTTTTACTTAAAAGGAATAGTACACCTTAGGTGATTGTTGCCTTTTTTTGTTTTCGTGTTTCTTTTTTCCCTCATAACACACAGAGGTTCCTTAACTGGTTGCCTAGAGATTCAATGGGTACTTGTTAGGGTAATATTTTTATCTTTTACACCAAGCAAATAACACACCTTAGGCAATTGTTGCCTTTAGCCCAAGAAAATTATTGGGCTCTTAGAAGTTTGGCAATTACTGGATTCTGGATTTGTAGTTACACTTCATTTTTTTTTGCTTTCTGTTTTCTTTCAGAGTGCGTCCCACCACTTTCATGCACTTTTTCCCTTTATTAACAGCATTGTGCAGATAACAATGCCTTGAAAGAAAAAAAAAAAAGTCAAGAGTGTGGACTGAAATGTAGACAAATACCTTTTTTGTTGTTGTTGCCTGATGTGAATATAGCAACATTTGAAAACTACTGTAAAATCCAAGTGCTCTCTTTCGCAACAATTGTATCCAGGCTGGATATGCACTTGAGGTAATTTAAACATGTAGACGCTAAACGTATTGAGTTCTAGGCTTTTGCAGTGTGTGTATTTATTTATGTATATGTATGTATGTATGTATATATTTTTTTTTTATTCTTTCTTATTCTATGTTGGGGGATCTGCCTGACAACCCATGCAGAAATTCCAGAGAATTTAATTTGCAAGCCCTGTAACTTCCAAAATCGTAAAACGTTATGTGAGGGGAAAAAGGTATTTGATCCACTGCTGATTTTGACCATTTGTCCACTGACCAAGAAATGATCAGTCCATAATTTTAATGGTAGGTGTATTTTAACAGTGAGAGACAGAATAACAACAACAACAACAAAAATCCAGAAAAAACGCATGTCAAAAAAGTTATAAATTGATTTGCATGTTAATGAGTGAAATTTGATCCCTGATCAATCAGCAAGATTTCTGGCTCCCAGGTGTATTTTATACAGGTAACAAGCTGAGATAAAAGACACCTGTCCACAGAAGCAATCAATCAGATTCCAAACTCTCCACCATGGCCAAGACCAAAGAGCTTTCCAAGGATGTCAGGGACAAGATTGTAGACCTACACAAGGCTGGAATGGGCTACAACATTGCCAAGCAGCTTGGTGAGAAGGTGACAACAGTTGGTGCAATTATTTGCAAATGGAAGAAACACAAAATAACTGTCAGTCTCCCTTGGTCTGGTGAAAACAATTGGCGTAACACACTACACTGTTAAAGGACCACTATAGGCACCCAGACCACTTCAGCTTAATGAGGTGGTCTGGGTGCCTGGTCCATCTAAGGTTAACCCTTTTTTCTATAAACATAGTAGTTTCAGAGAAACTGCTATGTTTATGTTAGGGTTAATCCAGCCTCTAGTGGCTGTCTCATTGACAGCCGCTAGAGGGCTTCCGCATTGTGAATGCTTTCCTATGGACTGGCTGAATGCACGCGCAGCTCCTGATGCGCATTCAGCCGAAGAGGAGGAGAAGAGGCGGAGAGGAGGAGGAGAGCTCCCCGCCCGGTGCTGGAGAAAGAGGTAAGTTTAACCCCTATCTCTCCATCCAGCCCGGCGGGAGGGGGACCCGGAGGGTGGGGGCACCCTCAGGGCACTATAGTGCCAGGAAAACGTGTATGTTTTCCTGGCACTATAGTGGTCCTTTAAGGACTGAAATCCTGCATTGCCCGCAAGGTCCCCCTGCTCAAGAAAGCTCCTGTACAGGCCCGTCTGAAGTCTGCCAATGCACATTTGAATGATTCAGAGGAGAACTAGGTGAAAGTGTTGTGGTCAGATGAGACCAAAATCAAGCTCTTTGGCTTCAACTAAACTCGCCATGTTTGGAGGAGGAGAAATGCTGCCTATGACCCCAAGAACACCATCCCCACCGTTAAACATGGAGATGGAAACATTATGCTTTGGGGGTGTTTTCTGCTGAGGGGACAGGACAACTGCACCACATCAAAGGGATGATAGACAAGGCCATGTACTGTCAAATCTTGGGTGAGAACCTGCTTCCCTCAGCCAGGGCATTAAAAATGGGACGTGGATGGGCATTCCAGCATGATAATGACCTAAAACACACAGCCAAGGCAACAAAGAAGTGGTTTAAGAAGAAGCACATTAAGGTGAAACCTGGTAGCCAACTAAAAGTAACGTATGACTTCTGTGATTGCCAACAAGGGTTTTGCCACCAAGTACTAAGTCGAAGGGGTCAAATACTTATTTCACTCATTGACATGCAAATCAATTTATAACTTTTTTGACAATGTTAAAATTCACCTACCATTAAAATTATAGACTGATCATTTCTTTGTCAGTAGGCAAACATTCAAAATCAGCAAGGGATCAAATACTTTTTCCCCTCACTGTATAATGATGATGATAATATCAGCAGTAAAAGTGCAGTTTTTATGTGAAAAGGAGTATTAAATCTAAATTTGACCAGGGTTTCTGATTAAGTGGCTACTAAAAATGACTGGACATACCCCATTTTGAATACGCTGGGTTGTCTACTTTTGCAAATGGAATGCAATGATGAGAGTAATTTTCGTTCCTCGGTTGGCATACGGTCAAGCTCTTTATTTGACCCTGTAACTTTCCAAAGCACCAGGAAACCTGTACATGGAGAGTATTGTACTCCTGAGACATATGCATATGCATATTGTGTTGCAGTAAAAGCTAACAGTAGTATGATATTAACTGTTTAATTGACATGCAGAACTCTGAAAAGAACAATTTGTTTTAATTTCTCACACATTTATATATTTTATTCATATTAAATTGTTTTATATAAAAATTTGACAAGAAATGAAAGCCCTGTTTCTTATAAACAAAATGATATGTAATAAGTGTGGGTGCACTTAATATGAAAGAGGTAAATTATGGTTGAATAGACATATCGCTCAAATTTCAGGTTTTATTTTAGTGCAGAACTTGGACAATAGCCACTGTCCTTAAGGGGTTAATAGTGGCTGCAGGTTCATTCATAAAAAGATGAAAAAAACGCTCCTTTTTTGTTTTGTATGGTGCTATAGACCCTGATCTCATGTAAGTCTTCATGGAATACTATGAGGGAGCTTCTTCTAAGAGCTGGGTACTTATACTGTATGTTTTATTCCTGTAAACACACTGCATACATGTACCTGTGTTTAGCAGAGTTTCTGTCTGTGACCTTTGTGAGTCATTATGTGCAGGAACAGAAAGGCCAGGATGCATGGAGTGCCAATTAAAGGACCACTATAGGCACCCAGACCACTTCAGCTTAATGAAGTGGTCTGGGTGCCAGGTCCCTCTAGGATTAACCCTTTCTGCTGTAAACATAGCAGTTTCAGAGAGTCTCATTGACTGCCGCTAGAGGCGCTTGCGTGCTTCTCACTGTGATTTTCACAGTGAGAAGACGCTGCCGTCCATAGAAAAGCATTGAGAATGCTTTCCTATGAGACTGGTTGAATGCGCGCGGCTCTTGCCGCGCATGCGCATTCAGCCGAAGACGGCAGAAGAAGGAGGAGATTCCCTGGTGCTGTTAAAAGGTAAGATTTTAACCCCTTCCTCACCCTAGAGCCCGGCGGGAGGGGGGCCCTAAGGGTGGGGGCACCCTCAGGGCACTATAGTGCCAGGAAAACAAGTATGTTTTCTATAGTGGTCATTTAAGTGTTATGCAGAGTGACCACTCTTAAGTTATTGTATTTGAAACATATCGATATTAGTTTTAGAAAACTTAGATGAGGGGCTTATTCATTAAACGGCAAACATTCTAGGACCAACATACAATTATTGTTATCCATTCATAGAATGCTGTTTGTTAAAACCCAGTTGTAAAGTGTTAATGATACAAAATATTCAGATAAGTCACAACCTGTCTTCAGGACACTTAATAATGCTAGAATTTATGTTGGCCACCTCGCACAACAGAGGGAGGCTTAGTTGCAATTCTATAAATTCTATATATGTCTGTGAATATTTAAATTCTTTCAACAGTGTTTTAAGTGAAAGTGGGACAGAAAAAAAAATAAATCTACCCATTCCATACACCTAGTAAATGCACATTTAGATACATGATGCTTGAACAAATCATACACATACTATCCAGGATTTGTGGAAGTGGAAACTTATTTTGATAATTTGTTTTTGTTTTTTTTGTTTTTTCCCCAGAGTATGATTTTTAGACATTAGCCACTCTTTTTGCTACAATGTATACTTCTAGTTCCTTTGTTTTTTCTTTAACGCCTGTGATGATTGACATAAGCATTGCAGGTCTTTGGACTACATGTCCCATGATGCTCTTACTGTCTTTAGTCTAAGGGCTGTTAGAGCTGTATAGAAAATGAAATCTACAAAGCTATGCAGTGCTAGTCACAGGAAGTAAACCCTCAATGCAGTGCATTAGAGCTTTGCTGATTATTTTTGGCAGCATAGAAGTTAAACTTTGCTTGCATCCTACCAATAAATCGCTTTAGATATGGTAATTTCCTTTTACAATAGAAGAGGGACTCTTACCCAACTCGTTTGTTAATCGTTAACTATTTGGTTGCTTAAGACAGTCACGGTTGGCAGTTGTTGAAACAATGTATTGCATGATAGCATTAAAAGTGTTAAACTTTTAATATTTATTATTAATTGTTTTTTTTTTAATGGATTAAAAAAATGTAAATCAGTTAAAATGTTTGTACGAGGGTGAAAATCAAATCCTATTATAAATTATTTTTTTTTAGTAAGACATCCAATAATTTAAGTTTATTTTGCATTTTAGTACTAAATGAGTGAGAATCCTCTTCGCTTGGCGGATGTCGGTGTTAAATGTTGCAAGTTCCATTATAATCACCAATCCTCCTCCTCCGAAACAGACTGCTGAGATGAGCATTCAGGAGCAACACAATGCAGGTGTGTATAGATGGGATTATACAACAAAGGACTGGGATTATCTAGTCAAAATACAGCGTGCATTGGATTTATTGTCTGGAAAACTATATGCTACTACTGTTCAATGTATCCAGTCCTAAGGAGCACTCTCCATTGCATTTTAAAGATTTTCACTTGCTGCTGTTATTGTGTCTCTGTCCGTCACAGATGCAGACTCCAGCCTGGAGGAGGTAGAGTTTAATTGGGAGGAGTACCTAGAGGAGACTGGAAGCATTGCTGCTCCACATAGTTTCTTCAAACATGTGAGTCTTATTCATGAAAAAGAAAACATGTACAGGGAATTTCTGTTCAGTGTACAGCACATCCACGTCCTCTGATTCATGCTCTCTGAATTTCCTGCCTTCCCTACCTTTTAGTGTTGCTTTTTTTTTTTTTTTTTCATTTTAGTTAAGAAAACGTGGGAATTCTTCGTCGTTGTTTTTTTAATTCTTATTCACCCACGGATACTTATTACACAGCGATGATAGAGGAAAATAAATAGATTAAGAACTGTTTGGGAAAATAATTCTTTTTTAAAAAAATGTATTTAATACAAAAACAGACTTGTTAGTTGCTATTTTTTGGACTTATGGACAAAACCGTTATCACACAAATCATGGTAATTGAATATAAAATCAAAGCTTAATATAAATTTTTCCTCCATTCCATGGCTTTGTATGGTTTTGCACTAAGATGCCTGTAAAGACTTCACCGCTACTACCTCTTTGATTTTGGCATCAGGCCTGTTTTTTCCAGCTTGTTTGACGTTGGCATGGACCATGTTCTTTATCAAGTCCCCAGGAATTGTATAGAGGGAATGCCAAAATACTGTAGAATTGTTTCTTACTGAAGCTAATTTAGAGTGTTTTATTTATCCATGTTTTCCAACCTTTCATAAAATACTGAAGCTTGGACAATTATAAACTGCACAGCAAGTGAACATTACCACAAATAATAATCTAGTTTTTTATTAAACCAGGAGTAACTGCAGCTCTCTATCTGGGACAACGTATTTCCCTTCCTCTCCTGCTTTACCAACTGAGTGTCTATTAATCCCATTGTAGTCTTGTAACACTCATGTACCTTTTGTGGTCCCTTTCTTAATACTGTTATTTCTCTTCTCTTCCTTTTTCGCTTTTGTCATCCATATACAGATGTTCCTCTTGTGCTGCTAGTCGTCTATTTTATGGTCTCAAATCTCCTTCTTGTTTCTTTTTTTTTCTGCCCACCAGTTGCTTTCATTTATTACTTTGTGGCTTCCCCACTTTTCTAATTGCTCCAATTTTTGGTCTTTGCTGATCCTCAATTTTCCCATCTTGCTCTTATTTGCCTCTATTGTGACTTTTCATCTTATCTCCTTTCATTTGCTGGCCCTACTTTTACTTTTTGTAGTGTGGCTACTCTCTTTCATTGCCTCCTCTTTGTCATTTGCATTCCAAATTACTGCACTGTGGTCCACATCATTGGCTTTTTTTATGACCTTTAAAGCCACTCCTTATACCCATATTTCATCATGTGAGATATCTTGTCCATAATTTGTAGCCTTCATGTAGTGCTCACAGTTGACCTTTTTTTCCCCATGTCTTCGCTGTGTTCCTGCCTTTTCCTCAAATTGTTGATTGGCCTTACCTGGTACCAGTGATGTATCTTTTGTTCTAGATACAAATTATCCCATAAGTGTTTACCATTGAAGTCGTGTGTATCTCGTAGACTGTCATAAACTCCTATATTATCCCAGTTATCCTCTATTGTCCTTAATGTTTAGAACCTTTTGTTTTAGTCACCTCCCCTTTCTCTTCCCTCCTAAATGTCCTCTTGCTGCACTCTTTGCCCAGTTGTGGTCCCCTTGTTCTATATGTTTACACCATACTCCCAATTTTCATCCTGTCCTCCAATTTTTTTTACTTATGGCACACGTGCAAAAAGCTTTTTATGTAATTGTTTTAAAGTGCTTATTATACGTGCAAAGTACAATAAAATTTATATGTTCTTTGCACAAATAAGAAGCATTTTAAAACAATGACTGCTCTTCCTGCAGCAGACATACAATATTGAAAGTGAGAAGTGAGATATGTAAAAACAAATGTGGTTGTCCTCATGACCTTCACTAACCTAGGTACAAGACAGCTTTGGTTTTGTCCCCTCTCATGTATGAGGAAGTGAGGAGCTCATTATATTATGTGTGGAAGCAGCAAAGACATCCTTCTGCATATTCCTCATTATCTCATGGACTATGGGATTGATAATATTTATCAATCATATATTACAATAATAGGTCAGGGATTAAAAATCATTATGTTGTGGGTCTGAGGTGCATGGTTGTATCATATATATCAAAACATGTTTAGGTGACCAAAAAAATAAGATTAGGTGTTTTGTGTATAAAAGTGTGAAAATTATACATAAGGTTTAGACAGATATACGCCCTTATATAATAAACAAGTTAAAGGTAATCTAATATGTTATTGTTGCTTAACATCAGACTAGAGACCACTTGTTTTTTTTTTGGTTTTTTTGTTTTTTTAATTCTTTTTTTGAGGCTCAAGAGTATTCTACAGAATGAAGAAAGTAGTTAGTGTGAGTTAATACAAGTCAGGTATACAGTTGCTTCTTGCATAATAAATAAAATTATCTGCCTCTTTTTTATAGGATGCAACAAGGTAGTACTATGGAGATTATGCACTATTTTAGGTAATGGTAAAACAATAAATTAAAGCTCAGCTAATTGGTAGTTGAGGGTTGAGAAACATGCTTACGGTTCAAAAGCAGGGTCTAAAGGTAAAACATGTATGATTAACGAGTAACTGCACATTTTATAGTATCTAAACCGGCATAAACACATGTTAGGGTATAGTCAGAGCGCAGTCCAGACAGAGTGGGTTTCATTGTAAGCAGCGCCTTCGCTATATACTGCTCTTGGTATTAAAGATCAGGCTAGGGAATTTAACTAAACATGGGTAGCCGGCAACTCTGATATATAAAATCATTAGTTATATGGCCGGCCTTTCTCAAGTAAACTAGGCATGCAATTCAAATGGGTGTCATCTCAGCATTGATGCAAAATTAGTTAGACGTGTAGGCAGGCAAGAACATGGGCAATTGACCCTGTCACTTGAGAAGTCCATTACCACGTCGCGCAGGTCTCCTCTGGACGCATGGGGTATGGCAAGCTTTAAGTTGCAAAATAGGAGCGGTAGACATAATAGGAAAAATGTCTGCGGTTGTGCATGTAAGACAAAGGTGGCAGTTGAGGGGCTAGGCCCTAGTTAGTCCCGGCTTGAGTTAGAGGGAAGTGAGTCAATTTAACAGATTTAACTTGGTGGTGTATTTTTTTACGGGAAGGCCTTTGGACAGTCTGCTTTCCGAGGTCTGCTATTCTTCTCAACCTATTCCCAGGCCTGAGCTTGTGTAATTTGCGTCAGGTGTTGAGTCCCGTGTCGGGGCTTGCGTAACCGGCTGCAGGGGCATGGGAGTGGGGCAGGTGGTTGCGTACCTTGTCCCCTCAGTCCCACAGAGTCGTGCCCGCTTGTCTGGAGGTTTTTCGGATTCTTTGGCCCCTTAAAGCGGTGCCTGCATCTTGCGCAGTGCAGTCGTGGATGTTCCCGCTGAGTTACAGAATGTCTGTGAGGTAGGCTCAAGCGTACATACTTAGCCCTTGCAGGGGCCCGACGCGCCGGCTTCGGGCGGCCTCTGCTCCTCGATACTTTCTACAGTGCTGCATGGGGCTCCCCTCGGCGTTGTCTGCTTGTGTCATCCTGTTTAGGGAATGCTTGTGGGGGACCCGAAGGCGAGTTTGATCTCCGTTGTGCCTCACTCCTGGGTTTCCTCTGTTTCCGCGGTGTTGAGGGATCATCCGGGTGACTCAGCTTGGTGTGAGAAGGTGCCAGGTTCCGAGATACTGTTTTGACCAGTGTCAGAGCAGGAGGCTGACTCTTCTTCTCTATCCACTCCCAGAATCACCTGCATACGGCGTAGAATTTTGCTTGTAAGGCCACTACCCAGTCGCTGGTTGTCTGTTCCGTGTGGGCCGCGGTGCCGTCGGCCATATTGGCTCGACCTCGTGGTTCCCGTTGGTCGGGACTGGAGCGTCTCGGAGGTGATTCTCTGTGTGAAGGCAGACCGGGATAACACCCACCGGTCCCGATAGGGAGGGGAGGGTGGGACGGTGGTCCATTTGCATAGATTTATATTGTTGTGGTGGAGGGAAAGCAGCCATCCCTCCTGTGCCTACCATGTGTATAGGCCTCTGTCTCTTGTTGAGTTGATAATATGCGTAGTGTTGCTTGAGTGGTTGCATTTTGTTCCTCTCAGTGTCGCCTCTCATTTGGTGGCCTTTTTGTCTCAATTGAGCGCCTTTTGAGCTATTAAAATGAGTTTTATTTGTTGATTGCTGCAGGAGCTGTTGAGGCAATCGTCCTCTCGGCCCTGCGGTTAGGCCCCAGCCCCTAGAGACCACTTTTTAACGCATTTAGAAATAAACACAAAGGTGGACCTGTATGTATTTATTTGCAAATGTAAATAAAACCGGGCTCAAAATGTCCACTTACCACTAGCCATTGGCGATTGACAATTCACCCCTGCCGAGTAGAATTCCTCCTTTGGGAGTATGTCCTAGACCATCCAGGCTTTCAGTGACTAGTAACTTTAGGCCTATCTAGTAGCATAGCACTTAAAAGTTTGACATGAATAAAATATTGTTACATAAAGAATTGTGCTATATAAGCATTGGTACTGGTCGCTTACCTAAGGAAGGGTCTCTGAATGTAATTTTGCCATTTACATTTATCATTCTTAACATTACCCGGGAACACTAGTTCACTGACGAAGAATGTTTTGCAAAAATGTATTGGGACACATTATTTCCCAGGATGCAGCCTGTGAGCAATTTGACTGAGCAGATCTAACATTTGGTGGTGGTCACCTTTCCATGTGCTTTTAAAAATTATTAATTTGAGGGAATTTACTGGACAGAAGAGGGGACAAATAAGGTAAACGTTTGTTTGATAACTAATTGTGAAAGAATCCAACCTTTTTTTGAAGCAAACTTGTCTAAATTGCCTTGGGGTTCAGGGATTAAGTTTCTGAGAAATTCCCTGCATCTGTTTTATATAAACTCTTTAAGTGCATGCGTCTCTTTAAATAAATTCATTTTTCTCCTCTTCTACCTCATTTGCATTGAGTGCAAGTCCTGGTTTGTTTTCTGATGCAAAATGATCTTTCTATGATTCCATGATAGTCCAAGGCTTCATAGGATCTAAAAAGGTTCCAGTGGGCAAATAAATTGTTATTTTAGAGATCAGTACCCTGTACCTATGCGTACATTTTATTTTTGAAGTTTTGTTGAATATTTAATTATTTTTTTGTGTGCATGTTGTCAAGTTCAATCTTTGCTAAGTTTGTGTCCCTTCATATTTATGGTTAGGTTGATACCTCTCTTCAGAATGGTTTGGCTCCAGGGATGATGTTGGAGGTACCCCACAGAACCGATCCTCAGATTTATTGGGTTGCCAGTATTATAACCACCTGTGGCAAATTGCTCCTTCTTCGCTATGCTGGCTGCGGGGAAGACCGCTCTGCAGACTTCTGGTGTGACATTGTAACCTCTGATCTCCACCCCATTGGCTGGGCCCAGCAGAACAAAAAGACCTTGAGCCCTCCAAACGGTAAGAAATGGCACACATTTCCTGATGCTGATCATTCGTTTTTGTCATCTGTTGTTTAAAATAAAATGGTATTGAACTCAAAATGGCTTTAAAGTGACAAACCACAGCAAAACCAATCTATAAATGTTCCAACACCAAAAAACAAGGTAATGTTTTTAAACTACATTATCAGACAGCAAACATAATATCCATATGATGTATTACAATATTATTCATAATTCTATTACATTTATCAGAGAAGTCTTTCTAAGTTACACGGTTACCTCATTAGAGCCAAGTAATGTTTGTCCACTTACCAATATTCAAAATGGCCAAAGAGGGATCTTTTAATGGTGAGCCTGGAGGTGTGACCAGGGATGGGGCTATCTAGGGATAAATTGGGACACTTGATTACATACTGATAACATTTATGCAAAAATGTAAATGTATTATTTAAAACGAAATGAATGTATCTTATTAAAGGTAGTGGTTATAGTACCTGGAGTGTACTCTCTCCCTACCAAACCGTTTGACAACTTACCTGAGGACAGCTAGGACTTGCTGCCACCTTCTCTGGAGTTAAACTTTCTGCATTGGCTGAGAGTGGAAGCTGATCGCTCTCAGCCAGTGATAGGCTCCCTGATGTACTTCTGAAGTTAGCTCATTGCAGGAGCTTTCAGGGGCAAAGGAAACAGTGGTAGGGACAAGGTGGACCCCAGGTAAGTTATCAACCTGTTCTTAAGTGGGCTGTAGTGGTTATAGTGCTTGGATTATTCCTTGAACACAGACTCTTTTCTAAACATATTTATAGCCATTCACACACAGGCATCTCACTATGGAGGTACACTATCACACTATCACTCTGGAGGTACACTATCACTATGGAGGTACACTATCACACTATCACTATGGAGATACACTATCACTATGGAGGTACATTATCACACTATCACTATGGAGGTACACTATCACTATGGAGGAACACTATCACACTATCACTATGGAGGTACACTATCACTATGGATGTACACTATCACTATGGAGGAACATTATCACACTATCACTATGGAGGTACACTATCACTATGGAGGAACATTATAACACTATCACTATGGAGGAACACTATCACTATGGAGGTACACTATCACTATGGAGGTATTATTCACACTACAGTATTTATTTTTTGGTTTTATGTTGACCAGGTGTGAGGTTTTTTTTTTCTTCTTCTTTAAGATACCCAACCTCTTATCCTTTGACCATGCATAGAATTAAAGATGTAGTCTCTGTTCTATTTATATATTTATTTGTATAGGAAATCTGTTCTTGTTTGGCAGAGCCGTAGCCCAGGTATTTGAAGCTGTTTGATAATTATTTCTGATAAATACAAGGACAGAGAACATTGTCAGCATTGCTTGCTGGTGGAATGTACAGACCAGAGACTCTCCAGATGTGAAAACTGTACTGAAAAAGTAGCTTGATCTATGTAGATCAAATCTGCAATCTCGGTCCCAGGGGAACTGTCACTACCCTGTACATTGAAAGTCACCTACTTGTATTAACCTTTTATTTATTTTTTCTTAGATTCAATATATATTATTTTTAATTTAGATTAAAAATTTAGCAAATTTAGCAAATAACATGATAATCCAGTTAATTCAAATTGATCCCTTGGGAAAACTTTGCAAATGAAGATGAGAAATCGAGACATTGTTTCATTTCTCATCTTTGCTGTATGCTTTCCTTATGCTGACTGCCAGGACAGAGCTTACAACAGTGATTGGCAGAGAGCTAAGATGTAGTCGCTCAGCTGCAGGATAAAAAGGGGCCAATTTCTCCATTCATTTTTTTTTTTTTTTTACACTTCACAAAACACATTTGTTGAATGGAGGGAAAGTTATAACATATAATAACAATCTGGGGAATCCTGACAGTTCCCCTTTAATTCCGCCTATAAACCATGGTAATGCAAGATGACAATCCTTCACTGTCCACCTGCAGTCAACAAACAAACAAAACAATACTTGTGTTACCAGGACAAACTGGATTCCTTAACATTAAACTAGCCAAAAAAAAAAAAAAATTAACCCTGAATTCAAAAATGGATGTTCAGACGGAGCAATTATGTTCCTTCTAGTCCTGCCTCTCTTGTAAGTGTGATTGGTTGGCTTTCTATAGTCTTTCTTGATTGGTAGATAAGCAAGGGGACCAATTTCATGATGACACAGACAAATGAATACTGTTGCCTGGGAGTATGACTCCCATTAACCTCAGGAAGCCAAGTACAGGTATTATTAGCCTGTGTTGTGCAAAACATTATTACACAGTGTAATATAAAATTTTCTTGCTAGAATTATTTAGAATTATTTATATATGTATACACACACACACACACGTACACTGGGGTAGGAGAGAGAAATTGTATTGGGAACACAGTAGTTTGTTAGGGTTCTATATGGCATTGTTTTTAGTTTTGTCAGTGGTTAAACCTGTTTTGTTCCTCTAGGCATATTTACATGGAGTGCTGCCCGTAGGTGGAAGCATTTTTATTGCCTAAAATCGTGGGCACAATACTGGCAGAAAAAAAAGGAAAACGCTCCTTTATTTATTTTTTTTGGCTGTTGTTGAATTAGGCTTCTGATTGCATTTTTATTCAACTACGGAATGACTAATGTTTTAATGGTACACTTCTGTTGTGTTCATTGATATACTCTGCACAGAATTCTTCCCAGGGTCATGAACATCAATAAACTATGCTTCTTATGTGAAAAACGCCATCTGACATCACTCATTCAGAACTTCTGGTTTCTCAGTTGGATCAAGTGGTTTTTAATGGTTCTGCTCAGTCATCATGACAACTTCAATGAGTCACTTTCAGAGATCTCGCAAATATATTTTTGCACTTTCCAAAGAGTGTAATGATTTAAGCGGTTCTAGTTATACTATTATTTTTTTTTTATTTGACAGTACTACTTAAAGAAAAGGCATAAGAGACATACACACAGGGCCGGTGCAAGGATTTTTGGCTACACAGGCCAAGATGCACTTTGCCCCCTCCCACACCCCATCCTCCCCCAAAAAATGCATTATTACCTGTGTGTGTTCACATGCATGTAGGAGGTTGAGATGTTCAAAAAATGTGGGCTTTTTAGAAGTATACAAGTGAAAGTGGCTGTTGTGGCTATAATAATAGATCATTGCCATACATATAATAGTAACCGCTATGTACATCTTGTGGGATGGTCAAAAGGTTTCCCTAAATTGTAATAGACCTATTTGATGCATTGTTTTTTTGGAAATGTTGTTTGTCCCATGAATGTTTAGCTTTAAATCTATTTTGTTATGTAGACCTCAGGTTGAGGGTTGAAATGTTTATCTTTGAAACACCTAGAAAATGTATAAATAAAAGCTTCATGTTTAATTTTCCGTTCTAAAACCATTTTTTTTGGATGTTTGTGATATGTTATTACATGCAATAAATGGGAAATGCTTTATCATAACTTTAAAGGGACACTCCAGACCCCTAAAACACTTCAGCTAGCTTTATATGTGAAGAGTGTGTCCCTCTGTTTAAAAAAAAAATTAAAAAAAATAAATTTAAACTATTTCCGTTTTACAAAAAAAGTGCACGTTTCATTAGAAATTGGCACTTTTATAAATTAACCTTAGCACACCCCCTTGGCTGTCAGACAGCTGGTCCTGTTACTTTCTGGTTGTTTAGCTCAGTAGAGTTAAACTCAAGAGACAAACAATTTATTAGAGCACCTGCCCTGCAAATACTTCTCATTGAGCTGTATTGGGAGCTGAATGCGAGTGTGGCAATTGCCGCACATTCGGTCTCCCCCACCAAAGTGAGCCTGACCCAGCACCGAGGGACATCGGCGCTGGATTGAAATAAGTGGCTGAAGGGATTTTAACCTTCAGCGCTGCAGGAGTGAGGGCATGAGGAAGTGCCAGGAAAATTGCTTTTATTCCTGGCTCTATAGAATACCTTTAATGTTCCAAATGTATTAAGAAAACCTTTTTTGGTTCTTCAGTCAACTGTTTTTGGAAAAAAAATGATCATACGTTTTTTTTGTTCAAAACTAGTTTAATTGCATTTGAGATATAGTTATGGAATTATTCCATTTAGCTTAGATTCATACATGGGATTGTAATTGGGTTACCAGTTTCATAGTAGTACTGTTGCCATTAACTGCAAAATCACTGCAGATGTAATCTTGCCCCTTCAGTTACAGAGCCTGTGCAGCAGCTTTGTACATGTATGCTTGCAAATAGATTAATTTATGGGAAAAATAGATGAATGAAGCTGTTTGAAGAATGCTGCAGACCACACGGGGTAGTAGTGTTTTTCTTGTCTTTTCATAAATGAAACTGTTGTGTGTTTATCTATAAATAGCTTCTCTAATTTTTAGTTTGTAGTGGATTATTTCTATCAGGGCTCACTCAATATTACCATTTGCCACAAGTCATTGGCAAGTGAAATCTTTTCCCTAATGAGTAACATAAGACTTCAAATTGTAAGCTATGATTTCTAGAATTATTAACAAAAAGGTGAGTGAATTCTGTCCCAGGGCATCCTTTTAAAACTTTATTTCCATTGAGTCCCTTTACATAAGAAAAAAAGAAATAAATATAAAATAAAATTATTTATATATATATATATATATATATATATAATATATATATATATATATATATATATATATATAATATATATATCATTTTATTTGTATTTAGAGCTCGAGAAGCATACACTTCCCCATTGGAGTGTTGTGCCCATTTGTCTCGTGAGGGATTGATTCAAGGTTTACTGTTTTGGTAAACCCAGCATTGTCTTTTACTGTAACTACTCTCTAAAGCTATGTTTCCCCTTCTTAACTCTCCCAGGTGTGAAAGAGAAGCTGAACAATTGGGAAGAGTTCCTTGCTAAAACTCTGACAGGAGCCTGCAGTGCCCCAGCTCACTTGCTAGAGGGAGTAAGTATGCCTGTTTTTATTTCCTTTTGTGTTTGGTAAGCAGCCTGTTACAAAGCTATTGTGAACCGTGTTCCTTATGTGACTGCTGGCTTTTAGCTCCGAGCTCAGTGTCATTCTATGGTGGAATGCATTGAAAAATTTGGTGATGCATAGTTTGCATTTTCCATAAATATATATAATATTCCTCATTAACGTGAAGGTCTACTTATTGTATTGGTAATATATTCATGTGTTCTTTCAGGGTGATATGAAATGTACAATATTAAATGGTAACCTCCAAGCTCTACATTTATGTCTCTCTTAAAGCCACACAGAGGGAAAGATCCCCTAGACTTGTTCGCCCCAGGGTCCAGGCTGGAGTTTCAGCATTCCCAGGATTCACTGGGTGCCTGGCCTGTCAAGGTGCAGGAGAACATTGGGGGACGTCTTCAGCTCCAATTTGAAGGAGCACCAGACTTCCCGTGTCTGAATCTTTTCTACCTTCATCCTTCCCTTCATCACATAGACTGGGCAGAGCAGCATGGGTATGAGATGCAACCGCCTAGTGGTAAGTGTTTTTTGTGGGTTTTTTAAAATATATATTTTCCAAAACAATGAATCCCATCTTTTATCAAACGGCCAGTAAAAAAGTTTTTTAAAGTATCTTCATAAACTATCTTCAATTGGGTGATATCACCCGAACACTCATTTCTGATTTAAAACTAGATACAAGAAACTGCAGGTGTCTTAAATGGGAGGAACAAGGCTTAAAAATTCCACTCACCCACTAGCCATTGGAGAGGGAAAATTCAGACCTGTAGAGGATGATATGTATTGAATCTCCAGGCTTTCTGGCAAGTAACTGCAAGCAACTTTTGTTTAACTTGAAACTTTGGGAACTGCTGTTATATATACCTCTGTTCCTTTGTTACCTTTTTTAAGAATGATCTCTGCCACGTTTCCTAAAGCTATAACGGAACATTCAGAAAAACTGTTACGGATTACCTGGAAAAGTAAAAAGAAAAAAAAATAATTAGAATAAAAAAAAAAACAGAACAAAAAAGAAACGGTTTGTAATAATAATAAAATGTAATTAAAAAACACTATTAGTAGGTATGCCAACAATGAAAAAATGCATGCATTTATTTATGCAATTTTTTTTATTAGGAGGTAAATGTAAAACATGGGTGGGAAACCTTTTCATGTTGGAAGGCCGCTTTCATTTAGTTGTATTTAAATAAGGCCGCATGGAAGAAACGTCAATTAGATGCACTTAATAATATACATTATTTTGTAAACAATTTACTACTATGTGCTTAATAATTTCAAAAAATTTGTGATTTTAATTTTGTTGTGCCTGCTTTTTTTTGAAAAGCATTTGAATATTTTGTTGCAGCATGGAGGTCCGCAGTTTCAGTTGATCCTCCAGGCGGGTATCAGTCCTTTGTGACTTTAAGGGCCTCCTGATTTGTGTTAGGTGGGATAATGTAGATTTACAGCACTGAGCGGTTGAAAAGCAATAAAAAAAATTCAGTCCATCTTTCTTAGCATCAAACAATGACTTTAAAATATCTACTATAGAAAAACTACTCGGAGCTCAATCCATTTCATTTGTAGTTCTTTAGGTGCCTTTGTGATCACAACTAGGTGAGGCTGAATTTGATTGTGATGTCATGATTCTCAAAACTGTTTCCTAACACAATTATGTCCCTCTGCAACCCCCTCTCCTCTTCCCCGTCTCTTTCCTCATCAGGAAAGAGATGAAAATCCTTTCTTTCACTTACCTGTTTCCAGCGGAGAGGTCTCTCAGTGCTGGATCGGGCTCCTCCTCTGCCGGTGCCACAGTGTTCCGGAAACCTAATGCGCATTGGGCCTTCCCCGTAGGAAAGTACTGAATCAGTATTTTCCTATGGATTTTTCAAGATGCTGGACCAGGGGCGGCTCTAGACTTTGAGAGGCCTTAGGCGAAACTCAAAAATGAGGCCCCCCACCTTCACCATTAGTGAACAAAATAGGGGTTGCCTTGTGTGTTTATAAGGAGCTTTAGGTATATTGAATGACAGGCTTGCAGCGTTGGATAGAGAGAGGTAGTCTCTGTATTCATCTTCAGAGGCTTGCATTGTCGCGGCTCCCTATGCCGCTGCGTTGTGAGCTATCAGACTGTAGTTATGGCATAATATGCAATAAACAAATGTAATGTGCAATGATGCCAATCATTTATACACGATTGCTGGGTATGGTTGTATAGGCTGGCAGTCGTGTATACATAAGTGCCAGTGTGAAGGCGTTATTGGAAACAAAAATTAACATTTTGGTTAGGCTTTTAAAAAAATAATTTTCCCCACATATTCTATAATCCTTTACATGTATATTATCATATATGTGTTTCCCCATGTATTGTATATGTATGCATATAATATATATGTTGCTTGCAACTTTACCTTTGCATTGCCCATACCATACCACCCTCACACTGCAGACATAGACACACACACTAATACATGCACACAAAAAAACACTAATACACAAATACATATACACAATGATACATGCTCATTCCCACACACACAACACACGGATGCACAGAGACACAAATATTGACTAATACAGACATACAGTCACAATGTGTATTCATCTTGCTCTGTGTATTTCTGAGTGTGTCTGGCATTGTCTACCTGTGTATGTGCCTGAGAGTGTGTCTGACAGTGAGTATCCTTGTATGTGAAATGTATGTTTCTGTGAGCATGTGTATGTTTGTGTCTTGGACCGTGTGTGTGTGTGTGTGGTAGCTGCTTGCAGTGTTTTTTGTATATGGGGTGCTGCCTGTGCCCTTTGTGCACTTTGTTTATGGTGACGCTATGTTTTTTATAACTGTGTGTATGATGATTGTCTTCAGAGGTGACTGTAACAGGGTGAGTAAAGGGGTAACTGTGGCAGGATGAGGGTGACAGGGTGAGAGAGTGAGTGAGAATGAGGGAGGGCAAGTGTGACATGGTTGGAGGAGAGGGTGTTACAGGGTGAGGGAAGGTAAGCTTGACAGGATTAAATTGTTAATGTGACAGGATGAATGTGGCATGGTTGGGGAGGTATCACAAGGTTGATGTGTATATGGCATTATTGGAGTGAGTGTGATAGGGAAAGGGAAGGTGAATGTGACAAGATTAAGGGGGTTAATTGACAGGGTGAGTGTGACAGAGTGATGTGGGTGTGACAGGATTAGAGGTGTTATTGTTACAAGGTGAGTGTGGCAGGTTTAAGGGTGAGTGCAGCAGGGTTGGGGGTGAGTTTGGCACGGTTTGAGGAGGGACAGTGACCGGAAGAGGAGTGGGGAGTGTGACAGTGAGAGAAAAGGTGAGTGTAACAGTAGTGGGGTTGATTCAAGTGTGGCAGAGCTGGGGGAGGTGACTGCAGTTTGGTTGGCGGGAGTGTGACAGGATCAGTAGGGATTAAAGTTAATGTGTGGCAGGGTTAAGGGGGGTGACAGTGTGTGTGCGCATGGAGGGGATGACAGTGTAAAGGGTGACAGGGGGCTGAGTAAGGGGGTAACAGGGGACTGAATGAGGGGTGACGGAACTGAGTGAGGGGTGACAGGGGGCTAAGTAAGGGGGTGATTGGTGGCAGTTGGAGGGAAGGTGTACAAATACCTTTTTGTTCTCCACTGTGTCCTGGCTCCCTGGTTGTCCGGTGGGCTTCCTGTCCGGTCTGCAGCTCCGCCGGGTGTGAGTTACAGACCATGTAATAGGAGTCCCGCGATCTCCAGAATTCAGAGCGTTGCCATGGTAACCCGCTGCAATGCTTTGATTGGCGGGAGTTTGCAAGACACTTCTAAGTCTGCAGCTCACACCCGGCGGAGCTGCAGACTGTAGGCGTTCTCATCCCATAGCAGATCACTTGGCGGCATAATGGTCATGGACCGAGTACCCGACATGTCAGTCTGCCTTATGGTGATTTAGGTGGCCGCGAGGCCCCAACCAGCGCTAAGCCTTAGGCTGCCGCCTAAATCGCCTAATTAGAGAGCTGACTCTGTGCTGGACTTCCTCATGGAAAGCGTCAGGATGTCCAGTGTCGTTTCATGGAATTAAACTCTATGAAACTGCAGGAAGTGGCTCTATTTTACACCTAAAGAGGCGCTTCTGCTGTAAGAATGGAGTCATTTCTGGTTCTCACGCGTTGCCTCCTCTGACTCCTTCTTCGTGAGAGCATTTGCTTGGAGAAGCACTCACCGCGCATGCATTTCTCATCCACAAGGCTCCTCTACGAGGAGAATTGGATTAGAAGAGAAGGGGGCACCTGCTGAATAATGTAGCAGGAGGAGGAGCTTCACAGTGTGAGTCTCGGCGCTGGAAAAAAGGTCAATCTAAACCTTTTTCCAATTTAATTTACTTAACAGTGAGGAGACACTATAGCTTTAAGAATATGTTTCTATTCCTAATGCTATAGTGTTCCTTTAAATGTACTCAGTTTGCAGTTTACCCCAGTCCTGCCAACAATGTGTGACAGAGCTGCTCTGTTGGGTGCTGTTTCTGTGATGTGATGCTGCTTTTATTTGAGAGATTTTTAAGAAATTACATTTAAACAATTTATTGTTTATTAAATAAGTAATTTTTATAAACGTGCCAATCAACTTATTTTGGGAGTTGTAGTCTATCAATATGTGACGGCGTTCAAAGAGTCTTCAAAGAAAATGTAACAGAGTGTCCTCTGTTTGCAGCAATATCCCACCTAAAGACTGAAGAGGAATGGAGAGTGATTCTGGCCCGGTGTGGGAAGGCCACTGAAGACTGTGTACCTGCTGACTTTTTCCAGGTTAGCATTATTCTAGTTTTCATACCTTTTGTATGGGACTAACAGGGTTATTCACTGAAGTGAGACTTGCAGTCAGTCACTTTCAAATTTAAGGTAAAAAAGCTAGACTGGATAAATTCTCACAGTCACCTATGCTTTCTTTCAGTTTGGCTACATTATAGATTCACTCAGAATTCCCTGCAATTCTCAGTTTAATGAATAACCCTGTAATTATGGATGGGGGGTGGTGTGGGGGGGCGGGGGGGCAAATGGATGCTCTGACATGGACTACCAAGATGAGATATTTGTATAAGTTCTTTAATTTTAGTAGCCTTTTTGTGAACATAATAAAGCATTTCGAACAGAAATCTTATTCCTATCTTTAGTCCTAACACTATAGTGTCTCTATCCATTCTGGTATTAAGGTGTCCCTACCTCCCCCCCTGCCCACCTGCGATAAAATATATATATTTTTTTACAATAAGTTCTATGTCCTTTTTCCAGCAGCAAAGCTCCCTCGATGCTGCATATCTTTCCACCTCCTTCGTCATCACAGAGGAGGCATAGTCAATTCATAGAGGAGCACTGGGGACCTAAGCCGCATGCATGCGCATTCAAACTTCCACGAAAACTGCATTGCATCAATGCTTTCCTTTGGCGTCTTCTGCGTCACATGGCTAAGATTTACTTAGTCAGTGCAGTGTAAGCTGATCTAGTGTCTGTCATAATGACCACCACTAGAGGTGAACTAAGCCCTGCGATGTAGTCATTACAATTTCTAAAAACACTGAATTGTTTTACTTTGCAGGGTTAAAAGGATGTGTACATTGCACCAAGGTCACTTTATTGAGATTAAGTTGTCTGCATGACTATCGTGTCCTTTGAAATACAGTTTGTATTACATATTTGGCCAGTGACAAATTTCCTGTTAGGCAATTTAGTAACCTGCCTATAGGTGTAAGGGGAGCCTGTTTACTGCACTTATGTCTTTTTGGAGCTCGGGTGCAGGGCCGCATTGGGAACTAAAAGCAGCCCTGGAAAAAAAAAAACAGCCCAAAAATGAGTAGAACTTGAAATTGAAAACTATTGCTCCAGTGTAAAAGAAAGCACTCATAGGGCTTAAAATAAGCAAAAGAGAGGATTTATTTTAAGCAGACGTTCATTTGCATATAATCAATGTTTCAGAAAGTTAGGTAATGGGACTGAAATGGCTAATGCAAAATAAAATGAAGTTATCTTGTTTATTGTGAAGTCCTATGAGTGTGCTCTTCACTTTGAATTTGTAATTGTGCTGGTGTGTGCACCTAGCAACAAGACAGGACCAATACGTGCTCATTACATATATATGTTCTATACTTGTGACCTTTCTGTGTATTATGCATATATACATGTATATTAATATGTGTAAATATTATAGGCACTATTATTTATATATATATATATATATATATATATATATATATATATATATATATATATATATATATATTACTAATACACACACTAATATACTTATACATACATATATATTTATTACTGTCAGAACCACATCTATTTGAGCAGGATTGCTAGCAAAATGTATATTTCGGAAGAAAAAGCTATTTAATAAGAGGTCTTTCTCTCACCTGTCAATCAACTCATAGACTCCTGTGCCGAAGAACTGAGTTACAGAGAGTGCAGGAGACACAGGTGAAGATGCATCCCCCCACCCCAGTAAACAAAATGCATCTTCACCTGTGTTTTGGTTAAGCCCATTTGTGGTTTTTATCCCTTCTTTTGATTGTCTTATCTTTTTTAGTGTTTCATTTTCCCTTTATGTGTCTTACAATCCTTGTATGTCTCTTACAATCTCCCCAAGCCGCTCTGTTTTTCTCTTTCTCCCCCCAAGCCCGTTTGTGTGTCTCCCCCCTAAGCCACTTTGTTGGGGGCTTAGAGTTCTGTGTCTACTGGCACTGCACATGTAAATCTGGCCTTGCATCTTACCATGGCTTCTAGTGCTTAGTTCCTTCATGTGTGGATTTCTCCTTGAATGAAAAGTGATAGTGGATATCCAGAAATCATTTTGAGAGTTGAGGTAAGAGTTTGTTGCTTTCTCTTACAGGAGCAGCCACAGTTGCCAGTTCATTCCTTCATCAAAGGCATGAAATTAGAGGCAGTGGATCCTACAGTACCATCATGCATTGTTCCAGCCACAGTCACCAAGGTAACGATGCCCACCAAGCTCAGAATAACTTCTGAAAGTTTGTTTGTTCTCTTTTAAGTAAACGTCCCCTCTATTAATCCTCTGTAAAGTATTATTTAATGTCCACCCATGTGTACATGTTTAAATAACATGTTCAAAAGGTTTAAATATTCATAACACACAGGTCTTCAACGAACAGTACTTCCTGGTTGAATTAGATGACCTTCGTCCTGAAGACTCACGAACTTGCCGGTCTATAGTGTGCCACAAGAACAGCCCCGAGATCCTCCCTGTGCGATGGAGTCAGAAAATGGGCGTGTCGGTACATCCCCCTCCTGGTAGGAGAATGGAACATGTAGTGACATTCTGTACTTGAATATTCTGTAATACTCTGCATTCCATGTAAAATATGTAAACAAGGTGAAGGATATATAACCTCGTAAAGAATGCACTTTTTATTATAGTATACTTTTTCCAGTAATCTCATGCTTAATTAAAACACTTCCTATTTTTCAATTTCTCCCTCCTACACATTAAGGGCTGTTAGAAGCCAGGTCATTTGAATGTCATTGATTAGACAGAGGGCTCTCTGATTAAAAATTTAGCGCTTGATTATCTTCTTGCTAAATTGGGTCATTAAAGCTTATCATGGCATGGTATTACTCCTATTTATTTATTCATTCATTTATTTATTTATTTTTAGTACCTTCCATTCCCTAATATATTGTAATTACCATTAAAGAGCTATTTGTTCAAGTTCAGACTTTAACTCCTCTCAAAGACATGTTACAAGGAGTCGATATATATCACATATAATAGGGATACAGCTGGACATCTACATAAGAAAAAAAAGTGCAGCAAAAAGTTTTATATTGTTAGGGAAATGCCGTCTGCACTACTTATGCATGATCAAGCTCTTCAGGGTGCCTCCCCCAATATTTGAAGAAGAACCCACACCTTGCATGATATCTACAGATTTTGTCAATTCACCAGGACTCCATGAGGTATTAAAGTGAATTTATTAAAATACTGGTGTACAATAATAGTAAAATATAAATTCAAGTACAAATGGCGTGGGTGCGTTTATTTGCGTTCCATTGATGCTCGTGGACACATTTTTATAGTTTATTATTATTGTATACCAATATTTTAATAAATTCACTTCAATACCCACCCGTAGTCCTGGTGAATTGGCAAAATCTATGTATATCACAGACTGAGAAGGGCGTGGGTTCTTCTGGCCCTCCAGAAAAAGGGGGGGAGGCACATGAAGGGCTTCATTCTCATTTGTATAACTGGTAGCGCAAACTGTAATTTCCAAACAATATTACTCTATTTGCTGCAAGCTTTTGTTGTACATTTTCCAGCTGTATCTCTATATTGGCAGTTTAAATGGGTGCTCTCTGGGAAGGTCCCCTAGGGAAGCTGTACATTCATATTATCTACTTAAGTGTACGTATGTATTTCCTACCTTAAACCCAATTTGGTGGAAGTGTGGTGTGTGTGTGTATATGTGTTACAAGGAGTACTGTAAAGCACGGTCTATATGTTTCTTCACCCAATGAAAATACCTGTATAATAAGAACATTAAAAAAAAGTATTGTGTATAGTTGTCAGTCATCCTGGGATAAAGAGGGGCGCCATCTGGAGCTACTTCTTTTCCCTACGCCATCATAAGTGATGCGTTTGAATTTGAGATTTTGGGCAATAAGATCCATAAATGAGGCAGAAAATAAACCCGAAGGTTATTTATTGATCTTTTTAGAAACCAAGGATTCATACAAATCTAATAGTAATTATTGAGATAATTATCTGGTCGTTGCAAAACCAAAGTTTACGATTTGAAGCAACCTATAAATAAATGGTCCAAGTAGGCTCCACCTAGTTAATACTGGAATGCTTGGTAGCAGTATGTGCCGTGATGGGTCTGTTTGAGTGGTTGACAAATGGTTGTAGAATTTAGAACCCAACAATTTTCAATGTTTGTTACGCAAAGGTTTAATCCCTTATTACTGGAATTTGTAAAGAGTTTATTTCTATGCAGAGAGTTATTCTAGCTTGCCATCTCTTCGTTATTCTTTTGTAGGATATTCAGAGCAGACCTTTGACTGGGATGCCTATTTGTCACAATATGAAGCAGTGGCTGCTCCCGAAAGCTGCTTCCCCATGGTGAGAACTCACTTATAAAGTTTGGGCTTTCTGTCCCCAGGCCACGTTACAAACCTCTACAGAGATATTGGGGCTTTGTTTGTTTACTGATGTAAATGCATGAAGTTGCCTTTTGTTTGAGTCCTAATTACTTTCATGTTCTATACCACTGCTCAGCTTTGTGTATATGTCCACATCTTATTACTGAAAAGTAAGGAATTTCTATTACATTATGTTCACTGTAGAGCATCCTAGAGGAGGAAAGATACAGATCCTCATGTAAGCATCACTTGAGCAATACTGATGGCTACCCTATTTCAGACGAAACCTACAATTGCAAATAAAGGAGACCAAGCTATACTTTGTTCTCTACACAGAGCCATTGCATTGTTCTTACAGTAGACTCCATAGAATTGTACAATCTACTCTAGTAAATTCAGCATAAACCCTATTTTTCGGCTAATTTCAGAGGGGGGAAAAAACTCTGGAAAAATAAGTCTCACACTATACTCATCACATTGGCTTTCAGATCTTGTAGTACATTCCTTTGAATATCGGCTGATTGGAAAACACACAAAACCCATGACGTATCAATCTACAGATCTTGCAGTGTACGCTACTCCCTGCAGAGGGAGACAATGTGCTATTCTTCTTCTACAGTGTCCTAGTTACCAAATTAAACCATTGGGAATTTAGATCATTATACTCCATTCATCCCAAAGTAAATTAGCAGATCCTATACAATGATTCATACAATGCAGGATAAATTAAAGTTAACTGAAAGGTTTTACACTATACTTTCTATTTGCAGGAAGAGTGCATTAAGGTTCAGTTAAGCACCTTACTTAACTGAAGGCTACTAAGCATTAATTCAATAACATTACGAAATGCGTGTCCAAGTATGCAATGCGTGCCCAGGTATTTTATGTTGTTGGGGTTTTTTTTTTTTGTGCATTTATATCTTGAGGTAGACTAAGTGAGTCTTCTTTCTTCCAACAGCCTCAGAATACTCATCAATTCAAAGAACACATGAAACTAGAAGCTGTCAATCCGTACAAGCCACAGGAGATATCTATTGCTTCTGTAACCAGAGTCCACCCTCCATATATCTGGCTGCAGTTTGACGGTATATGCATAATATTTACTTTGTAGCTCTGCCATATTAATCTGTCTTTTGTGGTTTTAGGCGTTTAGGTAATATTACTGCTTATATTTAATTTGTATTGTATATATATTCAAATTTTTTTCTTTAATTTACTATACATTTTTAGATAGTGTAATGATATAATCCTGCATTTTATGAGCAGTTTATTACTGTGACTACATCATCCTTGTGTGCTTTTTGATTGATAGTTTAAAATTTTGTGCATTATCTCATTCTCCTCAACTAAGAGGAGCCCTCTATGATCATGTTTAAATTTTAGAGAACAATATAAGATACATTTTTCCTGGTGAGCTGACCAAACCAGTGATAATATAAACCAGGATACACTATTAAATTGGAGAAATTAAGGATTACAGAAATTAAAATGAAACTAGATTGTCGCTTTGGAAAAATAGAATTATATCAAGGGAACTGAGATTATTCCTCATTCCAGCTTCAGCTAAAGATGTGGATTTACATGTGGTTTGGAACAGGAATTGGAACCACCTGTTCCTTGGAATTGATTATTCATATAAAAGAAAAATAGTTCTTAAAGAGCTGGATGAAGAGATTAAAGAAACACTATAGTGACACGAATACAAATTTGTATTCCAGTCACTGTAGTGTTGAAAAAAACAACAAAACAAAACCAGTTTAGGCCCTTGGTACTCTTTAAGAAGGTGATTTACTTCCCTTCGTTCCAGTGCTGCGGCTCCTTGGCTGAGATTATCAGATTATCCCTTTTTAATAGGAAATCATTGGGGGGCTATTGCGCATGTGCGGCAAAACGCCACGCTTTGCCAATGAACATCTCACAATATAATCATTGCATCTCTCTGGGCAACGCTTAGCGCCTCCATGCATAGCTTGGAGACTCTGAACGTTAGTGCTGCATATTGTGCAGGAGATTTAAACTTTAAACCAAGTTGTTTAAGGAAAGGCTGGACAAATACCACTCCTATAAAGAGAAACCATATAAAGGTAAGAGAGGGGAGCTTAGAAAACGAATGAGGAGATTGAATTAAAAGAAAATTTTAATTTGACGGATTTAGTGTAAGAAAAGGGTGAAATAACAGTACCCCAACTGGGAAATTAGTAACATGTGATTGTTTATATTGTTTATATTTACATTGTGTATATATAAAAACACTTTTTTTTTCTTCTAAATCCTATTTTAGACAATAAAGCTATAACAGGGGAAGATTTTAAATTCTAGTTTTAAAAAAACAAGTCTAATTTGTTTTCCTGTTTCTCAAGTGGGTAATGCTATAAATACTTTTAGTACTGCATATAGTGCGGATATGGAAAATCTACCCCTAGGTAACTACAATATGAAATAAAATGTAACTTTGGGGAAATCGGAGGCTTTAAAAAGATTAAGCAATAACAATATTCTAATCATTAAACTCCCTGGTAAAGGAGGGGATATGGTTATTATGACTATAGAATATTACCAGAAAGAAGCTAGATGACTTTTAGGAGACAATGACATGTATATAAAATGGCATAGTAACCCCATGAAGAAGATTAAGAAAGAATTGATTCAAGTATTGGATTATGGGAAACCTGTAGGGATTTTACATCATTAAGAATATATTTTGTTAAGGTTTTAGATCCTAGAAAACCTGTATTTTCTTTCCTTCCCAAGCTACATATGGAACTGTATAACCCACCAGGAAGATGTATAATCTGGGATAGATTCTATTATCTCCATTTTGTCTAAATATATAGATGCATTTTTACAGCCATGAGTAAAAAGGGTGAAGTCCTACCTCTCTTTATACAATTATCAAACATGAGTTAGGTTTAGAGGCCATAAGATGGACCTTGCACTAAGGTGATTCTATCTGTATGATACAAATAGAATGTATTATTGATATAATTTATTTTAACACCCTTATTTCTATAGATACTTTGTATCGCTGCCACATTGAGCTGTCTTTTGTGGTTTTAAAGGACCACTATAGTGCCAAGAAATCAAACTTGGTTTTCTGGCACAATATAGTCCTTAGGTTCCCCCCACCCTTAGGACCCCCCTCCCGCAGTTTCTCTGAAACCGCTATGTTTACAGCTGAAGGGTTAAAACCTGGGGGATCTGGCACCCAGACCACTTCATTGAGCCGAAGTGGTCTGGGTGACTATAGTGGTCATTTATGGGTATTTATCTAAGGCGCAGCAGCATGTATTTAATTTGTATTTTATATATTCATCATTTTTTTCTCCCATTTACCTTTTCGATTTTTGGATAGTGTAATAATATAATCCTGCTTTTTATGAACATTTTATTAGTGTGAATATAGTGTGTTTCTTGATTATTTTTGAAATTTAGTGCATTATAATATTTATATCACACGAAACAAGGAAAAAAAAAAAGTTTCCTGTACTAAATTTAGTCTTCTGATTTAATATAATATTACTATGTTTTTTACAAACTGTTTACTTGTGGTGTATGCTTATGCCATTTCCTTTAACAGACACTGAGATGTTGCACTTGTCTATTCCATGATGAGCAGAAATTAATGTTACTATATTATTTTTTTTTTTACAAACTCCATCAAAGCAATTTGTGGCATCTTCCCACAGGCATGAAGTCATCAGTACCAGAATGCATTGTGCATGTGGAGTCCATGGATCTCTTCCCGATGGGATGGTGTGAGAGTAATGGCCACCCTCTTTGTGCCCCACCTCATACAAAAGGTAGGATCATCTTTGGCAGTACACAGTGGTAAAACTAAACCAAACCCAGTGTCCCAATAACCAACGTGTTCATACATTCTTGATTCATAAACTCTCTCTCTATGCCAGACTGGAGAGGTTACTTTGCTTTATTTTGCAGTGTAACTGGCTGCCTCTGGTTTGCATAATCTGCCCCCTACTGAATGTGCCCTGATGACTGTTTTTCAGCTGCTGAATGGCAGTGAGAATCTTTGATTGTGGAAATGTCAAAGAGAAGCGTGATTTCAAATGATTTTACAATGATTCAGACAGGGCTATATACTAAACTGGGAATTGGCGAGGAAATGCAAACTTTAGTCCAAACTAGCTTAATTGGGAAAACTCTAAAACCAAGCCTTTTACTATCTTGCCTGTTCACAGTTTAGTGAATAACTCGACAAAACTGGAAAAAAGTCTGGTTTGTAGAATGTTTCCAAATTGTTTGCTTGAAATAACCCTTAAAGGGACACTGTAGGCACCCACACCACTTCAGCTCATTGAAGTGGTCTGGGTACAGTTTTCCTGTTGCCCTTAGTGCTGCAGTGTAAAACATTTTTAGAGAAATTACATTCTAGCACTAAGTCCGCCTCTAGTGGCTGATTACCTTTTGTCCGGTATCTGACGCTGGACACCCTAACGCTCTGCATGAGGACCTCCAGCATCAGATTTTTTTCCCCCATAGGAAAGCATTGATTCAATGCTTTCCTATGGAGAGGTCTAATGTGTGCGCCATTGCCGCTCATGATCATTAGAGCCCTCTCGTCACTGGATGACGGAGCTATGACCCAGCCCGAGGGACATCGGCACCAGATTCAGGCAAGTAAATATATATCTTTATTCACCGAGGAGTGAGAAGCACGAGGGAGGGAGGAGGGAGGCAGGGGGAGCGATAATGCCAGAAATACAGCTTTGTATTCCTGGCACTATAGTGTCCATTTAATGCTATTTTACTACTATAACAGGCTGAATGTTTCAGTCCACGAGGGGATTTGTCAGTCGGTTAGTATTTTTTTTTCTGTGTCTTTAATAGCTATCTATATTATATACCTATGTATTTGTCTCACAGCAAAACCACCAAAGAAACAAGTTGCCTCTCAGCCTGAGAAAGCGTAAGTATATAATAAATGACTAGAAATGTACTGCATTAACCTACTCTGTGTCAGTCGAATGCTGCAATCTGTTTCATTAAAGGGCTACTCAAACCAAAACCAGTGTTTTCAAACCTAAACAAAATAAACTCTAAAAGGCCACGTTCTCTCTGAATCCCGATCCAAAGGGAAGGAAGGTCAGGGAATATGGATTGAGGGCTGTACAGGAACAGCAGGCGGAGAAGGGCGTTCAACCATTGTCTGTCTGTGGCCAATATACTGTACTTGCTAGAATCCATTTTTGCACAGAATTGACACTGATGACACTGCTGCAGGTGGAGTTACATCTTTGCCAGCTAACAAGCTAATGTCTGTATGTGCAGCGTTCCATATAGAAAAAACCCTGTATGTACACACTCCAGGCACTGTAACTACACAAAAAAATTGGCCAAGAGGGTTATCCACAGATAAAGGGAACAGACAAGGGGTAACCCTAGGGGGATGGAACAAACAAAAAGAGAGGAATCTGTCCCTATAGTGGAAAGTGTGCTTAAAAATCTCGAAGATACTTTATTAATACCAAAAAAGGTAACTATAGACACACAGCCCCTTTAGTGTATAGGCTTTTATGGTGTCCGACTCGACATTGTGTAGCTTTATATGTGTTAGATGACATTGAGCCAGCCGTCTACACATCTAATAGACCTTCTCATGGGCAGCAGTACTTTATGCTATTATTAAGTTCTAACGCCGATTGTGGCTTTTGATTTTGCGCCTGTTTTTTCCAATTTAGCTTTGTTTTTTGTTTAGTTTTAATTACACCATAATATTGGAGATTGCCACCAACAGCTTTGCTCCAGATTATTTGTTTAGATTTATGTGACTCACCTTTTCTTGTGTCATCCTCCACTCCCCTTATCCCATATATGTATGCCCCCTGCATAAACTACCGTTATTGCTTCTGTCTGACCAAGACAGTTTTTTTAAAGGGGCTGTGTGTCTATAGTTACCTTTTTTGGTATTAATAAAGTATCTTCGAGATTTTTAAGTACACTTTCAACTATAGGGACAGTCACTGTAACTACTTCAAATTACTGAAGTCTTTATGGTGCTTGGACTAACTCTCTTTAAATGTAACCTTCTCATCAGAGAGCAGTGTGCAGCTTTTTGTGAAGGAAAGAGAAAATGGGGGTGATGCTGAGGGAGGGGGGTTGATGGTGAGGGAGGGGGGTGATGGTGAGGTGATGCTGAGGGAGGGGGGTTGATGGTAAGAGGGGTGATGCTGAGGGAGGGTTGACGGTGAGAGGGGGTGATGCCGAGGGAGGGGGGTTGATGGTGAGGGGGATGCTGAGGGAGGGGGATTGATGGTAAGGGGAAGGTTGATGGTGATGGGGGTGATGCTGAGGGGGTGTGTGAGAGGGAAAGATGTCTCCATTAATTCATTGGATGTGCAGAAAACCTGTTATACAGTACATAATGTACGCTTTGTGAAATTGCCACAAATGGACAATTAAAATTCTTTAACTCTAGACCTACCCCAACTTCTCTACCTCAGCTTTTTTGATTATGTCTGTCTGTCTATATATCTGTCTGTCCATCCATCCTCAATATTTAAAGTCCTATGCTACTATCCAGGCCTTAAAAGTCAGAGGCGGCTCTAGACTTTATGAGGCCTTAGGCGAAACTCAAACATGAGGCCCCACTAACAAAAAAGTGAAAAAAATAGAGTTGCAATACATGCACACTGTCACATACACACATTGATGCACAGTTTACCTGTGTATGTGCCTGAGAGTGTGTGTCTGACAGAGAGTATCCTTGTATGTGTCTGTGAGCATGTTTTTGTCTGGGACCCTATGTGTATGGGGTAGCTGTTTGTGTGTGTGTGGGGGGGGGGCGGTGTTCTGCCTGTAGCCTTTGTGCATTGTGTTTATGGCAAAGCTATGTTTCTTGACTGTGTGTCTTCTTGATGAATGTCTTTAGCTGGTGACTGTGACAAGATGAGTAAAGGGATACCAGTGGCAGGGAGAGCGTGACAGGGGGAAGTGGGTAAATGGACAGGGGGGTTGTGAGAGAGAATGAGGGACAGGGAGTATGACATGGTTTGATGAGGAAGTGTGACAGGGCGAGTGGAGGTAAGTGTGTCAGGGCAATTGTGGCATGGTAGGAGGACAGGTGTGACAGGATTAAGGGGGGTTAATGTGACAGGGTGAGTGTGGCAGAGTGAGGGCAGGTGAGTTTGGAGGGGATGAGATTAACAGGATTAGGAGTGGTTAATGTGAGTGTGGATGCATGAAGAAGCAGACAGCGTGGGGGGTGACAATGTGTGGGGAGGTGACAGTGTGAGTGGATGCTAACCGTGTGTCTGGGGAGGCTGTGTGTGTGAGGAGGTGATGGTGAGAGGGGGGTGGTGGGAGGGAGGAGAGAGGGGTGATGGTGAGGGAGTGGGGTGATGCGAGAGGGGGTGATGCTGAAGGAGGGGGTTGAGGGTGGGGGGTTGATGGTGAGGGGTGATGCTGAAGGAGGGGGTAATGGGGTGATGAAGGAGGGGTTGATGGTGAGGGGTGATCCTGAAGGAGGGGGTTGAGGTGGGGGGGGGGATTGATGGTGAGGGGGTGATGCTGAAGGAGGGGGGTTGAGGGTGAGGGGTGAGGCTGAGGAAGGGGGGTTGACGATGAGGGAGATGATGGTGAGGTGATGCTGAGGGAGGGGGAGTTGATGGTGAGGGGGATGATGGTGAGGTGATGCTGAGGGAGGGGGAGTTGATGGTAAAGGGAGGGTTGATGGTGATGGGGGTGATGCTGAGGGGGTGTGTGAGAGGGAGAGGGGGGAGACATACCTTGATTTAACCCTGGTGGTCCGGTGGGCATTACTTCCGGTCTGCAGCTCCGCAGAGCTGTAGACCGTGAATCTCGCTAGATCCAATCAGAGCGTTGCCGTTGTTCTATCAAAATCCCCTACCTCGTGAAAATCCCCTACCCTCGTCACTTTCGGTGAGGGGAATCAGCTGGATCCTGTGCTGCACAAGCGTGCTAGCACTCCTGCTACTCCTCCACAGCAAGGTCCTGGAAGGTAAGTAAAACTAGTTTTACACTTTCATTATAGTTAGTGCATTCACTAAGCTTAGGCACACAGACATTTAGGGTTAAGTGAGGGTTCAAATTAGGGTTAGGTAAGTGATTCTAACCTCTCTCACACTCTATTCTTACCCTAACCCTTGGGGTAAGGGTTAAAATAAAGTGTGAAAAGCACAATTTAGTGATATTCCCCTAATGTGAAATATCACTAAATATGAACATGTCCCTAATCCTAACCCTAATTTGAACCCTAACATTAACCCTAAATGTCCTAAGCTTAGTGAATGCACTAACTATAATGAAAGTGTAAAACTAGTTTTACTTACCTTCCAGGACCTTGCTGTGGAGGAGAAGCAGGAGTGCTGCAACGCATGTGCCGCACAGGATCCAGCTGATTCCCCTCACCGGAAGTGACAAGGGTAGGGGATTTTCACGGGTAGGGGAATTTGATAGAACACAGTGTTAACCCGCGGAAACGCTCTGCTTGGCCAGTTCTCGGCGAGACACATGGTCTGCAGCTCTGCTCACTGCGGAGCTGCAGACAAGTGTCTGCGGTGGCTGGCCAGGCAGCCAGGAGGGGCCTCGCACCCGGCGGCATTCTGAGCAAGCCCCCAGGCCCCCTCCTGGTGTCGGGTCCTCAGTCACTGACCGAGGACCCGACACAGTCTGCCTACAGGCGGTTTAGGCGGCCGCGAGGCCCCAGCCAGCGCGAGGCCTTAGGCGGCTGCCTTAACCACCTAATTAGAGAGCCGCCTCTGTTAAAAGTTACTTGTCACTGCAAGTCTTACTATACTCATCAGGGTGAATTTCAATGCGCGAGTGCTAAATACCAAAGGCTAGTGGAAATCTTTAGTGATGTGTGTGCGTGTGTTATTTATTTCTTTTTGGCAGGGTCAGAATCCATATACAGAGGAATATACCTTATTTAGCTCACCCACGTAGTTCATATTACATAGAGTGGGTAAAGATGTACAGATGCATTGCCTTTAGCTGCCCACAGATATTAACATGCTGGCAAAATCAGACCGTTTTTAGATTTGATGTAATGCCATTTGTTCAACTCTAATTGGATCACTTTCTTGCTGATCACAGCATATTAGAGGCATTTTGAATGTTTGTGTCCCAGTTTCAAGCAAAAACAAAAGTACAAATCTGCCATTTCCCTTCACAGAAAAAATCACCCAGGTCAGCTGTGAATGTCTTTATTTGGTTATTCTTCATCCAGTATTCCTTTAGATAAGCAATATCTAAATAGAATTAATATAGTTGGCAACTAGATGTGCATGCTTTATTTATATTTATAGCATTATTTATTTATACTTTTATTATTATTATTGACATTTATGTAACGCAGGGCTCGACAAATCCCAGGTCGACATGGCAACTAGAAATTTTGCCCTGGCGTCTGGGATTTGCCAGCTCTTTAATGTGGCCAAGGAAGCTTTGAAAGTAGCTGGCCACCTTGAGGAACATGGAGGCGGCCGGCTGAGGCAGCATGGAGCATTGTAGGTGATGCGTGAGGGAGCAGTACTCTTCTTGCAGCTCCTCTCTGCTCCCTCGCGCTGTGTAATGATGCCGGGAGCCAGAATATGACATCACTTCGGCCCCTTACAGAGAGCATTCAGGGAGCGGAGAGGAGCTGCAAGAGGAGTACTGCTCCCTCGCACACAGGAAGATAATAGCCCCACTGGTTTCCAGGGAAAAATACACAAGTGGGTTTCTGAGTAAGTGTGTGTGAGCCTGTCAGCGTGATAGTGTGAGCCTACCAGAGTGTGTGTGTGAGCCTGCCAGAGTGTGTGTGTGAGCCTGCCAGAGTGTGTGTGTGAGCCTGCCAGAGTGTGTGTGTGAGCCTGCCAGAGTTTGTGTGTGTAAGCTTGTCAGCGTGAGTGTGTATGTGAGCCTGTCAGTGTGTGTGTGTGTGTGCGCGTACTCGCGTTTAGGTACCTGCCCCGTCTGATCGCATGAGGAAGATTTTTTTTACTCACCTCTTTTACCATGCCGTGCTAGTTTTGCCGCGACCGGTCCCACTTCCATGGCTGAGATTATCAATCTTTATGATCTCAGCTAAGCCAGTGCTTTCCCTTAGGAAAGCATTGGGAGGATTTTGTGCATGCGTAGCAAATGTGCCAATCTGCATTTCCTCATAGAGATGCATTAAATGAAGCTCTGTATGGAACATGCAGTGCCTCCATGCAGAGCTTGGAGACACTGAACGTGGGTGCTGCAGCAGTGACCCAGGACACTCTAGTGGTCGTCTGAGTGACTGTCAGCAATGTAAACACAGCCTTTTCACTGACTGGCTCCTAACTTTTTTAGCTGGCTCCTAGATTCCAAATAAATTATCAAGCCCTGATGTTACGTCAACGTATTCTGCTGCGCTTTTTTTTACAATATTATAAAAGCAGGAAATTTAACAGTCAATGAGACATTTACACAATCTTACAGGAACAATAGGTTGATGACGACCCTATTAAAATTATCTTAGTATGGATAGATAAATCTATATTTGCTGGGCTATTGAAGGTTGTTGAAACCTTGTTTTATGACTAATATTTTAGGATCATTTTAAAATCTTAACAGCAAAGGTACACTAAAAGTGATATTCACTAACTGGACTAACTGCAATAAGAAAATGATTTATGCTGGAGTACACGTGCCCCATAGGAAACTATAAAAAGCACAATTGCATTAGGCATGCACTAAATGGCAGTGTATTGATGTGCATCAGAAAAGCCATTTCAATGGTGCAGATGCTACATCTAGTGAGACAAGGTGTACGGTCTCACCATGTGTGCTATGGCAGTAATATTAACTTTCAGTGCCTCAATGTGCTCCTATCCATTTTTGCACTGAAAATGAAAGTAACATAACATTATATATGCTTAGCATTCGATAACTGAGAGTCTATCAGCGCTCTCATTGAGAGCTGATCAACTCTCTTCATAAAAAATAAATAAGTACATAAAATATATATATATATATATATATATATATACACACATATATATATATAGGGTTCCCCTATTGGCTTAAATATAAAATAATCTATCTTTGCCATCCAGTCCAACTATTATGAGCACTATCATTGGTTGTCTTGGAAAATTAGCAGCCACAGTGCTCTGATGAGCAATTCTCCCTGTTGGGGTCCCTATTATTATGCAGGGTTTAGGAGATTAGGCAGCTCTTGAAACCTATTTAATATAGAATCCACTCCGAATCCATGGGGTGGATATCCCTAGCATGACTGGAGACAGCCTGTGATAGTAAACATTATTATTATTAATTTATTTTTGTCAATCTTTCTTTTATTGAGGCATTTGTTAAATGGGGTACAGAATAAAGAAGAGGGGATGTACGTTTTTCATACAGATTGGGAGCATGATAACACAATGCAACATCTCCTATGAGTGACAGCCTCATTTATATTAATTAAGGGTTCCAAAATATTACTAACAAGTTTAGCATAATAATAGTAAAAGTAGTTAAATTTAAGCAAAACATCTAGTGGATTATAGTGGATTATAACAATTATGTGACATGAGGACCAGTGCACATGTTATGTTAATGTGGGGGAACAGTAGCATATCGGCACGTTTTTAGTAATGATGAGTGGTCCAGACAAAGTTAGACTAGAGTATTAGCTTGGGTTAGGCGGGTGCATACGATAGGTGCCTTAGAGTTAACGCTTGATAGGAGACGTTATGGTAAGGTAACTCGGGCTTAGACATATTAACAAATATTATAGCTTGAACTGATAACCTAAATGCGATAAATACCATAGGTAGAGCCTAACATGCAATGCGTGTATCTATACAGGCCACAATAGCTTGGGTTGTGGTTACAAAAAAATCAATGAATGCGAGTGTCATGTTTAGTGGCTTGCAGTATGGTACATCCTCACTATAACATTGGTCTAATGACTGCGATTCATCCTGCTCGTTAACCTTAGACTAGACTGCACTTCTGTCCTGTGTGATATGCACTTTTCTACAGTTAGACCAAGTAAATGCTTATTATAACAATGTTGAAAAGTAGGAGCTTAAGATAGACGCTGCATGTATCGTAATTATGCTTTAAATTACATAAGAACCAACTAGTCAGATATGTGGCTAAACATGATAAACTTTGTTGATAAGCTGACTATACAGTTGTTGTTTAGGCTTGCGCATTATAGGCCCTGCTGAGTCCCTAAGACTGTGTAGGCAAGAGTTAAGTAAGAGTCCCCAGGAGGACCCCACAGGGTCTTAGATTAAACTAAGTGAGGGCAAACAAGATAGCGATGGATATTATAGGTGTGCTGAAACCTGTAGTCATCATAACCTGACATGTTGTCTGCTTTAGTTATAGTCTGTCCAGTGAGCTCTTGCTGTGTCTCCACATTTAGTTCTGTAGGAGCATAGCCCTTCTCTGGCGCAGTCCGTCTCGTTCATCCGATGCCAGCTCTGGAGGCTTGACGGGTGAGCCATGGGCAGTGGCAGAGTTGCTGCCGCCATAGTGTTCCTTCCCTCCTGCGCCCGTGTCTTTCGCTGGGAGGAGGCTGGGCCTCTGTCCGGGTGGCCTCGCGGCTGTCTGCGTGGATCTTCGCTTGTGGGGTTGCTCCTCGCCGGCCGGAGGTCTCCAGTGCCGCTGAGTGGTGAGTGGGTCGGGTGGGCTTAGTGGTCTTGCTTTGGTGTGTGTGAGGCAGAGTGCTGGCGTCTGAGGGATATGTTGCCATTTCCCGCCACCTTGCTCCGTCTCTGGCTGGAGGTCACCCTAGGGCGCCCGTGGTAAGTATCTGCACAGGTGGCGACGGGTAGCCGGTCGAATCCATCCCACCACTGCTCTCATGGTTAGGTGGAAGGACCGACCTTTGATGTGGAGCTTTGTCCATAGGCTATTGCTTAGGTGGGAAAAAAACTCCAGGGTGTGCTTGGGTGGTTGAACGAGGGTGCTTTTTGGCGTCGGACATGCCTGTGGTTTGGTTGTAGGCTTGGTCGCTTGTTTAGTCCTCGTTGCGGGGGTAATCGTCCCCAGCGAGGACCGGGATATCCCCCGCCGCTCCAGAGGGGGGGTAGCAGGGCAGTGGTCAACGCTCATTTGTGAGCAGGTATCATGCCGGGAGGTCAGCCGGCTGGCTCCCCCAGGCCTCGGACTCCGCTCCAATGTAGGCCGCATGGCCGGTTTGTGTGCAATGGTGCATGATGGGCATCGTTCTATTCCCCGTGTGGTTCTGCTCCGTTTTTGGGGCCTCGTGTGCTGCTAGCGTGGGTAGTTTAGTCTGGTTTGTTTGTTTGCCTGCTGGTGCAGGAGCTCTCAGGGAGCAGGTTCGGCCATCTTGGCTGTCAGGCCCCGCCCCTGTAAACATTATTGATCTTTATCCTGACTGAGTATATGTAAATTCCAAAGTGTAACTATTACTCCACCTATTAAATATAGCCATAATTCATGTATTTTATCAGCAAATTAACCATAAATCACATATAGTCATTTTTCCATCTTATCAGCTAGCTATGGAAATGAGGGCAATGTCATAAATGATATTAAGTTCTGTAATAATTGTAACCAAAGCCATTATGGGCCTAGCATAATTACTGTTGGTTCTTGGGAGATGAACTCAGCTATGATATCACCAGTTGGATGCATAACTCACTGGCTGCACTGACAAGCCTGAATTTTCTACCATGTCAAAGGAGGGGGGGGGGATGTTCAGAATGCATATATTTCAATGCATTTTAAATGATAGCAGCAAATATACAATAACTATAAATAACTATACAATTAACTAAAATTTTCACAAATCTTCCCTTGGCTCTTAAAACCTATTTTATGTTAGCTGGAAAACTGGTCTCTGCAGCTTTTGAAGATCCGCCCACTTTTTGCCCAGCACTTCCTTTCTTCTTTGTTCGAGCTGGCCATTGCCCAATCAAATGCTTCTCTAAGAACAAATCTCCAGTCGCAACATTCTGATGGAGAGAAGTAGTTTAACTGTGATGTAAAAAAAATTAACACTATTCTGAAGATTCTGCCTTTAGCCTAAAAAATAAAGCTTGCTGGTGCACCCTACCATAATCACTAGAGTTGTTCTCACACTTGGTTTTCCTGACTTAATTTAATTAATTTAATTCAGTGATCCTACGACATTCAGAGTGTGGTATTATGGAGTCGAACATCTTACCGTTTACCTGAGGTTGATTTTCTTCTATTTGTAGTAAAAAGCTAGATCTGCAGGAAATCTGTCTAGTATTTTGTGGCCACTATTAAACTCATCTTGTGGCTAACGATAACGCCTGATCCTGCACCCACTTTGCTGGCAGCCTGCCATAGAATCCTGCAAAGTGCAGTATCATGCTCACACACCAGTATTGTTATAGAGATCTAACTTTTTTTTTTATATGACCAATAAATGAAGGTATTGGGTTTCTTTTTTTTTCCATATATAATTTTTATTGGTTTTGAAGAGTATTCCGGTGCTGATACATGGTGATGATGGTGATACAAACGATAATGATGACAATAGTAATAGTAATAATAATACTTTGCTGACGCAGCAGCTCATTAATCAATTACAGCATTTATAGTTACAATAGTTTCATCATGATTTTTTGGATCGCGGTCCAAAATGGCTTTATGATTGGGCATTCCCAGAATATATCTAGTAGAGACCCTTGTTTTTGTTTGCATCTCCAGCACACTGGGGAGGTGTTGGGGAACATCTTTGCCAATCTGAGGGGGACTAAGTACCAGCGCATTGCTATATTGCTATATGCTTCCCACAGAGATAGGCTTTTGGATGCTCGCTTAGTGGCGTGAAAGGCTTCATACCATTGTTGTATAGAGATTGGCTCCCCTATGTCTTCTTCCCATTTTTCCATATAGGAGTGTTTGTGCATTGATTTTCCTCTTTCTAGTGCGTTATAGCATAAGGCTAGCGGTTTGATGGAGCGGGATGTCAAGATATAACGGGCTGAGGGTACTTCTGAGTGTGGTGTGGGTGCTGCCGGTTTAACGCGTGTCTGTAGTATATTCTTAACCCTTAGGTATTTGAAAATGTCCCTTGGGTTTAGGGAGAATTCGCTTTGCAGAGTGGGAAATGCTTTCAGTTTGTTTTGGGTGTATAAGTCTCTTACATTATGTATTCCTAGATTTGACCATGTGTGGAGTGAGAGGTCGGGTGAGCTGGTCTGCAGTGCTGTTAGTGGTGCTTTCTTACGTAGTGTTTGTGCGTCTATTACCTCTGAGGCCCAACATTCCCAAGTGTGTAATGTGGTTTGCGTGCACCATAGTCCATCTTTTCCTATGGTCTTAGGCTTGTGAGACCAGAGAACATTTGGGATGATGAATGGGTGTATGCAGGCATTTTCGAGGCCAGCCATAGTGGGGTCTGTTCTGCGTCCGTGGTTCGGAGTATACGCAGACCTTGTGCCAGGAGGGATGCTCGGTAATAGTTGCGAATGTCTGGCACTCCTAGGCCTCCTCTCGTGTATGGTAGGCTGAGTTTGGCAGCAGCCAGTCTGGGTGGTTTCCTTTTCCATATGTGGGCATTAATGATAGTTTGGAATCTTTTTAGCAGTTTGGCTGACAAAGGTATGGGAAGCGTGTGAAATAGGTAGAGCACGTGTGGCAGGATCATCATTTTGATGGTGTTGATGCGCCCCAACCATGATACCTCCAATCCCTCCCATTTATTCATTTGGGACGTTAGTTTATGAATCATAGGTGTATGATTTTCCGTAGTTAGTGAGTGCACATTTTTTGTCAGTTTTATCCCCAAGTATTGGATCGATTTTGTCCGCCAGTCGAATGTATGTGTCTCCTCCAATGTTTTAATTATGTTTCTCGGTAAGCCTATGGGGAGGGCTTGGGTTTTAGCTACATTATTTTTATAGTATGACACTGAGCCATACGAGTTCAATGTTCGAGTGAGAGCTGGGATAGATTGTATCGGTTTTGTCATAAACACTATTATGTCATCCGTAAATAGGGCCAGCTTATGCTCGCCCGTAGGGGTGTCGAGCCCTCGGATTGAGGGGTTGTTTTTTATGTTATAAATCAGGGGTTCCAAGCATAGGATAAAAATGAGTGGGGAGAGTTGGCAGCCCTGGCGCGTGCCGTTGCGTCTGTGGAAGGCTTTTGAGAGGAATCCGGTGTTATATATTTTTGCCGAAGGACAGCTATATAACGCCAGGATGCTAGTTATGAGGGGTTGGGGGAATCCCATGGCTTCGAGCGTTTTTATCATGTATTCCCAATTCAGGTGGTCGAACGCTTTTTCAGCGTCGAGGGCCAGGAGGATTCCTTGTTGGTTTGATTTGTGTGCCCATTCTATTAGATTAATAAAGTTTCTTGTGTTGTCTCCTACCTGCCTACCGGGGACAAACCCTGCTTGCTCTTTCGAGATTAGTTTGGGTAGGAATGGTTTTATTCTGTTCGCTAATAACTTAGCGTAAAGTTTGATATCAGCATTTAGCAATGAGATGGGTCGGAGATTGGCACATAGTGTGGGTGGTTTGTTGGGTTTCGGAAGAGTCACTATATGGGCTTCCAGCATTTCTGGCGGAACTGCTCCTACTCTTTTTATATGGTTGAAAAGCTTGGTGAGGTGTGGGGCCAGAGTGTCTCCAAATATGTGATAGTAGTGGTTTGTTAACCCATCCGGGCCTGGCGCTTTGCGTTTGGTAAGGACTTTATTGTGGAGCAAATTTCGTTGTCCGTGAATGGCTTTTCCAAAGAGGCTTTCTGTTCTTGGGTAAGGGTCGGGAGGGTGATATTGTTAAAGAAGGCCCTCTTTGTGGGTTGGTGAGTATTTCGGTCTATGTCTAGTTGGTAAAGCGTGGCATAGTAGGAGGCTAATTCCTCCACCATGTCTTGTGGGTTGAAAAGTTTGTCGCCTGTTGCGGACGTAATATATGGCAGTTTGGAGGCTTGATATCTCTTTTTAAGTCTCCTAGCTAGCAATTTCCCTGCTTTGTTACCTTCAACATAGTGAGTTTGTTTGAGATAGCGCATGTGCCTTTCAGTGGTATTTAGGTCTAACGCATGTAGTTGGAGTCTTATTTGTTCTAATTGTTTCTGGTTGTGTTTTTTGGGTTGTTGCTTGTGTAAGGCTTCTAAAGTTGTGAGTTTCGATATCAGTTCATTTTTCTGCGAGCATGCGCGTTTTTTGTTTCTAGCTCCCATTTGAATAAGTGCTCCTCTTATTACCACCTTGTGTGTTACCCATTGGGTTGTAATGGCTGTCGTGCAATCTGCGTGATTCACAAAGAAGTCGGTGATCTGTTTATTTAAGGTTTTGGAGTTTTCTGGGTTGTCCACCAGAGCTTCGTTCATGCGCCATGTGCCCCTACCACGAGTCGGGTACGGGAGCGAAGCGTAACCGTAAGCGGCGCGTGATCAGACCATGTTATTGGACCTATAGCGACTTCAGCAAGGTGTATTTGGGTGCTTTTGTCAGTGAGGCAGAGGTCTATCCTAGAATATGTAATGTAGACCGGGGAGTAATACGTGTAATCTCTGTCTGCGGGGTAGAGGCATCTCCATGAGTCATAGAGATCATGTAGCGTGATTAGCTTGGTCAAGTTTTGTCCTAGTGAGATAGATGTGCCTTTGGGGTCTTTGTTCCCCGTTCGTCTTATATCTGCGATGGGTCAGTCGTGCAGTTAAAGTCACCGCATAGGATTACATAACCACATTTATATTTGTATAGTTTTCTCATTGCTGAGGTGAGAAAGGATTTTTGGTCCTCGTTGGGTGCGTATAGCGAGGCTATAGTGATTTCTATACCATTTAAGGATCCCACCAATATGAGTAACCTGCCGTCCCTATTGGCGTGCTGTTTGCTCATCGTGAATGCCCAGTCATCATGGAAGATTATGGAGACCCCTCTGGATTTGGTTGGGGAAAAGGCGTGAAAGGCCTGTGCATATTGTTTTACCGAAAATTTCGGTGGGTTGCGTTTACAAAAGTGGGTTTCCTGCAGACAGGCTATTGCTGCTTTGGATGAGCGCAGTTCCTGTGCAGCTAACCTCTGTTTATGGGGGCTGTTAAGGCCTTTAACATTAAGAGAGAGTAATTGCAATGAGTTAGCCATCAGGTTTGGGGTTCGGGGGTTTTTTTGTGGCCGGTGCTAGGCATGCTTCGCGGGGAGAACCCATTACGCCTTGTCGTAGGGCTGCGGTTGTCGGACCGCGCCCCTAAGGGTTTGATCGGGGTACTCATGGTGCGGTTGTGTTTGCATGATTTCAGGTGGTGTGGCCAGGTATTGGACAGTGGTAGGTACATGAACATATGCTTAAACATTAATAAAAACGAAAAAACATAAACAAAGTATATACATGATGCCCCTTGGGGTGCGGGCATTGTACTTGGTTGGTCCGCGGGCCGCTCCTGGACCGGGCCGTGGGTCAACCTGGGAGGCGTGATCTGAAGTGTGCTGCCGTGTCAACGGCCCTTTAAACAAAATGCGTGAAGTAAGGCGTCTCGTTGTGTAGAAAGTTGTTAGTTTTGCCGTTTTGTGGGGGGGTGGTTTTTTTGTTTTTTGTTTTTGTTTTGGTTTTTTTGTGTGTCGCCCTGCCAGGGCCTATGTGTTAGCTCCTATGGAGTTGGTATCTGAGGTTTCTGAGATGTGTCCTGTCAGTGCTGCAAGAGTGTCAGTGCATACATACATATTGGTATCTCTTCAGTTGAGGAATGTCACACATAGTCCTGGTCTTTCTTGTGCTGCTTACAATTAGTCCCGTTACATGTCTTGTTGTGATTGCTGTGGCTTAGGCGAGCCCGCCATGTGCCACTCCGTCGGCATTCGTTGATGCGGCTTTGTTCTTTGTGTAGGGAGGTCTTGGGTCCCGAATAGTCCCCATTTTCGAAGAAGTTGCAGGCCTTCATCTGGATTATCGATATTATGGTGCATGTTGTCTTTCCATAGTAAGAGTTTAGTTGGGTAGCCCCAGCGGGATGCGATGGGCCCTGTCCATAAGCCACCTGTCTTTCTCTATGGCCGGTGCCAGAGTGGTGCAGAGGCTTGTTATATAGTCAGGGAGTGCGTCATGGGTTACACTGTCTGGGATTCCTCTGAATCTCACGTTATTGCGCCTGGAGCGATCTTCTATGTCTGCCGTTTTTCTTTTCAGTAGTAGGTGCTCTTCACGGAGCGCTCGCAGTTGTTCTGCAAGATCATTTTGTCTGGCGCACATTTCCTCCGTCCGTACCTCTAGGCGGTCTGTGCGTTCTCCAATGTCGGCCAGTTCCCGCTTAAATTCTGCGGTCATTGTTTCATGTACGCATTTAAAGTGGTTCTCAGTTCTTGCAGCATGATAAATAGCCTTTTTTCGCTGGCTGGTGCCTCTGTTTATGAAGAGGACGTTGTGTCAGTGTCTGAATGCTGATCTGGTGTGGGAGAGTAGCCCATGCTGTCGTCGCCATCTTGCAGAGGCCTGCTTCTATCTTTCTTGGCAGGTTTTATCTGGTCCGTCATTTTTAGCTGCTTGGACGGTGCCATGCTGTTATACCTGGTGCCGGGTAAGTTATTAGCGGGTGTTACTCGCCGATTTCGCCTTATTGCAGCGTTTGGGTCCGTTGTAGCTGGGAGCTCCTACTCCATGCGACCGCACGCGTCGGCTGTCAGACACGCCCCCCAGGGTATTGGGTTTCTCATAGAAAAATACTCTTCCCCCACTCACAAAAGGGGAACTCGGGGATTCAGTGACTTTACCTTTATCACATGTCTTATCTAGAACGGATTTTTATATCTCACGATCCCGAGTTTGTTTAACCGCTAATGCTTTAGGTTAGGTTGTGGAGCTATACATACTGAGGACTTAATATTAAGCCATTTTATCAGATTTATTTGGAATAGATAGCTTTATTGCCCCCACTGCAAGAGCAGTTGTATTGATTACCATCCATCCACTGTGGCTACATTCCGTGTTTTCTGCAGCAGTATTTTATATTACTCACGATCATGTACATAGCGAACTGACAAACTTCATGTGCTTTGTCAAATATCGTCTTGCACATAGTATTAGACCGAGGTCCCTGCAAAAACTATTGAACAGGACCTTTTCATTTGCATGAATAGATGCAAGTCCACTCTGATTTCAGCTTTATTTAGATAGTCTGTTACAACATTTCTCTTTTAATTGCTGCAGTCGTTACAATACAGAGACTAAATGTTATCTTACATAGCCAATGTGGATTGCAAAACTTTGTTTTGCACACATCACTAGATGAAGGTTTCTGAAAACCTTTGAACAGAACCTCATTACGATTATACATACTTTAGTGATTATCAGGTCATTTTTCTGTACTTTTAGAGTTCAGGATTTTTTACTTGATTTTGATTTATTTGAGTTAGAAAATGTATATACTTTAGTTTATCATTTATTTTTCTTGTGAATTATCTTATATATTCACAATTAGTTATCAATTAGTTCACTGATTTGTATATACCTTAGTGTATATTTATTCTCTTGTGTATTATTTTGTATATTTACTTTTGTGGCTAGCAAGAATCACTAGTCTTTATGGATTGCTAAGCGATCGTTGCGATACCACCAGATAGGGTTACGAATCTCTGGTTATATTATTCATTTTTAGCTCGGTATCCTATTTATTTGAGATCCATAAGGTATCTCTACACACTGCCCTATACCCTATCTTTTAGTGGTCCAAATGATCTCCTTACACATATTTCTATTGACAAGCTATTTACCTGTGAATGTTAATACATTGGTTTATTATTATACTTGCGTATATTAGAATGAAAATACTTGGTTTATAATTTCATTTTTGAATATTATTTCCATTTAGGACATTTAGATTAAATTTTAAATAACTATTAAAAGTTATATTTTAAGGGCACTCACTTTCTCTCTTTTCATGATATATATACTCTTTAGTATAGAACTACTTTGATACATAATAATTAGACCTTAATTACTCTGTGGCAGGAGTTCTCATTGAAATAACATTTTATTTGTGTCCTTGTGTAATAGGCTTCTACACCCGTGGTTTAAAATACATAGAACTGCTTTTAATTGTCTGCTACTTAATACCACCCCACACTGTGGCTGTAATTAACTTTGTATCGGTTATGTAATGACCAATTCATTCTTCTTAAATGGTTTTTCATTGCCTCAATGAATTCTTATTGTTATTATTTACTTTGAATCCCCTTGCATATGGCTATACTCCTGCACTGAAGGTTACTTAATTTGCTGTTATTTTCGGCTCTGTCCTACTGTGATCTTTAATAGGCTCACAGCAAATCGACGGGAATCTCTTCTTCAGTGATGGGTGTAATTCATTGAAGATTATCTACTTTCATTTAAATTGACCCTTCTGCTTTACTACATATTTTTTTTAACTATGTAATACACCCTGATGTATAATAAACACCAAAACTTAAACAGGAGAAACGTAGAGCTACAGTAACTGTAATTAAAGGGAAACATCACTTACCATGATTTTTTAAATTGTTTACTTATTCCCTATTTTAATTTTTTTTTTTTTTTATTCTTTATTTTTCGTAGTGTAGGTATAAAAGGAATGAACAACGGAAAACATGTCATTGGTTCAAGCAATAGGTCGTTCAGACATAGAGGAATAGATGCACTTTTTAATTTTTGTATTATTTGATATAAACAAGAACTGTATCCTTAGCCAGGAATGTGTCCTGCTTGTGAGGATTGGTTTGAGTAGCTATAGAGTGTTTTGCAGGCTAGGGGGAAAGGCTCTACTTGAATAAGTGTAGTAAGTGGTGGTATGGTAGGTTTGTGAAGGTGCAGTGTTTGGAAAATTATATGTGCGGTTCTGTTGAGCCGTAGGTGGGTCAAAGAAGAAGGGGGTGTATGAGTCGGGGTAGCCCCAGGTGTTGAGGTGAGTTTGCCCTTGCATTACATGTTTTTGGTGATGTCTGAAAAATAAAATTAAATGTAGTAATCCGTTTTGCGATATGTACCTGGACTATTCCAAATCTAGATGCTTGCATCTTGTTTCTTGTTCCCTTGTCAGTTATTGTTATATGAACTATGCCCTTTCCTGTCCGAGTATCATATGAAAATAAGGTTAATAGGCTATAAGGTTTCAATTTGCAATGCATTATGATAGCTACAGCATAGCAGGTGGAGAGGAACCTATTGACTGTATCTACTTTTCTTAAACCTTTTGTGTAATACTGTGGAATGCCTGCTAGTAGTAAAATAAAGTTGACACATGTGTTCTATTATAGAATCCAGCCATCCAAGAATGTGAATGGACTTAACAAGACAGACACTACAACATGCAACACCAGTAAGAAATTACAATCTAGTTTTTTATCTGAACACCATTGTAAGAATGATGTGTGTTCACTTTAGCTTGTCTGACTCCCCATTATGGAATACAATGTTGTGTTTTGTAATCTTCTGACTAATACTAATCTGTAGATGATATTGTTAGTTAATCTGTTTATTTATTTCTTGTGCGTATTGACCCCTTAGCTTCCAATGGAAAATACCTGTGCCCTAAGATCTATTTCAACCATCGGTGCTTCTCCGGACCATATCTAAACAAAGGCAGAATAGCAGAACTTCCTAAGTCAGTCGGACCAGGCAGCTGTGTATTAGTCTTAAAAGAGGCGAGTATGGAACTCCGGATTCTGGCTCAGTTTAAGAGTAACTGTCAGTTTCCCAAATCCTGCTTTTCATAGCTAACTGTGCTTAACATACATATGTTATAGTGTAAATAACATAGACGATCTGTTTTAACCGCCCCGTCACATGATTGAAGTTTTAGGGTACAACCTTCCTTACAAGGTGTAGGTTAAAAACAGAGAAAGGGGATAATGTGGTGTATTTCCAGTCCATATCCAAATAACAAACCTGGCCTAAGAGTAAAGGAACATTCATGGCTTGCATCTAACTTTGGAGTTTTCTGTCAATGTATCTCCTTGGCTTGAAAAGTAATACAATTTCGCATGCCGTCCCCTAGATTTGCATTGGGACAATTGGGAAAGCGGAACCTTTTGGGAACAAATGTGAGGTTCTATAAGCTGAAGGGGTAATAATGTCCATTGTGTTTCATGATGACAGGTCTTATCCTTGCTTATAAACGCTGCATATAAACCCAGCCGGGTATTACGAGAACTGGAGCTTCAGGAGGAACCATTGTGGCCCCAGCACGCAGAGACAATCAAAGCCAAGTGAGTAATTATTTTGTTTCTGGGCATGAGATGTGCAGAAAAAAAATCATAAAAGATATTTTCTCAAAGTGTCAAGATAGGAAAGTGGTGCAAAGTCATTTAAATGGAATGGAAACCCCAATGCAAAATCCTTTAACCATTTGTTTACATAGTTAATGACTGTCTGACTTTTAGAACTTTGTACCACTTTCCCCATAACAACATTTTGTTAAATCTTTCCCATGTATACAGCACAGGATGTCCGTGGACTTATCTAGTGCTGTAGATCATTTCTGCAAACTACAACGTCTCTTAAAAAAGGAAAACCTAGAGAATGAATAAAAATAAAGAAAACTACAGTATAAGTTCTCATTACAATAAATGTTTGAAGGTCAGATGATAATTACTTGCTGTCTGCTTTTGCAAGGCTTTGTCTGAATCTGGCATGGGTTGTAGTTCCTTTAAACTTGTTAGGTTATAATAAGAAAATTACTCGTGAAAACAGGGGATTATCAAGTTAGATGATTGTTTTTACATTTGCAACTGATTTTCCTACACCATTCTGAAGGAACTTGGTGAGATTGAATGACTGTTGTACATCGTGACCTGTGTTACAGATTTATTATTTCTGCTCTTTGTCCATTCTGTGGAGTAAAAGTATTGCATGTTTTCACACTTTATTGGTTAGTGATTTGTATTAAGACAACACTTCATCAACGATCACAGACAAGGTAAGGTTCAATCAATGTGCAAGTTAAACACATTCTTACAATTACTGTATTGAGCAATTCGTACCTTTTACATAAAAATGTTCTGCTACATTATATTGGCAAAGAAAAAAGGACCAGTAGCTATGGTAACTGTAATGATGCATGAGGTGCTACGATAACTTGAGTGATGTTACACGTTGCAATAACATATGTCATGTTTACTATTGTTATAGCATGACATTTATTTAATGCTGTTTGTATTTTTAACTTTGGTACATCCTGTTGTATTATAGCTCAAGGATGTATGTCATTTTAGTTCCAGGTTTATTTTTAATCAGTGTTTTACATGTACTGAGGCCTTTCTGTCTACACTCTGTCCTTTATATTATAAGTGATTTTGTACTTACTCCTACAATTCTAAAATTATATTGTCTTCCTATGCAATAATGCACTTTCTTTGTGTGCTACAATTATAATTGATCTATATTAATAAAGAAGCTTAATTAGAAATTAAAAGCATCTCAATACATTTCAAAATTGAAATCTGTTCCATCTGCACGAAGTGACAATCTTGAATAAGGTCCAAGTTACTTTCATAATGTGAGATGTTATAAGCTATTCTCTATGGCTGTATGATATAGAGGTATTTTCCTAGAAATCTCAAAACAGAAGTGTTATCTTCATAATCAAGGCATTGGATTTTGATATATTTAGCAATGTGCACATCGTGACCTGTGTAGAAATGTGCCAGTTTTGTTTTATGAACACCTGGTGTTTTTTTGAACTTGGACACCCTTATCCTTTCACACCAGAAGTTGGACACCAATCTTTTATCTAGACTTCCTGGTGTAGTCATGATGCCTGCTTGGCGTTTTTCAGATATAAAGGCAAAACATATCGTGCTACAGTAGAGCTGGTGAGAACGTCAGACTGTGTACCAGAGTTCTGCCGGAAAACCTGCATCAGACTGGAATGCTGTCCCAACCTGTTTGGGCCACTAATGGTGCTGGACCAGTGCTCTGAGAACTGTTCTGTGTTGACCAAAACCAAATACAGTAAGTACTGTTCATATTGTGTTCCCAGTAGCTCTCTGCCAGAAAGAGAGGTGCAGTAAGTTTGCCTGTACATTAGATTGTAGGCAGAACTGTAAATGTCTCTGTAAGATGTAAATTGGCATGCTATGTATTTAACAAAGTTAGCGGTAACTGCAACAGCCAAGATCATTAATCTGGCACTGCTAAATATTTCGTTTTTATTTATTATTAAATTTTATAACTTTGTGTATTTCTCTTCATTTCCTCTTTTTTGCTCTTTGGCAATCCCTACACTGTTTTGATTTTAGCCATTTTTTGCTAGAGGGTAGCTTTATCTACAGATGTGTGTTTTTTTGTGGTTGTTTTGTGGAATCATTGTCCTCTCTGGAATATGTCCTCTTTGTCATTCAGTTCATTTATAAGTGAGGTGTACATGTCTGCTTCACCACAAAGAAGACCTTTCTCAAGTTCAGAACTAAGTAACTTTAAATATTGTGTACCCTTTCCATGGCACTGAGAAATTATACCTTATGGTGTACTCCAAGAAAAATTAGCCTTCTTTTTGTTTGTTTTATTTATTTATTTATTGTTTATTGAAAGATAAATTTTTTTTTTTTTTTACACAACCATTGAAGTGATAGCATGTAGAGAATCTCAGGTCTCTATAGTGTAATCATGCATTCCAAAACAAAGAAATCGGGAGATCTCTTAATGTAGGAACATAGCGGAGTTGCGCAAGTCTTGAATCTGAAGTAGCCCAGTAATCAGTATAGTAGTATAATATGTTAAACATATATCTTATACATGTAATCGTTTCCTCTATATCCAAGGTTAGACCTTGGGGAGTGATAAGGTCGATGCGGCTATTAGGTTGTTTCTTTTCTTTAATCCAAGAAATGCGGGTGGAATGTAAACGTATTAAACTGTCTGATTGTAAATGAAATCCAGAGGCTAAATAAAGTAAACAGGATTGGCACCATCTTAGTATATTTATACATGCAAAATGGGAAGACTACTATTGAGTGTTTTCCATGAACAGATTATAGGATAACCCTATATATATACGAACACTCATTTAATAAAAGCTCTGTGCGAGATTTTGGTCCACACATCAGGATGTTTCTATATCTGTGTGTATATGAATGTGATACAACGTGAAAGAAGAAAAACATGTTCTCTGTTACTTAGTAACTCAGAGCTCCCTGTCGCTGGCTGTTTGTCACATTTAATACATTTATTTTTCTCTAAGAAACAGTTCTGGCACGAAAACCCATGCAGGTACCTCCCCTCCCGTAATTAAAATTCTGGTTACGGCTTGAGGTCATACATTTAGCAGTGACGATAAGAACTGGAATAGTGAATGAGGGGAGTAAAACAATCTGTAATGAGGGAAGACGTTATGCGATGATATAGGGTGTTATCTGTCTGGTTACTGATAAGGTAAATGGTTTTTGTATACGTGCTCATTTATAATTGGCATCTTTTGTATTGTTGCGTTCAGCTCATTATTATGGGAAGCGGCGTGGGCGAAACCTTAGCAGTCCATCCGGCATACTGCGCAGCATCGAGGCTGCTTTAAAGAAACCTGCTAAGAAGAGAAAGAGAAGAAAACAATTCTTTGTTCACAAAAAGAAGCGTTCATCTACGTCTGTAGATAACACCCCTGCAGGGAGTCCACAGGTAGGGTACACTAGCCGAATTCTAACATTGTGGAAATGGCTCTAGAGCCACGTATTGTTATTTTTAATAGGGGAAATTAGAGCTAAAGCTCCCTCTCATTTCTAAACCATGTATGTGCCATAAATATATTATAGGGCATTGAAAAGTTCTAAACATTATTATTATTGCCATTTATATCGTGCCAACAGATCCCGTAGCACATATCACCCTGTAACATGAATGTTGTGAAAGCTTGCCATCTGGCATTTGTTGGACTACAACTCTCATCACCATTAATTTGCCAGCTGTCTACCCAAACCTGACCTTGAAGAAATCATAGATGTGCCCATTCTTGTTGTACCTGCATTTTTGCATTTAATTGTCTGGTTATCAGTCTGTCCTTGACTGGCTAATCACAATTAGTGACGTCCTCAGGACCACAAGCTAGTTTAGGTCCATAAGTTGGTCTTGGTGCCATGTCCCTGGCAAACCCTGAAACTGAAAACATTGCTGTTCTTCAGTAACGGCAATTTTTACATTGCAGTGTTAACATACCTCTAGAGGCTCTCTCCCGGACAACCACTAGAGGTACTGAGGTACTTCTACCGCAATAGCAGAGTTAAACCCAGCTTTCCTATAGGGAAACATTGGATTGGCTGAAATCATCAACACTGATGATCTCAGCCAAAGAGGCGGAGCGGAATTGTGGCTACCAATACAGCTATGTCTGAAAGGTCAGTAAATCTCACCTTTCAACCTTTCACGGTGGGGGGACACTAAAATAGGTAGTTTAAAACTGTAGCGCTAGAAATAAATGTTCCTTTAAAGTTATTGAGGACCATAGACTTCTTAATACTTTCCAGTCAGGATATAGAACAGAAAAAAAATGATTTGAAACAAATTTAATTAAATTCAGGAATTACATGTGATAGTTCAACTGCAAAGATGCTGCTTTTTTCGTTTCCCTTCTCCTATCTGTCACATTTGGCTTTATATGCCACACAGTGATATAAATCCACTAATAAACCAACGGACTTTACTGTACAGGAAAATCTTTCCCTGTTTCAGGAATCCTAGTGCTTTCATAGTGTCATGCTGGAAGTTAATCAAATCCACATATTCACATTCTTATTGTCTGCTGGCCTCACATCTTCCCAAGTGCATTTTTTTACCATAAATCTGTGATGTCATTTCCCAGATATGCTGTTGGCTTCAACTTTCATTTACTCTTATTTTATAAGGAAATAATATTTAGTTTCAAACTTTTTTTATTATCAAGGGTTTTTCAGTTTCGGCAAATATAGGGATCATAAACAATACATATTAAGTTAGCCAAATATAAAATTAGGCATACACAACATTTCGTTTAGAGGAATATCACAGCAAAAGTAAAAAAAAAAAAAAAGAAACAAAACATTCCTAATAAAACAAGGCTCTAATATATTTGAAATTGAAGCATCATAGGGGAGAGTTAACCAGGTTTGTTAATTTGTATTTTGTTCTGCCTTTTTTTTTTTCCTTTTTCTCCTTCATTTTTTCCCCCTTCTCCTTTTTCCTCTCCTCCTCACCCCCTTTTCCCTTTTTTATTATAGAGGGTCGGTATGTTTATGCTAGAGTATGTTTATGCTCTAACTCTAGCAAGGTACCAATCCATAATTTTAAATCGATTTAATTTTGGAGTGGATAGATCTATCCGAAGAACCAATATAAGGTTGCCAATTTAGAAAATAATGGCGTCAAAGTGATGATTTTTTTTTTTTTTTTTTAAATGAGGCTTCCATCCAATCCATATTAGATAGAAAATACATTTTAGTGTGCAGCAATGATAATGTAGGTGATGAGGGGTCAATCCAGTGATGTAATATATATATATATATACGCTACTATACGTACGTGCTGCAGACAGGATCATATTGGTTCATTTTGGAACGTTTTGATATGTCTGCTGATATCAGCAATGTTGCTAGTGGTGGAGAAATATGAAACGGTCTACCCAGTAATCAAGTTATCTCACACAACCACAGAAACGGTGGTAAAGGTCTGCTCCGTTTTAGCTGATTGTTTAAAGTGTGGGGCTGACGGAGCAGAACTTTACCACTAATTTTGGGGTTGTGAGGATTCCGGTATTCTGGAAAGAAGTTTGACTATATCACTTAATTTTTTTCTAAATTGGAAACCTTATATTGGTTCTTCGGATAGAGCTATCCAATCCGAAATGAATCCTACTTTTGAAATTACGGACTGGTACCTTACTAAAGTTAGTTATAGCAGGTCAGACCCCTTCAGAATAAACATACCACACCCCTTCAATGGAAAAGGAAAAGTGGGAGAGGAAAAGTAGGGGAAGAAAAAGGGGGTAAAAGATTAACAAACCTAATTAACCCCTCTATGCCCTCAGCAGTGCAAGATATAGATAGTAAATGTGTTGGATTGTTATACACAAAAGGAATAATATAGTAACAAAGTATGTACAGTTCTTAGTCCCAGATGGACCAGAGGACTTTTCCCCTAGTTTGTTGTAATAAAAGTCCATGTGAGAAATTAAGTGTGAGACTCGCTGAGTGTGCAGCTCACAGTTGATCAAATTAACCAATTAAAATGGCGAATGGCGGTGGAGCAGTAGCTGAATAATTGGAGGTCAGGGCCTATATGATTTGCTAGCCCATTTTTGTTCTGTAAACTCATGGACATTTACACATAAAGTTCTAAATGTTAGCGATTTATATTTATTGATTCTTTCTTTTTTTTTTTTTTCTTTTTTGTGCACATAAAAGAAGTTACAAATGGGCCTGTCAAACCCCAACAGCATAAACACACATGTTAACAATGCTCTTCCAAGTGGGCATGGAAATAACAGTGCACAGTTTTATGTCCTGACATTAGGTCTATATACAAGCTTGATTAGTAGTGATTTAAGTCGTAAGCATAGAAGATGGACATTGTAGGGCAGCTGGTTAGTATCGAGCGGAGACTACCCATTTTAGAATCTAAGTATCAAGTCGGCGTTTTGCAGACTCCGAGGTAAGGGTCTCCGTTAAAAAAGCCATGTCATACTGGTCCAAGGCTCCAATCTTCATAGTAATGCATATCACTGTTACATATCATCCCGTCAAGGTCAGGAACTTGATATACAGAAAGTGTATGCTAATACATATATTAAGTGGAGCCCTGTAAGAGAGGTCCAGAGAAGAGTGCGAGAGAGAAGAGTAAAAGACGGGGGGCGGGGGGGTGTCGGAGGGGCAGGGGACGAGGTACCAGCAGAGGAGCCCAGAGGACTACTGTCCCATGGTTACCATATTTTGTGGAATGCCTTAGTATTTCCCCTCACTCTAGCTGTCAAGTCGTCCATCAGACCAGTCTCTTTGATTCTGTTTATTACGCTTGCAGTGTGGGGTAGTTCCTGTTTTAGCCATGTGTATGCTATAGCATGTCGTGCCGCCAATGTGATTTTATGTAGCAACGTTTGTTCTTTACGGGTCCACCCGTCAATTGATCTATTTAGAAGATATTCCCATGGTTCTAGTTCCAGTGCTCTGGAGTCAATAGTGTTTTTATAGCCCTCCAGAATGACTTGACGTGTGGGCACTCCCACCACATATGTAGGTACGTCCTCTTCTCCCCACAGTCCCCCCAGCACACGTCAGTTGTGGATTTGTGCATTTGATATAGTTTGACCGGGGTCGTGTACCATCGGAACATCGTCTTAAACGATTGTTCCTGTAGGGTGACGCATACAGATGTCGTGCTGTTGGCCTCCCAGATCTCCTGCCATTCTACTCCCTCCAGTTCCTCTCCCAAATCTTTTTCCCACTGGTCAGTGTATGGGAGACCACCCCATTCCCCTGTTTCAGTGCAAAAGTGTATGTAGAGTATTGTGATCAGGCCCGTGGGGATTATGTCAGATATGCATATGCGTTCGAAGAACGTCAGTGGTTGTTTTGCGGCCTCTTATGAGAGACTGTCTGGCAAAGTCTCTGACCTGCACGTACCGGTGTAAAGTGGTGTCCTTGTTTGAACTTGTCAAATGGAATAAGCTCCTCCCCCTGGTAAATATTAGTGTATCTTCTGAATTCACGCTCCTTCTAGGTTTCTGAAATATATTTATTCATCTAAAATGATATGCTGTATTCAGACTTCAATTTTTTTATGTTTATGTGGTGACAAATAATTTGTTTTTTTTATTGAAGGTTACTTTTAGCTAGCGAGATGAGGTCTCCATGAATATCTCTGTATTTATCTCTGCCTAGTTGAAGGCTAACCAGGTTGTATCTCTCCAGCTGTTGTGAACTACATATCCCATGATGCTTGGCCAAACAGGTGCTTTTGTGCAGTTTCACCATAGCAAGAATTCCACTTGTATGTACTCACTGCATTCTCCTCTTACTAAAGGGAAGTGGTGATGAAGAGGAAGATGAGGGTGATGAATACTCACCCAGTGAAGAGAGTATCCAGGAACATCAAGAAGGATCTGAGATTTCAGGAAAGGGATCTGGTTCCACCTCTCCTACCCGGAGTGAAAACTCACTATCCTCTGAAAAGAAAAGGAAACATTGGTTTTCTGATAATGATAAACGTGTCATTACCAAGGTAAATGTGGTCCTAGTGATTCCTAACTAGTCCTGGATTCCAGTTCAGTATTTAGGTGATTTCCTGTTCTATTCCTGTGGAGACATTGACAAAACCTAGACTCTTGATTAAGTTAATAACAGTGCTTTTAATGTTCTGGTAAAATGGAGAATCAATTTTTTTTAAATGGTAGTGATATATTTTATGGGCTCACAAGAGGGATATTTTGCAAGCTTTCAAGACCCTAAGATCCCTTTATCAGGCAAATGCATTGGTCATGGAAGCCGGGGGGCCATCGGTTGGTCCATGAACTGAGCCACCCAGTAAGCATGTATGATCAGGGGACCTTTAACAGCGCAACCAGGACTGGCCGTTTAGCGGTGCTGTGAGGAAGTTTGTACAGGTCACTTCCCAACAGAGCTGCATGGGAAGAGAGAGGAGGAGGCACAGAGAGGAGGGAGAGAGAGCGATCACACATGGTCAATTCACAGATTCCCATCAGCTTTAGTTAGCACCTGCTACCGCCAGTGGACCCCAAGGAAGCCCCTCTCCTGCACCCAAAATATATGTAAAATTATCTGTATATGTTTTCATATTATTATTATTATTATTGCCATTTATATAGCGCCAACAGATTCCGTAGCGCTTTACAATATTATGAGAGGGGATTTAACTATAAATAGGACAATTACAAATAAACTTACAGGAACAATAGGTTGAAGAGGACCCTGCTCAATCGAGCTTACATTCTATAGGAGGTGGGGTGTAAAACACAGTAGGACAGGAATTTGCAATCAAATAAGGTGGGCTGCCCTTTAGGAGAGGGCAAGAGACAGGTATGTGAGGTAGGGGTTAGTCTTGGAGGCCATAAGCTTTCCTAAAGAGATGGGTTTTAAGGCACTTCTTAAAAGATGCAAGACTAGGGGAGAGTCTGATGGCGGGAGGCAGGCTATTCCATAGGAAGGGAGCCGCCCGCGAGAAGTCCTGCAAGCGCGAGTTGGCCGTACGGGTGCGGACAACGGACAGGAGGTGGTCACGGGCAGAGCGGAGAGACCGAGAAGGGACATACCTATGGATCTGTGAGGAGATATAAGAGGGGCTAGAGTTGTTCAGTGCTTTATAGGTGTGAGTTAGTGCCTTGAATTGACTCCTATAGCACACAGGAAGCCAATGTAAGGACTGGCAGAGGTGTGAGAGAACCGACTAGAGAGGAAAATCAGTCTAGCAGCAGCGTTCATTACAGACTGTAGGGGTGCAGTACGGCTTTTGGGAAGACCAAGCAGGAGAGGGTTACAATAATCCATGTGGAAAATTACTAAAGCATGGACAAACTCCTTGGTAGTATCAGGTGCAAGAAAGGGGCGGATGCGGGCTATGTTTTTAAGATGGAATCTACAGGATTTGGCAACATGCTGGATGTGAGGCTCAAAGGTGAGACCAGAGTCAAGTATGACGCCAAGACAGCGCGCTTGCAAGGATGGGCTGATGTTGGTACCACAAACTTGAAGGGAGAGCGAAAGAGGAGGATCAATTAGACAAGGAGCTCAGTTTTTGAGAGATTGAGTTTCAGAAAGCGGGAGGACATCCAGTCAGAGATGGAAGAAAGGCAAGCAGTGACACGTTGCAGGACAGCAGGGGAGAGGTCCGGGGAGGAGAGATATAACTGGGTGTCATCAGCGTACAGGTGGTAGTGGAATCCAAATGAGGTAATAAGTTTGCCAAGAGAGGCAGTATAAAGAGAAAATAGAAGGGGACCAAGGACGGAGCCTTGGGGGACTCCAACCGAGACAGGGCGAGGGGAGGAGGTATCATTAGAAAAAGAGACACTGAATGAGCGTTGGGAGAGATAAGAGGAAAACCAAGAGAGGACAGTGTCACAGAGACCAAGCGATTGCAGAGTTTGAAGAAGGAGAGCATGATCAATATGTATATGTATGTGTGCATGTATCCCAGCATTCAATTGTCAACAAAAATGCACCTCTGCAGTCAAACTCCTACACCACATACAAATGCATCCCTGTATTAAAATGGCAACAGTATATACAAACACACTTCTGCAATTAAACACTACGCACAAACACAACCCCTGTATTCAAGTGGCAACACCAGACACAAACACATGCTTGCATTCAAGCGCCAGCACTTAATACAAGACCACCCTTGCATTCGAACAACAACACTACACACAAACACAACCCTAAAGTCACACATATATACTCAGTACAAAAACATGCTTACGTTTAAAAACACTGCTATCAAATACGGTGTTTGGATAGGCAAATGGTATATCCCAGCTAGCTAAGCATTGGTGGGGGAGGGGGGATCTAGGAACCTCTTTACATTAGCACAACTTGTGCATCAGCCATTCCCACAAAATATTCTGTATATAGCAGGTAAAGACGACTGGTTCATGTGACCACTTTTAATCTGCTGTATCCCAAGAAGACCACCATTAAGATTTACTTGGGAGAATAAAAAAAACATACAAACAAATACAACCTTTCCTTAAAAAAAAAAAAAAAAAAGTAAACTGTTTCTAACGTTCTTACACAGCAGTAACTTCTTTTAGACAGTAGATGGCCACATAACCTATCTTTTTATTGATACACATAAATAGTAACTGGTGCTTCTTTTTCTTCCAGGATATTAAAATTGAGTTAACTGAGCCATTGACACTTGACAGTAATCCACTGGACTGGAACATCACTGATGTCATGAATTATATTAAATCTACAGACTGCGCTCACCTGGCACGGCTCTTCCAAGAACAGGTATGATCAGTGCCTGAAATATACCAGGCTTATCGTTGCCAATTGTTACCATGACTCAGGTGTTCCCCAGGATAGCATTGAGTTTACATTTTCCAGAGCAAAGCATTTGAAGAATTTTTCCTTATTTAGAAGATCAGTAAGCAGTCTTTTTTACTAATCTGGGCAGCAAATTGCATGGCGTGGTTATTTCCAATGGTGACTTGCAAGTGCTCATCAGGTTTCTGGGCAACAAGTAAGAATCTTTGATTTTAGTTGTTCAGAGTTACAAGCTTATGAGTCATTTCTTTATGAGAAATTGTCATCCATATATTTTAATGCTGCGATGGGAATCGATTTATTTAGAATAAAAAAACTGTACAATGGAATAATGTGAGGTAGGATATTAGAAGAACAAATAAAAGACAAAGAGCAGTTGAGTCTGTTTTTTGTTGTTTTTTTTGCTTGTAAGAATCAATGGAAACCCATACAATGAGAACACTTTAGTGGATGATAATACAGGATTGTTTAGTAAGAATCCTATCCGCTAGTGGTTTAACAGCAGAGGGACAGTTTTGCAATGCATGAGAAAGGGGAGAAGGGACCTGAATTTAGGATGGCTCTTTAAGTAGAGCCTATACCAGATTCAGGCAAATGTAAAGGGTCACTATAGTCACCAGAACAACTACAGCATAATGTAGTTGTTCTGGTAAGTATGGACAGTCCCTGCAGGCTTTTTAATGTAAACACTGTCCTTTCAGTAAAAACGCAGTGTTTACATTGCTGCCTAAGAATACCTCTAGTGGCCCATCTTTAGAGATTTTCAGCATGGAGACGCTGAACGTTCCCCATAGAGATGCCCCCCGTCCCACCTCCTTGGCTAAGATCCTCAGAATTGACAATCTCAGCCAATTCCATGCTTTCCTATGGGAAAGCATTGTGATTGGCAGAGATATTCAATTCTGATAATGTCAGCCAAAGAGGCAGATCAGGGGCTGGGCCAGATGCTAGAAGCCTCGGGTGGCATTGGAAAAAGGTGAATAAATTGCCTTTCTAACCCCAGGTAAAGGGGGGCTGACCACCTAAATGGTGTTTTTTGTACTATAGTATCATTATACGTTTGTGTTCCTGATGCTATAGTGCCCCTTTAAGCTCTTCCAATGTTGTGGTTTACATTTCCCACTTACAGCCATAATGTTGGGAAAGCATCAGGGGAGATGTTCACGACATCCAGAGTGCCGAAGGTTGCATTCCCATGCCATTAACCCACACTTACAATGCATTAATTGCTTAAAGGACCACTATAGGCACCCAGACCACTTCATCTTAATGAAGTGGTCTGGGTGCCAGGTCCATCTATGTTTAACCCTGCCTGCTGTAAACGTAGCAGTTTCAGAGAAACTGCTATGTTTACACATGGGTTAATCCAGCCTCTAGTGGCTGTCTCATTGACGGCCGCCAGAGGCGCTTCTCACTGTGATTTTCACAATGAGAAGACTCCAGCATCCATAGCAAAGCATTGAGAATGCTTTCCTATGGACTGACTGAATGCGCGCGCGGCTCTTGCCCCGCATGCGCATTCAGCCGGTGACATGAGAAGAGGGAGGAGAGTCCCCAGCGCCGAGTGAGCCCGGCCCTGGAGAAAGGTAAGATTTTATCCCCTTCCTCCCCCTTCAGCCCGCGGGAGGGGGGCCATGAGGGTGGGGGCACCCTCAGGGCACTATAGTGCCAGGAAAACAGAGAAAGGGAAAATCCCAGTGTTATATTGCAAAACTGAATCTATATAAATAGTTTACATTTGCATTGTGGATTACCAGATACGATGATGTCTGCTTTGAACACTACCCAGTATATAGAACAGACTGTGAACATTAAGATCAGTTGATTGTAGTTGATTATAATGAAATGATTGATTGGAATAATATACATGGGAATAGTTTGTTAATCCTAGGAGAAATGTGATTTCAGAGTCAAGACGGAATGCCTTCTCTTTTTGTGACATGAATGGCAAGCACTTCAAATTGAGTTTTTCCCCTTCTTTTGGATCAACCGCATGAAAATAATGTGTGAAAGGTTTTATATATGACTATTATGTAACTACCTGGGTGGAATGATGGGATTTGCACAAATAAACCAATGAATGTGAAGACTGCAGCATTTAAAAACTAAAGAGGGGGTAGCCAGTGAGTATCCCTGGTAAAGGATAGCAGTAATAGTAATGCTATGGCAGCTGTAGAGTTAATGTAGCATTTAAAGTACATATGCCTTTGCACAATTTAATTGTGCATGGCTGATTTAAAAATTTGCATAAATACATGATTGCCATTCAATTTCCTTTTTTTTTGTTGCTTTTTTAAAAAAAATTCTAAAATCCCTTCTTCTTTTCCAGGAAATAGATGGCAAGGCTCTGCTACTGCTCACCCTACCTGCTGTTCAGGAATGCATGGAGCTCAAGCTTGCCATGGCTATAAAGCTGTGCTACCACATCGAAAGAGTTAAACTGGCATTTTACCAAAGCCTGTCCAGTTAACACGGCTCAATCCTATCCTGCTGCAGGGGAAATGGAAACACAGCTGACAGGACAGGCTGGCCTATACGAGGGCCCACACAAGGTCTACTAGCCTTAAGTGATTTGCACTTTTAGAAGATTGTCGCCCTGTTTACAAATCTTTGTAGTATTTCCGTCCATGTTTTTGGAAAAGTTCAAGGGGCTTTGTACCAAGACATTTCCATATAACTTTACCTTATTATTAAACAGCTGTTAAACACCAGTGTTTAAAAGCCGAGGGTCGTTTAATAGACTAAGCTAGAGTTCTATTCAATAAACAGTTCAGAGTTGAAACTCGACTTGAAGACGTGAAGCCAAATAGCAGATTTCTGAAATAATAGCCAACTTATTTCTAACTTTGTTATTATGGCCTCAAGTTAGATCTCACCTCACTGTTTAGTGAATCGATGGATAGTTATGTCTGGTAATAATGGGCACAGAATGGCATCCTTATAACTTAGGATTTTACAAACCTCAGGCAGGGAGTCGTATTCCTGAGTTACGTTCCTGCTGATTTCTTAACTTTTTGAAGATTTTATATAGAACTTTAAGGATGTGCCTCTTGCCAAGTTTATAATAAAATAATGCTGCATCCTAAATGCTCCAAACCCCTCTCAAAGTCTCTATTGGACCCTGTAATTCAATACAAGACAACCTGCAATGGACTGGATGCCAATAACATATTTTGCAGTTTAACAACTTTAAACGGGCTTGGTACTATTAACATCTACTGTCACAAATTTCACGCAAAGCACTTTTTGAAATATAGTACAATTCTTTTTGTTCCCTAGTGAGAGTGTGTGCCTTTCACACACATATAAACATATTTATATTTAATAATTTTATTTTCTTTACGACAGGTATACATTGTCTTGAATTTGAAAAGGCATTACAAAATTATGATATGTAATCTAGTAAATGAATTTTCTAGGATTTTTTTTTAGCATTTTAATTTACAAATTATTGCAGGCCTTTGTTCGAAAAAATGAGGAAGGATCATATGAGAGCATGTAAAGCTATATACATTTTCGTTTGTTTTTTTTTCCTCTATGCAAAAGGCATACTGATTTTTGGGGTTTTTATTTATTTTATAAGGTTTTGAATTTTTTTTTTTTTTTTTTACTTTCCATTACCTTATAATGCCTGCCTGGTCACAAATGTTAACAACCAAACAAATCCTAATTTGAGTTTAGATCAGTTTTTTAATTTTTTTTGTTTTTTTTTACTGGAAATGTGGAAATGCTATAATGCATAGTTTTGGATTTAAATAGAAGTCTCAACTGTCTTTTATGTTTTTGTTTTTATTTTATTTTTTGTCAACTTACTGTTTTTTGCTGTAACAAACACATTTCTCACCAATTTTTTAAATTATACTTTTGATTAGTGTTTTTTTTCTTATTTTACTGTTGTTTTGCTGCAAGAAGCAAATCTCTTACCCATTTTCTCTAACTGATGTTGAGAAGTGTGAAGAGAATATATAGAATTTTTTTTTTAAAGATTAAATGAAAAAAATATTGCATTATTTATTTGAGGGTGGATTAATTACTGTCAATCATTAAGCAATCACATTTCTGCTAACATAAACAGTGCTTTAACTGCCAAATAGTCACTTCCCTCCTATAGTGGTTAAGTAGACAAACAATGTCCTTGGTTCTTTCTTCTGTTTCATTTTTGGAGGGTTTAATGTAAATACAATGTACAAAATTGACTACAAAATAGTTGCTGTGTTTTTCTTTTGATAATCAAATCAATTTCACCCCACTTTTGTGTTTTTAATAAATTTGTAATATTTTAACCTGTTGTGTGTGTGTTTGCTTTTTAAAGTAACCTTGTGATTTCCCCACTTCCCCCCCTTCCCCCCCCCCACTCCCCACTCATTAAGAAACCTAGATTTCTAAAACAACCAGTTAGCCCAAGCAGACTATAATATTCATTCTTGATTAGTCTTCTATCTTTGTTCTTCAGGGCGGCAGTGTGTCTATCTCATGTGTCTATCTATAGGACTCTAATGTCTTAGATGAAAAGCAGTCATTGCAAGTGGGAAGAGCAGGGATAAAATGTAACCATACGAGTAGATACATATTGAAACCATTTACGGAATTGTGTAATATCAGATAGAAGGTTACTTAGGCATGCTAATTTCCCATCAACGACTTTGCCAACATTTGTGTGTCATGCCCATTGATGTCCGCAGTCAGAAATGTGTGAACTAACAGTCTCTACAAAACTATCCTACATAGTGTAAAATGTTTAACAGGTTTAACACAGGCAAATAAAGACACTTATTAAAATAGCAACAATACAAAATGATTGAGGGGATTGTTATCCCAGTGACTGTATTACAGTTATGATTTACACAATCTTTACAAAAAGAGGTTGGCCATAACATGGTCCATTTCCAAGGGATTGGGAATCTCTTAATGCTTGGAATTGAATTGTGTGACCTCGTTGTTCAGGATGCACTGCTTGATATATGCACATGCAGCCTGAGTCAGCAATGATGGAATCTGTTCTAAGGACAAAGGTAAAGCATCAAGTACTGCACAATGCAGACAAAACACATTCCATTTATTATAGTATGCCTGACCCATGTTACAGCACACATCTGGATATACTGCAGTATTTTTGCTAAATAACAGGGGTGCCCAAATGGTAGGTCTCCTGATGTGGTAGAACTACAACTCCCATAATGAGTGACAGAGCATTCATTTAGAATGACAAAGCATCATGGAAGCTGTAGTTTTAAAACATATGGGGATCTACCTTATGGGAGCCACTGCTATATAGCATATCTGAATTGCATGGTCTGTATGTGACCATGTTATAATATACATCTGAAATGAATACAGTATCTGGTCACCTCCTGTATTACACCTCAGATTTACTGCAAAATATCTGTCACAGGCTGTCTGACTGTTACATTACACATCTGTAATGGTCTGTCTGTTACAGTGTAACATTACACATCTGGATTGGCCTGTTACTGTGTTATAGTGCACATCTGGTAACATGCTATTAGAATAATAACCTGTAAATTATGTTTAACGGCACACCCCATATCAAATGTTTTAGAATTCTTTGTCAAGTTACCTGGGGTATGCCAGACACCTGCAGCCACATACTGGTCATCTCCTAGCAGGAAAATCCAATTAGCTCTACTAAGCTGGGGTGTGCAAGGCCCATGCTCGTTAAATGAGAATGTCAGCTGAGTGCTCTGAACTAATGAGCACGCTCCTCTATCAGCTGTGCTTAGCTACAGAGACACTGTTTCTCCTGCAGGAGAAGAGCAGATACGGCGTAGGTGCCAAGGGAACACAGATAAGTTGGCAAACTTTTTAACTGTAATGGGCAGTAGTGGTTGGAATGTTTCTTTAAATACTTAATAAAACACTTTTTTTGTGAATTCTGACACTTCTCATGTTTATATTTACCATTATACAGGATAGCCGCAAGGTAAATTGCAACCTCATACATTATAGTATAGTGATTTTCGCTATATTAATACAAGCCTCATACAGGTTAGCATAGTATCATCGGTATAAATGTACACAGCTTTGTGCACAAGCGCATAATAAACCATATATAGACAGTCAGGCAACAAAGCACAGATAGTATCTCTGTAAATAGAAGCTTTACATTGTACAGCATAGTTGCTATCAGCCTATAGACTCCACCAGTCGTGTACATTATAGCATTATCAGTATACAGATAGTATCTTAAAGAACCTTTCAAATCCTTACGTTATTCCAAACCTCGCCTACTCCTAGTAGGTGTAGTGACCATATTTTAAGAGATCAGAATTGGAATTTTGGAAATAAGAGGCCCATTATATTAACATCTGTGGTGGAAACAAATTACAGAATGGGTTATTAAGGGATAATATTCGCAAACACATTTTAACAAAAATGCCATTAGTAGAAATAAACATGGTTTTGACAGATCATGTCAAACTGACTTAATTGCATGAATTGAAGAAGTCGGTGGAAGCGTAGCTCAGGGTGGTTGTAACCTACTTGCATTTTGCTAAATCACTTAATACAATATATAGTATGTATGGGTGCCCTGAAAAGGTAAGTGTTAAATTGTAGTGAAACAAACACGGCAAAAGTGCAAAATCTTGAGAAAGACTTGGCCATGGTGTTGCTAAAGCTTTATATTAGTTTTAAGTTATAATTAGTTTCCTTAATTGCTTTATCGAGACATATTACGTCTGTTAGAATTGGAAACTAATAAAAATATTTTAAAAATCTGCATGTGGCTGAAACTTTGAATCACATGAAAAATCTGTGAAGACTATTACCAAGTCTAATTTGCAAATAAGGTATATGCCACATACATAATAAAAAAATAAAAAAAAACAGCATGGAAGACACAAATTCCTTTCAGATTTTGGCACATACTCTACACTGGGGATATTTTCACCTCTTCCCCAGAAGGTTTTCTTCAATATTCCACTAGACACAGTCCATGACTTGCATGACAGCATTCTAAGCATATCTGGGGCTGTTCTAAACCAGAAGGAAATCTCTGGGGTTATATGTAATAGCACTACATTCAGTTTTTAAGCAGTTTTTCCTGTTTGCACCTATTATTTTTCCTTATCTAAACCAAGCTATTTTTTATTGAACCTCTTCTGTCCTTTTACTTTCCCAAGCTATTTACATTCTTTTTGCTTGGTTTACAAATTTGTTGCTTCCTATGTGTAAATAAAAAAATATTGTGAAGGTGCGCCTTTTCTTTATGACAAATGTATTCACCTCTTTCAGATTGCCAAGTTTTCTGAGACAGGTACACCACATTAATGCAAAAAACAAACAAACAAACAGAGAGAACCAAGTAGAATCAATCGACAACAAGTAAACCCAGTGGAGAGCTAATATATTTATACACCTTTACCCTTCTAAACAAGAGGAAGAGTGCAAATGAGAGAGCTATGTCTAAAACAAATAAAATAGCAAAGTATGGTGCAGTATATCTAAATTTGGGGTATATGTAATTATGAAACGCACTCACATAAGATAGAGCCCACAAGGATAGGCTCAACTCTCACCAGCAAAGGTATATTAGGTCTCTTATTGTTCTCGAACCAGAGATTCTCAGAAAGGAAAAGAAGCAAATGCTTCTAGTGTGATACCATAAATCAAAGTGCAAGTGAAAATGACTGCTCACCTTGTAGAGAGCCAATTATACTAGACTCTCAGTATACTGGTGTATGTGCCTTTAACAAGGGGGCAACCCTTCTCTCCAACACAAGCTTGAATCCACCGGAGACACTTTATTAAGTAAACAAACCAATATAAAATAAAACAACCAAGTACCAGTTAAAATAATGTCCACAAGTGCTCCTAATGTTTCACCTGTTACAAAGGCTTTATCAATCCTGCTTCCGGGTGTGTTTCTTGTTTATATCCATAGCTCATATCTGATCGCTCGCCGAGCTCGCTAAGCAACCAAATGCAAGCGCAGCATGGGAGACGTGTGTACATACCGCTGTGGCTCGTTTTTCCGTCGCATCACTTCTGGTACATGAAGTGGAGGGAAGATGCCTGCATTTTTGATGGTGAGACTTGGCAGATTCAGAAGTGACGTGGCGGATACTCCGTTGCGTTACCACTAGAAACATCCTAATGCCCACAATTGAGGGAGTAGTTATGGAAGACTCGGAGGTGACGTTGCGGTTTATCCATAAGTTCCGTCACTTCTATTTAGGCATAATGAGAAAATGAGCCATAGCTGTATGTACACACACCTCCCATGCAGCACTCACAATTGGTTGCTCAGCGAGCGCAGGTACCAATCAGATATGGGCTATGGATATAAACCAAAACACACCAGGAAGCAGGAATTCTGATTGAGAAAGCGCTTGTAACAGGCTAAACACATCTCAGACAGTCATGAGCACTTGTGGACATTATATTAACTGATACTCAGCTGGTTTTAAACTTTGTTTGTTTTTAAAAAAGTGTCTTAGCCTTTATACAAATCTAGTGGATTCCTGCTTCTGCTTGAAAGAATGATTGTGCCCCCTTGTAGCACTCCACTTGGTTTACTTGTAGTGGATTGATTCCACTTTTGCATGATTGTGTGTCAAGTTTTGGTACTTGCATGTGTATTGTAGCTGCTAATTTATTTATTACCCATTGGTGTTATATTACTACATAAACACATTTACTGCATAGTGCACCTTTCTTTAAGCCACATTTATGTTCTTTTATTCATGGAAACTGTTTTTGTTTTTTGAACATTTTGGTAGATGTTATGGCCAAATTTCATCTCCCAAGGGAATTTTAACGGTTGCAGTCCGTATTTGGCAATCGAATCATCACATCACAGCAACAAGCTAGATTTATTGACCAACACGCACAGCACCAAAGTAATAAAGTTGCAAATCAATTCTGAGATTATTGGTATAGCATATCAGATTATATAGGTATTTTACCATATTATAGCATTACATCACATTATACAGAATCAGCAAATATCTTGGACATTTTATTTAAAAAATACTCATCATCACAAGGCAGACATTACACTTAACTTGTTTTTAATAAAATAAGGAAGCTTTTTATTTAAATACAGGCTCAAGCTGCGTTTTGCATTATTTTTTTTTGTTCCCCAAAACATTTACCAAAAGTGAAACATCTGTTAGTAGTGAATTTAGGTACAAGGTCATTTGTGCAAACAAGTTAGTACTGAGATATATTTTAATACTGTCTTTATATAAGTTATTATTTAAGCAGCTTTTACCAGTAAACAAGAAAATGGATTCTGAGTACAAGATGGCAGGTTGGTTATATGATTTTATCATATCAGTATATATACCCCCTTTTATTGGGTTTATGTCTAAAAATTGCTTGCAAAAAGATGCAGATCTGTCTGAAACTTTTGCAGGCCATCGCCTTCTAACCTAGTTCAAACTTTCTGTGGCTGTCCAATCACAGATTTCCCAATGCAACTCATTGAGAAGTCTTTGCAAGGCAGGTGCTCTGGGCAATAGCTGCCTATTGAGTCTAGCTCCATTTAGCTGAACAACACAGGACATAGCAGGACCAATTGTTTGACAGCCATGGGGTGTAACAAGGAAGAGAGGGAATGCTTTATTTATTTTAAAAAATTGTTTTTTACATACTTTCAGACTTCAGTCATATTCCACATTCCCCAAGCACAGAGTACATCCCCTATAAACACATGACACACAGTCAATGACCCCTAAAGGCCCAACACGCACACAGTACAGCCCCTGTCTAGCATGCGCACAAAATACAGTCCCTATCCTCTCCACACACACTACAATGCAACCAGCCCCACTCCCACACACAACCCTACAACAAGTAGCGTCTGCATCATCCTGAAGCCGACAAGCAGAATAGCCACACATGCAACTCAACACCACTGTCTTATTTTACATGCCTGCCAACATTTGAAATAAACAAAGAGGGACTCTTTCATTTTAGGGCTGTGGCTGGGGCAGAGGGGGTGTAAATGAGGGTCAGGTGCCTTGTGTGAAAAATGTTCACAGTGCCCTTCCCTGGTCACATCTCTTCATCCATGTATGGTGTTTTATAGGGGCATTCCCATTGACCGGGTATCCTGTATTTCAGAGTGTGGCACCTACTGGTATAATTTTACACATCCCACGATTTCCATGGGATTGTACTTAGTTATCTTTCTTTGCATTGCTAATTTTCCCATTCATGCTAGCCCTGCTAGCAAAGAAAATATTTGTTTTTTTTTAAATTTGAGGAATGAAATTCCACAGTCAGAGGGTTCAATTATTATTAAAGAACCAAAAAACAAATATGCATTTCCCCTTTTCTGTTGTTACCTCTCAGAGAAGGGGCATTCTGATCTTTGGTGGTTTAGTGTGCTAGGAATCTGGTCTGTGGCACATATACCTCTGTGTGTGATATTTGTTATGGGTTTATTGATTGTGTGTGATATATGGGTCTATTGACTGTGTGTGATATTTGTGATTGCTATTTTTTTTTTTAATTCTTTATTTTATTTGTGCAGTCATTGAACAGAATAGTAGCACTGCCACAATAGCTGGTGCCAAAAATTTTCAATCACAGATGTACATGTGGCTACATAGACATTGCACTTTTTTTATAAGGTGAGATAATGCGTAAAACCGGATATTAAGATAACAGTAGCTTAGCAATACTATGTGAGTTAGAGATATATTCGCTTGGTCTAGACTATGCTCTCGTCAGAGAGGTGGTCTGGAACAATTTTATAGTGTAAGAGCATTTTCATGAGTGTGGCAGATTTATAGACTTAAACAGGTATGTCGTTGACAGGCTAAAGAAGTATGTTAGGTCTCTGCGTTGCTATGTGTTAACCGGCAAAGTACTAAACATAAAACACAGGTTGACATATGCTGCATCATCTAGCCCTTTAGTGTGTGGGTGCTTCTCCTGGCTAGCCATCAGGTGTGTGTGTGAGGCTGGAAGTGTAACTTAGTGGTATTGTTTAAATGGAGTCCAAGAGAAATGGGATTATTTAAAAGTTGCACTATTGAAAACAACAGAAAATTGCATTAGGCTTGTCAGTAAAAGCAAAAAATTCAAGAAACCACTGTGGTACTCCGCAGATGTGGCCAAAATAGTTAAAAACAAAAAGTTAGCATTTAGGAATTATAAAAAAACCCAGAGTGAGGGAGACAAAATGATCTATAAGATTAGGCAGAAAGAGGCTAAGCAAGTTATAAGAGCTTCCAAATCACACACAGAAGAGAAAATAGCACAGTCAGTAAAAAAGGGGGATAAAACATTTTTTAGATACATAAATGAGAAAAGAAAAGTAAAACAAGGATTAGTTAGATTAAAAACAAAAGAAGGAAGGTATGTAGAAGAGGATAAAGGTCTAGCTGACTGCCTCAATGAATATTTTTTGTTCTGTATTTACAGATGAAAATGAAGGAAAGGGACCTCAGTTGAGAAAAAGGATAAATGAGTCATTTATTACACGTGAGTTTACAGAGGAAGAGGTTCTATTTCAACTGTCAAAAGTAAAGACAAATAAGTCAATGGGACCTGATGGAATACACCCAAAGCTATTAAAAGAGCTTAGTGGTGTACTAGCAAAACCATTAACAGATTTATTTAACCAATCATTGTTAACAGGAGTAGTCCCAGAAGATTGGAAGTTAGCGAATGTTGTGCCCATTTACAAGAAAGGTAATAGGGAGGAGTCGGGCAACTATAGGCCAGTAAGCCTTACTTCAGTAGTGGGGAAAGTGATGGAAACCATGTTAAAGGATAGGATTGATGAACATCATAAAAACACATGGATTTCAAGATCAGAGACAACATGGGTTTACTTCAGGGAGATCATGCCAAACTAATCTTATTGATTTTTTTTGATTGGGTATCTAAAATTATAGATCAGGGTGGTGCAGTAGACATTGCTTACCTAGATTTCAGTAAGGCTTTTGACACTGTTGCACATAGAAGACTTATCAATAAACTGCAGTCTTTAAGTTTGGATTCCAATATTGTTGAATAGGTAAGGCAGTGGCTGAGTGACAGGCAACAGAGGGTTGTAGTTAATGGAATATATTTGAAGCTTGGACTTGTCACCAGTGGGGTACCTCAGGGATCTGTACTTGGACCCATTCTCTTTAATATTTTTATTAGTGATATTGCAGAAGGTCTTGATGGTAAGGTATGTCTTTTTGCTGATGATACTAAGATATGTAACAGGGTTGATGTTCCAGGAGGGATAAGCCAAATGACAATGATTTAGGTAAACTAGAAAAATGGTCAGAATTGTGGCAACTGACATTTAATGTGGATAAGTGCAAGATAATGCATCTTGGACGTAAAAACCCAAGGGCAGAGTACAGAATATTTGATAGAGTACTAACCTCAACATATGAGGAAAGGGATTTAGGGGTGATTATTTCTGATGACTTAAAGGTAGGCAGACACTGTAATAGAGCAGCAGGAAATGCTAGCAGAATGCTTGGTTGTATAGGGAGAGGTATTAGCAGTAGAAAGAGGGAAGTGCTCATGCCATTGTACAGAACACTGGTGAGACCTCACTTGGAGTATTGTACACAGTACTGGAGACCGTATCTTCAGAAGGATATTGATACCTTAGAGAGGGTTCAGAGAAGGGCTACTAAACTGGTTCATGGATTGCGGGATAAAACTTACCAGGAAAGGTTAAAGGATCTTAACATGTATAGCTTGGAGGAAAGACGAGACAGGGGGGATATGATAGAAACATTTAAATATATAAAGGGAATGAACACAGTAAAGGAGGAGACTATATTTAAAAGAAGAAAAAACTACCACAACAAGAGGACATAGTCTTAAATTAGAGGGACAAAGGTTTAAAAATAATATCAGGAAGTATTACTTTACTGAGAGGGTAGTGGATGCATGGAATAGCCTTCCAGCTGAAGTGGTAGAGGTTAACACAGTAAAGGAGTTTAAGCATGCGTGGGATAGGCATAAGGCTATCCTAACTATAAGATAAGACTAGGGACTAATGAAAGTATTTAGAAAATTGGGCAGACTAGATGGGCCGAATGGTTCTTATCTGCCGTCACATTCTATGTTTCTATGTTTCTATGCTGTAGAGCCTGATGTATGAGCTACAGAGATATAGGAACCATTATAGCTATTGCAAACACGTTGGTGTAAAATTAATTGAAAATCATACAGAATCAATAGGCAAGTACAAGTCTCTGATAGGGGCAGTATGAGGTGTAGGGAGGTTATCCCACAGTGTCCCGTTCAGCCAACTCCCGCCAGCGGTATATCACAGTCCCGGTTAAGTGCCCGAGTGCGTCTCGGTCTTTTGTGATGGCTATTTAATTCAGATTTTAAAAAAAAAATGCATGTAGGCCCATGTTTAAATGCAGGTGTGTATTTTTGCAGTGTAAGATATACACATATACTGTGAATTACAGCCACATGCCCACAGTCACACACACTTACAGGCAAGCATAAAGTCACAGGCAGACAGTCATACCCACACAAGCACAGCCACAGGTAGTCAGTTACATAGTCACAGAAACACATACAGTCACAGGCAGAAAATCAAACACACCCTCAATCACAGGCAGAGAGTCATACACACAGTGACAGTCACACACAGAAAGGCACCTATTTCCATTATGGGCACTGGGGGAGGGAGCAGGGGCACTGCAGTCCCTGGTGACCGGTTGTTGGGTAAGCAGTGTTTAGCGGCAATCATGCAGCGTGTTCAGGCTGCGTTTAGCACCGCCCTGGTGCCCATTTAGCCCTACCCTGCCATGTGTTTAGCACCTCCCCATCTTTAGCTCCACCGTCACTCCCCCTTATTTGGGGCCGGTTTTCGAAATTCTGCCACTGCACTGCCGGCCCCTGCGTGTGCTGGCTATATCGGCTGACCAGCGCCCCTGCTGCCATAGCGCCTTGTGCTGCCGCACAGCTTGCACACCCCTAAGGCTGGCCTTGTCCAGGGGTGGAGCTGTTGAGTCATTTTAGATTAATTATTATTAAAAAAAATATTTGCAACTAAAATATAATTTAGAGCAAGAACAATGTATCTTATTTACACAGGCTGATATCTGCTCTGCTCTAATTTAAAGACTCTCCTGGGAGCATTATTGCTTTGCATCTCGGTCACACACTCAGATACACCAAGGATATAGAAAAAGGGGACATGGGGCTAGAAAACAGAGGGACTTGGACCCCAAAATAGGGACTTTCTCTCCTGAATAGGAGCAGTTGATAGCTAGATACAGCCTGCCCCACACAATAGTTTTCCTGTAGTAAGAGGCAGTCAGTGTGAGTCAGTTTAATAGCGCTCTCCCTGTAGTGCTGGATACACAGCATGGATCTCCCCCCACCCCTCTGCAAGCTGAACCGCTGACTGACGTGTCACATGTTCGACGCCCATTTTCAGGCACCAGCGTGACGTCACCGCCCGTCCCTTCCCGGCTACCGTCCGCCTGGTTGCCGCGGTGACCGGCTTTGGGCTGGCTCGGGGCCCAGTGACCGGGTCTCTGAGCCATGGGGCCCAGCACCGTGAACAGGAGCCTGAGCTCCGGCTCTCCCCCGCCTGCCTCCGTCCGCTCCTCTCCCGGCTGCGGGAATGGGGCCATGATGGAGAGCTTCGGCATCTTCCTGCAGGGCCTGCTGGCTGTCATGGCTTTCAGCATCCTAATGTGTGAGTACAGCCAATGGGGGGCCCCAGACACCCACCGGGAGCTCTCCGATCACAGACACAGGGAAAGGGCTGCCCATGGTATGTAGCATTCATATGCTTCAGGGAGGACCGCTTCGTCGGTAATATAAAAAGTCACCCAGACATGCACCATATGAATGCTGTATACCACGGGGCAGCCGGGTTCAGGTACTTTCTAGCAGCATGGCTTATAGTGATGGGTGTGTAGGGAAGCATGATGGAGCTGACACCCCGGGATAAACAGTGAATGAGGGGGTTAGAGAGGTGAAAATATCTTAACAATACTGATAGCTGGCATATGACTACTGATAGAACACAGTTGGTTCTATTTACAGAGTGTTCTAAGAGTTGCCAGGTGTTCTATGTGAAATGTTTGTGGGGAAATTATGTATTTGAGCTGCATGTTGGGCTGCTTTAACCTGGGGGCAATATGCCAAGCGGGCTATAGAAATCACTAAATTCTGAATTGATTTCTAAATTGTAAAACCTGGGGTAATATAAGAGAAGATGCACGGGGCTATAGTTTAAGTTGGAGATTTTTATTTTATTTATTTTTTTCTCCAAATTCGCTTTGCAGTTTGGAATTTAAATAGCTACAGTTATGTTTCTACTGAATAAGCTTTAATGTGTAATATCAAGTGTCTTTTTCAAAACTGCAGATATGTTCGTAAAACTTTTGCATAGACCGCAACTGATGATGGGTGCAGAAAAATTAATTTACGAAGGCAAAATCCGTTGTGTGTGTGTGTGTATATGTATATATTTATAAAATCTGTGTTTAATTCTTTATGTAGCTTTTGATTAGATATTGCACAGCTGTGTGTAAAATTCTGTTTTGAAGGATTTAGACGCCTCTATGTCTTCCAATTTTTTTTTAGGATTTACAAAATAAAATCCATTATCCTTACTTATCGATGTGCCTTAGAATGTTTTAGATCATGGAAATACAGTACAGTAAATATTATTGTACTTTTTTATGTGTTTTCAATGGAAAGAGGCAAGATTATTACGGTTAGGTAAAGATATTGGCAGTCAAATGCAATGCTAATGATTGTTGAGTTTTATGTAGCTTGCACACTTATGCAATTTATTTTATTAATGTGCTTAAGACTAAAAACCGCTTAACCCCCAGGAATTGACTCTAGTGGCAGTCTTAGTCCTGCAAGGAAATTATTTCAGTTTCTCTAAAACTGCATTGGTTTACATTGCAGGACTAAGAGGGACAGGGACATTGCACCTAGACAACTTCAATGAGCTGAAGTAGTCTGGGTGCCTATAGTGTGTTTTTTTTTTTTTTTTATTAAATCAGAACATAAAGGTTCTCTTACTGAGATCCAAAAGAGGATGTTGAATTTCTACTGCATTAGGCACAAATGCGCCTGTAAATTTTGAAACCCTTTTTTAGAGATTAAATTTTTTCTCCTGCCATTTTTTTCCTTGACTTGTACCTTTTGCTGGAATGCAGTGGTTCGATTTGTGAAGTGTTAATGCTTGTATTTGAGCTAAAAGATTTTTCTCACAAGTTGCCCTTGTATAGAAGCAGCTGGTGTTTGCTTGTTAGGTAAGGCGCAGCTCTTTGCTGAGTTGTCACAGCTGGATGGAAACTCCAAGGTTTCCTCAGTCATCTTTCATTCTGAGTGACCATAGCCATTAACGCTGACTATTTGTGCAATGTAAATGATGTCAAAATATTGGCTTGCTTAGGAATTTGATGCAGGTTGGTGAGGGAAGTGCACATGTAATTTTAATATTATTCCTAAGGTCTTTTAATTATTTAGGACATAGAAATTTGAGCTGCGGCCTGTGCCACACAAGTTATTTGTTATGGTAATATAACCTTTCTTGTTCCTAATGGATCACTGCTGTATCTTCAGATACAGCACATATTCTTCAAGTACATTTTACTTTACTACTTCAGGGTTCTCTTATGTAAGCTAAGATGTGTGTAGTACCTCATTAAAATTTGCTTATATAAGCATACATTGACTTCCTGAATGATCAATGTATTTTAGGGCTGCTTCAGACTCTACATAACATTTCGGAAATTCACTGTAAGTGTGCATGTAAGCCTCTTGTGTGCACTGAACAGTAAAACCAAACAATGAAGAAGAAGAAGAAGAAGAAAAAACACTGAGGTTTACTTCTAGTTTCCTCTGCAAAGAATAAAACCTGTTCTATATTAAGCTATTGGCAAATAGTTTACAGCAGTGTGCTTTGACTGAACCAGCCTGATTAAAGTCAGCATCAGACACATTGCTTTTTAAAGCCTTGCCGTTATTTTATTTAAAGGAACACTATAGTCACCAGAACAACTACAGCTTATTTTATTTGTTCTGGTAAGTATAACCATTCCCTGCTTTTTGCAATAAACACTGTGTTTTCAGAGAATATGCAATGTTTACATTAAAGCCTAGGGACACCTCCACTGGCGGCCACTCAGATGGCTATTAGAGGTGCTTCCTGGGTCAGTGCTGCACAGTGTGCTGCACTGCCAGTCAGTGTCTCCACCCTCTGCATGCAGATGCTAAACTTTCCTCATAGAGATGCATTGATTCAAGGAGATGCTGATTGACCAGGGCTGTTTTTGGCTTGTGCTGGCTCTGACCCACATCTGCATCCTTGACTGTCTCAGCTAATCCAATGTGAAATCATTATGATTGGATCAGTCCACCATTTCTGATGATGTCTGCCAAGCTTTTGCTATATTTAGGGGAGTAAGGGGGCTAGATGGTGTTCTTAACACTATATACTTTCATTGGTACCTGTTCACTGGGGCCAGTTCCTACATGATGTATTGGATAGTTTGTGTTGCTGCCTTGCTGTCACAAAGAGAAGGACCTGATTCCTTTACTTGGCCTGTACCTGGTTTGGAGCTGTTATTTTGTCATTGTCTTGGTTTTCCAATAGTCTGCGTGGGCTTTTGCTCTTCTTCATAGCCTTGTATCCCGTATGCTGCATTCTTGTTAAAATATTAGAATGGATTGCTTCTTACCAAGTGGGAGGCATTTTGAAAACTTCTGCTTCCCATGTTGTTGCACCTTTCTCAATCTTCATTGCTACCTATTTATTGGTTTGGTAATTGCATATGCTAGATATAGTGTCTCTCGTAACATCCCCCTTTCCCCTCCAAAAGCGCATTTTATAAAGATATAATCTTTATGAATTGCTCATAAAGACAGAGTTTAAATTTCCCTGAAATTCCAAAGCGGTCAAAAGATACAAGCTAAGTAGTGACTACTTTGTCTTAAGTATTTTCCTAAAGTTGACAAAAAGGCGGAACTAGTGCGGTTAAGCCCCCAGTCAATCCTGGTGATGGCTAAGAAGAAATAGCTTCGTCTATGGAGACTCCCGCGGTCTAGTGGAATCCTCTGTAGACATCATGGACACGACAACTGGCACAAGTTGGCAGCAGCCATGAGGGACAGGTTCAGGTAGCCAAATAAACCTTCTCCCGCACCCCTGAGCCACCACAAGCCAAGCAGCAATGTCACCACCGGGGCCTTAGCAAAATATGCAAAGACCCCAGAAGGTGTCAAGCTACACTTCTACCCGATTAATTTAACCAACCAAGTACATGTTTTCCTGTCATACTTATTTGTTGCATTGACATTACTCATGATAACTGTGTGATAAACTATGTTCTCTGCTTCCTTTCTGTGTGTCAGAATAGGTAAGGGCAAGTTTAAATATTTATTTCAAGGGACATCACTTGACAATTATTTTTAAAAATCATCAAGCAAACTCTTTTAACCCCTTAAGGACACATGACGTGTGACATGTCATGATTCCCTTTTATTCCAGAAGTTTGGTCCTTAAGGGGTTAAACAAATCTACAAACCAAAATAAAGCAAAAAAGGCTTTCAAAAGTGTATAATAAACATTGATAAATTTACTATAAACTTGGTCAGATTATTACCTTGTTGGCCACACCTCTCATCTAGGGAAGTTTTTTCAGCCTCTCGCCCCAGCTCCACTTAAGACCAGTCCACTAGTGACAGAAACAGGCCATCCTTGAGAGAGAGAAACCCAACACACTCCTGGTCTGTATAATCACACTGATCAGACTCCCTCTCTGTTCCCCAGTCAGATGCTGCAAGAAGAACAGCTCTTCCAACTGTACATGTGTAAATCTGTTGTGCATATACTTTTAAAGCATTCCTACTGATAGGATATTATTTGGTTATAAATCAGTGTCCACCATGGAGTGGGTTTGGAAAGCATAGGAAAAAAGAAGCAGGTATATATGAAAAAGTCATGTACCTGCTTTTTTTCAGCCTGTAGAGTGAGGCAATTGTCTCATTCAAAGTTATAGATTGTGAATGAGACAGTTGTCTCAGTGATGCATGTCCCTTTAAGAAATTAGAGTGAAGTGTATATCAAAGTATGCCCTCCAGCATAGGTGTACTGTTATTGGAAAGAAATCTATATCATATTTCAATTATTTTCACTGCTATTATGGTGATATGTCATCCTGATAGTGACAGATTTAATCAGCATGGTGTTTCCTTAAAACGTTTTTTTTGTTTGTTTTAGTTTTTTTAAATCTATGCAGAATTTACTTTCCATTATGTTACTTTCTTACAGGGTTATTCACTTAAAGGACCACTCTAGGCACCCAGACCACTTCAGCTTAATGAAGTGGTCTGGGTGCCAGGTCCAGCTAGGGTTAACCCATTTTTTCATAAACATAGCAGTTTCAGAGAAACTGCTATGTTTATGAATGGGTTAAGCCTTCCCCCTATTCCTCTAGTGGCTGTCTCATTGACAGCCACTAGAGGCGCTTGCGTGCTTCTCACTGTGATTTTCACAGTGAGAGCACGCAAGCGTCCATAGGAAAGCATTGTAAATGCTTTCCTATGCGACGGGCTGAATGCGCGCGCAGCTCTTGCCGCGCGTGCGCATTCAGTCCAGGAGGAGGAGAAGAGGAGGAGAGGAAGCAGAGAGCTCCCCGCCCAGTGCTGGAAAAAGGTAAGTTTTTAACCCTTTCCCCTTTCCAGAGCCGGGCGGGAGGGGGACCCTGAGGGTGGGGGCACCCTCAGGGCACTATAGTGCCAGGAAAACGAATATGTTTTCCTGGCACTATAGTGGTCCTTTAAGTGAGAATTCAAAATTAATTTCAGACTATACAAGTTACTCCAAGCACCATGATTTATGTGCAGTGTTTTCCTTTTAAATGCTGCCCATACAGAGATTAACCTCTTTGCGGCCAGAGGTGTTACTCCTTTGGTGTAAGTCATCAGGCTGGCCAATGTCATTTATGCCCAATTTTGGCGTCTGATGCCAGACAGCCAATGGCAGTCTGCTCAACTCTTTAGTGCTGCCCCTGTCCTCTCCTCAGTCTATCCTCCCTGACACCCCAGGCTGCGGGGCAAAGGAAATGAGGTAAGGTTTTAAAGGAACAATATACAAAACAGCTTTGCGTCAATCAGCATGCATTGAATCAGTGCATCTCTATGGTAAACGTCATTGTCTTCATGCAGAGGGTGGAAATGCTGAATGCTATGACTAGAAAGCACCTCTAGTGGCCGTCTGAATGACTTCCGCTACAGGTGTTACTAGGCACCAATAGAAACACTGAAAAGGCAATGATTACAGTGCTAAGACTGGAGGGACAAAGCTTTAGTGACTCCGGTGACGATATTGTCCATTTTTAAGTCTTTTATTTAATTTATTTTTTTCTTGTGTGCTTTTTTTGCATTTGGTCATGGGCGTAGAAGCACAAAAGAGGTTTCTACTACTACAGAATTTCAAATTTAAGGCCAAAATAGCTGGTAATGTAGCTGAATTAGATAATTTTTCCATTTCAGCTATTTGGGCCTTAAATTTGAAATGAATTCTCACTTTAGTGAAAAACCCAGTTAGTATTATTTATACAATAAGTGTTGCGTGTTGGGAAATTAATATTTATGAATATATATTTCTGTTAGTTTCATATTTATTGTGTGTTGTTATTGTAAATTGATATCGGACTGGTAATGGAAGGAAAATTGCTGTAACACAAAAGAACAAGTAGCAGTGTAATCAGAGTAGATAAGATAAAGGTTGTTAAATAGTACTTGTGGCCACTATTATGGTTATTACTTGTTAAAGGTATATACCACATTTTAAAAATACACTTTTTATTTTAATGAATTAAAACAATTCATCATAATGCACTTAAAGCTTTATGGTTTTATATTATGACCAATATTAATGTAGTTATCATGTGTTTGACGAATTATATATTGCTTCGATATGGGAGATGTTTGATGCCTTATGGTATATATTCTGTTTTGGTAATGTACCAGTGATTTATTGCTACTATCAAAATGTAACGTTGCATATTGTTTTTTGTATGCCAGCTAGTATCATGAGATCTGGACTCTCCATGTCAGACTTGTTCTAATTTGAAAGGCGTGCTTGAAAACATTTAATTAATGCCAAATTATAGAGCATAGAAAACCAAATTGCAACATTAGTTAAATTGGAAAGAATCTATAACATGTAACAACATGACTATTTAAGACCACGTGTTGGTATTTGGCTTTTATTTCACTGCTGTTAGCGGTTTGATAAATAACCCTCAGTTCTCTCTTTTTTACTATTCACGATTTACTATCCAGTGTCTGTAAATATGGTATATATGAACAATGTGTTGGAACGCTAAATTCAGGGTCTCGCCTTCGTGTTTATGGGGAGCAGCAGGAGAGCATTAAAATGATGCATGCACTGGGTTCTCCACCACTTTTTTTTTTTTGTGTGTAAATATAATTTTTATTGTTTTTCCGTTTTGGGAAAATGCCAGTTAACATGTTCATTGACTGGACTCGCAGGTCCATCACCTGACAAAAACAAGGGGAAGACCATCGGTTTTGCGTAGGTATGTCATAGTGTGGGCTCGCAGGCCCCAAGCACAAAGAGGACTCGCAGGCCCCAAGCACAAAGAGGACTCGCAGGTCCCATCAAGACCATTGTGGCATTATGAGGTTTAACAGGTGATCCACTGTCTTTCTAGTTGTAAGGTGCTGACAACGTTCTGGTCTTATCTCATGCCCTCTGGCTACTATCTGTGTGGCATGTTTGGCTATCAGCGTGCCCTGTTCAGTCTATTCCCTGTTATGTACCGGGATCCGTGGTAGGGTGAGATGCCCCTGTCCCTAGGTGGTCTGCGACAATTGTGTTTCGTCACCCCCGCTCTACTGAAGTTAAGTTCCTGTCTGTGTAGTGGGCTTCCTCTATGTGTGCCTCCCATGTTACCCTTTCTACCGTAGTTCCAGTTGGTCCCTGCCGTCTCGCGGAGATTGTGGTCTGAGGGTAGGGGTGACTGAGGTGGTAGGGGTAGGCTGTAATGGGAGAGCGTCTGGGGTCTGTCATCATCCAAAGTCTGTAGCATGTTGGGGTTTGTATTCTGTCCCTGTTGTTGGGCCTATGATTTGTCCAAAAAATCTGGTTTTGTCGCCTTCAGTAGCCAGTGCATCCATATGTTGAGGTAGGTTTGGTGTGTGTTATTCGCGGTAGCATGGAGATCTTCTAGGGATTTCAGCTCTTCCATTTTTGTGAACCAGGTTCTCAATGGCGGGGTGATCGGTTGTTTCCAGTGTTGTGGAATGTTTGTTTTAGCTATGTTTACTATGCGTATTGTCAGTGATTTCTTATAGAGGGACCGGGGGACCTTGGTGTGGTATAGGAGCATTTCGGCAGGACTAAATGGGAGTGGGTCGTCCGAGAATTGCCCTATTATTGTGTGTATTTCCGTCCAGAACGGGACAATCTTGCTACACTCCCACCAGATGTGCAGGAGTGTGCCCCTCTCCTCGCCACATCTCCTCCAGCACGTTGGGGAGTGGTCCGAAATGTGTGCGTTTAGTATGGCAGGGGTGCGGTACCAGTGTGTTAGTAGTTTGTATGCTGTTTCTTGTGTCTTACTGAAGCTGGAGCAATGGTGCGTGAGGTAGCAGATTTTTCCCATTCTGTCTTGTCGAATGTGCAGCCCAGGGCCGTCTCCCATTTTCCCACAAAGCTTGGCTGTGCAGTTGGTGTTTGTCAGAAGTGAGGTGTATATGAGGGAGACTCCATGAGTTAGCGGGTCTGGGTTTAAGCAGACTTCTTCAAAGTATGTGGCGGCTCTTGATAGAATCGCCCCCTGTGGGAGCTTTGCGATGTAGCTCTGGATCTGTTTGTTTTAGGTGCATCAAGAGAGTATGTTCTGTGTCCCCTCTTAAGGCCGTTTGTCGTCTAGACATGTCTGAGTCTAGGTAATGGGTCCTGTACTAGTGTTTTGAACGCTTTTGAGTCTAATCCCGGTGGGAAGTCCGGTTTGTGTGTCAGTGGAAGCAGAGGTGATGGGTATGGTGCTAGATCGTGTCTCCCCTTTGTGCGGTGCCACTCTTGCAAGGTAGCCTTTATGTAGGGGGAACATTTCTTCTCTACGCTCCGGGTCCCAGGGGGCAGCCATGGCAATACCGCGACTGGAACACCCGCTTCGTTTTTTCCTCCGCTTGTTTCCACTGTTTTTGCACCCCGTGTTAGGTCCATTCTATTATGCGGAGGAAGTGACAGGCCCTGTAGTAGAGGGTGAAGTCTGGCAGTGCCAGGCCGCCCCTATCTTTTGGTTGTGTTAGTAGAGTTTGTTTGTCTGGGTCGTTTCCCATTCCAGACGAATTGTCCGAGGGCTGTGCGGAGCGCAGTGAAGAATGTGCATGGGACCGCGATGGGGATGGTTTGGAAGAGGTATAAAAGATGAGGGAGGAAATTATTTTTAACTACTTGTATCCTACCCAGCCATGAGATGTGTGGTTATGCCCATTCCTGCATTTCCATGTGGAACTTTGCGTGTATTGAGGTGAAATTTTCCTTGAAAAGATCCCCCTCTTTCCGTGTTAGCCAGATACCTAGGTATTTGATTTTGTGTGTGGCTTATTGGAATGTGTAGTGTTGGCGTTTTCCACCACTTTTAATTCTGATGTTGTGAGAGATTAAAAAAAAATAAAAAAATAAAAAATCAATAACTGTTGACAGATTAAGTGACATAAGAAAACTGGTATGAACACTGCTTATCTAGTATTGGGTTGTAATGACACTTATCAAAAGTGATTCAACAATGCAGAAAACCAGATAAGGACAATACTCTTTCTATATTTTTACAGCTTCTTGATAAATGTCACCAAAAGGCATTCCAGATACACTGTTTCCACACCATATATTTAACCCTTTGGTGACAACCGCCGTGTTAGTGTATGGTGATGCCATTAATGGCTTTAATAACAGCTGTATTAAAAACTGCTTTAGCTATCAGATCTGGCTTATTGGTAGATGTCTCAACAACAGTATACAGGCCCCAATCCACCCCTGAGGCTATCTCAGGCATCTCTTTGGCACTATGCTACAGCCATTGCATGATCATTTCCATAGAGCAGCATTTGCAATGTCAAGCCTGAATAGAGCATTACCAGATATGAAGCTGTTCCAAGGATCTGATCTTTGTAACATAGTTCCTCAACAGACTGAAGCCTCAGGGCTGGTGGAACCCTCTGTACAAGGTTATTGCTAGTATGTCTTACAAGTGTGGAATTCCATCAGTACACACCAGTTGACCCCTTGCACTGTGGTTGCTTTGCGAAACAATCACTAAGATTGCAATACTTCACTGACTGTAAAGGCATACAATCACTCTGCATAAAAGTGTAAGGTTAGAAGCCACTTTTCGTTTAGAATTGGGCTTTTAATAACATTAACTGTTAAAATCCGGTTTGAATTAATTTAGTGTTGTAATTTTTTTTAGTTTTATTGGTGATTAAAAACAATAATAATGTTAAAAAGGAAGTTGCATTTTTATATTTCGTTATGCACATTTTTTATTTAATTTTTTTGTCATGTGGCCGTTGATATAATATTAAAAATTGCCAGTGGTCAAGCTGACAAGGATTGGCTTATGGCAGCACCAGGCAGCCATAATACAGCTTGAGAGGCCACATAAAATACAAATTTGCTGAATAAACTTTTGTAAATAGCCAGGTTAAGCTAGAGCTCAGTGGTAGGCAACCTTTGGCCCTCCAGATGTTATGAACTACATATCCTTTAATATCCTTACAGCAGTGCCGGAACTAATGTTTTTTGAACCCCTCCTCTTGTGAAAGAGTGGCCAAAAGGTAGATCCCTATCTGTTATGTCAGCAGGGGATCTATCATTTGCCCATCCTTGCTGGGATGTATTTGTGAGCAGTGTTGAATGAATTATTGTTACGGATCACCTGGCACCCCGACTGGGTACATCCGTTGAAGGATGCGCTAGCGCTTCCTGAGGACTCCAAGCACTGCAGCAGACACCACAACCACCGAAGCGGAGAAGCATACGAATGCTCTCAAGCATATGAATGCTGTAAGCAGCTGAACAGGAAAAGCATATAATCAGCTTACACTCCTGGCAATCAGCATACAATCCAATTCCCCCAATAACGAGATGACACTTCGTTTTGAGGTCAAGCAGAACATATACAGGCTGTATGAAAAATAATTATTGTAAATGTGTCCCCTATTCTATAGTTTAAAACTACTGCACGATGTCTTTGTCCACCAAATACCGGCAGGATGGCACCGTGTAGAAAAGTCCAAACAGTGTCTGTGAGTTAAAATAGCCACCATCCATTGTTCTCACCATGTGCCTCTGATACATGAAATGGTGGCCACCCAGTAACTCCACAGTATGTCCCCAGATGGTTCTTAAAGGGCCAGCAGCAGCATAATAAAATCAAGTATGCCCACATCAGTTCCTAGAAGGGCAATACATCACAGGGCCATAGTTGCAGGGCAGGAAGCTGGCAAACAGGCCCCTCCAAAAACCAGTGGCGGGGTTACTTTCGCCACATATCACCCCTTTGGGGTGTAGACTAACCAGGTACCTGACCTTCTGTCGGTCAGTGCCTAAGTTAGTCTAACAACCCACCCACAACAGCAAAGTGCAAGAGCAGCCCACCCACAACAAACAGTTACTGCACCTGGGTATTTCTCTGGGGTGATGGGGCAACATGCTGTGGGGACTTGAGGTGAGGGGGGTTCAGGCCAGTCCTGTAACAAGGGGTCAGTAGGGCAGAGGCCAGCTCTTCCGCTGGTATAGCCTGCAGGACATCATGCTCTGGACAAGAGACAAAGGGAGGGCAGAGGCCAACTGCACTCTGCCCAGCTGCCAGCTCTTCTGCTGGGGTGCTTGGGACATAGTCCGGCTCAGTAGCCAGGGGAACATGGGGGTCACTGGGGGTTAACATCTCCTCTGTTAACCCTGGGGCCAAGTTAGGAGTTAGCTGGGTAGGGGAGAATTGGCTTACTTCCTCCTCCTGATACTCCTGCGATGGTAGCTGGGGATCTGGACAGGCTGTCCAGCATCCTTTTGGGTCAGGCACAGAGACCACGGTCCCATCTGCGCCGTCTGAAAGATTGGTATCTCCCCTTGGTAGGGTAAGCTGCCGCTGGGGAGAGAGGGTGCTGTGCTCCTCTCCCTGAATCACAGGCTGCCGCTGGAGAGGGAGACCGACTGTCTCCACTCCTGTAACATTGTCCTGCTGCTGGAGAAAGAGACCAACTGTCTCTGTTCCTTGTAGGACACACTGCTGCTGGGGGGGAAAGGACAACAGCTTCGGCCCCCTGGAACTCACACTGCCGATGGGGAGGAAGGACGACACCTTTGGCTTCCTGGAACTCACACTGCCGCTGGGGAGGAAGGACGACACCTTCGGCTTCCTGGAACTCACACTGCCGCTGGGGAGGAAGGATGGCACCTTTGGCTTCCTGGAACTCACACTGCCGCTGGGAAGGAAGGACGACGCCTTCGGCTCCCTGGAACTTGCACTGCCGCTGGGGCGGAAGGACAGCACCTTCGGCTCCCTGGGACTCACTCTGCCGCTGGGGAGGAAGGACGACACCTTCGGCTCCCTGGGACTCACTCTGCCGCTGGGGAGGAAGGACGACACCTTCGGCTCCCTGGGACTCACTCTGCCGTTGGGGAGGAAGGACGACACCTTCGGCTCCCTGGGACTCACTCTGCCGCTGGGGAGGAAGGACTACACCTTCGGCTCCCTGGGACTCACTCTGCCGCTGGGGATCTAGGCCGACCACCCAGCATTCCTGTAGGGCCAGTAGAGAGACCGCAGTCCCATCTCCACCTGCCATCTGTGGGTCTTCCCAGGACCAGTCTGTGAGGTCCCTCAACATTTGCAAGTAAGGACAACTGGCTTCCGCACCCGGTAACTCCGGCTGCTGCTGGGGATCTGGGCCGGCTGCCCAGCATCCCGTTGGACCCGGTGGAGAGACCTTGGTCCCATCTCCACCTGCCTGTTGTGGTTCCTCACAGGACCAGTCTATGAGGACCCCTACTTCGGGTTCCTCTGGCTGCCTCAGGGGGAAACGGTGAACATCCTCGAATGCAGCCTCTCTTTGGCTGCTGTAACACTCCTTCCGCTGAGCATATTCTCTCTCTTTCGCCAGCCAGAATTCTCAGTCCATCCTTGCGTTTCGCTCGGCTGTGACCTGGTTCCAGATCGCCTGGAATATATCATTATCACCATACTGGGCCACTCGCTGCCGCACTTCGGCCAGCCAATCATCGCCAGAGCCTTCCATACTTGTCTGCTCCAAGTCGCTGGATACCTCTGCTCCTAGGGGCGCTGTGTGCTAGCGTTGCCCTAAATTTGTAACTCCAGTCTCTTCGGGGGCGTGGGTTCGAATCCCACCGCTACCACCAATGTAACGGATCAACTGGCACCCCGACTGGGTACCTCCTTTTAAGGATGGTCCTAGCGCTTCCTGAGGACTCCAAGCACTGCAGCAGACACCACAACCACCGAACTGGAGAAGCATACGAATGCTCTCAAGCATACGAATGCTCTAAGCAGCTGAACAGGAAAAGCATATAATCAGCATACAATCCAATTCCCCCAATAACGAGACAACACTTAGTTTTGAGGTCAAGCAAAACATATACAGGCTATATGAAAAATAATTACTGTTAAATGTGTCCCCTGTTCTATAGTTTAAAACTACTGCACGATGTCTTTGTGCACCAAATACCGGCGAGATGGCACCGTGTAGAAAAGTCCAAACAGTGTCTGTGAGTTAAAATGGCCGCCATCCATTGTTCTCACCATGTGCTTCATCCATTGTTCTCACCATGTGCCTCTGATACATGAAATGGTGGCCACCCAGTAACTCCACAGTATGTCCCCAGATGGTTCTTAAAGGGCCAGCAGCAGCATAATAAAATCAAGTATGTCCACATCAGTACCTAGAAGGGCAATACATCCCAGGGCCATAGTCACAGGGCAGGAGGCTGGCAAGTAGGCCCCTCCAAAAACCAGTAGCGAGGTTACTTTCGCCACTATTATTATTATTATTATTACGACTGGTATTTATATACCGCCAATTTATTCCATAGCGCTTTACAATATTATCAGGGGGAGATTTAACAATAAATGACTATTTCAAAAAATTACAGGAACAATAGGTTGAAGAGGACCCTGCTCAAACAAGCTTACAGTCTATAGGAGGTGGGGTGTAAAACACAATAGCAGTCAAATAAGGTGGGAGTGAAGCAGAGCTGGAGGAGAGAATAGAGTGCTGCCCTATAGGCGAGAGCAAGGGACAGGTACATGAGGTAGAGGTTACTCTGGGAGGCCTTAAGCTTTCCTAAGAAGATGGGTTTTAAGGACCTTATTAGATGATTGAAAACTAGGGGAGAGCCTGATGTTGGTAGGCAGGCTATTCCAAAGGAAAGGAGCCAGCCACAAGAAGATCTGCAAGCATGAGTTGGCCGTGCGGGTGCAAGCAGCGAAAAGACAGAGAAGGGGCATAACTACGGATCAGTGAAGAGAACTAGGAGGGGCTAGAATCAGTCAGTGCTTTATAGGTGTGGATTAGTTCCTTGAATTGTCTCCTATATGATACAGGAAGCCTATGTAAGGACTGACAGAGGGGTGAAGTGAGACAGGAGAGGAAAATCAGTCTAGCTGTAGCATTCATTACAGACTGAAATGGGGCAATACGACTTCTGGGAAGACCTATTAGGAGATAGTTACAATAATTCATGCAAGAGATTACTAGAGCATGGACAAGCTCCTTAGTAGCATTTTGCGTAACAAAGGGGTGGTTGCAGGCTATGCAGGATTTTGTTAACAGACTGGATGTGAGGCCAGAATCAACTATTACTCCAAGACCGCGCACTTGCAAGGAAGGGCTGATTTGGGTACTACCAACCTGAAGGGAGAGCGAGAGAGGAGGATCATTATTAGTAGGAGGAAAGACCAGAAGTTACATTTTAGAGAGATTGAGTTTCAAAAAGCTGTTTTTTGACATCCAATCAGAGGAGGAAGAAAGGCCAGCAGTGACACGTTGCAGAATGGCAGGGAAGAGGTCTGGGCAGGATAGGTATATTTGGGTGTCCCCGTCCCATAGTGTTCTTTTCTCCCCCTGTCCCATAGTGTTCTCTTCTCCCCCTGTCCCATAGTGTTCTCTTCTCCCCCTGTCCCATAGTGTTCTCTTCTCCCCCTTCCTCCCCTGTCCCATAGTGTTCTCTTCTCCCCCTTCGTCCCCTGTCCCATAGTGTTCTCTTCTCCCCCTTCCTCCCCTGTCCCATAGTGTTCTCTTCTCCCCCTTCCTCCCCTGTCCCATAGTGTTCTCTTCTCCCTCTCCTCCCCTGTCCCATAGTGTTCTCTTCTCCCTCTCCTCCCTTGTCCCATAGTGTTCTCTTCTCCTCCTGTCCCATAGTGTTCTCTTCTCCTCCTGTCCCATAGTGTTCTCTTCTCCTCCTGTCCCATAGTGTTCTCTTCTCCTCCTGTCCCATAGTGTTCTCTTCTCCTCCTGTCCCATAGTGTTCTCTTCTCCTCCTGTCCCATAGTGTTCTCTTCTCCTCCTGTCCCATAGTGTTCTCTTCTCCTCCTGTCCCATAGTGTTCTCTTCTCCTCCTGTCCCATAGTGTTCTCTTCTCCTCCTGTCCCATAGTGTTCTCTTCTCCCCCTGTCCCATAGTCCCATAGTGTTCTCTTCTCCTCCTGTCCCATAGTGTTCTTTTCTCCTCCTGTCCCTCCTGTCCCATAGTGTTCTCTTCTCCTCCTGTCCCATAGTGTTCTCTTCTCCCCTGTCCCATAGTGTTCTCTTCTCCCCTGTCCCCTTTGTTTCTTTTTTTTTTTGGATTTCAGCAAATTTGACCCGTTTTTGGCCGAAACGTAAGAGGCCCGTTTTCGGCCGAAAATTTTGTCAGCCGAAATTTCAGTGCATCCCTAGTATTAAATTTGTGTTTGTAATATTTGTTTTAGATTGTCGGAGTGTTTTTGGTGTTCTGATGGTGTTTGCTTAGATTAATGCACATATACTGCCACATACACATTAACCCAGATAAATACATATAAACTCCGAAACGCGCACACCAACACACAATCTGACATACATAGACACATACATGTAATTTTCATATTTTTGCAGCCACCCTCCTTTTAGCATACCTTTTGTGTCCAGGAGGGCGGCTTGCTTCAGCCTGGATGAGGCTGATGGGAGTTAGTCTTCAGCAAAGGCTAACTTCCTCGAGCTGTTTTTGCTCCTGCCGTCTCCTCTTCACTCCCTCCTGTGCGTTGCGTTCTTTTTGAAGTTGGAAGGCAGTGATCACCTGTCACTTTCCAGCATTGTCCGGATTACAGGGGCAAGGTCGCACTAATTAAGGGCCACAGAGCCTAACCGGGCCCATGTTCAGCATACAATACCAATCTGGTGGCCCTAAGTGTATGGGCCCCCTGGCGCAGCAGCACCACCAGCTTCATAAGTGGTAGTTTCGCCACGGTCTTACAGCTATAATGCTGGCAAAGCATCAGGGGAGATTTAGTTCACAACATCTGGAGTGCCCAAGATTGCCTACCCCGCGACTGCTAGATTCTAGTCTAGGTGCTATGACCAATTCAGTAAGATGAAGCCGTTGCATTGCCTTCAATGTCAATTTAAACTACATATGAAACATCTGTAAACATGGCAACACTGCATGCTGAAGTGAAAATGTAAATAATAAATAAAAATCACAAAAAATACAAATCCTCAAAATATTTTTCTAAATTAACATGATAATACAAAGTCTTGTTTGCTGCACAGATGGCTATTTTTAAGAACAAAAGCAACAGCCATAGGATTGATCTGTGGAGTTTATGTAATTGACCCTGAACACTGAAAGCAAGAGGAGGGGTCGGGGGGAAGGGATGTAATGTATCATCTGTATTTGTTCGTGAATTATTCACATCATCTTCGATTCTAATGGCGACCAGCAGTTTAACCCCTTAAGGACACATGACGTGTGACATGCCAGAAGTTTGGTCCTTTAGGGCTTAAAGATCAGTAATAAGTTCCTTTGGTCCCTTTTTCAGGCATGCAAAAGCACATAATGGTACTGCAAGCTTGCACTTTAACATAGCAAGTCAATTAAAGGAACATTTTAAGCAACATAACCACGACAACTCACTGTAGCGGATACACTGCTAGAATTTGTATTCCTAACCCTGTATTGTTACTTTCCCTGTATGTAGGCAGGTACCCCCGGTACAAATAAATAAATAAAAACAAATGAAGATTACTCGGCTTATTCTAGCAATGAAGCTCCCTCTCTGCTACTCACTTCTCCTTTCTGCTTATGTCCAAAGAGGCCCTGCTCCGCCTCGTGCAAATTCACACTTTTCCATAGAGTGTTGAATCAATGCTTTTCTATGGGCCTTCTGTGTCACTGAAATGAAGTGATCTGAGGGACTATAGTGTTCCTTTAATACTAAACTATTTAAGAATGGTTTTGATATAAATCAAGAGTTTTCTTGGCACTGAGTCATATTTGACCACAATGATAATTTGTAAATAACACGTGCTCAATATTAGTGTCAATTTAATCCAATCTGAATGACACTGATTGGCTTGGAGAACTGTGGGTGGTTAGCACAGTAATCCTGGTTTGTTGATTGACACTGATGAAGCAGAATGTGTTAATTCCATATAATCAATTCTGCCAAGTGGATGTCAGTCTTTTGGCCGGGAATACCCTGCAAACTGTGTGCATATGTGGAGTCATGGCAGTTTGTATTACGTTACATGACCATTTCTGTGTAATTACGGTAAATGAAAGTTAAATTACACACATACAAGCTCATTAACTAGCAGGCACACAAACACACCCACAAGATCACTCTCCCTCACTAGCTGCAGTGTATTTGAAACCTACCTGGCACTGAAGGCTGTGAGAGCACTGGCAGGTGAAGACTCCATTCTCTGGCCTCTTCCTACCGACGAGGTCAGCGGCTTGAGGCTGGAGCTTGAGTGAGGAGGTAGGACTTAAGAGCAGCGGCGGAGCTTGAGTGCAAGGCAGGAGCGTCACAGAAAGGTTCCTCGATACAGTGCCTCTCCAGCCGCCGCTGCCTCAATGGAGCCACACCAGCCCCCGAAGGGAAATTTATTTCAAGGCTATTAGGGCTGCTTGCAGCCCACCGGGAAATTTCTTGGTATCCGGGTCGGCCAGTCCAGCCCTGTTCTTAGCCAATTGCCTTGTCAGTTGTCTACAGTTCCAGATTTATTGTATACCCAAGTTTCATGTCAGAATGCAGTATTTGGCCTGCTCCCTTGGACTTCTTTCCATTTCTGTGACCTAAAAGAGTTTGGTGCCATTTTGCCGTCCATTAAAGTGACCTGGGTTTAATTTACACAAACAGATTTTAATTATATCTATTGCATAACACCCTACATTCAAGATTATTTGCTTAATAGAGAACTGAAATTTTACAGAAGCATGTGTGCCTTATAGTACAGACATTCTTCCATCAAAATATTCCTATATTCCACTATTGTACTGTTTTCGTCTACATATCTAAACAAATTCAAAAGAGGTTTTCAGACCTTCCCAATCACTAGAACCTCTTTGAACCTTCATGGGAAATTCTAGAATGCAGACTAGGAATTCGATTCTGCTTTTTTCATACTTCAATTAAAGGCTTTTCTTCGTGAATTTTGCAGCTTCATTCTACACAATTTAGGGTCTGTTCTGATCTCTCTGACCATCAGGGTGACACATTTTCTCTCCAGGTCTTATTTCTGTGTCTATGTGAAGCCGTATTACAAGCAATAGATAATATCAAAACTATACTATTAAAGGTCAAAGGACGATTCCCCTCAAAACATTGTCTTCTAAAACTCATTCCTACATTCTGTGCGGGGAGGACTATAGAGACTGTTATAAAACACTGTCTGACCCAAGTTGCCTTAATGTGGCTGCAGGCTTCTGTCCTATTGACTGAGATCATCAGAATGGACTTTCTCAGCCAATCCAATGCTTTCCTACAGGAAAGCATTGGATTGCCTGAGATCATCAATTCTGTTGTCGGCCAAGAAAGCAGATCGGGGGCTGGAATAAAGTTGAGTTTTAACAATTTTTAAAGGGGACAAGAGGAGGTTAGGGGCTTAAACTGCATTTTTAACACTATAGGTACACTATAAATACATATTTGTGTTCCTGACCCTATACTGTTCCTTTTAATTCTCATATGTACTACTATGCAAAATTCACACATCATAAAGCAAACCAGCTTTCCTTTGCTGGAATTATCTCTGATGGCATTTGGTTGAATCAACGGTTCCTAAACTGTGTGCCCACAGGGTGCCGCGGAATATTTTCCCGGTGCTATGATTATAGCACCGTGGAAACTACTGCTCAACAGGGACCCCGTTGAGTGCCGCGGTCCTTTAAGACCGCGACCTGACCCCTGTTATGTCGGCCGGTTGGGAGGAAGTGACAGCCTGTCACTTCCTCCCAGCATCTTGCGGGGAGACAGCACGGGAGGGAGAGGAGCATGAAGTGCTCCAGACCCCTCACTCCCACAGCAGCAGGACTCCAAGCCACCCTCCTGGCACATAAGGTAAGCTAGCAGGAGGGTGGCTGGAGATATATAAATTTTTTTTTATATATATATATATATATTCATTCTGAGCGGGGACCCACCGAATGGCAGACTATTTCAGCTGCTGCCCGTTCTCAGTATTCTCTTGCGCCCCCGTTTTTTTTTTTTGTGTGTTTTTTTTCCCTCTCTCTCTCTCCCCCATGTATCAATGTTTGTGTGTATGTGTCGTGTATGTATATGCATCTGTGTATTAATGTGCATGAATATCTGTATGTATGTATGTGCATACATCCAAGCAGTCAAACACCAGCACAACATACAAGCACACTCCTGCATTCTAACACACATATTACATAAAAGCACACCCCTGCATTCAAACAAAAAAATATACAAACACAAATGCTTCACACAGATGTACATCCACATTTAAAAGTGAACATTACATTCAGACACACCCCTCACAGGGCCCTCAAACCCTCTGTTCCCGTGCGTCCGTTTGTCTGGTTACAATTACGTGCCTGTTAGTCCCCTCATTGTACAGCGCTACGGAATTTTGTTGGCGCTATATAAATAATAAAATAATAATCACTTACAAACCGCTTTATTCAAACGCAATAAATGTATACAAGCACTCCTTCAAACCCCAACACTGTACATTACGCACCAGTAAATGCGGCAGCGTTGTACAGACATACAACCTAGAATTTCTGACTTGGGGCGCTTTGGGAAAAATAATGAAATTTTAAGGGTGCCTTGAACCTAAAATGTTTGGGAACCACTGGGTAAATTATTATTAATATTACTATTGGCATTCATGTAGCGCTAACTTATTCTGCAGTGCTTTATAAATTAAGGGTATAAAACCTCAAGTATTGACAAATAGCATGTAGTGTTGACGCAGACAACAGGTGATAACATGTTATGACAGATTCCATAGTGAGTGTATCATTTATGATAAATATAAACTTGGTCTTATATTCAAATATTTCTAAAATGCATTGCTGCTCACGTATCGTGTTGGCTGTGAAGGCAAGCAGGAAAACTATATGCAGGGAGTTCTCCTTCTCCTTGCCTGTCAGTCATTCTTTAGCATACAGTATATGCCAAGAATTGATTGACAGGCCAGTGAGTCCTTATTTAATGGGGGTTTTTCTGTCTAGTAAATAGATACCAGTTTTGCACAATATAGGTATTACATTGTATGTTTTTTAATAAGTGAATAGGTTTTACGTACATTCTAGGCATTAACAATCTTAAAATTTGTTAATGCATAATCACTCTAAATGAGAAATTGAAATAAAAGATAACGTGCTCTGCAAAATAAGCAAATGACCACTCTCTGTATATTTGACCATCTAAATCCGTTTACAAAATTTGAAATTGATGAAGTCTTGTTTTTGTATGTATATGTGTGTTTTTATTTTTCTTCCTTGCTTCATTAATTTTTTAGATGCACAAAGAAATCACTGATTGTCTCTATTGTGTCTTACAGTGAAACGTTTTAGAGAACCAAAGCATGAAAGACGACCTTGGAGAATATGGTATGTATTTCAAACAATTCTGGTTGCTTTTTCCCATACTGAATGTGGACACACAAGCCTTTCAGGGTTAAGGTTAAATAAATATTTTGTGGAGTCTTTGAAATATTATTTATTGTGTAATGCTCAGTGATAGCAGGGTAAATTGTTTCAAAATAAGGATAAAATATAAATTTCTGTAACTGTGCATGCATATAATGTTAAAGGAATGTCCTGTATGACTTGCCACTTAAAGGAAAACTATAGGGTCAGGAACACAAACATGTATTCATGACCCTATAGTGTTTAACCCACCATTTAGGTGGCTTGTGCCCCCCTCCCCTTAACCCCACCATAAATGTTTAACACGTACGGATTTTACCGTTTTTGCGCGACTTGGTTTATTTCATTTTCATCTTTTGTACGGAGCAGTCTGTGTTCCGTTTCTCTTATATATTGGTCCACATATCGGATGTCCCTATAGTCTTACTTGGTTCTCTTTAGAGGCCTTACTACTATTTATTTTAGCGGACTCTATACGTATGTGCACATACAATATATATATCATTTTCTATGAGACTAAGGAACATATCCCCAGGTTTTTAATTCCTCACCTTTATGTGATTTTCACTAACACAACTTTCTATGGTGTTTCTATCCAGGGTAAGCTTTATACCTATTATATATATTTTCTTTGCTTAATTTTAGTTCAATAAAGGTTATTACCATTTTCCTTGTTACGTTTACTTTAGGAGGTAATCTTCTAGAGTGAGATTGAATCCCATTCACTTTTGAGTGAGTGTTTTTTTCTCTCTCACTCTTTCAGTTGGTAGTTATTTACTTGTTGTGGGGTTAAGCCCCCGTGTTACCTCTTGTAACCTACCTTGGGGTTCTGACGTTGGCTAGTCCAACATCACCACTCCTATCTCATATTTATTAAAGTTTAAAACTTGCCTTATTTCCAGCGCCGTGCGGGTCTGCCAGCGCAGGCTCCGTCCCCTTTGTGACATCCTCAAAATGGCTGATTTTTAGCCAATCCAATGGTTTCCCATAGGAAAACATTGGATTGGATAAAATCGGCACGAGCGGGGCCAAATGCAGTTTTGGCCAATCAGAACCTCCTCATAGAGATGCATTGAATCAGTGCATCTCTATGAGAAAAATTCAGCATCGCCATGCAGAGTGTGGGGACGCTGAACGGCAAGGCTGTTTTTTCGGCAGCAATGACCCAGGAAGCACCTCCAGTGGCTATCTAAGGAGTGGACACTTGAAGGTGTCCCTTGAGGCAATGTAAACACTGTGTTTGCATGAAAAAAGCCTGAAGGGAACTATTATACTCACCAGGACAACTACATTAACTGTAGTTCTGGTGACTATAATGTCCCTTTAACACCCTCCCCCCCAATAGCAAACTGCAAGATTCAGTAGATTGCATTATACACTATTGTCTTGCCCTCACTTTAAATAAATAAATAAATATTTAGCTTCCAAAATCCCAAACCACTTTCAGCTGTGAGAAATGTCTACAGTGCATTCCTTTTTAAATCATGTTTATTAAACTTGTTTGCTAACTGGCCAGCAGTGGATTGGTTTGAAGAGAATTACAGGCTCCCTGACAAAATAATTTAATGACATTTCTTTTCAATGGCTCTTCTGGGTTACTTAGTCACCTCTGTGACTATCTAATCTTAATAGGTACCTAGTTGGGTTTGATTTAATGCATCATGATTTGTACTTGCTTTTTTTTTCAATATTTGTTGTTTCCTACAATGGAGAACATATCCAATTCTTAAAGGGACACTGTAGTCTCCAGAACCACTACAGCTTAATGTAATTTGTTCTGGTGTCTACAGCCTGTCCCTGTAGGCTTTTCAATGTAAACACTGCCTAGTTACCCCTCTAGTGGCAGTCACTTAGGCGGCCACTAGGGGTGACTAGACAGTACCTATGTTCAGCATAAAAACACTTTCTCCACGCGATCGGAGGCAGTACAGATCACACACATGCACTTACAGACCCATATAGAGACACACACACACACACACACACACACATTTGAGACTGATACTGACACAACTGACACAGTTGTACATCTGATTATTTTAAAGCAAAAATGCATTTGGTGCAGTTGAAGTCTAATTACTATGATTCCTTTCATATCCACTATTTATAGTGAACAAATTGCTATAAATGCACCTGCTCCCCATTGCAGTCATGTAAACGGTATTCGTAATATAGCCGCACTCACTAGCTAATTTGTGTGGTGAACAGAAGCAAGGTTTTTATTGCTCAGTATCTTTCACAGCAGCGACCAATGTAGTAATGCTTATTAAGGTGAACAAATAATGAATTGTTTTTTAGCATATTAAGACAAATTTCTAACTAAACAGCAACTTCAAAACTCACAGATTTTATTAGCAGTACACCTAATCTAGGCAAAAAATGGCGGTTTAGTTACATTATATGATCTTACATTGCATAAGTCTCTCTCTCTCTCTCTCTCCCTCTCCCTCTCCCTCTCCCTCTCCCTCTCCCTCTCCTCTCCTCCTCTCCCTCTCCCTCCCTCTCTCCCTCTCCCTCCCTCTCCCTCTCCCTCTCCCTCTCCTCTCCCTCTCCCTCTCCTCTCCCTCTCCTCTCCCTCTCCCTCTCCCTCCTCCCTCTCCTCTCCCTCTCCCTCTCCCTCTCCCCTCCCTCCCTCCCTCCCCCTCCCTCCCTCCCTCCCTCCTCCCTCCCTCCCTCCCTCCCTCCCTCCCCATCGGGACTATCTTTTGTGTCTGTTAGCATGTAGTACATGCTCTAATTTATTCCATTTGAGAAAGTCTTTGACGAAACGCGTTATGGAAATTTAATTATTGTGTTTGTAAATATATTAAAGTATTTTTGGTCATTTGTTTGTGCCAACAATCTTTTTTTATAGACACATAATACCCCTTTTTTTTACCCTGGCTTTTTAATTATTTTTATTGGTTTTATAAAAACCCTGAAAATCCCTGGAAGTTTCCTGCACTTAAAGAAATCCTAGGTGGGGATCAATCCACCCAAGCTGTCATCACGGAGCAGTTGGTCTGCTCTGGTTTTGTAAGTACATTTTTTTATTTTATCAATATTGCTATACAGTGAGCACTATTGGCTGTTTTCTTTTATTTCGAGAAATTGGACACCTATCACAGAGAGGAACCCATCTATATCCTATAAGCGGGGATTAAACCGCTGTATGCGCCTTATTCCAGAGCTAGGACATTAGCTCTGATAAATGTGAGTTTTATACTATTATTTCTTCACATCCATATTAGAACTCTACATACTACACTATTGGTTGTCGTCCTCTTTCTTTTTATTTTTCATATAAGTGGACTCACTACAAAGTAGAAGACGTCATCAGCAAAGATTATCTGTAAGGACAATACAGTTGGACTTTTCCTTGTAATTGGACTTTATTTTAATTTTTTAATTTTATTTGTGTGCGCAGCCTTTTATTATTTTGTTTTTATTTTATCTAACTTAAAAGGGTCTGAGGGATCCCCTTTTAAAGGTTGCTGCTTATAAGTTATTTAGCGCTGTCTTTTTCTTTTCCTTGTTAACATGCCTAATGTTGCAAGCAGAGTAGGCACCTGCTTTCCCCACATTGCAGGTGCCTACACTGCTATCATTTACCCGGCCGGGGAGGAAGGGACGGTGGAAGCAGCGAGGGAGCGCGCCCCGACTGAAGTGAAGCTGGGCGTCGGAATATGACTTCATATTTCGGCACCCGGCATCACTAAACTGCGCGCGGAAGCAGTGAGGAGCAGGAAGGATCCCAGGGAGATGCTCCAAAAGGTAAGGGACAATAAAGAAAAGTATGTGTGTGAGAGTGTGTGTGTGTCTGTCTGTGTGTCTGTCTGTGTGTCTGTCTGTCTGTGTCTGTGAGTGAGTGTGTGTCAATGTGTGTGTGTGTGTGTGTGCGGCCCACATAAACTTAAACCACTTTTGAGTTTGACATGCTTGATTAGAGGGACATTTGTGAATAGGCCTGCTAAATATCATTATAATACACTTTCATTAAAATACATTAGTATTGCTTACATCAATGAATAAAAGCTATGGTGGCATGTGGCTTATTAATTGATCTTGTATTAATCTATTTTGATGGTAAGAAAATTCTAACTCTAGGATATATTGCACATTGCTGCTGACTTAGCCATTTTAGTAGGAGTTTCTGCACAGTGTAAGATCGTGGCAGCTAGACCATTTATACATAGATTTTTGCCCAGAAATTCCAGTAAGAATGATGCTTTCTATTCTGTAATTTTCAGGCCTCGTGTTAAATTTCAGGCTTGGCTCAATGAGTATAATTTATTGATATCATGGTTGTCTTTTGACTAGTATGTCTTAGTGCATTGACATCCAGTGCTTGTTCTGGCAGATTACTTAATGAATCAGCAATGTATAGCTTATCTCCCTGGCAGTAAATTGCTCATAAATGATCCTGCTCTAAGTGTAAACACTCCTGTCTTCCTCCCTTCCCTCCTGCTATTTTCTTGTTTGTGGCCTTGCAAAGAGAGTACATGGCTATTGCTCAGGGAAAACGTATTCCACTCAGATTATTTTTCTATTTTAGAAGGAGGTAATATGGTTTAAGTGCCCACAAATGGAGTCTGATGATGTTGTTTATTGAGTTTTAAATAGCAAAGAAAACTATGGGAAATTCTGAGCAAATGCATTTTTAAAATGAAACCATGCAAAGACCATTAAATGTGCTGCAGGAAAAAAAGGGTGTGGCGGACCAAAACTGCAAATGTCTTCTTCTAAACTGCAAGTGATTAACGTTATACTGTCTGCTTCCAACTTCAGCATGTTCTACTGGTTTTCAACCCTATTGGAGACTTGGTTATGTATTTATTGGCAGCACTGTGGAATGTGCTAAACACACAAAATGAGACGGCAAACTTCACATTCATATTTTCTAGTTGGGGCTTATTCACCATCTGATTTAGGTACACCAATAGTATTATGGAAACTTGCATAACTGTATCATTTTAAATAGTATGAATATCCTTTTCAATTTCCTTTAGACCTGGCAACCTGTGCATACTTATCTTTGCTAATCCTCCAATACTTAAAGGGACATTATAGGCACCCGTACCACTTCATCCTTTTGAAGTAGTCTGGGTGCATTGTCCCTGTCCCTCTTAGTTCAGCAACATTGCAGTTTTTGAGAAACTCTTTACTTTGCAGTTCTAAAACAGCTTCTAGGGGCTGTCTACCAGACACCCACTAGAGGCACCTCCAGGAGTTTACCAAACTTGCTTTTTTTTTTTAAACCCTACCACTAAATTTTGCACTAACTTTCCACCCACTCCAGCTAATTAAACCACCAATTTAAATTTAATAAAATTAAAATAATTTACCGTATGCGTGGAAGAGAAGTAGCGTACCAAGGATAGGGCTGGGATAAGTGTCAAATATAGAGAAAATCTTTATAGGTCCAGACAAAGAGAAATATCATATATGGAAAACAAATTTTATTGAGAAAAAAAAAACTACTAAAATTGCACAGTGGCAAGACAAATACAATGGTGCTCATGTATTGTGAACAAACCCAAAAGTGATAAAATAAAAATGATCAAAACGATATATCAAGAATAGGAATACGATAGGTGTAAATAAGTAAACACCAACTGGTCTGATCTGATATCACTTCCTCTATGTGCTGCAATGCATAAATTGAGGATTGTCCTTCACCACCTTTTTGTATTAGTAGGTATCTGAAGTTTCACTGGGACTCCTGATAGGCCAGAGCCTGTTTGGCTCTAGCAGCCTTGAGTGCCGTGCATGGCACTAGTGCCGTAGGTTGCTGAATGTGCATGCGTGGCAAGAGCCGCTTGCACATCCAATCAGTCCAAAGGAAAGCATTTCTCAATGCTTTCCTATGGACGTCAGCGTCTTCTCACTGTGATTTTCACAATGAGAAGCGCAGAAGTGACTCTAGCGCCTGTCAATGATACAGCCACTAGAGGCTGGATTAACCCTATTGTAAACATAGCAGTTTCTCTGAAACTGCTATGTGTACAGCTTCAGGGTTAACCCTAGATGGACCTGGCACCCAGACCACTTCATTGAGCTGAAGTGGTCTGGGTGCCTATAGTGGTCCTTTAATACAGTGGCCCCTCCCTAAAATTAATACACTGCCCACTCCCTCAAATTAAAACAATGTCCCCTCTCCCCAATTTAACACACTACACAGTCCGTCAAGCCCCTCTTCCCCTACATTAAAATAAGCCGCCCTTCCTCCAGATGCTCGTTTGGCACTGCGAGCAGGAGGGAAGGGGGAGTGGCTGGCCTGCAGGAGCATGCGATTGATCATGGGAGGGAAGACCAGAATGAGACAGGAAATATCTTTGCAGCCACAACACAATGTGACCCCAGGGCAAGTGGGCCGCAAATGTATTCATTGTGGGCCGCAAGTTTGACATGCTTGATCTAAATGTTACTTTCCTGTGGATTGAGGATGTATTCATTGCCACCCTTGAACCAATAATTATCTGAAACCTGGAGATTCCAGAGCGTTCTTAACTAAATTGTGAACTGCCAGGATTTTAAAATGTAAGCCCATAATAGCTGAGCTGTAAAAAATTCTAAAATCCTAAGTTGGAGAATTTTTCCAGTTTGGGATTTTGTTGTACAATTGTAATTCCCTTGTGAACTCCCATGAATTCATGCGGTCCGTCATGCTGGGGAAGCACTTGCGCTACATTTACCCCCAAATCGCGACGATTGCGGGGTTCACGTCCCTGCGGCTGTGATCGCTCTGACAGGCTGTCAGAGTGAGCACGTGCTGCAGGGACTCCTGGTCCGCCTCCCTGCGCTTCCGCGTTCTGTGTGAAGTGCAGGGAAATGGATCAGCAGTGATTCTCCCTGCAACAAAACAAAAGTTAAAGTTAAATCCCACCCCCAGATCATATTTTACTATGATCTGATATTTTATTTTATTTTTTTCAAATGTTTAACCCCGGAGGGTTAAATTTAATTTTTTTTTTTTTTTTTTTAACCCACAGGGGTTGAAGTTATTTTATTAAGATATTTTAAAATTTATATAATGTAGCTAGCTGGGGTGCGTGGGTGTTAGTGGAGAATTGGGGAATTAGGCTAGCTAGGGGTTAATGTTAAAAAAAAAAAAAAAAAGTTTTAATAACCTTTAAAAAAGGTTTTTTTTAAAATCCCACCTTTACCCAGTCCTAATAAGAATTAACCCCTTCCCTGTCAGTTGATTGCTTCGTACGGTGATCACCGTATAATACTGTGATCTGTATTTTGATCTGATTTTTCTTTTTTAACCCCTGACTGTTAACTTTTATTATTTTTTAACCCTTAGGGGTTCAATTTAATTAATTTAAATATTTTAAAAATTTTATATTTTGCTAGATGGGGTTGGTGGGAGTTATGGGAAATTTGTGAATTTACTGTTAGTGCTGCTTACTGCTAGTTAGGGGTTAATGGTAAAAAAAAGTTTATAACCATTTTGAAAGTGTAAAAAAAGTTTGAAGAAAGTTTAAAAAAGTAAAAACAATTTAATGAGTAAACAAAAGTTTAAAAACTAGTTTTAAAAAGTAAACAAACTTTAAAAAAGTTTTTAAAAAATACATTAAAAATGCTCATTACCACTAAACCAGGAACACACTAGCAAAAAATGATCCCACGCGAAGGTTCAAAATATGTCTTTTGAATTACCCTGGGGTGTATTGTTTAATAATAGTATGTGTTTGTGGGCAAGTTTGAATAACCAACCAGCTAAACTACTCCGAAATGAAACTTGGATACAGCGTAAAACTTCAAAAGTTAGAAAAAAAAACTGAATGGCTGCATCTCAAATGTGCCCCTTCAGCATCCACATATACCTGGCAACGGTACACACGGGGGTATTGTACTCAAATGACATAGCTGAGCAACATATGAAATATTATACAGCCATTGCACAAATAAGGTTTGCAAAATATACTGTGCAAACTTACTTTGTGTGTCAAATAGGCAGAAAAGTGCTTATTATCACTACACAAGGTGGCGGGAAAATGGTCCCACGCTAAGGTTCAAAATATGCCTTTTGAAATATCATGGGATGTCTTCTTTAAGAAATTGTATGCCTTTATGGTGTAGTTGGAATATGTCGCTTTCTGTAGAGGCTCCAGAATGGAACACAGAGCCATCAAAACAGTCTATGAAAATTCACACTTAAAAACCTGAACTTGTCACGTCTCTTTTACAGCACTGTAACTTCACAAAATAGTGTTTAGGTCATAAATTGGGCATATTGTTTTACTCAGAAGATGTAACTGAGCATAATTTAGAGGATTTTATAACAGTGGCACATATCAAGTGTAAGAAATACTTGCAACATGTATGTACAAAAATTGAATTTTTTTTCCATCACCACAAACATTGACATAAAATGGTGACAAGTTAAGGCACAATATACACCATATAAGATACCCTGGGTGTCTGCTTTCTCAAATTAAATCCCTTTGTAGATTTATTTTAAAATTTAAACTGCTATTAGGCCGCAAAAAGAGACATAGGCCCGTCAAATCTGTCTATGAAAATTCTAACTATAGAAACTGAAATAGCCTTGTCTCTTATATGGCATTGTAGCTTCACAGAATAGTGCCAAAGGCATACAATGGGAGTATCGTTGTACTCAGCAGATGTAGATAAACACAATATTGGGTTCTGTACAGGAATAGCACACACCAGCTTTACAAAATACACATTAAAAAAAACAAAAAACAAAAACCTTGTTATATGTGTATGCCAAAAGAGAGGGAAAAACCCCCACAATTTTACTCCAATATTTAGCAGAGATTAGCGATGAAATGGCTTCGTAAAAAGTGTCACAATAAACTAAATAAATAGCCTGTGATATCTACTTTATATAAATATGTACTTTTGTGTGGCAATTTTGTTTTTTTGTGATGGCTAATAAACTTACAAGACAAACATAACTTCTAAAATTGTTTCACATTGAAATTTTATTTTAGTCCTTGTATTTTGTGACCTGTGACTTTCAAAATGGGCTGAAATCCTATACATATTATGTAGTCTATAAATCAAGACACAAAAATAAATTTATTTGGAATTTCTTTTCCTAAGCTGGACATATTATGCACACACTATTATTGCCAAAACTGTAAAATGTTTTTTTTTGTTCTTGTTTCCCCCCACTCCCAATTTTTGGGCTTTTATTTATTTTTTTTATAATAAATGAGAATTTATACATGTTAATGTGACCTCAAATAAATTAAAGCCCTTTTTGTCCTCTAAAAAAACGATATATAATATGTGTTGGTGCAATAAATGAGAGAGATGCAAATTGCGGTTGAACACAAATTGCTTGTGTCCTTATGGGTAAGACAAGCTTCTGAAGCTGTGTCCTTAAGGGGGTTAATGAATTATCCTTCCAGTGTAGAAATGGAAAATTGCTAACTAATTACTAAATGAGCAAGTTACGCTTTCCATTGTATTCAAAGTAGCTCCTTTGTGTGCAGAATGTCATTATTCAGGTCAATGCTTCCTCCTATTAGAAGAACACTTGCGTTCATTACCCTTCAGAACATACACAATTTCACTGCAGCAGGTCTTTTATTTATTTTTTTACAACAATATTTATAAATAAACGGGTCCAACCAGCCTACTGACACAAGGTTGATTTGAAGTCATGTGCTCTTTAATGCACAAAGAAACACTGAAAAGTAAACGATTTTAGATAAACCAGAAATGTTATCCTTTATGAATTTAAGTTTTTATCAGTTGTTGGAAATGACTGAGCAAGAAGCAAACCTGAGGGGAAAAGAAACTTGTACAGGAGCTTATAAATAGTATATATTAAAGGGACACTATAGCCACCAAAACAACTTTAGTTTATTGAAGCAGTTTTGGTGTATAGATCATGCCTCTGCAGTCTCACTGCTCAATTAACCCCTTAAGGACAGAGGACGGTTCAGGACAGTCATCGGCATTTTTGCCTTGAGGACCGATGACGGTCCTGAACCGTCCTAACGGTCAGAGCTACTTACCTGATCGCCGGCGTTCCCCCGGCGGCGATCAGCGTGGCTCCGGTTGTGGGGAGACTGCCTGCAGCCCAGACAGTCTCCCCACGGCAGATTAGGACCCCTGTGGCCATGTGATCGCTTAACACAGCGATCACATGGTCACAATAGGTGTCCATGTGTCTGCCTGCAGGGGGACTGTCTGTGCTGACAGGCAGTCTCCCTGCTAGTGTAAAATCAGGGGGAAAAAATAAAGTTAGTGTTAATTAAAAAAAAATTAAAAAATTATATATGTGTATATATGATATATAGACATATATTATATTTATATAATATATGTCTATATATCATATATATAATGTCATACTAAGTGTATTTTTATATTAATATGTACTTATATTAATATAAAAATACACTTATAATTAAATTACACACGTGTGTATATATATATATATATACTATATATATATATATATATATATAAAATATAAATAAGTAATTTAAATTAAATAATTTTTTTAAAAATAATAAAAATTAAAAAAAATTATATATCTATATGAAATTTTATTCTAACTGTATTTTAAAATTAATATATATATATTTATATCAAAATACACTTAGAATGAATTTGTATATATATCTATGTATATAAAAATAAATAAAAATAATAAGAAATATACATATGTCCATATACAAAATTACATAAATAATTATATAAATATACACGTAGACTTCAAATATATAAATATGCATATATATTTAAATTCTACGTGCGTATTTATGTAATATTTTTACATAATTCAGTAATTTTATTGATTGCAATTTGAGGGACCTGCCTGCCAACCCAGGCCGAAATTCCAGAGAATTTAATTTGCTAGCACTGTATTTTACCCTGTAACGTTCTACGACACCCTAAAACCTGTACATGGGGGGTACTGTTTTACTCGGGAGACTTCGCTGAACACAAATATTAGTGATTCAAAACAGTAAAACATATCACAGCGATGATATTGTCAGTGAAAGTTACTTTTTTTGCATTTTTCACACACAAACAGCACTTTTACTGATGATATAATTGTTGTGATACGTTTTCCAGTTTTTAAACACTAATATTTGTGTTCAGCGATGTCTCCCGAGTAAAACAGTACCCCCCATGTACAGGTTTTATAGCATTTTTGAAAGTTACAAGGTCAAATATATGGGTCAAATATTTTTACATTGAAAATGGCCAGGTTGGTTACGTTGCCTTTGAGAGCGTATGGTAGCCCAGGAATGAGAATTACCCCCATGATGGCATACCATTTGCAAAAGAAGACAACCCAAGGTATTGCAAATGGGGTATGTCCAGTCTTTTTTAGTAACCACTTAGTCACAAACACTGGCCAAAATTAGCGTTCAATTTAGTTTTTTTACTTTTTCACACACAAACAAATATGAATGCTTACTTTGGCCAGTGTTTTCGACTAAGTGGCTACTAAAAAAGACTGGACATACCCCATATTGAATACCTGGGTTGTCTACTTTAAAAAAAATATGTACATGTGGGGTGTTATTCAGAGATTTATGACAGATAATAGTGTTACAATGTCACTATTGATAAATTTTTAAAATGTATGTTTTGAAACCGCAATATCCTACTTGTACCTATAGCCCTATAACATGCAAAAAAAAGCAAAAAGGCACGTAAACACTAGGTATTTTTAAACTCAGGACAAAATTTTGAATCTATTTAGCAGTTTTTTTCATTCGCTTTTGTAGATGAGTAATTTTTCATCAGATTTTTGTATTTTTTTTTTTTAATTAAAATACATGAGATTATATAAATAATGGTATGTAAAGAAAGCCCCTTTTGTCCTGAAAAAAATAATATATCATTTGTATGGGAACAGTAAATGAGAAAGCGGAAAATTACAGCCAAACACAAACACCACAAAAGTGTAAAAATATGCCTGGTCGCAAATGTACAACATCGCAAAAACAGTCCAGTCCTTAAGGGGTTAATTCACTTTGTTTATAAAGCCCTAGTCACACCTCCCCGCATGTGACTTACACAGCTTTCCAAAACTCTTCTCCTGAAGTGAGCTCTAATATTTACACTTCATTTATTGCACAGTCTGTTTAATCTTTCTCGCTCTGTTAATAGCTTGCTTGAACTTCCAGTATGTGATTAAAGTTAAATTTGCTGAGCATGAGGTTAAAAACTCCTGAAGTAAACATCTCATTGAAAATGAAACCATTTTTATGCAGGCTGTGTCACAGCCAGGGGAGGTGTGACTAAGCCTGCATAAACTGAAACAAAAGTGATTTAACTCCTAAATGGCAAATGTAGCAGTGAGACAGCAGGGGTGTGATCTATACACAAACAATTGATTAATTAACGTAAAGTTGTTTTGGCGACTATAGTGTCCCTTTAAGTAGATGTAATATTTGAATAACCAGTATCTCTTGGTCTGTGTAACCAGCAACATTGTTTGTGGCACAGTGAACAAAAAGTGACTTAGGCTTCAGTATTTGAGGGAATACATCTATATTTGCGGATTTTTTTTAAAAAACATTTTTATAAAAATGTTTCTTGCACAAAAAATAGTTAATATAATTGCATGGGATTATTAAGCTTAACCAGGTATTGTGCAGAGATTACACAAAGATTAACATTTTAGGTCAAGATAGCTGGAGTTGGAGCATATTTCCCCATGTAAGTTATCCACATTTTCTGGTTTATTGTAAAAATTCCCAGACTCAAGGATTTTGGCTCAGATCTAATTGCACAGCTATTATCAGATTTCTAAAAACAAATGTGCACTACTACGATCCTTAAGCAAAATAAGGACCCAGAAGGCCACAACTTTTGTAGCAGAGAGGTAAGACGTCTGGATAAGCATTTACAAAAATAGTCACTAAACTGAACTATTGCGAAACGAAATCCGAATGTGAAAATTTAGGCAAAAGTAGCTGATTTGGAAAAATTCTCCAAGTGCAGAACAGGGACATTCTTTGCAATTTGGATTCCAGTTCACTACAATCTTGAATTAAATGAATATGCCCCATATCGTACAATGAAAAGTATCAGTCAGAAATTGCTTTGATAAGACACTATAGGTATCAAAACAACTTTAGCTTAATGAAGCAGTTTTGGTGTATTAATAATGCCCCTGCAGTCTCACTGTTGAATTCTCTGCCTTTTAGGAGTTAAATCGCGTTGTTTATGCAGTCCTAGACACACTTCCCTGCATGTGACTTACTCAGCTTTCCTAAACAGTTCATATAAAAAAAACAATAAACACTATAGGGATGTATCTTTGATCCTAGAGTGTTCCTTTAACGTATAAATGGCAGAGAATTGAGCAGTGATACTTCAGATGCAAGTTGTTTTGGTGACTATGGGGTCCATTTAACTCACTCACCTTTTCCCTTACTGCGCAAGTAGAGATTGTTTGAATTTCCCTAGCTCCTCTTTCTTTTTTGGCTGATCAGGAAATTTGATATCCCAGATGGTTTTGTACTGTTTTTGCATAATGTATTTTATTTCTATGGGTTATTGTTGGATTATTTTCTTTATTGTGTGAAGGATATTTTATATAACGCAATTTTTAAAATGTAATAGTTATTGCATTTATAATGCTTCAGCCATAATTTGACAAGTTTGAGTTTTTTTTCTTTCTTTAGTAGCAAAACAGGTTGCTTACTATTGTTTATGTTGTCACCCAATGTCTGTAGGTTTCTAGATACATCCAAACAAGCTATCGGGATGCTCTTCATTCACTTTGCAAATGTTTACCTGTCGGATCTCACGGGAGAGGACCCATGCTCATTGTAAGCCTCATACAAAATAGCTGCTGCCACCCCCTGCCTATTTTCTGCTTCATTGCTTCCTTTTTGCAAACACAAATTGTTGACATTGCTGTCTAACGGGAACTGTATGTGTAACTGTATTTTAGTCGTTCAACTGTAGTGAGCCATTGTTGTCATTTAGTCTAAGGTGATGTATTCTATAAAGAGGAACTGTCACTGTCACGGCAAGGGTGTATAATTCATTATTGCACTATGGAATTTAGTCCTTTAATGTAATTTGTGTAGATCATAGATGACCTGCCTGCATGGTAGAGGTGGTATTGTCAATGCCAAAAGGGGTTAATTTTATTGTATGGAAGGTAAGAAGGTTTATAGCCTTAATTCCTCTTTGAAGCTGGAATCCTCCACAGAAGGGGTAATGTAAATTGCATAGGAATGTGAAAAAGGTCAGATGGGTTATCATATGGATGGTCCTGTGATTAATCAAAGGCTCTGCAAGGTGCAAGATTCTACACTTGAAAAACCTGAATGTCTGGCTTCAGCCATATGGGCCTGTACCTCTTAATTAATGAGTCAATCTCTTTTGACATGTTAATAGCCATTAGCCTTGTTCCAGTATCATATCCATAAGAAAAAAACATTAATATTTACCCACAGAATAATCATTTTTGCTATATGTGGAATGTGAAAAGCGCCATCTTCTAAACAAGTCCAAATATGATTGGCACAATTTAACCATAGGGGAAGAGATTGTGATGTCCCCTATATTGGATCGCAAGTAAGGTGTGTGACGTATCTATGGAATGGAAAAATAATACCAAATTCGTAGATGCAATTATTTCTTCTGTGGCAGTTACATAAGAGAAGATAGAACCAAATGTTTCCATTTGGATTGATGTTGGTCTGGGGCAAAAGGGGGTGGTCACTTATTGTCTCTATAGATACGCCTTAACTCCACATGGCATGGTAATCCACAGGGTATATCTCTAATGATACTGCAGTGTGCATTGTACTTGCTTGAGTGGCCAGAAAATAATTCTAAGTGAGTCACCATCTTTCTCAGACCCCCTGGGGCATAAGTTTTACTTTGAAATGCTGAGTAAGTGATTAGGACTTCTGTTATTTTATCCCTTTTGTTTTTATCTGTTGATGGTGTAAATAATTTGTCATCTATATTTGTGTGTGCACTGTTACTATTTTTTGCTCACAATAAATATTCCTTTATTAATTTCTGCCTTTGACTGGTAAAGAATCATGTTACCTGAAGAGACTAATTGATATTTTTCAATTACATAGATATTGTGCTAAGTTACATTTGGTGGGTTTTTCATATTTTAATTACCTGGGGGACCAAGGCACCGCATTTATAAATTGTCTTGGTGGTGGCAGCGTTAAAATAGTAATAGTTATATCATTATGCTTAAGTGTGGTTGGTGTTAAGGGGGATTTTATCATTATTTCCGGTCTAGTGCAGACAAATAGTGAACTCTAACCCTTTCACCACTACAACTACATCATGCACACTCTTAAAGTAGGGTGCATTCGTGACAGTCACCTCCCAGGATTTATAAGCAAACAGTGCTTTCTTATGCTTTATTTAGACAATATGTATGTTATTCTGCTACTGGATGCCTCCCTCTTAGCTCCCTGCAAGTCATTGTTATAAGCTCTGTCCTTTGTATCTAGCAGTCAGCACTGATAAAGCCTACAGAGAAGAGGACAAATTAAGCAATTTTATTTTTTCTCTTCATTTGCAATCCTTACTAAATATCCATTGTCTTTGTATGGTTCCTTTAACTTTCCATACATAAATGAAAATTTATTTTTGTAAAAATTATAGAGAAAAAATAAATATCCCAATTAAAATGTATTTGCCTAGATATTTTTTCCCCCAATTTTATTTGTCATTTATCTCTTCTCTCTAATTGTCCTTTTTTTCCTCCATGTTCTTCAGCCTTGTTTTCATTCAATTCCAAGCAGTCCATTAAAAAAAAAAAAACAACAACAAAAAAACAGGAACAGCATGAGTTTGGACCTCGTTTTTCCTTCTTTGCCTCTGTGCTATATGTTTGTATGAACCTCAAGACCCTTCACTATTAAAGGAACACTGTAGTGTCAGGAAAACAAACGTGTAAATAACTATTTAGTTGTGTGTGTGTGTGTGTGTCTCCCCATGCAGAAATATGTCCTCTATCGCCGAGATCATCAAACATGATGATCTCAGCCAATTTCAATGCTTTCCCATAGGAAAGCTTTAGGAGGCTATTGCTCATGCACGGTAAAACACCGCGGTGGGAGGCTATTGCTCATGCATGGTAAAACACCACACTGCGCTAATAAGCATCTCCTTATAGAGAGGCATTGAATCAATGCATCTCTATGGGGAACATGCAGAGCTGGGAAGCACCTCTAGTAGCCGTCTGAGTGACTGACACTAGTGGTGTTCCTAGGCAGCAATGTAAACACAGCCTTTTCTTTAAAAAAAACCTTAAGCATTAGTGGTTTTTGGCGACTATAGTGCCCTTTAAAATTTTCTGGGTGCAGAGACTCCCTAGTGGACATATATTTCTCACATGCTTTGCTATTTCAATGGTACAACCATTTGTGATGTTACAGGGATGGAATATTGACTATTCACAGGTGTTACAGGAAGGGAACTGTTCGTTATTATACCATTATTGATAAGAGACAAGGAAGAAAATAGGAGCGCAATGTATAATGAAGGGACTACGCAGTTAAAGGGTGTTACCCTAGGTGAGTTTAGAAATAAAAAAGCAGACAAAACTGAATGCAATAGGCCACTATTGACTAAAAAGTGGTTTATAGTGTTCAAATGTCATGGGGAAATAAAGTATATCCTATACCGAGCCCACATGAGTGACTGAACTAAAGAAATTATGCTGTCTAGCTATCTAAATAGAACACGTATCTAAGGTGTGCCTTCGAGGACACCTAAACGAAGGTAAGGAAACTGTCACATTATCAGTTAAAATTTCCTAAAGGTAATAAATGCTACAGATCTGTCCCGTAGTCAGTGCAGGTAGAAAGAGAGACAATCAAATAAGGGCACCAATAATCAATTAAAAATACACAGATGAAATGTCCCCTATTGACTAATCAGGGGTGTTACAAAAAGAAAACTATTAAATATTAATCTTTTATATTAGTATTCTTTTCAGTGATCTTCAGATCAAACTTACTCTAGATCTAGTAACTAATGTTGGGAGATTTTTCAAATGACTATAATTGAATCTATGGCTATATACCTTTTTTTAAAGGCTGTGTATTAAAGGTTATATTTTCTGAAATAGATATATTTCCACATGTATGGTGATTCTAAGGGGGTGATTGTGAAGGACTGAACCCCCTTGGTTGTATGGACAACCCTGAGATACGCTAGGAACTCTCACTGTTTGTTTCTTTTTGATCACAATATATTCATATATTATGGTTTTCATTGGGATTGTACATATGTTGTTATAGATAAAAACCTCGGTTTGACTCTTTATACAGTTTATGCATTTTACATACGCCCATATGCCCATTTAGTCTTAATAATGTTTTGGTCTTTTTTGTTTCCCCTTTCTTTCTGAAATAGATACTTAATAAACTTTCTATTGGATGCAACACTGGGCATGTTGCTTATCTATGCTGGAGTTCGAGTGGTAAGCTGCGTGGTGGAGTGGGGACAGTGGGACTCATTGCGTTTTGGTGAATATGGTATGTGGTTCAGTAAGCTGTAAAGATTACAAACTATAACCTACTGATTCTAAATCATTACTTAATTCTTATTTTGTAGTTTCTGATGGCAAATTTATTAAGGCAGTCATGATACTTCTGCTTCCAGTTTTAAAAACTCCTTGGGGGGGGAGGGAGGAGGGGGAGGGTGGAGTGTTGCATTAAATGAATTCTGAATGCAAAAGAAATTTAAAAATATATAAAATTATTAATTTTTTAACATTTTTTTTTTTTTGAAAGCTTCTGTTGTCCAAGTAGGAAGTTATTTGTGGTAGACAAAGTTAGGATTCAATTTTGATATCATTGTTCTATAGACGATATGGAAAAGTTGCTTGTTTTTGCACTGAGAGCGCAAGGCTAACACATAGAACTACAGCAGAGACACACCAATGCAATGTAACAAAATGTAAGCTAGAACATACAAGAAAATGTACAGGGGATCAAAGGACTTGTTAAGGTCGTTGGCACAGTCATGAGTGGTAATGGTGACTGTCTAATTGCTTAAGTGAAACATAGGGAACATATGTAAGTTGGTTGAGGTGTGCTAAAACGGACGTACCGGTAGGCCTGAAAGAAGAGGGCAAAATTTTATACAAAATACGTACTTTATTAAATCCACAAGAAACAATAAAGGACATTTATTCCATTAAACCTTGTCTGAATTCTATTTTAGGATTGGGAATATATCGATAGTAACCTGACTATTTCCAGCGCCCCAAGTTCTTAACGAATGAGTGTCCCGAATAAAGTGAAGGATTTAGGCCTAATCTAATCAGTAAAATTTTTTGTCGTAGTTAGAATAGAGCCGTGAAGTGAAAACAATGGTTGGTTAGTGGATGAGTGAATTACATACAAGTAATAGTCTGAAATATTAACAGGCACCGCTTGTTATGTGCAGGGTAAATTGGCAATTCAATCATTTGCCCCATTTGGCTGGTTTTCATATGTGGCAGGCAAACTGTATAATGGTGTTTTATTAAATGGCCAACTTTGAAACATTGCTCTATTTTAGAAGAGCTTTCGCTAGTATATTCTCTTGGTCTAAGGAATCCATAGAATGCCAACTATATTGCAGTCTTAATTACTCGTTTAGTATGAGACTCAAAAGTAAATCAGATAATGAGCTAAATATATAATTGTTTATAGGAATTTGCTTGGTTGTTTGTGTTTGACAAGTTTTCTGAATACTTTTTAGTATGTTTTTAATTTGAAATGATGACATGTAAGCATTTTATTTGGGTATAAGGTATACCTCAAAAAGAGTTGGTTTGTCTTTTTAAAGGCATCTAGATCTTTAGCCTCTGCTACAAAGCCAGTTAAGAATGTGGCATCAGTCCAGATTGTAGGTGAATTATCTGCTAGAGGTGGAATAGACATCTATTTTCCCTTTCCACTCTCCTTGAATCCACTGCCACATAGTAAAGTCTGCCATAGCTTGCTTATCTATGACGACTTGACTATCCTAGTTGGGTAGCTCAGATAATATACAGAGAAGCCTGGAAATAAATGGCCAGCCTTGGGGGATTATCCTCATGGCAAAGTTAAGCAAGCCTAGCAGTGATTGGAGTTACTTATGATTGCAGGAACCTTGTTCAATAATCAAGGATCTCTAATCCAGTCTCTCACATCATTGTGAAGGAATTTTGGCCCATGTTTCATTACAACATTATTTAATTTCATTGAGTTTTGCTGGCATTTGTTCATTCGCACCTCTCTGTAGGTCCCACTACAGCATTTAAATCCGGTTGAGGTCTGGACTTTGACTGGGCCATTGCAAAACCATGATTTTTATTTTTTTTTCAGCTATTCTGTTGTAGATTTGCTGGTGTGCTTGGGATCATTTTCCTGTTGCTTGACCCAGTTTTGACCAAGCTTTAGCTGTCTGACAGCTCATGTCTGACAGTGTATGACCTCAGATTTGACTGTAGGATACTTTGTTATATAGAGAAGTTCATGGTTGACTCATTGACTCCAAGGTTCCCAGGTCCCATAAAAAACAATCTCAAGCTTGTTTTTTTTAAAAAATGTTTTTGCTATTTCTCTGAGCATTGCACGGTCTGACCTTGGGATGACGTCCACTCTTGGAAAGATTGCTAACTGTCTTGAATGTTTTTCACTTTTGAATAATCTTTCTCGCTGTAGAATGAGGGACTAAAACCCTTTCCAGTTGGATGGGTAGCTTCTCTAAGATCATTGATGATGTCTTTCCTCCTTGCATTGTGTTAACACACACACCTGAATGCTCCAGACCAGCAAACTGCTAAAACACTTTTATTGCTGATGATCATTTAATCAAGGGCGTATAATTAGTAGCACCTGTCTGCTACTTAGCCTCCTAATTCCTATGGAAGCAGTAAGAGTTCACTTTGTTTTTCACACAAGGCTTCTCCATGTAATACTTTATTTTTATTAAATAATTCATGAAACGGTATAATATGTCATGTTGTTTATCTGAGGTTGTATTTACCTTATTTTAAGACCTTCTAAGGAACAGATGTTTGAGATAAGTAACGGTAGAAGTAACGGTTTTACTTTTGATTTTTATTTAAATAATATAAGTAAAACTGTAACCTACACATAACATCAAACATGGATGCTTTCATGTCCCTTTATGGAGAGTAGTAATGGCTATTTACCCTCACAATTTGGCCATTCATTCCTAGGTTCTGAGGTTTTAAAAAGCTGGGTGTCTGAGTTAAATTATTTATTAAAAATCCTAATTATAAATTATAACGCTAATTATTGCATTGCTTTGTATTGGAATTTGATGTAACTTGAGCCCGTGTTAACTGGTCTTTTTACAAGTGCTGACTGTGTTACTGGCATTTGATTTAAGGTTCTATGATATAATTTGGTAATTTAATAGCTCTCCTGTCAGCATCTTTTTCTCACTTGTAATGTTTGAAGTGTGCTTTAAAGAGTGTTTTTGAGCTGTCCGAGTCACATTTTCCCAAGATACAATCATTCTTCATGAAGTCTGTAGATATGAGGTCAGCTGCTGTTGTAGTGAGTACATAATGTTCACGAGTAGCGGAAGGTATGCTTAGGCATTACAAGACACAATCCTTTTGTGAAACCAAATTAAGTGTGCGCATGTGGAAAATATATAGAGTACATTCAGGACAATAAATGAAAGTAGAGCATACATAAGCTTTTTATGTGAAAGTTCTCACAGAGGGTATGTTTATTATATGAAATTTTCTATGATTGCGTCAAAATTGCTGTAACAGTAAATGTATCTATTATTGACAATGTGAATAGCAATACTGGAAGAATTTGTCATGGAGAGTGAACAATCTAAACTGTGAATGTAGTGATGTAAACAGTGGACCCTGTGCTGCTTTTGAGATGCCAGTCCCGCTATAAAGCCAAAATTAGCAAATAATAAAATAGTTTTTAATCAGATATATGTAAAAGGGAATATACTAACAAAACTAGCTTGTGATTGAACTCCTTTTACAACTTTTGGATGATTCTGAACTTTTTGTTGAGTTGTTCAGCCCTGTTAAAACTTATAGTATCATGACTTATACCCATTGCCCTTTTTCTACATCACCAGGGGTTTAATTGTATATCCTATAGTAATTTTAGTGTTCTATGGTTTCTCGGTAGAACACAATCTATCAGTTGAAGTGTATTGTGTTTAGGTTCATGCTTAAACTCACCAGTCAACGTCTGTGCAATTTAGCTTTCATTGCCGTCCCTCTGTCGTAGGCACTCCGCACTCTGGTGTAGTAGATAGTGCCCACAATCCTCCTGTGGCAACTGTGCCGCATCATAATGGTCAATAATTCATTTTAACATATTGATGTAAGTTTTAGTGCCTATTATGTCAATCTTTTTTTTTTTTTTTTTCTAAAGAGCTAGAAGAACCCTCCCTTTCAGTGTGATCACGATTTAATGTTCTTTGTTCTGGACACTGGCACAGACAACACAAAGATTTATTTTCTCCTGAAACACATACTGTGGCTCTCATAGGCACTTTGAATATCTGATGCCAACATGCAGTAGTTCATTAGAGATCCACTTCTGGTTAGTGCAGTGGAAAGACAGAGCCAATCTTTCTATTAGTGATACTCAATCTTCTCTGTTTACTCTTACATGCCTAAGCTCTTGGCACATTTATGCATTCTTGTTGAATGTTAACCCCTCCGTGTTTCTGTAAAAAGATGAACACATGCTTTACAAAGAATCCATGACTATTTCCCTGTACATGATGCACATCTTGATCTCTTAATACTATTTTAGTCTATATGTTTAAATGTCTACTACCTTTGTTTATTTTGTTCAGTCATGCAGACTGTATAATGAACTGTTCTTCTCTTATTACATATGACGAAAGTTAGAAATATTTGTGTGAAGATCTGAAATGTGTAACACCTAGACTTGTTTATTCCTGTCTAAATTTCCAATTAAAAAAGACCACAAAAATCGACTGTATCTGTAAAACTTTAAAAATGATCATGGAATATTTTGCTTAAATATGTAGATAACAACCATGTGTGTATAACTTACTAAAATGTTATCCCTGTTTCATGACTTGAGTATTTTATTTACATTAGAATATTAATTTATGGGGGCGGGGCCTGACCGCTGAGCAGAGAGGAAGCATGCCTCACCAGCTCCCACTGCTTGGGGCTAAAACAACGTATTCTAGACGTTCGAAAGGCACTAAAATGACGGGTGATACCGGGGCGCACACACAGACACCACCCAAGCGACGATGTCACACAGGCATACCCGAACTCACAGCGAGGCCTACCAGCATGGCGGGCGCAGGGAGGACGGCCGCTTCCCTGCTGCCCGAACCAGCCAGATGTAGGACTCCGGACCCTTGTTCTCCCCCCCCCTGGACCGGCGGGGGTTATCCCGGTCCACCCCCTCACGGTCCCCTCAGCAGGTGATAAGCAGTTGAACAGATCGGGCGGACTGGAGGTCGCTGGTGTGGCCGACAAAATGGTGGACGACACACACGCCTCAACCCTCTGCAAAGCAGAGAGAGAAACGGAGCTCAGACTCGCCTGCATTTTTGACACTTTCTGGGAGAGGCTGGAACAGCTTGCGTGGCCCCCAGAACCAGGGACCCAGCCTGAAGCTATGCCACACGACCCGCTACGAGAGGCTCAAGCGAATGTCCTGGCACACGCCGTAAGTTCCCTTCCTGGGCTCCACAGGCGCCTGGAAAAAAACAACCCGATAACTGGTGGACGGAGCCACACCAAGGGTGAACACGACCAGGCACAGACAAAGCATCTTAAGGGGACCCCCACAGCACAGCGCAGAACGCCGCCTCGCTCCCCGACAATGACCCAGCCTAAGAGGGGCAATGACCAACTCATCCACACACGCAAGTGGCAGACCAAGAGGCCTAAAACGGCGGCAGCAGCAGCACAAATCCACAGCCACAGCTACAGCCAACGAATACACCGATAGATGGGAACCACAACTGGAGCCACATTATACACACCGAATAGGTCCTCCGCCCACACTGAGACACTCTTCTCCCACACTGCTGGACCAAGGGGAATGCGGCACGCACCTTCACTGCAACTAACGGCGCAGTGGGAGCACACCCAGCCCCAACAAGGCATCGGCTGACCCATACAAGACTGGGACTCAATGTCAGGCACAGTGCCCAATATTCATTACCTCTTAATACCCGAGATGAACTCTCACACCAGTATGCATGCAATTCAATAGCCCTTTTGTTTATGCCGGGGACCGCAGGGGGGGTATCGCTAGGGACCATGCGATTATAAGCTAAGCATTTCTATGTATAGCCTCACTATTCTGATACATAAGTCAGATAAGCATACGTACCTTTCTAACCTACAACTCTACTCATGTCTTTTGACAGTTTGTCCATTTTGCTTATTATAATGTTTAGCAATTCAGCAGGCTACTAATCTACGTCAGTCATGTCAATCTATTTCTCGTAAACACATCTCTTGCTATTGTTACTCGCATTTACTAACCTGACTTACTCAGCATTACTCTAACAATTTAAAAATGTGTGCAGTTTAATCCCATGTCACAGTATTGTCAGCTTTGCGAAGGCATGTAATCGCTATTGTGGCATTGCAGCCATGTTTGTACCTCCCTTTGCACAATAAAAATAAAGAATAAAAAAAAAAAAAAGAATATTAATTTATACTTTGTGTCTGGATCCTAGCATGAATATTGTCTTGGCTAAAAGTAAGATTCTTATATTTACATAAAAAGTAATAATACACATATGTGTACATATGCATTAGCTAGAACTCCAGGACTGAATGTGAATAAACCCTTTCTCTTTCAGGAGATCCTGTGCAATACAAAGCTTGGGTTGGGCAATGTGCCCTCTACATCGTCATCATGGCCTTTGAGAAAACAGCCATTGTCCTGGTCCTGCTCATACCAAATCTGAAAGAGGTTCTGTCATTTTACTGTTTGTGACTCCTACATGGGAGGGGATGGTTAAATGGAGTGTGGTGGGGGGAGTGTGTGTGTGTGTAAGTGATATAGCAAGCTACAGCTAAGACTAAAGAGAAGTACACAAAGCTATTAATATGTTTGACACTGTCTACCCTTTATTATTTGTAAATTCTTTTTCAGATTGCCATGCTTAATCCTATAGAAAACCCAGAACTTGAACTGGCCATTGTGATGCTTATTGTGCCCTTCTTTGTTAATGTGAGTTTCATCATTCTTGCTTTTTAAACCAAATTAAAAACCACAAAAGGGAAAAGGAAAAAAAGTAGGCAAAAATCGTAATATACAAATTAACTTTAATATGCTTACATATTTTTTGGACAATTTGTCCATATGTTGACATCAAGATTGTCCACGTATTGGTTATATCAATGAAAAATCCTGTAGTAGGATTGTGTAATACTTGCCTCCTAACATCAAATGTGCCTTTTTGTAATCTGTGAAAGATAAATATTTCTTGTCTGTTTTTCCTGTGACAGGCATTAATGTTCTGGGTGGTGGACAACTTTCTGATGAAGAAAGGCAAGACAAAAGCCAAAACAGAGGAGAAAAATGGAAGCCCAGAGTCCCGAAATGGGAACAAAATCAGATACCGGCGGGCAGCATCTTATGATGAATCGGAATCAGAAGTGAGAACATGGCAGTAGATAATTTCATGTTATATGATCTCCTTATTTCAGCCTGCTATCTCTTGCTGAGAAACCTAAGTCAAAATTTTATTCACAGAAATCTGTTCACTGAACTATGTTCAGCCATCCAAAATAATCTGTTTTAACTAAAAGTTTAGTAAGTGAAACACATTCAGTTGCGTGCAACATGAAATTTCAGTTATATCAGCCTCTTACAGTGCTATTTGCCAATGTAAGACTTCCATGTAAATTTTAAAAATTTAGGCAAGAGTAGCTTAAATGGATACTATAGTGCCAGGAATACAAAACTGTATTATTGCTCCTTCTGCCTCCCCCATCCTTTATTTACTTACATGATCTCTGCACCGATGTCCCTCCTATTTCCTATGGAGAAATGACTGATGCTGAATGTTCTCATGCAGAGCATGAGGATGTCTAGCGCCAGTTACCGGATAAAACGTCCGTTAACATCCAGGAAGCACCTCCAGCGGCTGTCTAGTAGACAGCAACTGGAGGCTTGCTTAGTGCTGCAATGTAAGCGTTGCAGTTTCTCTAAAACTGCAATGTTTTACATTGCAGCACTAAGTGCAGTAGGAACACTGCACCCAGATCACTTCAATGAGCTGAAGTGGTCTGGGTGCCTATAGTGTCCATTTAACGGAAAGCATAATGGACTTTTCCATTTTGGGCTATTTAGACCTTAAATTTGAAATTCATCATTAATTTACTTAGAATTCTTACTTTGGTAAATAACCCTGTCTGTCTAAGTTTCCTTTTTCAAAAGAACCCTTCAAACCTCCAAAGTACTTCAAAAGTTTAATTTTCAAGAGAGGTTGGCACTTTTATAAAGCTCTTTTATGCTACCGCCTCAGTTATCGGTCATATAGCTGTTGGGGTGCTCTTCATCACACACTTTGAGTACTTGCGTCAAGTGGATGTGATGATTGTCCTTCTCTCCCCCATCCCCCTCCCCGACCCCCACCCCCTTCCTTTCTTTTTTGCTTTTTGGTTCATGTGGAATATAGTAAGGATCAAAATAATTGTAATCTCTAAAATCAATTATTAAGCCATCTCAGCATTTAATGAATAGAATCCATGGTCTTTTATATGCTTTTATATGTTTTTTTGGTTTAGTTTTTTCTTCATCCCTCTGCTGGCTCCAAAGTTAAATGAATAAAAATTGCTTTCCCTGGCAAAAATCCAAGTGGTAATACTGATAGAGACCAGAGATAAATATATTTTTTTTAAAGGTCCTTATACATTTGGTCCAGCTTTACAGAATTTGACAAAAGGTAAAGCGATAGTGTAATTTAATTCGTGCATAGCAAGATTTTGTCTATGTAGAGTCTACTGCATCGACCTTGTGCGTTACTCTCACGCATGTTCAAGAGAACAGTATTTATGTAGGTGCTGGCAGATGAAGCACCAAGAACTGAAGAAGTAAGGTGTCTGCATGGCTCGGAGAGGTTAGCTTCTGGTAAATATTAATTACTGTCAGCTGCACAGTGAGCTTGATCACACTTTTAGGGGTCTTTGCAAAATATGCAAAGATACACGAAAGTAGCAGAACCACTATAAACTCTATTTTGGGTTTTAATTTCTGATAATCTTGGCAGGAGATAGTATAGGTTCATATTTTCCTTTTTTTTTTTATGTTTAGGATGTGCAGAATGGAATGACTGCCACCAGTGTTGTACTAACATCAAGCAAAGATGCTCTTGGCTTGCATGCCGCCCCGACTTTCCTGGTCTCTTTAAAACTCTGCACAAAATCAAAGTCTAAAAAAGGAAAAATTTTTGTGTGTGTGTGTACCAAGCGTTCTAGAATGGTGCTTGTCCTATTTTTCATCTTTTCTATAATACAGAATGCTTTTCATAGACCGAATATTAGTGGGCTTTCTTGGCAGCTTTGATGGAAACAGCAGTATTTGTTTTCTGTGTCGCTCATGGAATTGGGTGCCTACAGGGCAGCATATTACAGGTTCGACTGGAACTTATGATGAAATTGTAATAATAATGTTCATTGTCTTAAACACAGATGTGTTTGTTGTTCTCAGCCTAAACTGTTAACTCATTCTTCTATCTTATACGAGTTCATTTTATTTATTTTTTTGGTGGCACTTTTTATGTAGCCATCTGTTTGTTTTTTTTGTTTTCACTCTTTCATTACATCGTTACTATTACTCTCATGTTAATCTCATGTTTGGGTTTTCTCTCCATTTTATATGTACATGCTGTGTCTCCGTTTTACAGACAGTCCTGTATTTTTAGATAGTCTTAAATGCATATGGAGTCTTTTAGTTTTAACCATGCTATAGAAACGATTACTGTTTAGTAGATATGGCAATAGGTTAATACACCCCTAGTGTCTGTCTACTTGACAGCCACTAGAGGCGCTTCAGCTGTGAGAACAAAGTCAAACTTGGTTCTTACAGCTAACCTATGAGGAGCACTGGACTGGAAGAAAAAGCGGCATAGGCATGACTTTGCTGGAGGCAGATAGAGAGGCTGCAGGGATTCGATCTTGGTGCTGGGAAAAAGATAAGCAATACCCTTTATTCCAGTTTTTATTTATATTTATTGGAGCCCTGTATTTTGAATGCTCTAGTGTTCCTTTTATAATGTTTGACGGTGAGCTAACACCATTAATGTAAATGAAATTACAGGAACCATTCACCACATACCCCTACCCACTACGTCTCTACCCATATTAGGGCATAAACAAAAGGCAAAATAAAGCCATCTTTCTTTTTAAAAGGAAGTGAAGGGGTGATGAATTAGATGGCTTTGGGGGGGGGGAGGGGGGAGGGTTGTGATTCCTAAAACCCTAACTTCCTCATTTATAAGCTGAGGCTGGAGAAAGAAAAGGTCACTTCGTTCCTCTTGGCTTCGTAGTGTTTTTACTGATGTAATAATTTAATCTGAGACATGTAGTTCCTAAGAATGTTTCAGATATTATTTTCATAACATTTGGGTTTTGTGAGGTATTTTTTCCCTGTTAATTTAAAAATAAAGTGCATGTGTGGCGAGCGCCTAGGGCCCTGCCCATAGGAAAGCACTGTTTCGATGCTTTTCTTATTGGGGATTCATGAATGCTGGATGCCTTCATAAAGGGATTCAGAGTCCGGTAGAATCCAGGAAGTGCCTTTAGTGGCTGTCTGACAGCCACTAGAGGCTTTCTTAGTCCTGCAAGTTGGTTATTGCATTTTCTCTAAAACTGCAGTGATTTACATTGCAGGACTAAGTGGGACAGGGACACGGCATCCAGACTACTGCAGTGAAATGAAGGGGTTTGGTGACGATAGTGATGGAGTGGAAAACTAGCTGAATTTGTAGGTCAGAGTAATCTGTGGAATTGACCCACTGACAAGTTGTGACTTGATGACATTTACCCTCAGTCTAAAGGCTGTTCTGAAGAGGTGGGGTTTTTAGTGTCTTCTGAAAGGATTGAAGAGTTGAGGGGAGTCTTATTGTGTGGTGGGAGTGAGGGGATGGGGCAGACTGTTCCATAAGAACATTAGAAGTCCAGTAAGTGAAAGTTAGCCGTACAATTTCAAGCAGCAGACAGGAGAAGGTCAGCAGCGGAGAGGCTGTGAACTGATTGAATCTTACAGGGCACAGGGAGCCAATGTAACGATTGACATAGGGGTGATGTGTGAGAGGAGCACTGGTAGAGGAATAATAAGCCTGGCAGCAGCATTCATTAAGGACTTAAGAGAGGCTGTAAGGTTTCTGGAGAGTCCAGTTAGGAGATAATTACTGAAGTCAGTGTGAGGCATTACAAGACCATGAGCAAGCTACTTAGTAGCATCTTGTGTAAGAAAGGGTCGACTATATGTGTTTTTAAGGTTAGGTTGACATTATTAGGCAAAATACGTTCGCTTGTGAAGACTGGCAGATGTCTGTGCAATCAACTTGCAGGGAGAGTGACAGCGGGGGATCAAAATAATAAGAAGGGAAAATAAGCACTGTTTTAGGAAGCAGGAGGATATCTAATTGGAGACAGAAGAGAAGCAACAGATAACTTGTTCTAGGACAGCGACCGAGAGATCAGGGAAAAAGTAGTATATCTGGGTGCCATCGGCAAAAATAATCCAAAATGTGTTTGCCAACAAAGTCAATATAAAGAGAAAATTAAAAGGGGGGCCAAAGACAGAGCCTTGTGAAATAACAGACAGGTTGCGGGAAAGGAGGTGTTACCAGAAAAGGATACCCTAAAGGATCATTGGAAGACATAGAATGAGAATCCTGAAAGAACAGTGTCACGAAGGCCAAGGTCGAGAAGAGTTTGGAGAAGGAGTGCTTGATCAACAAAGGCAGCAGAGGGGTCTGAAAGAATTAATATGGAGTATAGTAGCTTTTGGATTTAGCCACGAATAGATCATTAGTTACTTTAGTCAGTGCAGTCTCAGAATGCAAAAGGTGGAATCCAGATTGAAGAGGGTCCAGGAGGGAGTTTGAGTTGAAAAAGTGTGTGATGGTTACAGACAAGTCGTTGTAGAAGCTTTGTGGAGAAAAGGAATAAAGATATGGGCAGGTTGTTGAATGGGAAAAACTGGTCAATGAATGTTGTGGTTTTTTTTTTTTATCTGATAATGTAAGAGGGAATGGGGACAAGTAGAGGAGTGAGAAGAAAGAAGAGGCATAGATACCTCCTGTTCAATAACCGGGGAGAATGCCTGAAGGGTAGAAGAGGCACAGTCCAAATTAGGTTGAGAAAGAGAAGAGTGAAGTGGGAATAATTCTCTCCTTAAATAATACATTTTGTCAACTAAAATAACATCCAAAGTTATCAGCTATAAGGTTAGTATGTTGGATGGCCACAATGGGGCAAAGTTGAGAGTTGTAAGTATCAATATTGTAAAGCGTTGCGAAATAAGCTGGCACTGTATAAATGCTAATATTAATGGTAATCATATATTGTGAGAGTATGCACTAATATGAGAAGAAACAAATAAGGCTGTGCTTTATAAGTGTAGCATGAATTTCCTCCAGCAGCATTCAGCTGAATGGGAGCATCTTTGTAGGTAGCAGGTAGCAATGTGCCACTGTTGGAGACACGGCCACTTTGAGGTGTATGTTTTGCGTTGGGCTTATTTGTCCAGGGCAGAAGTAGGAGAAAGTAGAGATTGATGAGAGTTAAAAATGCAGGTCAGCTGACGGTTGCTGAAGGTCTAGAGCAGGCTTCCCCAAACTCCGGCCCTCCACATGTTGCTAAACTACAACTCCCATGATTCTATGAATGAAATATAGGCTGAGAATCATGGGCGTTGTAGTTCAGTAACATCTGGAGGGCCAGAGTTTGGGGAAACCTGGTCTAGAGAATTCTAGAGGTTTCTTCTGACAGGAGGAGGGTTAGGCTGAGTATGAGGGTGGAGCCGACCGCCAAGAGGAGTAGTCACATCCACCTAGAGCTCTGAGTAGACAACTGACTTTTAGCGATTTACTCTGCCTTTCTGCTGGGCTCACCGAGTTTATGCCCACCCTTCACCTCAGTACTCTTGTGGAACTGTCTTGGGGCATCGTACACTATCTTGACGCAATTCTGACGGCTGGTCTATTCTGCGGCCTGCTGGTCGATGTGGGGCGGGTGACGTGGCTGATCTCCTTACTGTCCGCCCCCCCATCTCCCCCTTAGGACCAGCAGGGGTCATCCCGGTCCACCAACACAGTGATATTTTTTACCTGGCTCCAGGCCCACAGGGGTACAAGCCAATATTGACACGCTACTCTGCTTACCTAAGATAATGGCTGCCTGCACGGAAACGGCTCCAGTGTGCCACACTGACCCACTACAGATTTGTGACAGCCTGCTGGCCCAATTTCATCAGCTATTTGCTGAATTTTGAAGGAGATGGCAGGATAAGCTCAAGGCCAAAGTTAGAATGAAGGCACCACCGCAGCTGTCTACCTCTCCCCAATATAGCATCGACACGAAAGCTCTAACATGAAGCCTGTTAGGGCCTGTCGGAAACAGAACAGAAGGGTAAGACTGAGGCGCCCTACACATTTGAGTCGACGATGTGGTGTAAATCCATCCACCCGACAGAGCTGTCGCAATGGTGCAATAGTACTGCAGCAACATGTAGCTCTTGCTTCAGATCTCGCATCTTCACACAAGACCAGATAAAAAGCGGATAGATAATGGTGGCTGACCCACAGCTTGGTGGTATCCAGTTGAGGCATCTTCCAGGGCTAGCACATCAGGCCTCTAGGGTTGACGGGGGTGACTGGCATGGCCTGCTCCACGGACTAACCTTCCTTAACAGTGTAATTTATCAGGTTCGGTCCAAATAGCTTGCAGTTAAATATGCCCTATTTAGATGCTGGGTGTCTATGCCTTATAATTTCTTATTGTGTTTTTTATTCTCTTTCTGTTTTTGAGTACTTACAGTGGGCATCTAGTCTTACTCTCCACCTCAATGTAATATACTCTGTGTTTAGCAAGACTGTACAGAGGGTGTTAATTTAATCACTGTGATTAAATATGAAGACACGTTTGATGCTTGACTATATTATCATCATACCTTGTGCTACTATCTCACATGCCATGCTTAGGTCATACTATGTTCTATCTGACTGCGCTTATTTATGCTGTTGTGGTTACGCAGGCAATCTTGTACATTTCTGGGCAAGAAAAATAAAGAATTTTAAAAAACTAAAAAATGCTTGATAGTATTGCTGTTGATCATATTTCTCACTGACTGTCTTTTGTTCATCTAGATCCTCATATCAGCAGACGATGAAATGGAAGAGTCTGAGGGTGAGGAAGATCTACGCAGACTGACCAACTCCAAGACGGTCAAGAAAAAGAAGCATCGATTTGGCCTGCCTGTATGATACTCCTTTTAGTCCTAGCATGACATGGCCTGCAGGCAGAACGGAGTCCACCATGTTGGCACAGGAACTCTTTCAGCCACTACCTCTACTGTCCAAATGACTTAAAGAGGGTTGATCGGAGGGGGCTTGCAGCAATCTCACTAACCCCTTATCACAATTTCCTAGAGTGTTGGGATGTTATGGAAGGGGCACAAGAGACTTCAGTTGCACTACTGGCTGCTGCCCATGCACATTACCCAATGCAGGCATTATAAGCAATAAAAGCTGTTGTCTGCTGGTTTTTGGATTGGGGAAAAGACAGACAATACTAAAGGTTAACCCTGCACACACTGATGATTCATTCCAATGATATTTCCTCAATAATAGTACACATGGAACTGGGTGACCGATTCTGACTGTGCCTCCTTCTACTAAAGGTGTCTTCTAAAATTTTTTTTTTTTTTTTTACTAAATAAGGTTTTATGTTACAAATGGCCAAACTGCCAGAGTCTGCTGTAGTTGTCCACCCTGGAGGGCGCACTCACTGTTTCAGCATTTGCCGATATTGGCTCTGAAAACACTGCTGCTGATACCATCAAACATATATTTGCTCCCCCGTTTAAACCGTTCTATCCAATCTGTCTTCAGTTGCATCAAATATATCTTGGGAGACATTGCAGGAAAACTGGACTTCCCTATCTGAGTTCATCATATCATTATTTTTCTAAGCAGTTTGTTTTCAGATTACCTACAATGTCATCTTTGAACTATACTTAGTTTTTTGGGTTTTTTCTGTGAGGTTGTTCCCAGGTGATACCTTTAAAGCACCTACCTCACACCTTATTCTGTTACAACATAAAGGGATATTATGTGGAGCTAATTGGCATTGTGTAGATTGTAGTGTATGTTGTCCTTTTTGGAGAGCATGCAATATGAAACATGACAACAATCATTGCCGTTTTCCATTGATTAGCAGAGTCTAAGTGTTTTGCATCTTTCATAAATTTACTAGTGGTCTGTAGGACCGAAGACATTTTTTTTCTGGCAAGGAAAATATCTTATAGGCTGTAGCTCCAACACAGTGTTGGAACTATTGTTTGTATCAAAAACCCTTTGAGTACGTGGAGAATAGTGGATGTGGTAGACCCTCCCTGACACATCTTTGGGGTCACATTTGCAACATTTAGAACATGTTTTTCCAGTGTTTAGAATTAAGATTACTAACTTCTGTTCCTCTAGGGATCACAAATATATACTATTGATGGTTCTTGATCTACCATTTAAACATCACCCATTATCCGACTCATTCTAGAGCAGTGCTTCTTAACCTGATTTGTCAAGGACCCAAAATACATTGCATCTTATTCTAGAACCATTATTTTATTTAAAAATAGTCTGGAAGGCAACACTGCTATGATAAACCATTTATTGTGAGCAGTGTCAGATCTTTGCCTAATAAATTAGATAAACCTGCCACTGGGGACAATCTGAAATAGCATGGAGATCCCCTTTGAGGTCCAGACACAAGGCTTAAGAATCAGTGTTTTAAAGCAGTGTGAAATGGAGGAGGGGGGGTGGGAGGGTAGGAGTGGGCTTCTTGTAGTTCATTATTTGCCATTTGTTTTTAAGGATAAAGTTGAATATGCTTGTAACCCTTCCACTACTAGCGTGGTCTGCAGTATCTATATATAACACTTTCCCCAGATCATGCTTTAGGGAAGACTCTGCCTTAACATATTATTTTATTGCTCATTACAATAGCTGTGAGGTTAAATCATTCCTTTGCACCTTTTGCTCCCAGAGGTACATGTGACTTATGGCTGTGCAGTTTATTGCAATTTCCACTGGTGACTGAGGTGTTAAATAGTTTTTTTTTTTTTCCTTAGGTCTATTTTTTTGTAATTTATATTTTCTTAACAGTTTTAAAAATGTCTGCTGCAAGGTTAAAGAAATATATAAAATGAAAATGTGTTTTTTGTCTCTGTGTTAAAGGACATATTTTCCTATTTTGGAGATGCAAAACTGATATGTGTTTTATTTTGTTTATTTGGTATTTAATATACCTTTTGTGACAAAGTTAAAGAGATCAAAATACACATGGGGGATATTCTGTGCTAGACCCTAATGTAGAATGTCCGATATCTCAATTTTTCAGGGACTTTTAAATCCCACCTGACCTGCCATAGTGGCTTACAGTTTATAATTATATGACATTTTGTAGGTCACTTGGGGTGGGGGGAGGTCAAGTGGTTAGTGTTGAGTGGAATGTGTTACAATGTTAAGTGCTTTCCCCTTTATACAGCATTGGTGTATGCCCAATATATGCACTTTTTAATGGTAAATGAATGGGATCAGCAGCTGTTAACTGTTTTGGTCTCCTCCATAAATACAATGTTTCAAAACTTGGTGGTTATGTTTAGTCTGTGTAATAACATTTCCTTTTTTTGTGCAGTTACACCTGGTGTGGGATACTACCTCAAACATATTGCATTAACTTTTTTTAAAAATAACATCCCATAAAGAAATAAATTGCTTTGCTGTTTTTACAATACAGCTAGACTAGGAGAAAAAAAATCCACATCTTAAATAAATTGACTTCATTAAAATGCCATATTAATTACTCATCTCTCGCAATTACCAGTAATTGGGTTGAAAGCAGGAGCACATACATATGCATTCAGCAATGACACTTCACGCACAGGCAGCCAATGAGCTGCCTTCATTCACTGCTTCGATTCACTAGAATTGGGCATTTAAAATTCAAAATATGAAACAATTGAATACTTAGCACAATATGGAACTCTGATAACATGTTAAAAGGGACATTCTAACATAACCACTACAGCTCACTGTAGTAATGTTGCCCAAAATGTAGATCCCCAGATGTTTTAAAACTACAGCTTTTATAATGCTTTGGCATTCTAAAGCAATGCAAAGCATCATGGAAGTTGTAGTGCTGCAATATTTGGGGATCTACCCTTTGGGCACCTCTGGCCTAGAGTGTCCTAGCGCTGTCGCTTGGTTTAATATTAAACAATTTAGGAATGATTTGTTATAAATTGATGCCCTTCTTGGTGTCCAGCCTGGATCATCTGGATTGGCTGAGAGTGTTGTCCAGATTGGATGGAATTGACATTGATAATGCAGAAGTGTTAATTGTGTCTTTTCAATATGTCTGATGAGAGGGGCAGTTCCTGGTAACCAAGAACAACCTATCTAAAATGACCTTCTTAATGTTGTAACCGCATGCTGACAATAGTCTTTACCACAATCCCACATAGAATTGTAAAAGCTTCAACACAACCATTGTTTTTTCTTATTTCTTATTTTCTTTCACATGGTGGGGCTTACTTCCTAGGAAGTGACCCAGATGCACAGCCGACTAATTTAGAAACTGCAAGATTTTGCATTGAATTAATTTTTGGATCCTCAGGGATCCTAACTAACCTGTTATACCAGCTTCCTGATATGGTACAGTGGGTGAGTGGTCAATGGCATCTGACAAATAGGTAGTATCCCCCTCAACATACATGAGATAGCATAACATGTTTGTGAGAGTATTACAAAAAAAGCACTGCAATGGTTCTGCATCATTTTTTGGTTTTCTTCTTTTCCTTGTTCTAACGCACTCTTTCTGATGAATTGTACATCTACTTATTTATTTATTACTGGTATTTATAAAGCGCCAACAGATTCCGCAGCGCTGTTAAATTAGTACTTGTGGTGCGATAAAAATTCTGAGACTCCAATAATAATAAAAGAAAAAGTTGTAACCTAGTTGTAAAATGTATCAGGTTAACCCTCTACAGTTTTGGTAATATTTCAGTGGTGATATAGCCCTTCACATTTTGCCTGTTTACATTTTAGATGTCACCCAGCCTTCATTGCAGAGGTAAAGAATAAAACTCTACATACCTTGGAGATAGGCCAGCTGTAAACAAAAGGTCTTGTCATTTAAACTTTTATGTATAATTATCGCATACAACCTCCATAATATCATTTCTTCTCTTTTGTCCTATTTTTGTTTTCTTTGCAATGCCCATAACTGCTGGGTATGGTTACAGCTGTGCCTTGGCACCTTAGTAAAACGGTTTGCTATCAGTTTGACAACTTGCCTGGAGCTTTCGTGTATTAGTCCCCTCGTCTTTGTTCTGCCCAGCGGGGCAGGGCTTAGCTTGTTGGCTTAGATGACACTCTCAGCCAACAAGATGGCAAGACTTGTGTCAGGAGAGGATAACGGAATCTACATGCTAGAGCTTCCAACTCTTAATGGAGGAAGTGACAACAACACGGCTTGCAATGGTTTCATTACTCCAGACACTGCCCCCTGCCTCTCCTTCCTCAAATTGTTTTCTTCTGAGCTAAGCTCAGTGTTGCAAGGCTTAGCTCATTGTCGAAAACGTTGAGCTTATGCTTTCAACTAATGAGATAGTTCTGCATCGTAGGACTTGGCGCAGGAGAGTTCTCGCTTCTGACATTCACTAGGTAAGAAATCAACCGTTGCAGATGGTTTAACTACTTACATTAGGGGAGTGCCACAATAACTATTACAGCAAAACGGTTATGTATTCAACAGTAGTCTTGCCTACTCTTATCTGTTCAGAGTCTTATATCCCACACAATTTCACAAGGCATTTGGAATAAAACCAGGTTCAAAAGTACGATATCTGTTCAAAGCACTGGTGTTTCAACTGCTATTGTGAGCATGGTTATGCCAAAGTTGGGTAAACTTTAATGCTGTCAGCTTTCATAATTCATTCTTACATTTTTCTTTCTTCCAAACAGGATCTTAACGACCTGAAACTAATCATTTGCCATCAGTTTCAGCTGAATGAATAATTGTGTTTAGTTCAATATGCTAAAGGAAAAATAGTCTCCAGCAGTGCTTCTCAAATATTTTATTTATTTTTGTTATTTGGTGTAACCTCAAAGGTACCTGTGCAATGCTGGATTAGGGTCTTCATAAATCTAGAGCTGATAATTAAAGCGGTTCTAACTGCTAAATATGCGTGTGCAATTTGAAATTGAATGCACCGTACTTCCCTCTGTAACTAGCGTTTGCAGCCATACATAAAATCATCAAATCCATCTTCACGCACTGGCACAGGAGGAAAAGCAAGGGGTCACAGTAATTGCTATGACTCCGGGGGAACAGGGCATCCATCTTATAAGCAGGGCCTGTGCGAGGAATTTTTTCTAAACAAAGATGCATTTTGCCACCCTCTCCCTCCCTCCCAAATGCATTTTTATTTGGGTGTCTCTTAACACCCCTTTTGTGTTTCTTTTGAATATCTCACCCCCTTTTGTGTGTTACACCGTCCTTTAGTTTTTTTTCCTTTTTGCCTTACCCATGGGCAGAGCCAGCGCAAAAATAAGGTGGCACCCTTCTCGAGGGGTGAAATGGTTGGGTAACTAGCAGGAGGGGAGCACACAGCACAGTGTTCCCTCCTGCCAGTCACTTTTGTGTAGCTTGGCGGAGCCGTCCATGGCAGAGTTTCTTCTGTATCCTCTACCCGGTGTGACAGGAAGTTATTAATGAGAGCAACGAACAGCTTCCTCTCAAACCGGGTAGAGAATGCAGAAGATCCTCTACTGCAGTCCGCATAGCCGTGCCAAGAGGTATGCAAACAGAGTAGAGAGGGTGGAAGATCACAAAAGAAGGTGGGTAGACACAAATGGGCTGGGGGAAATGGACATGTTGCGTGGAAGAGACACAAAATAGGCTTTGGAAGGATTAAAGAGGCACACAGAGGGCTTGGGGGAAATAGACAGTGTGGGGGGGGAGGGGGGCACAAAAAGAGTCTGGAGAAGGGGGAAAGAGGAAAACAGAGGGACTGGGGGGGTAAGAGAAGCACGGAGGGATTGGTGGAGAAAGACACACCGGTGCTTGGGCGTATGGGGCAGAGTCTGATTGACTGGAGAAAGAGAGACACAAAAAGGGCTGGGGGAGAAAAGAGAACACAAAAGACACTTGGAAAGAAAGACGGGGCTGGGGACAGAGAGAAAGTGACAGAGGGCTGGGGGGAAGACACAGGTGCTGGGGAGGGAGAAAAACTGAGAAGAAAGAGACACAAAGGGGCAGGGAGGAAAGAGGGGGAGAGTAAGAGACACAATAGTTTCAGGCTCAAATGGCTCTAGATGTACAGTTGTAATAATCAAAATTATTCAACCCCCATTGAAAATCAGATGTTTGCAAATTAAAATAGCTCAACACAACAAATACGTCAAGTGTTTTCCCAAATTCAACTGAAAATGCAACTTATTCAATCAATCAAAATTATTCAACCCCATTCATGGCAAGCATCTTTAGTACTCAGTAGAGCACCTTTATGCTGTTATGACCTGCTGCAAATGAGAAGCATAGCCATACACCAGGACTACTTCTGCAACTAAATCTTGGTGGCATTTGAAGTATGCTTAGGATTGTTGTCTTGTTGGAAGGTCCCAAGCTTCAGCTAACCACATGACATTACTCCTAGGATTTCCTGATACTTATCTAAATCCATCTTAAATTCCACATGCTGCAGGTTTCTAGAGCTAGAGGATGCAAAGTAGCCCCAGAGCATCACTGAGCCACCACATGCTAAAATCCTCATCACGGCACCTGAAAACCAGGCAAACATGGGCAAAACCCACCGGGCATCGCATATAACCAAGCCAACCGACACGCCGAAGGGCACAGCTGCCGCCTCGCTATGGCAATGCCTAGTGACTCGCACAGACACGGCCGCGCGGGCCTCCACCACCTCTGAGATCGCTGACGTTTCCCGCCCAGCGTTGCCACGAGATGCAGGCCCATACCTCCCTGGACCCCCAACCAGACTGGGTACAGTTGATCCGGGCACTCCCGACAAAGCAAGACCTGAAGGAGGCTAACTCGGAGCTACGAGCCTCCATCACAGCGGAACTACATTCCCTTCGGGAAGACATCCAGGGCCTACATACCAAAGTATCTCAATTGGAAGCAGACTGTGACCACTTGTCCTCTGCCCAGTGTGCAAACACCGACGCAATCTACCACCACACAACATAAATGAGACAAATGGCCCTACACATGGAGGACCTGGACAATCGAGGCAGGCGCCAAAACATCAGGGTGTGCGGCATTCCAGAAGACCTAGATCAAGCCACACAGATAACAGATACCCTCAGAGAAATGTTCAACAAGATCCTGGGCCGCCCAGCGACCACCGACATCGAGTTTGTCAGAGCACACCGTGCACTGAGACCAAGGGGTCCACCAGAGGCTCCCCCAAGGGACACTATTTGTTGCCTGGCTAGTTTCCGACTAAAGGAAGAGATCCTTCAGAAAGCGCGAGGCACAGAAAGGGTGACGCTGAATGGAGTGGAAATACAATTGTATCCTGACCTCTCACCAGCTACCCTGGCATACCGATGGGCGATGAGGCCCCTCACGAGAATGCTCCAAACCAACAAAATCAGGTATCGGTGGACCTTCCTGACCAGGCTACAGGCCATCAGAACAAAGGGGCCTTTTACAGTCCGACACCCGGAGGACCTGAGCGATCTCGTAACGGAACTACAACTTCCACCCATCAACGTGACGTGGCCGGACCCCCTTACCTTCTACATGGCACCTCCGTTGACCCAGGGGCTCCCGCCACAGCCGCACAGAAGCAGAGGGACCCGACAACAAGCCACCCGGCCCTCAGGGACGGCGGCATAAAGGACTAATGTCAGCAGCTGCAGCACATAACCGCAAGTACCAACAACCGGGACTCTCTCTCCAATAGGGGTACCAGCCCCCTTGTGGACATTTTGGGGATCAGGACCGCTAATATACACCACAACAGGCTGAGAAGGGGGAGGGGGTCCACCTGGCTACCATAATCACGGGGGGGGAGGAATTGGGGACACACACAAAAGGGGCATGCAAGCAGACTCAAAATAAATAACAAAAGGGGAAGATATCACAGGCAGACAGCAGGGGTAGCCGACTGCCTAGTTAGACACCTAAGTGTATCGACACTATACAGGAACAAGCTTCAACCGAAGGGGCTGCTGCACTCCCCCGAGTATGATTCTAAATCAATATACTTATAAAAAAGGATGGACAACCACAGCAAAACACGGTGAGGAGGGGGTCCTGACAGTACATGCCTAAACTCAGTGTACAAACCCGCCAAATAGGGACCGATCCCAGGAAACACCGACCCTACCCTTGGTGCACACACACCGCAATTGATACCAATGGGTAGATGGAGCGAAGGGCACGAGGGGGGAGTGCACCGGCACTTACTTAGGACTGGGCTCCGCCGCTGGGGCCTTGGCTGCCCTGTGATGACCCAGCTGAGCAGGGGGCTGGCCCACCGAAGGGACTCACACACGGAGAGCGAGTGGGAGGGGGAAAAGAAAGGGAAGGCGCTCCAGGAGGGAGGCCAGGTCCACCGACCAGCAGGTAAACCCACCTGAGACCCACTGAGTAGAATAGGGCCCCCAGGCCCACTCACACCAGACCGCTGCCACCAGCGCAACACTCGCTCCAAACAGAGATCTGACTCACGACGGGGATAGAGGGGTACCCAAGAGGAGGGCTGGAAGGGGAAGGAGAGGAGCCCCCTAAAGGGGATGAGGGACCCGTACTGAGGCTAGGGCACAGGAGCCGGAGGGGGAAGAAAATACAAATGATGGCCATGCGCACAAACATGAACATAATAGAGTTATGATGCACGCAACTGTACAATACTAGCTGGATTGCAGCTTAATTTTTGGAAAGATTTGTTTAATTGCTTAACTGTTCTGTTATACAATTTTTCTATGCATATGCACACGACAGGCACCCGAGACGGCACTGTGACCTACGACCCAGAGCCCAACAATTATGAGCTCCACTGATGATCTTAATAATGACCCGAACTCAACAGACTGGAGCCGACAGGACCTACACGGACCTGACGGACTGAGACATGCAACAAAGGTACACACCAACCACCGACACACACGGAGAGGACTGGTACCACCCGGAGTCCCTTGGCTTCCTTCTACAGCCCCACAGGGCACAGCGACCTAAGAAAGGTGAGCAGAAACCGCGGACCACAGGTGGCCGCGGGTTTAATCACTCCCCGTCGCTGAAACATCACCGTCACTTTATAGTGACGAGAACATAAACACATCCCATAACCCCACAACCCACCCGACCTACAACCAACGGACCCATACACCCTACGAACCCCAGACCAGACCATGACTTGAAGAACGAATGACGTGGCCACCCCCGCACATGCACACAAGGGCATTAGTGCCGGACTGCCTCACTGTCCTCTCCATAAATGCCAGAGGCCTCAACAAACCGGAGAGGCGCTCAGGAGCGCTGAGAGACTTCCACGCCAAACGAGCCTCGATAGTCTTAATCCAAGAGACACACTTTAAGGAAGGGTCCAGGGCCAAAATGACTAACCATCACTACCCGACGGGATATTACAGCGACTACCATGCAGGGAGGTCAAGAGGCACGGCCATCCTAGTTAACAAAAAGATACCTTTTGTAGAAACAGGACAGATGACGGACAAGGAGGGTAGATTCCTTTTCTTCAAAGGCACAATTGCAGGACAGGTCTATACATTCGCAAACATCTATGCCCCGTACAACCGACAATACAGATTCCTGGCACACACACTTAAGAAACTACAGCCCTTCACAGAGGGAATCCCCATTGTGGGGGGAGACCTTAACGTAGCACTCAATCTGCGGTGGGACACCTCCTCCGGACACTCGTGGGTCTCGACACAAAACCTGAACTCAATACAAACCCTTCTGACTTGTTACAAACTGATAGACTGCTGGAGGGCCTACCACCCGGATGAGAAGGACTACACCTTCTTCTCACACAACACATATACTAGACTGGACTACCTCTTTACCTCACACTATCATCTAACAATAACACACGATGCACACTAACCATTAGAATCTTAAATGTTGCCAAATAAGTGATCCCTTAATTCTGGAAGCAAACAATAACGCCCCCGTTGACAACTTGGTTCACTCCGAGCCATAGAGGAACTCATCATGAACACATCCAACTCCCCAGACTGGTATATGGAAATATGGGCGAGGCCACATAGACCGATAAACTAAGAGACGAAATGGACAGACATAACCCAGAGAGAGAGGCACCCTCCTCCCCTCCCCAGATAACTCAACCCTGATACCTCCCCCCCACCCGAACGCTACACACAAGCTAACAAGAACAATACACACGGACACACGATCCCAATGGAATACCACCAACAGGAGGTACACGGGATAGCATCACCGAACCCGAATCCACATAGCCTCTCAGAACCACAACACACAGGGATACGGGAAGAAAGCAACTGCACGCCACTGAATGCCAACAGGGCCAAAACCGCACACCCGAACACCTGAGAACGGGAAACCTAACCTAAGACACAGGGGCAGAAACCAACCCAACAGACACAACACACAATATCTGATGCCTCCACACCTCACCCGTAAGATTGATACCTACCTTCGGCTTGCGTGCCACAAAAATGGTGACAAGCAAGAGACCTGCGTGTCTCACGACAGTTTAAATCTCGTCAAATTGACAATGTGCACAATCTGTATCAATGCCTTCTTTACTATGAGACTATATTTACTATATTTCCTGAGAAACTGCAATAATCACTTTGCAGGACTAAGACTGCCTCTAGTGGCCACTAGAGGCACTTCCCGATTGCTAGGTGACTTTTGGTCGTCTAACAGATGCTGGATATCCTCAGACTTTGCATGAAGTCACCCAACATCAGTAAAATCCCCATAGGAAAGCATTGCAGCAACTGCATGCACATTAGGGCGCCCCATGTCAGACGATGACCTAGGAAGCAGAATGCCGACCCAGTGCAGAGCGAGATTGGCTCTGGGATCGGGGCAGTACAGTGGTGGGGGAGGGTGGCAAGGGATAGAGTTGTATTCCTAGCACTACAGTATTCCTTTTGGGGTGGAACGATGTAGAGAGCAAATGAGAAGGGAAAAACTTATTCCATATGGTAGCTGATCGCTTGAGATAAAGTATGTAGAATCCAACATGTGTTTCTCTATCTAGACACAATTTCCTTAGAGGATGCAGTGAGATCCTCAAGATATCCCAACACATTGCAGGACACCCACTCCCCAAAAGAATGTGCATGAGTAAGGTCCCAATGCATTAGGATTAAAGATGCCCTAATCATCATACAACAGGTGACATTGAAAGTGGTATGCAGAGGAGTAAACCTGAAAAAAGTTTGAAAGTCCAAGCCATTTATATATTCCTGGTATACAGTGCTGTTCATGGTTTTCCAAAACCTGTGGATTAAGGAGAAATTCCACCAGATATGGAGATGTGTATCGGTGCCACGGCACACTTCCAGCATGTTGGGTCAACCGTTGGTACCCAGTACCAAAAGGTAAGCAGCATTTATAGGTGTTTCCTGATTTATGTATGATAAGGAGCAGAAGATGACATGGCCTGATTCAAAGTCGCTGCTCTGAGAAGTTGATAGTAGACATGTGCATTTGTTTTGTTCCTAATTGAATGTCGCCCAAATTTGTACAAATTCAGCAATTTGTATTTCTAAATTCATACACAACAAAATCAAGTGGAAACAAAGAAATTTGAGATAAATTGAGCTGTTTGCCATAGTTAAGTTCCTCATTTTGTACCCTTATCTACTAAGCAACTAAAACAGCAACATTTAGAAAAGGGCTTTTTTTTTTCTCCCTTCTTCACCTTTCAGTTGTTTAGTAGATAGCTCCCTAATTTGGTATCCCTAAAATGGCAATATCACATAAGAGTACCATTAAGAAGCTATCTGATATACACACAGTCTACAAATAAAATGTATTTGCATATACAGGATAGGATGCATTGTAGAAAAGGTTTTTCTAATCTTTTACATGTTTCCTGTCTCTGCCCAAAGCTCTCTCTCGGACTCTTCTTCCCATGACTGACAAGGGAATTAAAAAAATTTAACTCAGAATGGTTAAACTGGGAAAAATTCTCCAAATAAGGTAATTTCCCTCTCAACTGTCGAGACACAATGTTCCACAATTCATAGTTTAGTGAGCAATCCCCAGTGTGTTAAATGTCAACTGTTCTAGCAGGTTTAATAATCCAGATTAACTATTCATACATGTTCTAGGGACCGTTATATAAAATGTTTGTGAAGACGTGCGTTTAAAATAGTTTTAGCCCGTGATTATCGTATAAGAAGGTTTAATATTTGCCAACTAACATAGTTATGTATGCATTTACTAACTCTAACTTTCATACCCTGACCTCTAATTTTCCAAAGTCTAAATGTGATTTCCTTAACTCTCTTGTTCCTGTCCCTAATTTTAGCAATCCTAATACAAATTCTCTTAGCCCTTATTCTCAATACTTAAAGTGGGATGTGGGCCTATTATTTTGTCTCGGTCATATCTTTGGTGGGGCATATAGGGGCGGTTAGTTGGAGCAGGTGGCGACTCTCAGGAGCTTTAAAGGAACAGACAGACAAACAGGCACGGGATGAGTCCGAGGTAGCGGGTCTTGAGAGACAGACACAAGGGTAGGGGGATATCGCATAAGTGGGAAAGTGGGCAAACACTTTGAGAGCAAAGGCTTAAGGGGGAGATATGAGTAAGGGGGCATTTGGTAAACTTCTATTCCTATGTTTGGGTTGTGTATGACAGTGAGGAATAACATTTTTAATAATCCAGCATCATATAAACCTTTGCACCGAACAGGAATAAAGAAAAAGGTCTGCGACACCTTCCTCTTACCTTGGCTGTACCATTCCGGTCATCGCACCCATCTCTCCCCTTTTAAATTCTTTACTTTGGTGGACTAAACTCTGGTTTGCAGTGAATTGAAAACTGAATTGCAAAGTTTAAGCAAAACCAGCTGAACTGTAAAAGTAGCCGAGTTGGAGAATTATTTTAATTCAGCTATATCAGCCTAAATTTGCCATTTGGTTTCCAATTATGTCTGATCAGCTGTCCCTTTACTCCACAGTGCTCATTTCTACTCTAACATAATCTTACTGAAGTATACACACAATGTCACACACACTATTACTGAAGTATACACACAATGTCACACACACTCACACACTATTACTGAAACGTACACACAATGTGATTCCCACCCGTTTACAGTCACACTTTATTGAGACACACAAGCAAACACATAATAATCAACCTGCCTTAGACTCCATGTGGGCCATACCTGTGTGGAGGAGGAACCATGTTCCAGCCTGCAGGAAGCTGTTCTTGCTTCTGCTGTGGGAGCAGGAGAAATGTGCACTCTGAGCACAAACTGTTTCCTGCATCCTCCCCCCGCCCCCCCGAGATACCAGTTTATGTCCTGGCTTCCCCTGGGAGGTGAGCTCTCAGTAACATTGAGGGAGCCCAGCAGATGACCCGGCTGCACTGGGGGGTTGCTGAATAGCCACTGACCCAGCGCTGCAACCCACCAGGAAACTTCCCGGCTGGTCGGTGCCACAGGCGAATGCCTTATTCACCTTACAGTAGCGCTGGGCCTACCTGAACGCGAGTTTTAGCCCACCATTACTAGTCTAACATAATTGCTTTTATGGTGCCAACCACAAATATGTGTGTGTGCGTGTGTGTATATATATGTAAAAGGCCGAAGGCCTGTATTTGTGGGAGGAGTTGGCGTTCCTATAAAAACGCTACTCCCCCTTCCTACCTTGACGAGGCTTGCGCTGTTCACCTCACCCTCTTACCTATACGGTCTTTCGGGAGGCACCCTTTTTACAGGCCTACCCCTACGTCGGTTCCGGCACACCACACCGACTTAATTCCAATCACAAGGTATTTCACGGTCACGATATTAACCAACCACAAATATATATATATATATATATATATATATATATATATACTAAAGAGTTGTGTGTTCTTTTGGTTTATTTTAATATGTCCAGAACATCTGAATTTTCCCATAAAACATGTTTCACCGTTATTTATATTCTCTGTCTATTGCTCTATGTATGTAGTGTTAGTAATGCAATTAAAATGTATAAGTTCCTTATGGGTTAATATAGTCAGCTGCTGCTACTTGTAGCTAGAATTCAAACAGTTGTTTGGATTCTCTGCAGAGGAATCATCTTTCAGAATAGGATTGTGTGTGCTTTGAGTCTCGCTGTAGAAGGCTGTGTGTGTATGAGAACTGGTACTACACGCCTCATCACGTCACCCACTTCCAATATGTATATATAGAGCTAGGCTCAGTTGTCAGAGTGAGGGTGCAAACATTTTGTGTCATCTTTTTGTGTGTTCGGACAGTTATAAGAAGAGATGTCCCAGCCTCAGGTAATCAATCAGTTAATGTCTTTAGTGAATAACTCTGTCTGATTACTTTGTTCAATAGACCTAAAGTAAATTTCACATTTAAGGCTCGAGTAGCTAATAGCTGCCAGACAGTTTTTCCAGTTTAGTTATTTTGACTTGTAATGTGAAACTTACTTTGAATTCTCACTTTAGCATATGATTTTTATTACTCCATATTCTAATATAATTCTTACTGTAAATGTAGCTCTATACAATATTGTGATTATGGTTATGTTGTGTATTTTATTGTTGGAAGAAATAAAGCTCCAGCACTCGGTAATCTAAGGTGTAATGTGTGTTTTATTCAGCCATTTTAAATGACGGGCAACGTTTGGACACAATGTGTGTCTTTATCAAGCCATCATGTCACGTCGAAACGTTGCCTGTCATATGTGATGGCTGAATAAAACACATATTGCACCTGATATTACCGCGTCCTCGAGCATTATTTATTTGAATTTTGTTTGGATCCTTGGAACAGGGGCCTTTACTCATGGTACAGGTACCAAAAATCTTGGAATTTGAATAGTGCCCCTCCTATGTCTTTAATTTGTATCTTATTGTGGGACAGCTTTATTATTTGTTACATATACATTTGTATCATAAGTATAAAAAGAAAACCATATATGTTCATTGACATTGCACCTTTCAACTCCTTTTAATATGGAGGACAAAAATAGCTTATTTTTTTTTGGGAGGGGGGGTTGGGGGGGGGAAGGTTCAGATGGAATGCTTGCTTTCTTTTTTTGCTATAATTCCATTCTTTTTTTAGAATTCTACTCTTTACTTTTTTTTTCCCAGACTGCTATAGAGGGATTTATTAACTAAGCAGTAAATTTGAATAAATGAAAAATAGAATTTGCTAATTGTATTCATATAGCAGAAATTGAACATTTTCCCAACTATACTTTTTAGCCAACTTGTTTATTTCCTTTTTTTTTTTTTCCTCCTTCCTAACCCACTGCCACCTCTTTTCTAATATTCTAAGTAAATGCTACATCAGAATGGCTAAACAGGGACTAAGAAGTCAATATATGGCTACAGCTGAGTTGGACAATGTTTACAAATATTTTAGCCTTAATTTTGCCATGTGGATTTAATTTGCTAAAATTTGGTGGTCGGTGAATATCTACATTGGTATACCAAAAGGTGGTCATTAAAACTTTTTATTTAAAAAAATATATAAATTAAGACTGTCTATTCTTAAGAAAATCAGATATATTCTAGCCATACACCATGCATTTCTACCAGAAATCCCAAACTGATTGCTAAAAAAAGCTTTATTCGACTTTTATTTGTTTCTGTTTTCAGAATCCTATCTCTCCAGCTCTTATTTATAGATTCTTAATAATATGTAGTGTTAGAAATGCACATTTCAAGGTGACCTTGTGACTCAGTGTGCCCAAATTAGAAGTATATGCCATGCTGGTGACTCTTGTTTCTTAACTGTTGAGAACTTAATCTGCTGTTGGCAGTTTAGTGTTTCAAATATGGGCACTAAAGGGTTAAAGCTATGTTTTATTCCCAAATGACTACAGCATGCCATAGACACTATGTAAAGGGTTGAGTGGTTTTGTTTTATCCTAACATACGTAGATCACTTTGCCTATGTTTATAGTTCATAATGCACTTTGTCTCTGTGAGCTGACTCTGTATTTGTTCATGGGCACAATTGAATTACTCTGGCTTCAAAATAAATGGATTTTATATTCTTCTTTTGCCTCTGCGCTCTCTGAGGACAATTCCCTAAAGTCCAGTTCTAACTTGTCAAAATTTGGTCGAAGTTACAGACTTTTACCCGAATGAGCTCATATCATTCGATGCTTTAAAATCCATAATTTTCACATGTGAATCCAATGTAAAATACAGGATCAGCATGTTTATAAAATACTCAGAGCAAATATTCACCTCCTTTGTAGTGTTACAAAAAAACGTGCAAAATGTTCCCATTGCCAGAGAAAACAGATGGCGAACAAATTGTTGAAATGACGATAAATTAATACAATAATTTTAAGAAATAAAACCAATAAACTATATTACACATGATTTAATTATTGGATCTCTTTGTTCGGTTTGCCCTTTCTCCACAATGGTTTGTCATCTAAATGGTGCAGATTGCAGTTTTGTTTTTTTAAATGCAAACTTCTTTTAGACAGAATTGACAAAAGACTGCTTGCAAATACAGTTCAATTGAATTTCTGTTTCCATTCTGTATTTGAGTGTTCGATTGAGTTTTTCCATTTGATTAGATTTGTTTTTTTCTGTCCAATTCCAACCACCCTTCCCCATGCATGTATATAACGAGGTGTTAATTGGCTAAAACTGTGTTTGTCCTCCCACCTCACTTTTCCCATGGGAAAGCATTGGATTGGCTAGAAATCGGCAATTCTGATGTCACAAAGGGGGCGGGCCAGTGCTGGCGCACCTGCTAGCCGCTGGAAATAAGGTGACTTTTAATTGCTTTTAAGCAGGCTGAGGGGGGCAAGCCACCAAAATGGTGGTTTTTGCACTATAGTGTCAGGAATACATGGTTGTGTTCCTGACCCTATAGTGTTCCTTTAAAGCAGCACTGTCACCCCCTTGGAAAATGAGCATTTCATAAAGAGAGAATCTTTATGAAATACTCATTCTGACTGTGTTGGAAGTTTCACTGAAATTCCAACCCAGCCAAGAGAGGACTACTTTGTCTCTGTAGGGACTAATTTGTCTCTATACATATTTTTACTTGCTAGTTGTGTTTGTACATTTATTTTGCTTGACATACTAATGCCTTTACATTTCTCATTATATAGTTTGTTCAGTTTATTTAAATTCTATTATTTTAGAGTAAAATCAAACTAGATGCAGTCTCCTCGTAAGATACTCGTCAAAGCACCAATTCAATATGCCGATGGTTGGAAACAGCAGGAAGACAAACTAATTCTATTTTGTATTTGAGGTTTAGAAATGGTAATACATAAAAATACGAATTACATACTACACACAACACTACATAAACTGCAATAAATCTATACCAAAAGCTATGGCGTGCATATCAAAATGATAAAATACTAGTGTTTTTGTTTTTTTCATTTTTAAGTGTGGTACCTGTACTTCCTCTCTAGTTTTAGCCCGTGATTATAGTATAAGAAGGTTTAATATTTGCCAACTAACATAGTTATGTATGCATTTACTAACCCTAACTTTCATACCCTGACCTCTAATTCTCCGAAGTCTAAATGTGATTTCCTTAACGCTCTTATTCCTGTCCTTAATTTACATCTCTGTGCAAAACATGGGCTTTGATTTTTTTTTCTTTACCCATTTCTTCTGTTCAGTGGTTTAGGAAAAGGAACAGAAAAGCCATGTTCCCAATTTCTCATTTTTCTTTGTATTGATTATATATCAATCAATCACACACACTTTTGCTTTTCTTTTTATTAAACATGCAACCACCTATCTCATGCTGAACTGTCAAAGGAAAAAAACATTACATGCATGAATTTACTTTTCAGGATGCCCCAGTTAAGAAGAAGAGACCAGTGATGAAAGAAGAAGATCTCAAAGGGGCAAAAAATAAGTTGAGCCAACAAACACCAATCCGATCCAAGACCTACCAGGTTATGAAGGAGTGTGGTGAGTAGAGAGTCTTATAGCATGGCATTAGCTTAGAGTGATATTCCTGCTTCTGTTCACGTGATACACTTTCCCAAACATTCTCAACTCCTACAACATTCAACATAGACTGAATTGACTATAATTAGACATTGGTATAGATTAACTGATCACTTAAGCATATATAGGCAAAAATATTGTGAAAGTTTAAAACAAACTCATTTCTGGTGTGATGTAGCCTGACAAAGACCCTTTCAGGGGTTGAAACGTTGCAGTGTCTCAAATTTAAATACATTTGAATATACTTTGAGTGCCTGGATCCTCTTTCTAACACCGATTCTCAACTCTTATAATGAGCAGATGTAAGATCAAACAATGTTATAACACACATAAGAAAATAGAGAATATGCAACATGCTTAAATTGCCTGATGACTACCCATTATCACAGGAATGACATATTATAGAGGCAGCTAGAGTTCAGCTCCCAGAAACCCTTGTAGATACCAAGGTTATCAGCAATTATCTAACTGTATTGCTTGTATAACACCATGTCAATTGATTAGACAAATTACTTCTTTTGAGCATACACACAATAACCAAGGAATTCTGGAACATTGGTCTTTTACATGTATGCATTACTTCAAACACAAATGACTATGCCAAGCCCATCAAAAATACACCACTATTTATTATGCTTTCCCTGTGGCTATATAAGACATGACCTCTGAACTGCCATTAAAACAAATAGCCCATAAACACCTGTTTTTATTGTATGGCACCCCACATTTCTTAAAGCAATGTCAGCTAGGGACATATATACTGTTTTAATACTCTAGATACCTTGATCCAGCTTTGATGGCTATGTCTGTTAGGTAATTGTGACTCTATTAGCATAAATAATCTATAATAGAACACTCACCCTAAAAATGAATATTTATTAAAACTTCTAAGTGCAATTTAGGAATTCATGCTTTAACAATGAATTATGTTTATATTCAGTGTGTAATGACATAAAACCAACCTGCGTTAATTTGTAAAGTGCTTTGTATAAGATTATATATGTTTGTCTCCTTCTAGAACAAGCAGGGTGTGCTGCTCCTTCTGTGTTTAGCCAGGCCCGAACGGGTGGAGAAACAGCCTTCGATAAACCGAAGGAAGGCCCAGCAAAAAGCGTGTTTGGTTGAATGGTTACATCCCTGCTATTTCACCCTGGTTTCTCTATCCATTCTACGATGGACTCTTTGTAAAGTCTTATTGGCTGCTTCTCGTCATTCTTCCTTAATTGATCCTATCTAAAACTGCATTCGTTTGGGTTAAAGTGTCTCTTTTTCTTCTATTGACTGAACTCTTCGTCCCCTTTTTATCCTTGTTACCATGTCTATCTTTATTTGGCCCAGAACAACAAGTTGGATCTGCCTTCCAATATAAAGGATGTTCTAAGCAGGGAGATATGTATTTTTACAGCAATAATGCCATAAAAAGTAGAAACATATCCCAGTCATATAGTGTGTAAAGATTTTACAGCTAATCTGTAGTAGATTTAACTAAACATAACTAGTCCACTATTGAAACTTGACAGTTCGGGATCTTATCCTGTAGAATTTTATATTGGGTTTAGATACTGTACCATTAATTGGAAAATGTATTTCATCATTTAAAGGGCAACCACAGGCCTCCCAACTAATTTGAATTCTTACCAAAAACCTAATAAATACTTCATATTCGAAAATATTCTTTCACATTTCGATTGTGGTTTGGGGGAGAAAAAAATAAATAAAAAAAATTGGATGTGAACCGCAAGTTTGTAGCCAAATCACGAGCAGATATATACATAAAAGATTCGAATCAAATGGGTTGTAAGTTTAAATTCGTACTATTTCATACCAATGTATGGCTTTTGAGTACATTTTTCAGAGAAGTTTTATTTACTAATGGTTTAGGTCTGTCAAATATTTTTCTACGTAGTGTAATCATGAGAATTGTATAAAACATTGAACACCAGTTATTAACTAAGAGTGCCTTGTTATTTTTTACCAATGCTGTGCAATACAATTGTGTAATTTTAAAAAAACGTTCCCTTGAATTTATTGCCTGTGTGCTTTTTTTTTTTTTTTAAATACATAACTTAGCAATAAAGTGTAACTCCCTAATCAGTTTGCTCTTGATCACCTTTCTAAATGTTGATTTGCAGCTTGAAGTAAATCGAATGCTGTCCTTCAAATTTCACTTTTTACTTCCCGTTTTAAACTGTTTTCAATTCTAAAATGGGGGTGTTCATTGGTGGAGCATTCTAGGAAACTTAGTTCAGCAAGTGGAGGCTTAAAAACATCATTCTAGAATACACAGAGCACACACCTGGTCTAAACAAAAAAAAAAAAGTAGTGCAACAGTTGATTGCTTAAACTATCATTAATTCATATGGTAACATTTCTAGCGAAGGGATACTATAGTCACCAAAACAACTGCTTCTGCAGTTTCACTGCTAAATTCTCTATAATTTAGGAGTTAATCATTTGTTTCTGTCCGTCCATGCAGCCCTAGCCACACCTCCAATGGCAGTGAGTCACACAGCCTGCATGAAACCGTTAAGTTCTTCAGTCAGATGTTCACTTACTTTAGAGGTTTTTATCTCCTGCTCTGTGGATTTAACTTTAATCACACAGAAGGCTTCTGTAGGGTCTAGAAGACTATTAAAGCATGATCATGAATTCTAAATTAAACAATGTGCAATAAAGGAAGTTTAGACATTAGATCTCACTTTACATAGTCTTTATGAAATCATGTGCAGAGGTGTAACTAGGGCTGCATAAACAAAGTAATCCAACTCCTTAATAGCAGAGAATTGAACAGTGAGACTACAGGGGCATGACCTTTACACCAAAACTGCATTATTAAGCAAACGTTTTGATGACTCTAGTGTCCCTTTAAAATTCAGCAAAGGACTACTCCAAGCACCATTACAAACCACTGTGGTAGTTATGGTGTCAGGAATACCATTATGCCCTCCCTTTATGAGCAATCAAACGGTTTGTGGATGATTTAACAACTTATGTGGGCTTCTCGTGACATCCTAACATAATCTGGAAAGGTGTATCTTCTAATTCTATAATCTTCACACCCAGACCTAGTACATAAGAGTTCACAAACAAGTCTGTAAACTCATATCCTGCTTTCTTGGCAGCGTAAGACTCCTGGAATAGCCATAGCAAAATTGCAGTATCCCAGGTTTTACCTAGATGTTTACTCTCCAGTCTCCATAACCTTTATGAGTAGTCTTGCCACACACTATGGAAATGCGCCCGACTGGACGAACAATAACTCATACACGGATGTCACCTAAGCACAACAGTTTTCTCCTTTCGCACCATTTAGCCAAAGCCACGGAAAAACAATCAGGTCAAAAACAGCACCTTCAATGGCAATGCTCCATCCTTCATAACCTCAATTTCTAGGCATAGCCAAATCTTCTTACATATCCCAATAAATGCAAGGTCTGACTGTATAGGGGCATTGTATCAATGTAGCAACACAATGCTTGTTATTAGGGTTAACTAAAGTGAGAATTCAAAGAGCAGTTTAAATTCTGAGTATGTGACTACATTTGCTCATTAAATATTAGAAGGCACCTGTCCCTAGGAGCATGCGGACTCAATTTATTTCCCTGAACCCCAAGCAGAAAAACTCTAAATTCATACAAATAATCCTGGCTGCAGTCACAAAGACCATTTAGATCACTGGACACATGTTGATTATATCCACATGTAATGTTCTTTAAAAGGGACACTATAGTCACCGCAACATCTTTAGCTTAATGAGGCAGTTTTGTTGTATACATCATCCCCTGCAGTCTCACTGCTTTTTCTCTGCCATTTATTAGTTAAATCACTTTGTTTAGGGAGGTGTGGCTAGGGCTGTATAAACACTTCCTCCTGTACTGTGATCTAATGTTTACATTTCATTTACTGAAAATTGTTTAATTTAGAATTTCCTTTTTTTTCTGCTCCCGCATGTAATTAAAGTTCAATATATTGAGCAGGAGAGACAAACTTTAAAATTAACCTCCACCTGATAGCCTTCTTGAAAACAAAAAGGTTTCATTTTCAGTCAGTCACAGCCAGTGGAAGTGTGGCTGGGCTGTATAAACAGAAACAAAAGTGATTTAACTGCTAAATGTCAGTAAATTGAGCAGTGAGACTACAGGTGCATGATCTATATAGAAAAAAACCTCTTCATTAGGATACGGTTGTTTTGGTGACTATAGTGCCCCTGTAATGTTTATCCCACGAGTAACTGCCCCCAAACCATCACTTATTTTGATTTGACATTTCCTAATGCACTGTGATGCAGCACTAACATGTAGAAAAGCAAATTGTCTCTCCTGCAATTTAAACACCCCTTACAAGCTTTTATCTCTGTCTGGCATTTTGCTGAAGATGTTATTAAAACACATGTAGGGAATCATACAAGTAATAGATTCCTAATCTTTGAGCAAAATAAAAACGGAGACCGGAGGGACGGACGTTGTATAGAATATTTATTGATTTCTTATTTCTTTTTCTCTTCTCGAAGGTCCATGACTGAGGAAACATTATGGGAAGCAATGATATTCAATGGCTGTTTGCCTATTTAACTTTCTTCTTCTGCAACAGAAAAAAAAAAACGTGTTAAAAAACAAACTAAACTACTAGGGCCTTACAGACACCTCGGACAAGTCAAACAAATACATTTTACTAAATACTGCTGAATGTTATAGAATTTTACATATTGTATTGATTGTATTGGAAAGGACTGAAAATATAAAAACTGCTTATAGCACAGTTGTAATATAGTTTGAGTTATTCACTAAACTACGAACTGCATCAAATTAAAATAATAAAAATTCAAGATAAATTAACCAATTTGTAGCTGTAACCAGACTGCAGAATTCCCCTCCGTTTTTACATTTGGACTTTACTAGAGTAGCAATCTTGTTGAAGTAGTTATGATGCAATGGGTGTCCTGGCGCCCTCCAAGTGGTTACTTCTTCATATTGAACATGGAAGCACCTAATGGGGATGTCTGTTAGCTTCCCTGTGCTACAATGTGGAGCTGGCAGAATAGTGTAATGTCAACTGAGCGCTATCAGCCATGAGCTAAGCCTTTCACAATAATTACTATGTGATTTAGTGGTCATGGTGCATAGGGTGTTCCAAAAGAAGTGAGTTTCTTGTGTCTGAAGTGGTTTACTAATGCAGTGCTTAGTTTGCCTGTGGTGAAATTCCATACACGTGTAGGCACTTTTGGAATTTTATTAAGCCGTGTTGTACTTGTGCGCTATTTATGCAACACTGCAAGAGTTAACTAATTTACATATATCTTTCAACCCTGGCAATAAAAAGAAATAGGTCCTAAAACACTATAGGATAAGGAAGAATACAAATCATGCATGTTATGATGATTTAGATCACGTCCCCCCATATAAAGGAAATAAAGTGATTTAGTCTGCATACTTCCCACAAGTGTTGTCCTATCTGCACTGGCTGAGATCAATCATGATGATCTCAACCAATCCAATGCTTCCCCATACTGAAGAATAGGAAGGCTAATGCACATGCTCAGCAACCATCGGGCTGAGACCAAGCAACATCTCCTCATAGAGACTCATGGAGTCAGGTTTTGGGTACACATCCTCACCATCAAAAAGTTTTTTTAAAGTACAGCCTGTCACAAAAAGATACAGAAAACAAGCAGTATATTGTACTCCAATACATGGTTAAAGGTGCAAAAAATTAAGCCTTAATTTACAATTTATTTTCTTTGTGGGAACGTGTAGAGGGACAAATAAAACACAACATTTACCTTCAACTTCCTCCTCCTCGTCTTCATCGTCATCATCATCATCCTCATCTGAGCTGAAAGTTCCATCAGGCAAACTGTAAATCCGAATAACTTGCTAGAAATACATATGGGGGGGGGGAGAAAGCGTTAACCCCTTAAGGACGGAGCCAAATGTACACGTTGTAAACAAAACCTGGCATTTGCGCTACATGTCTGTCCAACCGTAATACACCTCTTTCATATTAAATACACCCACCCTTATTATATATCATTTTATTCAGGGGAAACAAGGCTTTCATTTAATATCAAATATTTAGCTATGAAACATAATTTAATAAGAAAAAAACGGGAGAAAATACGCTTTTTTTAGTTCTACATGACATTTTAACGGTCAATGTCATAATACTGTTTGCTTTTACTGCAATAAAATACACATTTGTATTCAGCAAAGTCTCACGTGTAAAACAGTACCCCCTATGTACAGGTTTTATGGCATTTTGGGAAGTTACAGGGTCAAATATAGCACGTTACATTTGAAATTGAAATTCGCCAGATTGGTTATGTTGCCTTTGGGACTTTATAGTAGCCGAGGAAAGAAATTTACACCCATAACGGCATATCATTTGCAATAGTAGACAACCCAAGGTATTTTTTTAGTAGCCATTTGGTCACAAACACTGGCCAAAGTTAGTGTTAGTATTTGTTTGTGTGTGAAAAATGCAAAAAACACCAATTTTGGCCAGTGTTTGTGACTAAGTGGCTACTAAAAAAGACTGGACATACCCAGTTTGCAATACCCTGGGTTGTCTACTATTGCAAATTGTATGCCATCATAGGGGTAATTTTCATTCTTGGGCTACCATAGTGTCTCAAAGGCAACGTAACCAATCTGGCGAATTTTAATGTGAAAAAAATGAAACACAAGCTTTATATTTGATGCTGTAACTTTTGAAAACACCATAAAACCTGTACATGAGGGGTACTGTTGTATTCGGGAGACTTCGCTGAACACAAATATTTGTGTTTGAAAACAGTAAAAAGTATCGCAGCAATAATATTGTCCGCGTAAGTGCTGTTTGTGCGTGAAAAATGCAAAAACCGTCACTTTTACTGGCGATATCATCGTTGTAATAAATTTTCTTTGCCAGGGGGTCGGAGTCCCCCCAACCGCGATCGCCGGCATGGGAACCAGGTAAGTATAGAAAGACCGGAGGGCGTACTATTATGCCCGGCGACGTTTAGAACCGCCTAAAATAGGGCGTAATAGTACGCCCTCCGGTCTTAAGGGGTTAAAAAGGAAAACCAGAAACAAGAACGGCTTGTGCCTCTTACCTTGTTGGGATCTTTCAAAATAAGGTATTTGCCCTCATCCAGCTTCATGCAGATATCCACCACACACCGCAAGATGCCCCAGGAATTCTCCATGCTCAGGTTAATTTGGTTGGCAAACTCACTGGGCTTGAATTGCTGTGTGCCCAAGACCACATGACGAGAGGAATCCTTCACATGGTAACGGGACACATACCTTTAGGAAAATTAAAATGACGTGGTGAATAGATATTTTCTTTGCTAACCTATCAATTTCAGCACCCTTAATTTGTCTTACAACATAAGCAAACAGGTGAGGCAATGAGAGTAGTATGTGTTCTATTTATGCAACAGTGAATGAAATATGAATTCTGTAACATTCTGCTGTATAGTGCCAACATATTTTAAAACTTTCTGTTGTGCAGTTAAACTCAAAAATCTTACCCTAGTTTAAGGTACTCTGAGCCTGCTAACAGTGCGCAGCAAGTCCAACGTGCCAGTTTGTAGCTGTTATTCTTTAGCTCTGTAGCAATAACGGCTCCCCTCTGGGAATCCAACTTTTGTCGCCAGTCTACACCATTGCAATGCTGCAGAAAACATTAAATGAGAAGGCACAATAAGCTTGGGCGTATAATGCAAGGGGATTATGATTAATAGAGCAAATATTTACATAAAATTTAAATACTTGTATGAGAAAGATAAAATGCATTATGTTTTCAAGAAAACTAAAGGTGTAAATACGTTTGAATCCGTAAATCTTAAACAAGAACTGGAGGTTTGTTTTTCTGCTACTTTCACTTACCCTGGAATCCCACTCATTCAGAGTCTTTATGTTAATGAAGGACACCTCTCCATTGGCCCCAGTCATCACTCCATCATGCTCGCATCTCACCACCAAGTCAATGTCATCCCCAAGCTTCCATCGCCGGTACCTATAGAACAATTAAAAGCCAGGAACAGGCCCCGTTATGAACAAAGTAGTATATATATTTTTAATTCTGAACTTAAAACCAAGAATATATTCCACTAATATGTTGTTATTAATGCTTATGTATTTGCGTGTCTAAAATAGACGAAAAGTATGTGTACTCATACACAACTAAAACATGAAATCAAAAACGACCAAACCAAAAATGACAGAACCTCTTACCTATAAGCCACAGATGCTACCTCATTCTTGTCCACATCATCTTCAATAAAGGGGTTAGGATTGGGAAATGTGTGCTTCTCTTTTCCCTGTAAAAGAAATAAGACAGTGAGAATGCAAGATCTCACACTTATTGTGTTGTGCTTCAAACCATTGCAAATTTTACCAGTCTCAACTCACCATTCGCAGGCATTGCTGGGAGAAGTTGTGGTTGATGTAAGTAGCCTCCATTGCAAGATTTCGAGGGGAATTTAAAGAGTTGACCTCATCCTGTGGAGGCTCATTGGCAGTTTCACTGACTGTCAGCAAATCTGCAGGGTACGAACATAACAAGAGATTTGACGGACACAATAATACTTAAAGACAGAACAGACAAAACAGGTTCTTGAAAACAATGAAAAAAACAAATGGTGATACTGCCAAGTAGAGCCATCAATCCATAACTATTCTGCTTACCAAAGTCAGAGTTATCTCGCTTATCGAAGAATATCTTCGATCCCACTCTTTGGACCACAATATCCCAGGAGTTCACAGAACGGGTGCTGCACATTAGGGTAGCAAGGATGGCATCCGTTGCAAAAACATTTCCTTGTGTCTTGGCAAGCTGTGGGTTTAGAAAAACAGAAAAGTCAGAGTAATCTACACCATGCCTTTGCACAGGTTCTCCCTTAATGGTAAAATAGAAATTGTCAAAAATGTCTCAAATATACTAAATGCATAGCTGAAGTCACCACTTTTTAATATTTATATCCCTAACCAGAGAAGAAATCACAGTATACACATAGGAGCACAAAATGAGCTACATAAAGACTGCGTAAATTGATAAAAGAGAAAAAAAAAAAACCACAAGACCTACAAAGGTATAAATACAAGTCAAAAACATGAACACTATAGCTGGCATAACCAAAGAAAAGCCAATAATGTGGGCAGGGTACATATAAACATGTCTAAAGGATACACGCCTGCTGTACATTGATAGAACACCTGTAGTTTATATGTAGCAACTGTAAGATTATGTAAAAGGACAGTTATGAGGCTACGTCGTTAAATTACTGAATTGTGAAACTGATATTATAGCGCACCTTTCGAATAACGGGGTCATCTGTTGTAGTGACAGTATGGAAGATCCTTTTGATGCTCTTTAACGGTCTTTCATTCCTTGTGGTAATTCGGTCAAAAGCCTTATCATAGTATTCCAGGGCTCCACAGCATTCACTAACATATGGGAAGGAAAGCTATTTAAGGCATTTTATCAACAATAAACAAAGACAAATATGTACAAATTATTACAGCCCACCTGTCATGCCCCAAACAACTTATGCTCATTAGATTGAGCATAATTTTCTATTTATATATTGTGCAAGATTAGGAGAAAAAAAAAACATAATAGCAGCTTTTTCTCATAGCTGTCAATGCCACAGGAGATCCCTTTGCTCTCCCACCCATAGCCAGCGCATCACAGAAAACTCCCTAGTGCCGGTTAGGGACTATAGGAATGGAGTGACTCACTTCACTGTGGAGATTTACCCTGCTTGGGGATACGTCCCAAGCAGGACAAATCATAGAAGACGGCAGGAGGAGTGAAGGCGGAGATGGTTGTTACACAAAAAGCAACAACAATGAAGATTGAGGACGGTGGCAATGGCACGGAGGAAAAGGGAGTAAATCTCCATATTTTACATTGAATACACAAATGTGTATTTAGAAAATTGGGCAGACTAGATGGGTTTGAATGGTTCTTATCTGCCGTCACATTCTAGGTTTCTATGTATCTTTGTGATATATGGTGTATTCAAAGTATATGGGAGTGAAGTCAGACAACTGAAAATTTACATGATAATTAGGTTCACTTCAAAAGACAAACCCACAAATCAAAAACCACGCCCCACTAACAAAACTTCAGGTATTGTATTTACATATATAAAGGAAAAAATAAAAACATATAGACATACATGTCTATCTGTAAAAAGGAAGCACACAACAACGGAATATATCCACCATAAGGGAGCGAATGGAACAAATACAATATACAGTAATAAAGGAACACGCAACTGTTCCCAACAGTAGAATGTTTCGCCTACCTATTTGGATTTTTGGACATGGTTGACTTTGAGGACTGGTTATAGAATCATAAGTTTAGATCTTTACTGGATAGTTTACCATGTCCATGCAGACAGGATATAGAAAGTGGAATGCACAACTTACTTGATCATACAGATTTGTATTAACATACTTACATGTCTACAGGTTCAGAGACTTCCAGGTAACGCATTTTTAACAGCCGAGGGAAGTCCATTTCTTCTTTTACCTCCCAGTCACTCCGGACCTCTACTGAGGAGTCTCTTGGTTTTAGCTGTGTCTAGAAAATAGCAGCAGATCAGCCTACAAAAAAAAAAACCCCAAGATACACATAACCCAAAAGGAAGGAAAGAATTTAAAGAGAATAGTACCTGAGATTTTTGGTCCCATTTCTGACGAACTCCAAACTGCTTTTGGAATTTCTTCTGCAGCCGGAGACGATCCCTGATAGACAGAATATATATTTGCTTGTATATATGTAGATAGCACAGTGAAATTATACTTACTATATTATAATTCCATTATAAAGTTTAAATAATATCAGAGAAACCATGTACCTCTCCTTTTGCTTGGCACTTTTAGGCAGAGTCTGCATATTTGATTGAAGCATATTTCGCCGGTCTTTATCTCGACGCAGATTCCGCTGGAAAAAAAACAACAATATAAAAATCAATACCACTGAAACACCAGATTTAAGAGTTTTATTTTATTTTTTACTACAGGGCACCAACTTTCCCAATGTTAAAGTCCAACATTTGCTCATGCTCCCTTGACAAAGGCAGCTTTGCCAAAATGTTGGATTTGTTTATTTATCTTGTACCCCTCTTCTCTCACACTAATATCTTGTGTTAACTGGCTTTTCTTTGGTATATATTTAAACGGTTGTATTTTTTGGCATACTTGCATTTTTTGAGTGATTACCTTTGATTTGTGGTGTTTAAGATACATGATTTGTTTGCATTGTGTTTGTCACTTTATATATTTTTTTTTTTAGATCTTTTGTGACAATTGTATATACATGATGATTTTATGTATAGTCTTTTTTATATCACGATCTAGTCTGATACATGGACAATGTATATATTAGTGTATTATCTCATAAAATTTGGGTACTTTATGGTGTGTGCTTCTTATTCATTCTTTATCGTTTGCATTGGGTCTAGAGATAGAGTGAGCACACCGTCTTTTTAGATTGTATCTCTGTTCTTATCTTTCTTTCTATTTTGTTCATAGTGTGCTATCCTTGTTAATTATCCTTTTCCAAATTCTGACATACGTAACATGATTTATAGATCAACGTCTACCAAAGCCTGCACGTGAACTGTATTTATACCTGGGCAAATCGTAGTCTGTTCCTCTGGTATGCAGTCTTCTGCATCTTTGTTGTATCCACCAACTGAAAGCTGGTTTCATCTTCTTCATGGAAATATGCATATTGACTGCCACCACCAAACTGGGAAGAATATTTATCTGATAAAATATAATGAAATCAGTCAGAACACTTGGATAAAGCAAAAGCAGAAACAGGGATAAAAATGTATAAACTGGCAGAGAACATAATACACATCAGTTTTGTTCCACGCAAAAACTCGCCCAATGACCAAACATCAGATGGATTAAGTCACATTTACCTGGAAAAATATCCGGGCAACATGACTGTATAGAACACACCAAACCATACAGAACTGAACTTCAAGCGCAGAGCGTGAAAATCCTTGGAATTAAAAAGCTTTAATCTTATTTATCACGCAATTAGACGGTAAAGGTTTATTTTGCATGCCTTTCAATAATATTTATTTTACATGTTAATTTTAGTTCGGCAACAGATGGAGTTAAGTGCCTAACTTTGCTGGTTTAAATCCCCCCCCCCGCTCCTTTCAGGGAAAGGAGAAAGGAAACCTTTCTCAAGGTCTAAAATTAACCTCTATCTACTGTTGAAAGGGATAAGTATGAGCTTTTCAGTAAACTATCTAAATAGAATTATTAACAGGGTCACAGGTATTGGACTAATAACAGCAGCCATTTTGGACTTTCATTGTATATATGGTCTTGGTAATGAGAACACTCACATACAAGCAGTGGCCTCATTGCAGTTGACATTTAGATAGCACTAGACATGGAAAAGATTCTGAGGAGTTTGTTCAATAGTAAGTGCAAAGTCAAGATAAAAGATTAAATACTTACTGGTATATCTTTTGTCCTGGTAGGTGGCCCCTGTCCAGTCAGCAACCTTATCAATAAAAAACAAAAACACACCACACCCATCAAATGGAGAAACAGCAATTGGTAAGGAATACAAATTGCAGAAATGCGCAACATATGAGCTATACTAATGCAACTTTCTCTTTACAAAAAAAAAAGGGTAACAAAATATTCTGAAATGAGAGCATGTCTATTATAAAAAGAAGACCACATTTTTGGTTTATAAAAATATACTTTTAAATAACAGAGCATCCACATACTTTGCATGAGGACACCATCATCAAATCACTGAACCTGTGACGAAAGCCCCACGGGGATGTTTGTCTGGTAATCCCTAGTGGGCATGCGCATTGCAAGATGTAACCGAGTAGTTGTGATTTTTTTTACCTTAGACTGTCCCTTTAAATACCAATGATGTGTCATGATAGATGGGAAAAATAAAAATAAAATTCACCCTAGGAAAGTGATTAGAAAAATCACCCTAGGATAAAAAACATAAAAAGGGGGAGGCGTGGTGTGTCTTTCTCTTTACATATGACCATTGATAATTCCAGAACATGTATGCAGCAAGACCATCTATGTGAAATTTCATACTCCCATTATATCTGATGCTTAGTATTGGGGTATACATATAAAAAAAAATAAAAAAAAATTTTGGCACAACTTGGCTGTGATATATATATTTTTTTTTTTAATCTAATGCTTGGTTTTTGAGGGACCCTATGTTTGTCAGGGTGTGCTACACTGGTGTCTCCACTGGAGATACCCAGCGCTATACAGATTTCGTACATTTACTTGGGTATTTGCAGCTTACCCCAAAGACCAATCTGGGTCCCTGGATTTCAGATACTTCCATGTAGTTAAAGGGACACTATAACCATTTCATTAAAAATTTTTAATTGTGTCTGATGTGTCTTAAAAAGGGACAATGTAGGCACCCAGACCCCTTCAGCTAATCAAAGTGATCTGGGTGCCGTGATCCTTTTGCACCAGAGAACTAAACAGACAACCACTAGAGGGCTTCCGGAATCCAAACTAACTTTTGGTCCGTTATTCGATGCTGGACATCCGGCGTCAGATTTTCTCCATAGGAAAGCATTCAATAATGCTTTCCTATTGGGAGGTCTACTGCGTGCGGCAATTGCCGCGCATGCGCTTTAGGGCTCCCCTGTCGGCTGACAAGGAGCGTGGGTGGAGCCTGATCCAGTGCCGAGGAACATTGGCGCTGGATTCATGTAAGTGGCTGAAGGGGTTTTAACCTCTTCAACTCCGCGGGAGGGGGCGCGCGATGGTGGGGTACCTATTAACCCTGGAGGAGAATGAGAGGCATAACTGGTCCAAATGTCTGACTGGCAACCGCATAGATGACTGACATGACCGACAAAGGGTCTGCTGCCTACTTGAGACAATACATCAAAGTTTCCAAGGAAGCTATGGGTTGAGACAAATGCACAGACAGTAGTAAAAATATGTTATCAGTGCACAGCTCGCGGGATCCCCTATACGCAGACAGTGCCCTAAACATCTCTTCAACTGACAGAGGATAACAACAATATTGACAGTCAACATTCATGACTACGTTATGCAGGGTCTGGGAAACAATTTACTAGGCTTCATATAGAAAGACGAAACCTGGCGATGACATACTAATAACTGGTCAACCTGTATATATTTGAGCAAGGTTAGCATGACAACATGTAAGACAGCAAGATTAACAATGGTATGGTTAAAGAGGCTGTAGCACAATTCTGAAGGGTTAACCCTGCAAGACTTATTGTGGTAGCGCCACTAAGGAGGGAGACAAATAACCACCCTGCTGTTGAAACCAACTTGATTGTGTAAGGCACAATATTGAGCACCGCAACTACCGCATAAGTAGTTTTAACACAACCTTCTATGTCATATGCAATATCAGTCTTCTACTTTTTTGTATTAAATGCTAAAGAAAAAAATAAAGATTGTTGGAAAAAAAAAAATATATATACAAAGCTGTATCCCTAACTCCCGTTGTAGCAACAAAAAGGGTTATTTCACCATTTAAATAACCTTACTCCAGCACAGAGGTCACTCTGCGCTGGGGAATCTAATGTGAAACTGCAATGTTTTAGATTGTAGGGTTAGGAGCACTTCACAGAGACCACTTCAATGAGATTAAGTGGTATGGGTGCCAATCGTGTACCTTTAAACCAGGGGTGGGGAACCTTCGGCCCTCTAGATGTTTTGGACTACATCTCCCTGGATGTTTTGCAAGCATTATGGGAAATGTAGTCCAAAACATCTGGAGAGCCGAAGGTTCCTCACCCTTCTTTAAACCATTACAAACAGTTTAACGAATATAATTTAATGAATAAAAGGATGACTCCAGACAGTGAGATTAAGCATTTACATTGCCAACAGTAATGCTTAAATTCAAATGGAGACCTCCTACTGGTCTGTTATACCAAGACTTTGTTTGCCATTATACCTTTAAGGTTTGCTCCACCCCTCCAGCCAAAGGTGAGAACAAACAGGTTCCCAAACACCCACTGAGTTAGTAATGTATAGTATGCAGATAATAGTGTCTTATTTTAACACCAAATTATATACGCAGAAATGTTTAACAATATACCTTTCCAAGACGGTCTCCTTTGCTGAATGGTTGATAGGGCATGTCCTTGAATTGGTCTGGCACTGCACAAGGTCCCCAACCCAAAGGGTTGTCATTTATCACTGGAGCCTGAAATTTTGCCATTGTGTCAGACCTGGACGAGTGGATGGGAAAGTATCTCAGTTAATCACATTTAACACAAGTATGCTACCAGGACAGGAAATATATATATGTATACACACACACACTTTAAATTTTGCATTTATTCTCAGCATGCATTGCATAACAGTGTTGTTCACTGCTTAAGCCATCTGAAGTTTGCAACTACACAGATTATCCCTGAAACATGTTTGTTGGGCAGGATCTTTTAAACAGAAATCTATACATTTCATAGCAAAAAAAAATTTCCTATCAACTTTAAGTACTTCCACCATCTTCTAGAGCACCCGAAGCAATCACCATCATACTGTTTGATTAATACTCTCCTGCAAAATACAACCACCCCCATGAGAAACCCACCAATAGTTTTTCCAATGAACACTTATATCACCTAGCCTCCAAATTTAAAAAAATAAAAAAAATAAAAGTCCCAAAGAATACCGGTACATTCCTTTGTCAGGACCCAATATACATACAACTATTTCTTATGCCATGTTTAGTTATCCCTTTGATAAGGACTCTAAGACGTGCATAACCTAGCACTTTACCTGATGAGGTTTCCTAATATATATTGATAAAGTTATTAATGTGAACACCACAAATGCTACACATTTTCTCTCTGCTTACAACAACTATTTCAAGAGTTGGCATGATTGTACAATTTTTTTTTTTCAGTATTGTTTCTTAAAATCCCCAATTTGATCTTTTTTTTTTTTACAATAAATACCACTGCTCCCCAGCAGAGGCACTCAAAACACACTAATACTCTATCTTACCAACAAATTCTCCAGAAACAAAATGCACAAACAGCACAGCACTTTCCTTTGATTAATCCTGCAACAAAGTCACTTAGATGTTGAGTGTGCACTACTCTGGTCATTAAATAGTTCAAATATCTAAACAAAAAAATATATATATTTATCACCTTACTGTAAACCCTTACTTTCACATACTAACACAAGCTGGGAGTAATTCCAGATGTTAACCTGGTCTAGTTGTTTCCACTAAATAACACAATTAAATAACCCCTGCTTCTTTTAGTTAACAGCTGTGTTATATTTGCTAAAATGCAGCAGCAAAGATTGCAGCTTGGGCCTGTATCACATATTTCCTTTAGCAATAAAGAAAAAAAAATGGAATAGGTTTGACTTACTGTCACAATAAATATTACTCAGACTGGACCGTCCATCTGATTCATGCCACCCTCATTACACAGAGCGCCATACCCTGTCCCTGGCTCCTTCCCCTACACCCAGAGCCCAGCAGGGCAGCCATTTTTACTGTGCACTGTGCAGCTCCCTGGCCTCCCTCCCCCAGCTCATCCTCCGCCAATATCCTGACATACCACTCAGTCCGGGTCCCCGACATCCTTAAGGGTAACTTTCAGCGGCTTGTCTCGCTTCCCAGGGCCGATGTTCGCGGATTACAGACTGGGCCGTGTGTTGCCCTCTCTTTCACAGCACCGGCTTCTAACAGGAAGGAAGCCGCGCTGAAAGACCGGCCTACGTCAGCAAAGCCGACAGTGCTGACGCAAATGCGCTGCGACGGCGTGCTGCCCCGTACAGTGTACGTGGCTTAGCTTGTACGGGCAGCAATGGCGGGGAACTACAGTGTACTAGTGATGTTTGGTTTATGCATTAAAAATTATAAAAAAATTAAAATAAGTAAATACATTTTTTTCCCACAGAAGTAGAGACTTTGGTCTGCAATAGATACACATTCCTGGGCACTACAAATGATTATATGTATCCTCCTTTAATTCCTTTAAATATGCTGTAGCTGTTATATTACATACGTTTTATGATAGTGTATGGGTTTATGCTTTCTTTAACTGGTTTGGCTAGTCAAATATAGCACAAAAATTCGTTTAATACTCTAAATAGGTATTCTTTCAAACAAAACATTGGTAAAAATGAAAAAGTATACACTTACGAATAACGAATTATAATGAACTGAAAACTAGCAGGGTTAATTGTCAGGAATTCAGTGTGAGTTCATAGCGAATTTCAAATTTTAAGCCAAAATAGCTAAATTGGAAAATTCACAAAGTCAGCTGTTTGTAGTTTGGCAATGCTGGTCTAAAATGTGAAATTTAGGGAGCGGACACTCTCAGCCAGTGAATGGCTCAATGTAAGTCAGGAGGAGAGGATCTTCAACATCTGTCTGGATTTAGATGAGAGGTCAAACCATTCCACTTGGGAACAGTGCAAAGGTACTCCTGGCATCATAACCACAAGAGCGTGATGCAGTGGTTATGATGCTTGAAGTAATCCTTTAAAGGAACACTATAGTGTCAGGAATACAAGCATGTAGCATGTATTCCTGACACTATTGTTTTGAAATCGCCGTTCAGGTGACCACCCCCCTTGTCTCTGGTGAAAAAATGTTAAAACGAACCTTAACCCAGCACGTTGCAACACTTATTGTGGTTGGCCGTGCCCCTGGCCACCCTCCTTGGCTGAGATCAAACTTGATGATCTCAGCCAATCAAATGTTTTCCATTTGAAAAGCATTGGGAGGCTAATGTGCAGAGCCAATCAACATCTCCTCATAGAGATGCATTGAATCAGTGCATCTCTATTAGGAATGTTCAGCTCCTCCATGCAGGATGTGGTGACGCTGAATGTCGGAGCTGCACACTGTGCAGCACTGACCCAGAATCTTATTGATTCTGAGTGACTGCCACTAGAGGTGTTCATAGGCAGCAATTTAAAAAGCATTTACATTGAGTTTACATTAAAAGGCATGCAGGGGGACAGGCAGTAGACACCAGAACAACTACAACAAGCTGTAGGTGTTCTGGTAACTATAGTGTTCCTTTAAATTCACAGCCGGGCTTTGCTCAGGCACAAATCTTATGGCTCTTAGACTAGAATGGTAGGGAAGAGGAGCAGTGCTTGGTGGTGAAATAATTAGAAAATGGTTTAACTTCTTACATTGTAGGGCGTGCCAGGGCTCTAGTGCTAAAGTGGTTATGGTTCTTTGAGTTTTCCTTTAATTGCCTGCTTATGCAAAGCAGCCTCATAAAATGTAATAATAAAAGAAGAAATCAAAACTTCATAGGGAGAAACGATAATTAAACCTACAGAATAGAATGCTCTGTTAGAGAAGTTTATTTTATTCCAGAACAGTATGAGTATTTAAATTTTTCATATAATTTGTAAAAAGATAGAGTATTTAATTATTTAAAGGGCTACTCCAAGCACTGTGATCACTTCGGTGATTTAATCCAGATGTACCCTCCAATTTCCAGCCTTTTGTTTAAGAGTTTTTTTGGGGAAGATAACACCCTACATGAGTAAAATGCTCTTCCCGGCCATTCCCCTCTCCTATAATCTCTGATCTAGTACCAGCACTTTAGGAAAATCTCTGATCTAGTACCAGCAATAGGAAAAAATATAGTCTAGAATGTTTAGAGAAATGTGAGTGGTATATAACTCAGTATATAAATGCTCATTCACGTGTAATAGAGTTAACAGCCACACTTCAATAGCAGTGATGGGTATCAATCTCCCCTCTTGTGACAATTAGGAGTATCCAATATTTGCGGTGAGTATGCAAGGTAAAAAAAGAGAGGAGAAAAACTCTAATCGTGCAATTGTCAGTTACTGTCAAGTAAAGTGCAAATTACCATAAGAAATAAACTCACAAGTGAGATGCTTTCCCCTGAAGCTTACAGTAATAAGTGAATAAGAGTGTGGCGTTACAATCCCCGCCCAAAGATATAAGTGATTCCAAAGACTTCAGTGCATAAGAAACAGCAATAGAAAGAATCCAATAGTGCAAAACTGTTATTAATAAATAGTGTGTGATACAAAGTAAGAAATACACTCACAAGTAAGTAACTTTTGCCTATAGCTCACAGTAATGCATATGCATATGGAGGTATAATCCCCACACAGGGATAAATATGGGCTATAGCACATCCAGCAGTGTAGGTAAATATGTAAAAGAGTCATTGTGTCTGAGTGACTGCCACCATAAGTGTTTCTAAGCAGTAATGTAAACACTGCCTTTTCTCTGAAATACCTGCAGGGACAGGCGGTAGACAACAGAACAACTGAATTAAGCTGTAGTTGTTGTGGTGACTGCAGTGTCCCTTCAATTCAAAAGAAAGCATTTTGAATGATAAAAGGCGTAAGGAAGTATGGGGAGACACACATAAAAGGGAGAGTTGGAGAGATGCATACACAAAAAAGGTGTGGAAGCAAGGAGAAGTTAATGGGATAGTTGGAAGAGGATGTTTAAAAAGGTGGGGGAAGGTTGGGGTATAATTTTGCTTTGTCTGATAAAAAGGAAATTAATTAATCAAAAATTTGAATCAGTCACCACCTGTCTTAAATAAGAAAGTCATGCACATCTCAACTGAAATATGAAGCAATCAGAGTCTTGCTGAGGCTAGCTTTTCACACAAATGAATCCTTGCTAGAGGTAGACAATTTGCTCAGGATACACACAGTAGGGGATGCAGAAAATGAAAAATAAAACTAGATCATATACCTGTATGTGCAAGCATTTACATACAGACATTATAACACTGAATAGTAAAGGGTTACTCCAAGCTTCATAACCACACAGATATTTATATAGTGCCAACATATTCACAGCGCTGTACAATTAGTAAACAAAAGAAACACTCAATTCTAACAAAACATATTTCATATACTGAAACAGTGGGTAAAGAGCATACAATCTTAAAGGAAGAGGGAGCAGACTTATTTGGGCGTGGCCATCTTCACCTCTGTTCAAGTATATCAAACATGTTCTGCTAGAATTTAGTGTTTGTCTTGTTTACTTATTGTACAGCGCTGTAGAACATGTTTGGAACTATGTAAATAATTGTAATAAGCACTACTGACTGTAGTGGTTATGAATCCAATGCCAATAGTACCCTCACGCTATTTCCCGATAATGCATGTTTTTCCTCTTACCTCGGTTCCCAGTGGGAGTCGAGAGTTCTCCTGGGGCCAGTGATGGCTTTTTGGCTTTTGCAGGGCTACTGAAGCCAGAAGTCGGTCTCACTGGCCATTCATTGGCTGAGAGCATCAGATAACCGCTCTCTGCCAATGAATGAAATTCTGTGCAGAGGAATATGCACAGAATTGACATTATCCAGCATAGAACTCTAGTTGCAGACTGACTAATGTAACCCATATGACACTGCCAGAGGTGTTTCACCTCTGGTAGCCGAGGGGTTAAACACCATATGTGCAGCGTGTCAAAAACCCCCCACACTTTCTCACATACAGACTCCAGGCACCATGGCCACTTGAATTCAGTGGTCATGGTGCTTGGATTAGCCATTTAAACTAATTTGAGCAGGAGCCTTTCTGCCTCTTGTTCTTGTGAGTCAAACTTGTAATGCAGACGTTTAAACAATTTAGTCAGCAGATAAAATAAAATGTCTGCCACCTAAGGGGCAATCGTATACATTCAGCAGTTTTTGTAGATCAGCTGTGTGCAAGAATACAATGACATGGGACCTCCCCTCATCATAATTTATGTATTGAGCTTAAGTTGTTATGGTTGTTTGGCTGTGCTCAAGGTGTGGATTTAGAATATATAACATTTGGCAGCTACTTGTGATGGTTCAGTTAAACATTTGCAACAAAGGATACAAACATAACATACTCGGTGGAAATGGCAGTTGGTAATATCGAAATGCTCAAAAATCATCTTGCAGGCAATGTCCGTTCTATGGTTGTTGTTAGTCTGGAGGCTTTGGAATGTTTCCATATCTGTAATCCTTTAGATAAAACGTATCCAGATAAAATGTATCTGTTTGATGACTTTGTAATATTTTCTGTAACTTTACATGGTCTGCTGTCTCAAGCAAAGATTGTTGGTTATTGCAAATGGATAGGAGGTCAAGAGGTGCTTGATTCTCTTAGCAGAGTGAGGGTTTACTCTACTTACTGTATAATTAGAAAAAATCAGGAAAACTGCAAATTCAGTAAGTTTAGTAAACCCTTCTCTGCTAAGGAAACCCTGTACTATTTTGTTTATATTACAGTGAACTAATGTTTGATGATGCTGGGGGGGGATTATGCTTCTGTCTTGTTAATCACCCCCTGTTGTGCCGAACACTGGCAACACTGGCGACCTTTAAATAGTAGTGTACAGAAAAAACTTACAATACTGGAGCGCTTAATATGAACAGCTCTACAGGGGCAAGGTAGAGTTATTAATCAATTGTATATTTCACAATTTTTCTTTAAATACCTGCTACCACACTTCAAAGTGATCCCTTCACCACATAGAAAATATAGAAGTTATAGTGTTAAGAAGTGGAGCGAAATCAGCACTGAGAAAAACCCCTCTCCCACATGCAATCAAGCTAATCCAAAAGTAAAAAAATACTTATATTGCTTGCTGATTAATGTTCCAATTCAAGCTCGGCATGTGAGGAAAAAATATATAAAAATGATCATAGAACAGATCTGTGAGGATTAATTGATGTAAAGGTATCACTAAAGTATACAAATACTGAATTGAATCAGCTGGATAAAGATTTATTACAATTCTACAACAGGTAGCAATTA